AATTCCGGTCCTCCCCCCTCTCACGACAGACAGCCAAGGAAGTAGACAGGAAGCTCTTACCGAGTCTTTATTCAATATTCACAGTGAGAGGCCTCTGTAGGTTAATGGCGTTGCTCCAACTGAGCTCCGCAGTTCTTTGCTCTTACACTTTCCATGCACGTCGGGTTCTGGGGGAAGGGGGGGTCAGAAATACTCTCCAGTAATAACGTGTCAACTGGTTGCTCTGTCTCTGTGTCCCCTTCTCTTCTCCCAACACCTCCCAACTCTTCTGTTCACCTGTCTCTAAGCTGTGACCATCCTCAAACCACTGCTGTAATTCAATACTGCCTTATTCTTCTCTGGAAGCTTCAGGAGGAGGGGGGCAGTCTCCAAAATTCCTCCTCAGTCTCGCCCCCCTCAGTCCAATCCCTGACACAGACTGAAAGAGAGAGAGTGGCTGCCCCCCAACATTGGCCAAGTGGGGGGAGATTCTAGAAGCTCCCCAGATTCTAGGCCGACACTTTAACCACTACACCACACTGCTGAAATGCAGCCAGGTTTCCAAGAGCGGACTTCTGTGTGAAGGCAGCGAACGCTCAGCTGGCCCTGAAAACAATTCCCTGTGCTCAGAGGCACCCTGCTCTTTCATGATAACTTCCGCACCTGATCGGTGGGTCTTGAGGTTCTAGTTTAAAAGACAAAGTACAGTGGTGCCTTGGGTTAAGAACTTAATTCGTTCTGGAGGTCCATTCTTAACCTGAAACTGTTCTTAACCTGAGGTACCACTTTAGCTAATGGGGCCTCCCGCTGCCTCCACACGATTTCTGTTCTCATCCTGAAGCAAAGTTCTTAACCTGAGGTACTATTTCTGGGTTAGCGGAGTCTGTAACCTGAAGCGTCTGTAACCTGAAGTGTCTGTAACCCAGGGTACCACTACAGACCCTAGAAGCCTAGAGTCTGTCCAGCGCTGACCTTCAGGGGGCTTGAAGGTCTGTCGTGCTGGGGGCAATCTTGTTTGCTTTGAGAGCATTGAAAGGATGAACTCTGCCTAGGGACAAGGTGAAGAGGGTCCTTCATCTCCCCTCTCATTTCTTTGCAATCCTAGTCTGGGGCTACCTGTCAAGAAATCGAGAGCTATTCCTTTGCGAGGGAGATGGGGGCAACCCTTTCCAGCACCAAGGACGCACTGTGGGAAGATGCTAGCGAGCGAGCTGGATGCGTTGCCATGGTGATGCTTTTAAAAATACCGTGCCAAAAAGACACGGATTCTAGCCACGCTCCCTCTGGGATCCCCCTCAACCTGACGAGTGAGGGGTGGGAGGAGGAGAAAGGCCACATTAATGTATTTGGTCAACCGGATGAGGAAGCGTTTTTGTGCACACACAAAAGCACGCAGACTGCTGCAACGCCAGTTTGGAGAGGTTGCGGCAATAACATCTAGGAGAACCTCCTGCCTTCACAGCGTCAGCTGTGCAGATGTTTGAGCTGGTGGCCTCAGTGCTGTCCTCAGCTGTGGAACAGAGGGGCATGGGGTCAGGATGGGGGGAGCCCTATGGGGAAAGAGGGAGGGAGGGAGGGAAGGGGGGAGAGAAAGGTTTATCACTCTGCCTGGAGCAGGAAATCCACATGAAATCGTATCTCAGGAAACAGAGAGCTGACCAGTTTTCTGCCTTGAATGAGATAACATAGCCCTGCTGCCTGAGGCAAGCTGCCCCATCCACCTAATGGCAGGACCTCTTCTCTGTGTGTGGACTGGTTCTTGCACATATGTTGGAAGCCAGCTGGACCTTGAGTGTGGCAAAGGCAGGCTATCCTGTGCTGGCCTGAGTTTGAATCTTGCTTCAGGCATGGGTAGTGTTGAAAGAGCCCTGGACACCTGGTCTCACGGTCAAAAACATGATGGGGCTGTTTCCCCAGAGGGGTAGAGTGAGGGGCAAGCACTGTAGGCAGACTAAATGGGATATAAAAAGGGGTCTAACAACTTATATTCCCATGCTATGTTGCTGCTTAAACTCTGTGACTGTTTTAAACTTTGCTGGGGACTCTCTCCCACTGGAATGTGAGCAGAGCCCCATGTTTTTAAATCCAGGTATCGGGCTGATTCTTTTGTTAATTACCCACAAGTGGGTCACACAGATCTCATTTCCCCCTCGCATAGATCTACATTGGGATCTGCTGCCCCTATGAATCCTGCCGCCTGAGGCATTCGCCTCACCTTGCCTGATGGGTGGGCTGGCCCTGTCTCAAGCAATAAACAACCCCAAGAGCAGCAGGCTTTTCTGGGGTCTGTTTCCCCAAGAAGAGAGGCAGAGAGAAGACCTCTTGCTATGATCTGTGGGCCAAAATCCAAATTGAGCAGGGGGAAGGAGCTGAGACACACAGAGACACAGGAAGTGAGACCCATGGACATGCAGTGTTTGCTGTCACACGTAACTCATTTCTTAAAATTAAAAAAAAACCACCTCCAGAAAGCCTTTCTCTAGATTCCCTCACCGATCCCGGGCCCCTTCTTTCCAACCAGATGCTCTTTCTGGCTTCATCCCAGCTGCCAGGCTGTTTCTGCCCCAATCAGGCGGGATATTTTCCATAGCCAGTTGCCAGCAGCAATCCAAGGCTGTCAAAGACCATTAAGGAAATAAACCTATCTATTAGCTAGTCTAGATGAAAAGTCATCTCCTCATGAGACAACTCATTAGCTCTCTCCCTCTAGGTGATTATAGGCGGGTCTTAGGTGTGCCCCGCCCCCTTGGTAGTGTTGAGGTTCTGGGTAGGGAGAGAAATGTGCTCACATTGCATTTTAAGGCGAACCTTCGTAATTCACCCGTAAGTAAACAGAGACAGAGCACTTTGAACTTTGTGAAACGGTTCTCCAAACAAAACTTGCGCACAGAAATGCATAAGCTTGTGAAAACAGTGTGTAAAACTACATTACATTTGGGGAAATTGTTTGAAAAAATGCTTAGGCTAGGCAATTGGAAGAAATGGGCAGGTAAATGCAGGCAGATTTTCACACAGACTTTCCTTTAATGGAAGAAATGTCTTGGTCCCGGGCACCTTCCATTTGATCAGAACATCCCCCCCAAAAAACACTTTCTGTGTGAATGAAATCTGGGTAATTCCACCCCAGGAAGTCTAAAAGCTGCACACACACCCCCTCACTTCCCCTCCCCTTTTGCTTATTCAAAGAAACTCAGTTGCTTAGGTGAACTCGCTTCATTTGTCTGGAAGACATGAACAGGATGTGCATTTCTGGACTGCATTTATTTATTTTTTCAGGCTTCTAAGTGGTTTACAAGTACAGGTAAATGGGGAGGGGGTTTCCTCCTTCATTTATTGATTTATTTTTCCCCCACCCACACTAAGCTGTGATTGTGTAAGTAAAATAAGCATAAGATGCAAGTTTCCTGTATATAAAAAAAATTCAGCAAGGGTAGAATAAGGTCATCTATTTTGAATACAACGGCTCTGCCTTGAAACATGGGAAATGATGATCATGTCAAAGAGTGCCTTTAAGCATGAACAGAATGCTTTTAACTCACCGTATAGAAACCATGACCAGCCACCCCATGCTTGGGAGTCAGGAACTGACCACACATATCTCAGGCTTGGAGCAGAAAAGTGCCTCTGCCCATATCAGAAGTGCACTCTCCTCTTTGGTAAGCAGCCTAGGGTTTTCTGTGTGCCCACCACTGCAGCTAGGGCCTCTCATGCCTTTAAACAGCCGGTTGGCCATTCAGCTGCTGAAACCTTTCCGCAACCTCCATCTCTTTACTCGGAGAAGCTGGACCTGTCAGACTGATGCCTCTCAGGCAGTTGTGTAGGGCATAGGAGAATTTTAGAGGCGTAATCTGGGAGCAACCATCATCAACCACCAGACAACTGACCGAAGTCTCAGAGCTTGCCACTCAGAAAGTGGCACAATTTCAGGGCAACACGAACCCCAAGATCTTCCCCATGCCTGTTGAAGGCTTCACCAGTGTGGTGTAGTGGTTAAGAGCGGTAAACTCGTAATCTGGGGAACCGGGTTCGCGTCTCCGCTCCTCCACCTGCAGCTGCTGGGTGACCTTGGGCTAGTCACACTTCTTTGAAGTATCTCAGCCCTGCTCACCTCACAGAGTGTTTGTTGTGGGGAAGGAAGGGAAAGGAGAATGTTAGCCGCTTTGAGACTCCTTTGGGTAGTGATAAAGCGGGATATCAAATCCAAACTACTCTTCTTCTTCTTCTTCTTCTTCTTCTTCTTCTTCTTGCATTGCACCTAAATGGTTCTGAGGACTGGCTCATTTTTGCTGGGGGAGGGGAGTATTTCTCCACCCCCATCTAGGAGGCAAGTGTGCAACACTGGAAACAACAACCCACAGAAAGCCAGGTTGTAGAAAGACCCCCGAGGAGGGCTGGGGTGGTGGGGCTGCTGCTCCCCTCTATCAGGCTATTGCAAATCCAGATTTCTTCACCGACTCCATAGTGGTGCCTGATTTGCAATGGTCTCTCTCCCCCACCCCTGGATTTCGGAAATCAATTAGCACTGTCACTGAGGATGATTTATAATCTGCACGCCTTGGGCTCTGCTTTGATTCACCTTATTAGGCTTACAGCTGCTGTCTCTGAGCAGCTCTTGGCAACCAGCGTGGAGGGAGGGGTGAAGTGCTTTGGGGAAGGACAGAGAGAGAAAGAGACCGGTCTCTGGGGAGAGTGTTCCCTATTGTGTCCTGCACAAATGTGATCTGAGCTCCAAGGAAGTGGAGAGCCTGAGTCCCTGGAGGAGGAAAGCTTAGAAGAGATTTCTCCCCCTCTCTCAACTTCCTGACCATCAGGGCACCCTGATGCACCAGTAGTTCTCTTGTGTAAGGACAGAAGAGAACTTTCACTCGGTTTCCATTTAAAAAGCAGACTCGCCTAATTCGTACTTTGCAAAACAAGATGTGAACAGAAACACAGCCATCCTTTGAAATTTGCACTTCTCCAAATTTTGCAAGCCAGCTCTCTGGCCAAGTAATGTGTACAAAAAAGGCATACACTTGATTCAAACTGATTTGTTGTATTTCATTCAAATGAATATCAAAGCAGCTTACAAACAGTAACAACAATAACAGTAACAAAACATACTGGAACATCACAAATACAACACAAATTGTATGAAATGGTTAGCAAATCATCAATAAAGCAATATGCTTGAGTAAAGTGTGCATAGGGATGCATATAATAGGGAAAACAACATACAAAAAATGCACTGTATTGGGGAAAATCGCTCTGCAAAAATGTGTACATTAAGCAAAATTGCATACAAACATGCTAGTTAGGAGAAATTCACATTAAAACGCTGGTGAATTTTCATGAGGACTTAAAAAAAAAAAATGCAGAATGATTTGGAAATGCAAAGATCTGAATCTAAGACTGGAGAAACTGAGAGACACCAAAATGGACAGATTCAATTATCCCTTGAAATATGCACCTCTCTGAATTTTCTGTAGTGATGTTCTGTAGTGTATACAATGTAGTGTATACAATGCTGTTCTGTAGTGTATACAATAATGCATATGCTATATTACAGTGAAAACAGCACACACAAAAAGATTATATATGGGGAAATTGCTTCCCGAAAATGTGTACAGTGGGGAAAATTCATACTAAAATTCGGACTGATCAATTTACACGAGGCCTTGTGCAAGCCCCAGTGGAATGTGGGTGAGCTGGGCCAGCAGATTCCCAGGTGCAGCCCAAGAGCTCCAGGGTATTCCAGTGGAACTTGCCCAGAGGAGAGCCACCATCTGGATCAATGAGGTTGCTGATGGTGTCTGTGTCCAATATCCTTAACAGCGTTGAGAACATATGACCGTAAGAAGTGCCCAGCTCCTGGGTCAGGCCGACAGGGGCCACCTAGCCTAGCATCCTGGTCTCACTGTGGCCGGCCAATGCAGACCCTGAGCCCAACAGCAGCAACTCTCTCTGCTTGGGTTTCCCTAGCAGCAATGCACGGGGAGAAGGAGCCCCCTTGCTTTAAATAGTAGAGAGCAGCACTCAACAGAACGGTCCAGGAGCCTGCCTGTCTCCTCCAGGTAGGGGCCGCCCAAGACCTTGGCCACGAAGGAAACGGGGAAGCAGAGGTTGAGAAGTGGAGGGTTGTTGGAGAGCTCTGGAGCAGCGGTCTGTTGATGTTGTGCTGCCCAGCGCTGGAGCCTGCTCAGAGGATGCTCATTTCAGGAAGATGCGGGTTTTCTTGTCCCCAATCAGAGTCCTGAAGGAACAAAAGGATGAACCAGTTAGAATCAGTACTTTGGGGGGAGGGCATTCCTAGGCTCCATTTATAGCAGCTGGGGAGGATGGGTTACTCTAAACATAAGAATCTAAGAACAGGCTTCTGGGTCAGGTCAGTGGCCCAATGTCGTGGGCTGGCTGGATGTAGAGGAGTGGTGGGAGGGACTGGTTAGGGAACCCCCAAGGGAGGAAGGCTCAGAACCACGGGGTTGGTGGTGAGATGACAATGAGTGGACAGAGGGAGAAGAGATAGCAGACTGAGAGGAGGAGATGTCGGAAACATAAGAGGTAATGGTTTAGTGAGCGGGAAGAGTCTGGGGCAGAGAGCAGTCCAAAATCAGAAGCAGGAGTGGAGGCCTCAAGAGATAGAGATGAGGCAGACTGCTGAAGAAGCCAGGGAGTCTCCCCCTCCAAAGGGGGCCCATCTAGTCCAGCCTCTTGTTCTCACAGTGGCCAATCAGAAACCTAGGGGAACCAGCAAGCAGGATTTGAACACAGAGCACCCTCCCCTCATGTGGTTTCCAGCAATTGACATTCAGAAGCATTGCTTTGGCTTTGCTTCAGGGGCCTGATGGGAGTTGCAGTTCAGCAACAGTTTCAACTTCTAAATGCCTACTGAAAACTTTTCTATTCTATCAGACATCGGCAGGCAACTAAGAATACATCTTTCCATAACAACTAGCAAATTTTCCCATTTTACCTTTTTATATTATATTTCTTGTCTGGTTTTATGTTGAATTGTAGAATGGCAAACTGCTCTGTTTTTTTTGTTTTTGTTTTAACAAAAATCAGAGCATTTCATAAGTATGTTTATAAATTTAATAAAATAAATCTGAAGGGCACCAGGTTGGGAATGACTGGGCTACACTATGATTGTAGAATGGAGCTCAGCAGTCCAGTGTGGCGCAATCTCTGGTGAAGTTGGGAGCATGATGTGGCCCCCAAAGAGTAGCTGGTGACATTGATTCAGAGGCCCCAAGCTCTGTGAGATAGAGCCAGTGTGGTATAATCAGAACAGGGTGGGAGGCCAGGGACTCAGCTACATTAGTCAAAAAACGCTTTGAATGCATTACAAACATGCAACACCAGATGGCACCAGAGAGCAAACAATTTTTTTTCTATGCGATTTTTACCTAGATTTTTTTTTTGTTACAACAATTTAATTTCTGACTTATTTATAGCATATTTTTTCCTGTGTGTAGATCCAACCCAGGGTTCAAATCCCCACTCTGGCATGAAACTCACTGGGTGTGACCTTGGGCCAGTCACCGCCCCTCAGCCTAGCCTACCTCACAGGGTTGTGGTGAGGATTAAATGAGGAGGGGGAGAACCATGAGCTCCTTGGGGGGGGGGGAAGGTGGGATATAAATGCTATTATTATTATTATTATTATTATTATTATTATTATTATCATCATCATTATTAAAGACTTGCACTCCTATCTCAACCCACAAAAAGAGCTTTCCATCCACTCACATTACCACCTCCCCCCTCACTTTGGGAAGTGGAAACACCCCCCCCATCTACCTACCTTATCAATGCACCAACAAGGAGTCCGGCCACCATAGGACCGACCCAGTACACCCAGTGGTAGTCCCAGTAGTTGGCGACCAGTGCAGGACCAAACGCTCTGGCTGGGTTCATGCAGCCTCCTGAAACACCTCCCCTGCATGGCGGGCAAAGAAAAGGAGCAGCCGTGTATCAAAGGTCAATGCTGAGCAAACATCCCATAATATATCCCAAAGCCTCCGTGAAAGCAGAGCTGCCGTTTCCCAAGAGGGGGGCACATTTCAGAGCCGGGTGTGAGAGCTCCTTACCATTTGCCGACAACCGTATGTGAAAGGGAAACCGCAGGATTTTATCCCTACACCCATCTGTCAGCGACAGATCAATCCTGGTGTCTGAAGCCCTTCTCAGTGTTTAAGCAAAAGCCTCATCTCTCACTAAAGGTGGGGAGCAGGGCTGGTGGCTGAATAACCTTTTTTTGCCTTGATAACTGTCCGTTCTGGTTAGCGGATGCAAGCAAGGCAAGGAGACCCAACAGGCAATCTGCTGCTGGCTGTCAGGATTCGAATGAAGGACACTGGCACTGAGCATGTGATGTCAGCACTGAGGCTGGCTTGAGAGCACAAAAGTGCGTAAGGAGCCCTGGTGGATCAGCCAAAACAGTCCCGTCTCCTTCTGCTTTCACAGTGGCCAAATACTCCTAAGAACCTCAGAATCAAGGTAGACTGCCTCTGGACCTGGAGGTTCCATAAGAAGAGCCTGGCTGCTGGATCAAACTGGGGGAGGAATCTAGTCCAGCATCCCATTCTTACAGTGGCCAAGCAGATGCCCCAATGGGAAGCCCGTAAGCAGGGCCAGAGTGCAAGTCCCAGCAACTAGGACTGAGCAGAATCCTGCCTCTGACAGTGGAGGGAGAACATAGCCCTTGCTGATAGCTTTCCGCATTATCAGCCAGGAACAGCTCCCTGGGATCCAACTCTAAGTGTCTTTGCAAGGAATGTGAGCATTGAAATGCAGGTTGAGGAAACAAAGGGCTGCATCTATCCAAATACACCTTACAGCTTATTCTCAAGCCAATACAGTGGTACCTTGGGTTAAGAACTTAATTCGTTCTGGAGGTCCGTTCTTAACCTGAAACTGTTCTTAACCTGAAGCATCACTTTAGCTAATGGGGCCTCTCGCTGTCGCCGCGCCACCACTGCACGATTTCTGTTCTCATCCTGAAGCAAAGTTCTTAACCTGAGGTAATATTTCTGGGTTAGCGGAGTCTGTAACTTGAAGCATCTGTAACCTGAAGCGTCTGTAACCCAAGGTACCACTGTATTTCAGTGATGAATCAAGCTGATGCTTTTTTATAAAAACAAATGCATTTTGGTATGTTCTTCTGAGAGGAGAATTGCATCTGAAAATTCAGAGTATTGTGAAATCCAAAGGATAATTACGTTCCAGTCCGTGTATTAGTCTGGGAGGGGTGAATTACATCAGCTCCCTTTCTAATAGGGACCAAACGAAGAAGACTTCCAGCCCTACCTGGCACCCCACTTGACTCAAAGCAATTGCCCTGTCTTTCTGCCATGAGCCCCTTCCTCAGACAGAGAGCACAAAGTAGACAATGTCAACCGGCCAGTTACATTTCCCCTCCCCCATCTTGACCCACCATGGACTTTTGCAGGAATGCCAGCCAAACTCACCCTGCGAGGATGTCCGCCGTCACGGTGAAGCCGATACAGAAAGGAGCCAGGGGGGTCTTGGTCTTCTCGTTGATGGCCCCCATGCAGACCGTCATGACCAGGAACATGGTCATCACAATCTCACCCACCAGAGCTGCGGGGATTTGGTCGTCCGAGGTGATGGAGGTGAACGCCGCCCCAGTGGCATTGTCATACCTTTCCCAGACGGTCATCACCTGCAACAGATTTAGAGGCTTCCAAATTTAATTTCAGATGCACAAGGGATACAAAAGTAGGTGTGGACATATTGGGTTCCCCTCACCCACCCACCCACATTTTAGTCCCATCCTGTATGGCATGGTCTCCGTCTCTAAGACCACTTGGTTGTTTTTCATACTGTTGCCACTGGAAGTCCTTTGACAGTGGAGCAAACAACACGAGAAATGAAATACAGAACCATCTTTCCAAATCTGCACCGATCCAAATGCTGTTCTCCATACAACTGATGTTTGCAAAACTTAGGGTTGCCATACATCTGGGAAATCCCTGACATGCCCTCTTTTGGGGGGCCAATATGACCATCTTGGGGAGGGGGATTTTCACATATGAAAGGAAATGTCTGGGATTTGGGTTTTTTGTTTTTTAAAAATTTTGTATTGTTTTGGTCGGGTCTCAGGTGGCACGGACTTGGGGCGGGTGTGGGCGCTGGTAAAGGCACAGGCAACTTGGGTGCGGGTGGCATTGGCTTGGGCTTGGACTTGGGCGCAGGCTGCTCTGCATGCCATGGCTGCTGCCTGCCCGAGCTGGGGAAATAGGCATGTAGGCACAGCAGCAGCCCCGTGCACCTGCACCCCTGTACCTCATTCTCCAGCTCAGGCTGGCAGCAGCTCAGGCTGTCCTCTTTTTTGCTCTTCAAGATATGGCAACCCTACAAAACTGCACACATTAGGGGAAAGTATGCACAGAAGCTAATACACTGTTGAAAATAACATACAAAAGCATGCATTATACTACTTGCAAAAATGTGTGTCAAAACTGCATTGAAAATGTGTATATTAGGAGAAATCTGCAAGCAATTGCTGATGCATTTTCATGACAATTTTTCTTAAAAAAAATAATTCACAAATTGCTGCAGAAATCTGGAAAACGGAACTTCAGACTGGGAAAATGAGAAAGTGGGAGAAGGAAAACTGAAGGGTCCTGCCATCCTTAGCTGTGAGTCCTAAGCACATACTAAGCACTAAGCAGCTCCTGCTGCATTAACAGATATCATAATTGATGTTCTTTGGGTATTTTTCAGAGGGGCATGCTTGGGAGAACAACAGAGACCTGCCATCCACTGCTGCCTCTGATTATGGCAATGCCATGCCATCCCAAGAAGCAAACCTTCACACATGCCCATTGACAGATGCTGTCCTTCCCCCTCCCCTATCCAGCCCCATCACCGATCATACCTTGGCCAGTCCGGCTCCGATGAGCCCACCGCACAACTGGGAGATCCAGTAAGGAATGACCATCACCATGTTCAGCCCACCCACGAGCCAGGCCCCGAGGGAGACCGCAGGGTTATAATGGCCACCACTGTAGGGAGGAGAGGAGAGAGAGCATTGTTAGAGGGCTCCTGGGAAGGAATAGGGTAGTACATGGGTAGGCAAATTAAGGCCCGGGGGCCTAATCCAGCCCAATCACCTTCTCAGTCTGGCCTGCAGATGGTCTGGGAATCAGTGTGTTTTTACATGAGTAGAATGTGTCCTTTTATTTAAAATGCATCTCTAGGTTATTTGTGGGGCATAGGAATTTGTTCATAATTTTTTTTCAAAATATAGTCCGGCCCCCCACAAGGTCTTAGGGACAGTGGACTGGCCCCCTGCTGGAAACGTTTGCTGACCCCTGGTGTACTCTATCCTACTGCACAGACAGATGCACAAATATAGGAGAGGGGGGAAAGACCTAGGGATCTTAGTAGACAACAAGCTTACCAGTCTGTTGCTGCAGCAAAAATATCTCATGCTGCATGCAAATATATTTGGTGTCCAGATCAAGGGAAGTAATAGTACCACTCTATTCTGACTTGGTCAGACCCCATTTGAAGTCCTGCATCTAGCTCTGGGCACCACAGTTTAAGAAGGACATTCACAGGCTAGAATATGTGCTGAGAGGGGCCCAATGGACACACACAACCTTTGCTGCTCCAAGATCACAGTGCACTCTGCACATAACGTTATCATTACCAGCAGTTACTTCTGAGAGGACATAAACAGTTTATAACCTGAGCTTTCACCTCCCCTGTTGTGAGGCCCAAGAATCACTTCTGCACTAAGTCCCTTCTGCACTGATGTTACCGACAAGCAGATAAAGAGGGAGGGAGAAACAGATCGTAAACTACAGGTGACTAGGGTTTAGGATTGCCATATTTCAAAAAGTAAAAGCTTTTTGGGGTGGGGACCTGAAAATGATTGAGCTTTTTTTAAGACAAACCCCAAAGTTATTGAGCAGGTTTTTCCCCCCAAAATGCCAAAAAAGTGATTTATTTCCTTTTATTGACTTGCCTAAGATCCAGGACAAAATGCCACCTTTCAAAAAATTCCCCCCAGATGTCAATTCTGCCTTTGAAATCCTGGTCATGTCCAAGAAAATCCGGACATATGGCAGCCCTACGTCCTGATTGAAAGGGACTTGTTTACTCCATTAATCAAGGAGAGCAAAGTTTTAAGGGCAAATGTCCCTTGTGTCAAGAGGCAAAAAGATTAACCCTTTTTGGGCCAGTCACCCTACTGCCATTCCAGCTGGGGAGCTGGAGTTCGAATTGGAGACATTTGGAATATGGCTGTCCCCATTCCAGAACGCAGCCTCACCTCAATCAGATTCAGAGGTGACCACAGACCCTTCCAAATTAGCTCCTGGCCTCCTATTGGGATTCATTGGTACCCAACCATCTCAAGGTTGCCTGATAGGCAACACTTCCTCTCCTTTCTGCTTAAGACCTTGGAGGCAGGGTTGAGCATCTTCTTCTTTTAAAAAAAGGATGTCTCTGAGCACATTCTGGATATTCTAAGGATATCCTTTCAGTGTCGGAACTGTCTTGAGTTCACAGAGCTTTCACACAAAAGTCCGCTCTCCCTCTCACTTTCTTCATTTTAGCTGCCTCATTCAGGTAGGGAGAAATTTATTTTGTTGCTGCTGCTGTTCAGTGATGGCTTTCTATGTTCCTGTGTTCATGACGGATCTACTGAGAATCACCCAGAGATATGCCAGGAGATCCCGATTGGACGTCTACCCCCGCTTTCCTTCCATCCCACTGCCAGAAGCTGCTTGCTGAAGGATGGCTTCCCACATCAGGGTCTACAACCCCCTGAGAGATCTCTCTTGGCCCCTTTCAGTTAAACTTCGCCTGGCAGGGGGAAAGGAGGAACGCCATTCCTGCTGCCATCTCAGGACATAGAAGTAAGAACAGAACTGTCCTCTCACTGGCAGGCTCAGGTTTCCACAGGGGCCAGACATTCAGTTCAGCTCACATTTAAGGGTGAAGCCACCTAATTCTCACTTTGTGAAACATTATATGAACAGAAGCACAGCGACTCTTCAAAATTTTTACCCTTCTCTGGATTTTGCAATGCATTTCTCCAGCCTAACAATGTGTGTTCAGAAATGCACGACTGAAAGTGACATGAAAAATGCATTATATGACAGGAAATCACTTTTCCATTAGGCAAAATTGCAGGCAAATATGTGCATATTCGAATAGATTTGCCCTAAAATGCTGATGAATTGTCATGAGGTTTCCTTTTTAAATTGCAAACTGATAAGGAAATGTGGAGAACTGACGTTAAGATTGGAAAAAGGAGAAACAGAAATTGACAGATCCATCCATCCATCCCTCCCCACCCCACCCCAAAAAAGATCTGGCTGGAGATGCCTAAGCCTTGCAAAAACTCCCAGAAGCCTTTGCAGGAACAGCCACCTTCCCTGGGAACTGAGAGAACCCAAGAGTCCTGTTCCTGCCCCTCTGCCCCTGCTGCAAGTCCACCTCCCCTCTTTCCTTCACCTGATGTTCCCCAAAACCGCAATGGTGAGCCCCAAGGCCAGTCCATGTGCCAACGCCGGCTGCAGCCTCCCGGTGCCATCCGTGTTCTCGATGACCGATGCACAGCCAATGAAGATGAAGAAGGCCGACCCCACCAGCTCTCCGATGCAAGGCTGGACGTACTGCTCAAACCAGTGGGGCTGCGGGGGGCTGCTTTTGCCATCCAGCTCCAGCTCCTTGACGGACATCCGGCCAAATTCCACGTCTGTCATGCCTGGGCAAATCTGGAAGACAAGAGCCAGGCTTTGGTGACCAGCCAGCACCTGGTGAGCCCTCCCAGGTCAGCTGAACGGAGGTTGACCCTGGTATGTGACACAATGAAGACTTAAATCCAAATGCCACTGTATGTGCCGTTCCCATGGGGCGCTCTGTTCTGGACTCGGGGCAAGGACTTGGCAAGGCTGCATCCCCATTGTTCCCTCTCTGGCTCCCACCACACAGGAGAGCTGGCCTTCTGCAAGGGAGAGGGAAACTTAGTCACCCTCCTCTTAATAAAAGGGCACAACAATTGCCTCCATTGATAAGGCCAAGGTCCATCTGGCCCTGCATTCCGTTTCTTCAGAGCAGCCAAGCCAGAGTTTTGGGAAATGAGCAAGAGGAGTTGCTTTCTATCATGTCAGCCCCTTGATTCACTGAGCTCAGGATTGTCTGCATTGATAGGAAGATACGGGGGTTTCAGGCAGGGGACATTCCTACCTGGAGATGCCATTAGGTCCAGTCGTGGCCGACTCTGGGGTTGCGGCGCTCATCTCACTTTATTGGCCGAGGGAGCCTACGTTTGACCGCAGACAGCTTCCGGGTCATGTGGTTAGCATGACTAAGCCGTTTCTGGCGAACCAGAGCAGCGCACGGAAACACCGTTTACCTTCCCGCTGGAGTGGTACCTATTTATCTACTTGCACTTTGACGTGCTTTCGAACTGCTAGGTTGGCAGGAGCAGGGACTGAGCAACGGGAGCTCACCCCGTCACGGGGATTCGAACTGCCGACCTTCTGATCGGCAAGTCCTAGGCTCTGTGGTTTAACCCACAGTGCCACCCGCGTCCCAGATGCCATTAGCAGCTATTAAAGCTGCTACCTGCTGCCCGCAAAGCAGAGGCTCTGCCTGCTGCAGCCCTTCCCCTAAATGAAAATCAAGATTCCAGTCCTCATGTTTCTGTCTTATACGGAGCCAGACCGCTGCTCCACCTGGCTCAGGATTGTCAACCCTGACTGGCAGCAGCTCTCCAGGGTTTCAGGCAGGGGACAGTCCCAATTCTACTTGGAGGTGCCATCATGGAATGAACTGGAGACCTTCTGCATAAAAAAGCAGGGTCTCTGTCACTGAACTACACTTCCCAAGGCTATCAGATTCACACATGCACATTGAAGCTGTGGAGGAAGGCTTAGGGGAGCGCCACTGGTTTGGTCGCACCAGGCACAGAGCCTCAGCAACATTGCAGCTCTGATTTACAATGGCACAAGGCGGTAGAGCGCCAAATTTCAGTGTCCCACAGGGCACCACTGAAATTTGAGACTGCAAGAACTGCCACTGGCCTCACTTGCTCTCCATGCTTGCCATTGCCAGCAGCTTGTACTCAGAGACATGCTGCCTCCAAAAGAGGAGGCAGAACATTGCCATCATGGATAGCAGTCACTGATCGCCTTATCTTTCATGGATTTCTCCGATCCCCTTTTAAGGTTGATGGCCATCACTACATGAATTCCTAAGAACATAAGAAGAGCCTGCTGCCTCAAGCGAAAGGCATATCTAGTTCATCATCTCACTGTCAGGAGGTCCTACACACGAGTAGGAGTCCAGCAGAGACACATGCCCGACTGGCATGTTCTCTCCCTCCTGGTCGGTCGTTCGGGAGATTAAAAATCTTTCTCCAGCCTGAACATCGCAGCGACTGATACCTAAGGTGCATCAGCACACTTCAGGATCAGCAGAGTATAGGCAGTCAGCGTTCAGACTCAATAGCGCAGCAATTTGGCTAAAGTACATTTACAGTGGTACCTCGGATTAAGAACTTAATTCGTTCTGGAGGTCCATTTTTAACCTGAAACTGTTCTTAACCTGAAGTACCACTTTAACTAATGGGGCCTCCCGCTGCTGCTGCTGCGCCGCGGCCGCGCGATTTCTGTTCTCATCCTGAAGCAAAGTTCTTAACCCGAGGTACTATTTCTGGGTTAGCAGAATCCATAGCTGTCAACTTTTCCCTTTTTTTGTGAGGAATCCTATTTGGAATAAGGGAATTTCCCTTTAAAAAAGGGAAACGTTGACAGCTATGGCAGAGTCTGTAACCTGAAGTGTCTGTAACCTGAAGCGTCTGTAACCCGAGGTACCACTGTATTTACATACACACACTTGGAGTATCATTCCACACTTAGGTACTATTTGCTGTGATGTTTGGGCTGGAGAAAGATTTTGAATCTCCCGAACGACCAACCAGGAGGGAGAGAATTTGCCAGTCGGGCATGTGTCTCTACCGGACTCCTACTCGTGTGTAGGACCTCCTTACACTCACGGTGGCTGACCAGATGCCCCAAAGGGATGCCCACAGGCAGAATCTGAACACGAAAGCAGCTCTCTACCACTGTGGCTCCCAGCAACTGGCATTCGGAAGCGTTGCTGCTTCCAACTATGGAGGCAGAGCAAGGCATCATCTAGTCTATTAGCCATTGATAGCCCTCTCCACAAATTTGTCCAATACTCTTTTAAAGCCATCCAAGTTGGGAGGGAGTTCCACAGTTTAACTGTGCACTAAGGTGTGATGCAAATATAATAATACAGTGGTACCTCGGGTTACAGATGCTTCAGGTTACAGACTCCGCTAACCCAGAAATAGTGCTTCAGGTTAAGAACTTTGCTTCAGGATGAGAACAGAAATTGTGCTCCAGCGGCGCGGCAGGAGGCCCCATTAGCTAAAGTGGTGCTTCAGGTTAAGAACAGTTTCAGGTTCAGAACCTCCAGCTCCAGCACGAATTAAGTTCTTAACCAAGGTACCACTGTAAATGAATAAGGGGGGGAGAGGGACTTCCTATACTCTCCAGCAAGCCCTCTCTAACATTTCCCATCCATTCCCAAGGCAAAAGGTTTGGAGAGGGAATTCCTGCCCCGCTTCCCCATCCATCCGCTGTTGCTCACTTACCAGCTCCAACTATTCCAGCTGTCTGTTCCTGAAAGAGAGAGCAGAGATGCCTGCTTAACCACCAGCAAGTCCTTTCTGCAGAATGGTTCTGTTTCCTCAGCGCTGAACGCTTTACTATCCCCGTAAAATATTGGCACACTCCCTGCTTGACCTGTGGTATAAAAGAAGTGTAAAACAAACAAAAAAAAGGTGTGGGTGGGGGGAGTGGAAGGGATTTGTGCAGTTAAAAAAATGCAGTAAAAGTCACTGAGTGTGTTTCAGCTGACAGAGAAATAACAGCTATTTATCTGGGTGGTTCTATGGTTCAAGGATTTGTTTTGCGGGCCTGAGCCAAGTCTGGTTGCCTGCCTGGACTGAAGTGCAGAGTGCAAAACCTGTGGCGCCACAAGGGGGAAGGGAAGGGGAGGAAACAGGTCCTCCTCAGAGCATAGGCACTTTCCCTGCAGTTGCGGTCTCTCTACACGTGTGGAGGAGAGAGTGCTCCTGTGCACGTGCAGAGTGTCATCACCGGTGCCTTTCGTCAACACCTAGGAAAGCCTCACCCAGGCCACCTACCAGGAACTACCGGGTGATGCCCTAGAGCCCGTTCGCACTGTCACGGAATGTGCACAGTATTACAAAGGAACAGTGCCCCTGAGCATGTACAGAGGGTCTTTTATTATGCACCATCAGTCAGTCTTCGGGGAAGGAGGACTGCAGGAAGCTGGGCATCTATGGAGTGGAAACTGCCTGTAAAGTTTTTGTTTTTTTTAAGCCTTTCTGGAAATGTCAGTGTGGTGAGCAGAAATTGCTGTTAGGCATTAGGAACGGAACTGAAAAACAAAACAGTTATGTACAATGTTATGCCATTATTGCAGCCTTGACCAATCTGGCATCCTCCACACTGCACAGATCTCTATAATGCAGCCTTTGCCAGACTGGTGCTGGCTAGACCTGATGGGAGTTGTAGTCCAAAATGACAACTCCCATCAGGTCCAGCCAGCACCAGGCTGGCAAAGGCTGTCTTACGGAGAGCTGTACAGTGTGTCAGAATATAGAGGACTGCAAACAGCTCTAGTCTCAGACAAGGGATCTCTTGCCCTCTAGCATGGCTCAGTGGCCTTACTGGAACCGTGAAGATATCTTTAGTTAATATAATAATACAGTGGTACCTCTGGATGCGAACGGGATCTGAGCCCCATTCACATCCTGAAGCGAACGCAACCTGCGTCTGCATGTCTGCGCATGCACGGGTCACGATTCACCGCTTCCGCGCATGCGTGTGACGTCATTTTGAGCGTCTGCGCATGTGCGAGCGGCGAAATCCGGAAGTAACGCATTCCGTTACTTCTGGGTCACTTCGGAGCATAACATGAAAACACTCAACCTGCAACATATTTAACCCAAGGTACAGTATGACTGTAATTTATTATTTATACCCCGCCCATCTGGCTGGGCTTCCCCAGCCACTCTGGGCGGCTTGCAACAAAATATTAAAATACAATGGTCTGTTAAACATTAGAAGCTTCCCTAAACAGGGCTGCCTTCAGATGTCTTCTAAAAGTCTGATAGTTGTTCTTATCTTTGACATCTTGTGGGAGGGTGTTCCACAGGGCGGGTGCCACTACCGAGAAGGCCCTCTGCCTGGTTCCCTGTAACTTAGCTTCTCGCAGTGAGGGAACCGCCAGAAGGCCCTTGGCGCTGGACCTCAGTGTATGGGCAGAATGATGGGGGTGGAGATGCTCCTTCAGGTATACTGGACCGAGGCCATTTAGGGCTTTAAAGGTCAGCACAAACACTTTGAATTGTGCTCGGAAACGTACTGGGAGCCAATGTAGATCTTTCAAGACCGGTGTTATGTGGTCTTGGTGGCCGCTCCCAGTCACCAGTCTAGCTGCCGCATTCTGGATTAGTTGTAGTTTCCGGGTCACCTTCAAAGGTAGCCCCACTACCTTTCGTAAATGCAGTCTTACAGCTTAAAGGTGATAAAAGACTTAAATGCCTCAGAAAATAATAAAAAGTACCTAAACAGTATGTCAGAGGGACTGAGTTAACCTGGATGGAGAGATGTATGACAAAATCCCTTGTCTTTGGCACAGCTAGAATAAAGGCTACTGCAGAAAGGTGATGGTCCCGTCCATTGGCCCACCCAACTTTTTACTCTGGGCCTGCCCACCACTGGAATGTGGCCCTCCACTCATTTCCCTGGAAAGGAATGTGGCCCTTTGGTTGAGAAAAGGTTCCCTTATGCCCGCCCTAGGACATCTCAGCCAACTGATCTTTTATTTGTTTTGTTTAATCAGAAAGGCATGGATTGCAAAAGCACCATGAATATTATCAGGCTTCAAAGACACAAAGATCAAAGCACGTAGCTCCTAAGATATGGAAATAACCCAGCATCCAATTACAAAAGTGTGGAGATTCTAGTACTCAATTAAATCAGTGTATTCTCATTATGAAACACATCATTTGCTTTTGTTTATGTAATAAATTTCTATCCCACACCTTCAACAGCTATAATCCCCAGGGTGGCAAGCAGTTTAAAAAATACAAAAAGATAAAATCTAAAAACATGTTTTTAATTAATTACAATAAAAATATCATCCTACGAACGGCAGAAAGCAAATCACAGCAGCTGTCGTAAATGCAGTCCTACAGCTTAAAGGTGATAAAAGACTTAAATGCCTCAGAAAATAATAAAAAGTACCTAAACGGTATGTGCAGAGGGATTGAGTGAACATCCATGGTAAGGGTACCACAAAGAGATAATTTGGGAAGGGTGAATCTGTCCATCTTAGTTTCTCCCAGTTTCTCAAATTCAGTTTTGCACATTTCGCAGCAATTTGCAAATTTCTTATCTTTAAATCCTCGCAGAAATTCGTTAGTACTTTAGTGCAAATCTTTCCCAATAGACATTTTTTGCGTATACATTTGACTCATATACACACATTTTTGCAAGCAATTTTCCCCGATAGAATGCATTTTTGTATACTATTTTTGCTAACGCATGCATTTTATATGGACGCTTCCCTCCAATATCCCTTTTTTTTGTTTACATTATTTAGTTGGAGGACTGCTCTGCAAAATTCAGTGAGAAGTGTGAATTTTTTAGTTTCCAAGTAAAATGCAAACAAAAACCAAATCTCTCCCCCCCATCTTTATCTACAACCCAAAAGACACTCCCTCTGGTAACATCTCAGAAGTTGGGGGTATTTTGCAGGCAGCCTCCTATACAGGTCTCACTGGCTGGGCAAGGTCTGTGCAAGAGAAGATGGTGTAGCGAATTAATCATTATTAACACAGTCCCTGAACTATCTTTAAGCCTCCCAGTGGACAGAGATAAAGGTGCTGGAAGCAATTGCTTAAAGCATCTTTCCCCAACCTGGAGCCCTGCAAATGCTTTGGACCCGAACTCCCAGAGCCAGTTAGGATGGCTGTGTGTCCATCAAACCTAGAACCACACAGCTGTGCTGGCTGGGACTGATGGCAGTTGTGGTCCAAAACATCTGGAGGTCACAGGTTGGGGGAGCTTAAGTGACACCAATCAATTCACCTGTCGGGCTCAATTCTTGGACTTAACAGCAGGGCTTTCAGGACAGAGAGGAAATCTCAGGTACTGGTGCCTGCAATAAAGTTAGTAAGTCTTACACAGGACTTTCAGCCCAAAGGAAATAAGTCTGCAGTGCTGAGAGAAGTTAATTACCTTTCGCTTGTTCTTCTGAACCTGGAAAAAGAGGACACTTTGCTGGTGCGAGTGATTCTAGCGGTGTAGTTGCAACTCCTCATTGATGAGACGCTGCTCCACAACAGCCCCCTCCAAAAGATGCCTTTTTATCCTCCTTTGGAGACTGGGGAGAGGGCTTACCCTCCTCAGTGCTCATTGGCTGGTGGACAAGTAAGAGTTCTTGGCCTGCTCCTCCCTCCAGTATCTGACAGGTGGTGCTAATCTATTGCATACCCCCATTTTCCTCTGGAGGGGAGGAGGACCTCAGAGGTAGGTGTTGTAATCTCAGTACCAACAGCCAGCATCTTTGGGTAGTTGTTAGGGCTCTCACATCCTCCTGATAGGTTCACCAGCACCAAGGCCTCGTCTTGCCCCCTTGCACCAGGTGACTGGGTTTCTAAGCCATCATTTGAAAGGCGCAAAGTGTCCCAGAGAAACACAGTGTCAGGCATTGTGGGAAATTGAAATGGTGGACTGGAGGCTAAGTCGCCACTGCTGCAGTGATGTGTATGGCCCAGGAAGTCCACTGACATAGGCAAGAGCCTGCCAAGGGGTATCTTGTCCAAGGCCCCCTCAAACCCAGAGCCAGCCCTGTATATACTAGATATCATTGATTTGTTTTGCAACAAAAGGCTCCCAGAGTGGCTAACAGATCACTAAAAAGGGAGGAGAGGAGCATTTTTAAAAGACCCAACAGAAAATAAAACTGGATTGGGATGAAGGAGGAAATGAACAAACCCAAGAACAACTTCATAATATTCATTTCATTTATTAAATTTGTATACTGGCCTTTATCTGAAAGTCACTGGGCAGTTCACAACATGACGCATCTTATTAATTTGGTCACCCAGAAACGGTATGCAGTTTCTTGGTACACTGTGGGATCCATTTTGTCTGGCTAGATCCATTTTTACTTGGGAATGGATATAAGGTGAGAGAAATCCAAACAACGGGGAAACTGGAGCACACCAGGAGAGAGGAAGCAGCAGAATTTGCCAGGCAAAAGTGGGTGGTTGATACCCAACAGAGAAGAAGACCCAGCCTGAAGGATTGCCACTCAAGATCACCTAACAGCCTCAGGAAACACCTGGACTGGGCCTGAAATTGGCCTACCAGCCCTGCCCTCCAAAAGTGGCCTAAGGATGGTTTGGCTTGAACCGTGCCCAACAATCCATCACCTGATACTATGTGGCATCAGGGACAGGACAAGTAAATGGCAGGAAGAATCAGGAACACACACACACCTTCAGTGCCCTCCTGATTCTTCTTTTCCAATGGCTGGTATAGGAGTTGACACTCTTGGACCTGACACTTTCCCCCATTGCTCAGTGACAACAAAGTTGGTGGGAGAACCAACCAAATTCAAAAGGTGCTGAAATAAAGCAGGAAAGAAAGACTAGAAGACCCTTTTGTGTTCCTTCCAACTCTACAATTCTATGGTTCTATTAAATGCTTTCTTATTCAAACCACAGCTGCAAAGGAAGATGGTTGTGCTGGCCCAAGGGGCTGCTGAGAGTTGTAGTGCAATGCATCTGAAGGGCACCAGGTTGTCGTTCTTAGCTTGGAACATTCTGTTCCAACTTCCCGTGTCTCTTCAGCTATCCCTCTGAACTTGCACAGGAGATTCTCATTTCCCGAAATTTAGGAATGCCCATTTGCTGTTGAGTCCTTGAATTAAGATACTGGGCTTTGTCTTTTCCTTGCCTCGATTGATCATTAGCCAGGTGAGCTTCAAGGACAGAAGCATCCTCATCACGTTTTTATGTTCAGGAGAGCTCAGAAGGGCTTACTCTCAAGGGCTGCACACGCATGCAAGTTTTTTTGAAGTGTGATGTCAGCATCCTCAAAATGTCATCCCCTCCCCTGCCTCAATTTAATCTGGATTTGCCATTCCCGTACTTCATTTTGTTTTGTTTTTTTTACTGAGTTTTCCACAGAAACAGCAAATCCGGATTAAATGAGGAAATAATATGAAACAGCATTTTAATGAGCACAACATCTTGTGGACAAGGTGTGAGATGCATAGCCAGAAGCAGCATGGAATGTGCAATCAGCTGTCTTGTGGAAACCCCCCAAAATACAAACAGATGTGAAGAAAAAAAGGTAAGATTGGGAAACAAATATGAGCAAGATTCTGTTTTGGACAAACGAATGTTTAAACCAGTGGTTCTCAAACATTTTCCGGCCACTGTCTGCTTGGTTCCATAAACTCATCCCCAGTGCCCTTACCCTATACCTCATAAAAACATTATTCAGAATAGTGATTTGCACAACCCACTAAGGAAGACAGTAGCACAATAAAATTCAAAACAGTAACAATTAGTTGCATATTTATCCAAAATCCAATTAAAGATATTTAGTTTAATTCAGCAAAACTGATTAAATTTGTCCAGCAATGTCAGCTCTTCAAAGTCTGATAGCCATTTGCACCTCCAGCCTGCCATCTCTTCCCTCTTAGTGCCCCCTAAGTAATCCCCCTCCCCCCGGGGGGCAGTACCGCCCACTTTGGAACCCGCTACAGTGGTACCTCAGTTTTCGTACGCAATCCGTTCCAGAAGACCGTTCGCCTTCCAAAACGTTCAAAAACTGAAGCATGCATTTTTGGAAGCATTTACAGCTTCCAAAGGTGTTTGAAAACTGAAGCGGTTACTTCTGGGTTTTCGGCATTCGAAAACCAAAAGGTTCAACTTCCAAGACGATCAAAAACTGAGGTACCACTGTGTTTTAAACAGCTAAGCACAATGTTTTTGAGCTGCTCAGAAGTGCTGACAGGGCATGGCCTTGCTCTTGTGAGTCTGACTACGGACGGGTGGAGAAATTCAATTTAAACAATTGAAGCAATACTCAAACTCAAACACAGCCATCCTTCAACATTTGCATTTCTCTGAAATTCTCAGTGCAATTCTCCAGCCCAGTAATGCGTACAGAAATGTATGTATTAAGGTTAAAGGGTGCACGAAAATCCATCTATTTGTGAAAATAACACACAAAAGTGTGTGATATTAGGGGGAAATTGTATGACACATATGTGAACATTAGTCAAAACTGCAAAGAAAATTTAATAAGAGAAATTTGTGCTAGGATGCTGGTGAATTTTCATGGAGATCTTTACTAAAAAAACCTGATGTGGAAATGGGAAGAATGGATGTAAGATTGAAGGAACAAAAAACTAAAGAAACTGAAATTGAGGGATTCACTTATTCCTGGTACTGGTGCCCTGCAAGATGTCCAAACTTGCCTCAGCACTCAGTCTCTGACAGTGGAAAGCAAAAGACTCCAGAAATAGAAACTGATTACATGTCATTATAGATTAATTTGTTGCAATGCACAAAGCGTGTGCGTGTGTGAATATAATTAAAAGACTTGCCCAAAAAAAATTCATGCGCTAAAAAAACCCCAAAACTAATAATCACAGGAAGCCAGCAATTAAAGGTCTCCTTGGAGGGAGGATGGGAACTCTTAAGGGCACAATTAAGAGAAGCGCTTCAAGTGGCAGCAACAGGCTGAAGGATCAGGGATCCTGCCTCTCTGCTTGAAAAGAAGCAAGTGAAGAAGCCTCTCTTACTTTTGTATAGGAGGCTGAATAGGGGGCTTCCCTCGCGCTTAATCCAGAAGCTGCAGGTAGTGCAGAACGCTGCTGCACCATTGCAGACAGCAGTGAGGTTTTGTCACCTGTGCTCAGATCTGCACTGATTGCAGATTTGCTACTGGGTCAGGTTCAAGGTGTTACTATTAGTATATAAAACCCTTAAGAACTTGGAACCAGTACACCTTCAAGATCGCCTTCCCTACATGTCGGCGGGGTGGGTGGTGGGGAGGGCAGAGGGCATGTTTGCAGGTGGGAGGCCAATCTGTGTGGGACCCCCTCAATATTGGGGGTGCTCTGCCCCTGCCCACAAATACTGAAGGGGCCAAAATCCCTTCTGTCCCCTATAGTTGGCGCCCCTACAGATTCCCCAAAGATCCTATTCAACAGTGCACAGCTGTGAAATTCCTCACTACAGAATGGAGGCAATGGAAATGGATAAAAAAGTCTGGACAAATTGCAGAGGGGACATCTTTTCCTGGCTGCTAGCCAGAGTAGTCCCATGAACAGTGGTACCTCTGGTTGCGAACGGGATCCGTTCCAGAGGCCCGTTCGCAACATGAAAAGAACGCAACTCGCAGCGGCGTGTCTGTGCACGCACGGGTTGCGATTCGCCGCTTCTGCGCATGCATGTGACGTCATTTTGCGCATCTGCGCATGCACAAGCAGCGAAACCCGGAAGTAACCCTTTCCGGTACTTCCGGGTCGCCGCAGGACGTAACCTGAAAGAACGTAACATGAAGCGGACGTAACATGAGGGATGACTGTAAGCCCTGCAAACAGAGTTGGTCTGCTCTGGAGAGCAGCTTCTGAAGTCAAACAAGAAGAGGGGACCATTCCCTGCACACCCAGTTTGTGGGCTTCCCAAAGGCATCTAGCTGGCCACAGCAAAAGCAGGATGCTTGACTGACAATATCCTGCAGCAACAAGTCGCAGGGTTTACTTGTTTGTTGTGTATCTGTCCTGAACACAGTACCAGTGGCTTTCACTGGATACAGCAGGGGCAGGGAACATCGGGTCCTCTAGATGTTGCTGAACGAAAACTCTTATCACCCCTGGCCATCGGCCATGCCTGCTGGGGCTGATGGGAGTTGTAGTTCAGCAACATCTGCAGGGCCAAAGGTCCCCCACTCCTGCGAGAGAGTAAGGGAAGAAGTGAATTCAGCAGAGAGACGTGACAGGGTATAGCATTCAGTGTGGCCTGCTGTGACACTGCAGTGCATCACAGTCAGGGGCGGGCTGTGCTGTTGACACAGCGGCTAGAGAGAGCTCTTTGGGGGTGCAGTGAGCAGGGGGCAGCCCTTGGACCTGGAATGCCAATCCTTTGGTCCTTCCGCTGTGTGATCAATCATTCATCTGGCTTTATTTCTGTGTTGGGTAATTAAGAGGCCTTGTTTATAGCTGCTGCTGTTGTTCTCTGTCGGCTGAAGGTAAAGAAGCCCGCAGATGTTTTTATTATGTTTTCCCAAGGCTCCAGGGATGGCGAGGAAATTTCCACTGGCTCATCTCAGCACAGACTGTCACACAGGTTGCATGAGACAGCCACGGGGAACCAGGGTCCTTCAGGTAAGGAGGAGGAGGAGGAGAGCTTAGCTGGTGCGCTTTCTCCTCAACCAGCTCATTCTTCAGAGCAGAAGGCCAGCATGGAGGTTAAGTGAGCTTGCAGATGATGCTAAGCTTTAAAGTCGAGTGCAATCCCCCAAAAGCACACCATATGCTTGTGGAGTGCACCTCATCCCTGGTTCAGCAAATTCAGTGCTCCCTCATTTGCTGGAAGTGCCAGCTCTGCCATTAGGCAAAGTGTGGCAAGCACCTCAGGCAGCAGATATAGAGGGTAGGCAGTGGCGGCAACCCCCCACCCAAGTGCCATTCCAGTGCCAGTGTCAACAGTCAACTTCTAGCCCAATCAGCTTCTTGCCCTTTGCCCTGGGCAGCAAAATGTGCGGGGCCAGCCCTGATTCCTGACTGAATCCCTTACAGCCAGGTCTTTTGCTCCAGCTGCCCCCAGAACCAAGGGGTGTCACAGATGTCAGTTGCTGGCAAACACAAGCCATCAAAGGCCATTAGCAATGGCCATCTTCACTTTGCCTAAGGGCTGTAGCTCAGAGGCAGAGCATCTGCTTTGCATGCAGAAGGTCTCAGGTTCAATCCCCGATAGAATTTCCAGGGAAGGCTAGGAGAGAATCCCTGTTTGAAAAACATGCTTGCCGCTCAGCTAACCCTAGGATGAAGAACTAACTCGGCCTTTTCCCTGGATACCTGGTTTAAGAAGGTCTTGTTTATCACAACAGCTGAAAAATTCATTGATTCTTTAAGAGTTTCCAGGGGTAAAGCCAAAGCTATGGATTATACAGGTACATGATGGTCGTTCATGACTTATGCCAAAATACAAATTCATGCCTGGAAGATACCTACAAAGTATGGTTTTTTTCCCTGGATTTAATTGTATTCCAGGACTTATTGTTGACTGATCCATTGCACTTCCATTGAATCATGATCTTATCGTTTAGTATTGTTTACAACTTTGTGCAATAACCATTTCTCCACTCTGCATCAAATGTTCATTTCTTAAATTGTGGACCATTGGATGTTGACAAGGCAAGCCACTGTTTCTTTCTGTATCTCTCAAACATTTGTATTGTTATCTGAAATAAAATAATTAAATGTTGGCAAGGGGCGTTACTCCTACTAATAATTCTGTTTAGGGACTGTAAATGTAACAACTCAAATTTCTTTTGTGTATATGTTTAGAAGAAGAAGAGAAGAGTTTGGATTTGATATCCCACCTTTCACTCCCTTTAAGGAGTCTCAAAGTGGCTAACATTCTCCTTTCCCTTCCTCCCCCACAACAAACACTCTGTGAGGTGAGTGGGGCTGAGAGACTTCAAAGAAGTGTGACTGGCCCAAGGTTACCCAGCAGCTGCATGTGGAGGAGTGGAGACGCAAACCCGGTTCCCCAGATTACGAGACTACCGCTCTTAACCACTACACCACACTGGCTCTCAATTTAAATTTTAACTTTTATTCGGTTGTATTGTCTTTCTTTCTTTCTTTCTTTCTTTCTTTCTTTCTTTCTTTCTTTCTTTCTTTCTTTCTCTTAAATTATTGAAATGTATGTCCTTTCTTAAATAAATTTCTTTGGGGAGGAAAGCACCCTGGAGGGCTGCTGCCAGTCATTGTAGACCAGTGTTTCCCAAAGTTGGGTGTCCAGCTGTTTTTGGACTACAACTCTCAGCATCCCTAACTTGCAGGACCAGTGGTCAGGGATGATGGGAATTGTAATCCAAAAACAGCTGGACACCCAAGTTTGGGGAACACTGGTAGACAAATTACATGGACCCCAATATTCTGACTCAGGATAAGCAGCTTCTTGTGTTGCTGTGAATATGGACAGAGGAGTGCAAGAGCTTCCTAAGGCTTTGATGCAGTGCTAGTCCTGGCAGCCTGGATGGCTGAATGGCTGAATGGAATCAACAGGCAAGCACAGGTCTGGAAAGGGAGGAGAGGGGGAGAGAGAGAGAGAGCGCTCCAGGATGAGAATCTACCACCTGGGGGAACCAATCTTTCCACTCCCTGACAGCCACCACCAACAGCCTGTAAACACAACCTTCATAAGGTGGCCTTGCCTCTTGCTCCAAGGAAGGTGGCCAACCTTGATGCCTCTTAACAGCACTTTGATGTCCAGACATCAGCAAGTGGACTTTTTCCCAGGAGTGACTATTTGGCTGGTGAAAAGCACCGCCCGTCAATACCTGCAAATCCAGCTGCTGTTATGAGCATAGCTGCAACCAGTCATTGAAAATTTGGCTACCTGAGCTCCAGGCTGGGAAGCACCTCCTTCAAAAAAACCTCTTGGGGCCCATAATGGCAGGATGGAAATGGATGGAGCTGATGTCTCATACAGAAGAAACAGGTCCAGAAGAACAGGGATGGTGAAAACTGGTACTCTCCATTTGTTGTTGGACTCCAACTCCCATCATCCTTGGCCATGCTGCCTGGGGATGATGGGAGTTGGAGTCCTACAAACATCTGGAGGGCCGCAAGTGGTCCCCATCCCTGCCAGCTGCTGTCTCGGACCTCCAAGAGCTACCTCTCTGTTACCCCCTCTTTGCAGACTCCTCCCGCTGAACTCCTTCCTGGCAGCCTTCCTGTTGTCTTAATTTTCCTCATTGCCTAGGAATTGGGGTGCATGTGTGCAAACCTATCTAATTCACACTCCCAAAAAGAATATGCAAATGAGAAAGCAGCTGTCAAAATCTCCAAATCTCGCTGTTCTCTAATCCCAAAATGTCTTTTAAAATGTGTCTATTCTAGGAAAGGGTGCCTAAAAATGAGACCTGTGAGTATAGGGCAGTATGCAAATTTATTTATGTATTTAATGCTGCTGCTGCTAATAATAATAATCATAATCATAATCATAAAGCATCTATTGGTAAGAAAAGTCCACAAAATGCATCACAATGGGGTAAACTGTCTGCAAAAATATATAGCTTAGGCAAAGTTGCACACAGAAATACACTGAAATATTGTGCTTGATGGACCAAAAGTCTGGTCTAAAGCATCCCTAGGGAAAGGGATGTGGCTCAATGGCAAAGTACTTGCTTTGCAGGCAGAAGGTCCCAAGTTCAATCCTCACATCTCCAAGCAGGGTTGGGAATGTCCCTTGCCTGAAACCCTAAAGAGCTTCTGCCAAGTCCGTGTAGACAATGCTGAGCTAGACAGACCGCTGGTCTGACTCAATATAAGGCAGCTTCCTGCATTCCTCATTAAATCAGCTCTCTGTTCAAAACCATGAGGACTGGAATCTTAGCCTGGTGGTAGAGCATCTCCAGGCAGGACTGTGAAAGACTCCTGCCTGAAACCCTGCAGAGAGCTTCTGCCAAGTTAGACAGTACTGAGCTAGATGCATCAACTGGTCCAACTAAGTAGAAGGCAGCCTCCAACATTCTTATGCTCATCCCCCTCTGTGTTGTCAACCTCTCCTGCCTCCTCGCCCCTGACTCTATCTGTTTGTGGCATCCCAGCTTAGCAGTGCCCAACCAAGCCCCCTTTGCAGCCCCCACTATTCCAAGAGCCTGATACCTGAGAGTCTGGTCCGTGGCGAAATTACGTCTTTCTGGGAGCCATTTATGGGAGCGACCACCAACAGGATAGAAGACAATCTATGCCTCCTCTCCAGCAGAGAATGTGGAATAAGAAACAGACAGAATGTCATCAACGCATCCGTTAATGGAGATGGCTTAATTAGGACGTGGCTCTGCTCAGCTGACAGTACAGCCGTCAGTGCCAGGCCTCTTGAGAATGGGTCTCCAGCTGCTCGTTCATTTTGTTTTATGCTCCCCTCAGGTGGGGCATTTGAGTTTTTATCTTCATTATTTGGAATGAGAGCTTACTGATCAACTCCAAAGCCTGCTGGGGACTTCAGGAACCTTTTGGGCATGCCATCATTTGCATCCCCAGGTGCCCATTGTTTGACTTTCTACCTCTGGGGCTTCCAAGCCAAACTGCCAAAGTCAACAGATGTCAGTGTTGTCTCTGGCGAGCTTTGGCAGGTCGTGCCAAACGCATCTCTCCAGCTCCGGCATCGCTCCTGAATGTGCTATCAGTACAAAAGAAAAGGCGGTGGAGGAACCTTTTAACCATACACTTTGCATTCTGAATATGGTACTTTCCCCCCCTTTTCCTTTCTTGAGTAAAGTTTTATAAAATGCGTTAGAAGGTTCCACTGAATACCCCAAGACAAATGTACAAATAAAACCATAACCAAAAGAAACAAGTATAAAACCATGCTTTTATTCAACCATGTCTGTTGAATATAACAGTCAATAAACATGAAAAGGGTTCTACTCTCATCCTTCTCATTATTGGAGGAAGCTGTTTGGGATGTGGGTGGCCTAGGGGGAATTTGATATTTGTTAACTAATGAATGGAAACAAGGTAACGTTGGAATGATCCTGTTTCACTTTACAGTGGTACCTCAGTTGTCAAACGTATTTCGTGCTGGAAGACCGTTTGACTTCTAAAACGTTCAACAACCGAGGCACAAAGGGTGGCCAGCAAAGTCAATGGAAAAAATAGAAAAACATGCAGCAGAAGCCGTTTGATTTCTGAGGCATGTTTGAAAAGGGAAGCAATTGCTTCCAGGTTTTCAGCATTCAGGTTCTGAATCGTTCAACTTCTGAGACACTTGAAAACCAAGGTACCACTGTACTGTCAATGACTTGCCTATGTTGGGTCAAACACTCCAATAATGCAGTCTGCCCCCCCCCTTTTTTGTACCACCCCTCCTTTGTGGACACAGAACCTCCCTTCCAGTTGCTAGCTAATTGCAGCTGCACTGCAGCCAGTAACATTGCTGTTAATTATCTGTATTGAATTCCATGATTGTTATCGCTTTCAATGTAGGAGAATCGGATCTAGTTAGAGCAGGGGTTGTCAACCTGGTGCCTACCACCCGCTAGTGGGCGTTTCAGGATTCCAGGTGGGCGGTAGGGTGTTCTGCGCCACACGTTACTGCAACACTGGTGGGCGGTAAGGAAATTTTACCATCAAGAAAATTGCATTGGTAGGTATAAAAAGGTTGACTACCCCTGAGTTAGAGGGTTTGGTTGGTAATTTTGCCAAGTTCAATCAAATGCCTCCTTCCAAACTTTGTTGAGCTATAGGGCAATCCCACCACATATGAAGCACTGATCCTATTTTCTGGATCCATGCAGACACAGGAAGTTTCAGGTGCTGCCCAGTTCCCCACATGGAAAATAAAGATGAGGAGAAAGATGGAAAGGGTTGCTCCTCAGAGTTGTGAAGAATTTCAAGGATTTAATGAGGACAGGCAATGAATCTACCGCCGATTCTGAATTTCCTCTGCCACAGACTCTCTCAGCTCACTATGCCCTGTTATCTCTTCAGCTTCTGACACCTCCTCCTCCCAGTCTTCTTCCTCTGACCATTCATCATTTTCCCACCATCACCACACCCCTGACTCTGAGCCTTCTTCCCTTGAGGATCCCCCAGCTGGTTCCTCCCACCATTCCTCTGTGGCCAACCATCCATGGCAGCCAGTGACTGCCACAGTGAAGATCCAAAATGTCCACCACAGAACATTCCCCAGAATCCTCGGTGGTGCATCGATGTTCCTTGGCAAACAAGCTGATGAAGATGAAGACTGAAAGACTCAAAGCCAAAGAGAAGAGTCCTCCTCTTCCACCTGTAGGCCCAACCTCTCTATTACAGCCTTGTGCAACATGTTCTGTTCTTCAGGCATGCTAGCCAAATTCTGAACTCCAATTTGAGTTCAATAGCTGACATATTTCCCTTTAAAGAGCTATGCTTTAAAAGGCAATAAAGAAGGAAAAACTTGTCCGGAAAATCCTTATCTTCTTGTAGCGTGATCTTTGGTGCAGTTATTGGCCAGTCCACAACGCGGAATGAGAAAGTTACACAACAGTTGTTTAGAGTGAAACGGCTCAGAAATGTCTAGTAGCAGTTATATAGGTTTTATATGGTCCCTATGAAAATTTACAGGTGCTATTTTGAAACCAATTGATTTTTACAGGACTACTAAAATATAGGTGGAATTTTCCAAAAGAATGCTGACAAGAGTCTGGCTGTTTACCCCTAGGTTAGTCTTCCCCAACCTGGTGCCCTCTAGATGGTTTGAACCACAACCTTTGCTGCAGATGTGAAGCATGGACCATGCATTTTGGACCGTGCTGTTTGGTTGTGGGAGTCTGTTGACCTAGGCAATCTGGAAAGGAATGTGAAAAAAATCCCTGGAATGCAAGGCAGTTTGGATTGCCACAACATTATTTTATAAGCAACACCGCAATATTTGCTTGTTTGCTCACATTCATATCCCACCTTTTCCTCCAAGTAGAGCAAAGTGGCACACGTGGTTCTCCTCCTCCTCATTTTAATCCCCCACAACAACCCTGTGAGGCAGGTTAGGCTGAGAGGCAGTGACTGGCCCCCCAAAATCACCCAGTGAGCTTTAGTGGCCAAGTGGGGATCTGAACCCCAGTCTCCCAAGTCCCAGTCCAACACTCTCACATTACACATTACATTGACTCTCTGATCTTTAATCATCAGTGTGATCCATCAATACTTTAGCCACGGATCTTATTAAATGTACTGGCTAATGTGGGAAGTCAGTTCCCATGTAGAACAGATGTCACAGGGAGGTTTCAAGGACAGAGCAAACGCTTTGCTTCAGAAGGCCCCATAGCTACCACCAGACTGTGCCACATCTTATTTAAGACACCACCCTTGTTAACACATTCCACTTTTCTTTTTCTTTTTACAAAGGCTCATCTCAAAAAGGATATTGGATACCAGGATGGTAAAAAAGAGCTCTGCAGTGCTGAATTAGGCCAGAGGTGGTCCAGCCATTCCAGCATCCTGTTCTCACTGCGGCCAGCCAGATGTCCCTTTGGGATGCCCACGAGCAGGACCTGAGTGCAATCCCACACCCCCAATCCTCATTTTGATATGTCATTTCCACTAACATGTTTTTGTGCAAACTTCCCATCCATGTGAAACATTCTTGTTACGCGTTATTTGCTTGGAGAACTGCATCACAAAAGGCAGAGAGGTGCAAATTCCCAAGGATAGCTGTGTTCCCATTTGCAGACTGTTTCAGAAAGTGTGGATCAGGAGAGTTCACAGCAAAATCTGAGCCAAACCAAATTTCTCTGCCTCCCCTCCCCTGGTTATCCTCAAGACAGCGAATGGTACAGATGGGCATCATGACAATTTTACGTATATTTAAGCTACAAGGTAATCAAGACCACCCACTCCCCATTTCCCTCTAATTTCATTGCTTTGTTGTCTCTTCCCACTACCACAGGTGCCTGTCCACTGAGGATGACATTTCAGGGACCTGACAACGTGGTCCGCAGTCCCCAAATCTCATGCCATAACAAACTTGTCAGGCTTTAAGGTATCACAAGGCACTTGGTTGTTTCCCTTGGGAATTATGTAATCTCAGGCTTACAGAAGGCAGGGCTTTGCTGGGGAGGATGCCTGCGCTCTGCAGTGCAGCTATTTTTGGAGCTGATAAGTACGGGGGCTCACAGTGAAAAATGCAGCAGGAAGAGAGATGTATTAGGAGTGTAGCAGCGGGGTATGAACAGCACTGACTGGAGGATGCTCAAAGCAGCAGAGGCAGGCTGGAACACTTTGGAACGGCTACAGAGTCCCTGGGATTCAAGAATTCTATTGGGTGGTTTTGCAAGCGATGCTGTGGAAACCCCCTCTCTCTGCCCCTCCACCCTAGCTCCTGTATCCTTGAAAGGTCCTTGAAGGCTTGCAAGTAGCCGCACAGCTGATTGATTTAATTTTTTTGGATTTTTTTTTTAAGGAGGCCACCCTTTCTCAGGGAAGCACACAGCAAAGGAAACTCCTGCAGGTTCCAGCAGAGTGTAAAGGGAACTTTCGGGCAGGAGTTGTCAGGGTGAATCTGGGAAAGGCGGCTCAGGAGCCAAAGCCGGCACATGCCAGGGGGCCGCCACAGTTCCCCATGGCAACTGGGAGCTCAGTTTGCTCAGCGCTACAGACCTCCAAACCTCAAGCACAAGACAACTCCCCACCTCTTGACCTACAGCTTGGATTGAACGCCCCAGTTAGGGACCAGTCCAAAGAATCAGTTTGTTTGCCCACAAATAAGCAAGAGGGGCCATGTGACTTGGCAGGCCACATTTTGTCAGGATGGCAAAGGCTCTATTCTAAGTCCTGGGTCAAATCCAGGACAAGAGTGTGCCTCGCTGAATTAGTGCTACCAGGAGCCACTCGGGACAAAGCCCAGGTTGACGGAGGTTGGAAAGGCACCACAAAATCCTGAGCCACATCCAACAGGGGACGACAACAACAACAACAATAATAAATTATTTGTACCCCGCCCATCTGACTGGGTTTCCCCAGCCACTCTGGGCGGCTTCCAACAAAGATGAAAAATACAATAAATGTCACACATTAAAAACTTCCCTGAAGAACAGGGCTGCCTTCAGATGTCTTCTAAGTGTCAGGTAGTTGCTTATCTCTTTGACATCTGATGGGATGGCGTTCCACAGGGCAGGAGCCACTACCAAGAAGCCCCTCTGCCTGGTTCCCTGTAGCTTTGCTTCTTGCAATGAGGGAACCACCAGAAGGCCCTCGGCGCTGGACCTCAGTGTACGGGCAGAACGATGGGGGTGGAAACGCTCCTTCAGGTATACTATGGGTCAACCATCCTGGCACCTTCTAGAGACTTTGGACTACACATTACACAACACACCTCAGGTGAAAAGCTCCTCCTCCCCCAGGCCCCCCAGAATCAGGGAATAAAATGTCCTGTATTGGCTGGGCAATATGCACTCCCTCATGCCCTCCAAGTCCCCCAATTTTCTAGGGACAGTTTCAGAATTACAAAAGCTTCTGATTTGATCCTGGAATGCCCCCCACCCGCAACTCAATTTGCACTGAGGTTTTTTTTTCTTTTCTCTGAAGCAAACTGTATGTGTGTGTCCATCAGAGAGAGAGGGGATGTTGCGTTTGGCTTTGGCTCCAGAAACACCCGCTGCTGGAATGCTGCACCCAAAATACTATCCCTCCCCACAAGGGAATTATTCAGCCATCATGATGGGGGGGGGGGAGGTTCTCTATGACAACTTACAACTTGAAGAAAGAGCATGTGGTTAGCATGTAAAAGGACCCAAGTCCAGTCCCTGTTATCTCTAGCTAAGGGAGGATGGAAATAGCTCTCTGAATCTGGATATTCTTCGGCATCTCGGCCTAACAGATTAGACCAGCTTGGAATACAACACGCCATACGTTCAGAAGATCAGCTCTGTCAGTAGGGCAACTGAGACAACATGGGGGTGAGGGATACCCCAAATTTGATGGACCCTGAGGGCTACCCTCACCTCCATGGTCCTGCTGTCAGCACACTCAACACCTCCAAGCACACCTGAACATTCATTTGTGCTGATAGCCTGTCTCTTCCTTTACGTAAAGACCAGCTTGCCAGCACAAGTTGCTGATGTGTCGTCCCCAACTACTTCCCTGAACAGGTAAGGGCCTCCGATAAGTTCACAACCTCCTTATACAAGTCAAGGAAAAGAGATTAAAGAGCAAGCAGTAAATCCAGCATGTGCAGCCCAGATTTTAACACAGATAAAAGCCTGAAGAATTTGGCAACAGCTGCGCTGTCCAAATAAGAAAAGGAGTTTTATCAGCACTCTTAACGCTTTGCGAAATCTCTCCTTGAAAACAATGGGGTTAGAATACCAGCTTTCCTGACTAAACAGATAGGTGACAAATGTCACGTTTGCGGTTCAGACCCGAAGCCAATTTGACTAGTGACTTTTTGACAGTAAACACTTGACACTGCTGAAGTGGTCGTGTACTATTCATGAGGACTAGCTTCTTTTACAATATTTACACACGCTCTGAAAACTTATAGCACATGGCTGGCTTCATATCCCAGCACTTCCACCTTCCCCTAATAGGAATGAATAGTGGATGGACCTTTTCCATAGGAAGATAGGGTGCTTGGGACTCCTACACGCTTGGAAGCTGCAAGGGTTGGGAGACAGGGGGGAACCTCTCAGATAATTCCTATATATTTTGTTTGCCGTGCATTTGGACCTCTCTTAAGCAGTTTTGCATGATGGTCCCTGAGATCAAAGAGAAGCTGTCCATCAATGTTTGGATACAATCGGACACCATTTTGAATCAAGATGGTGGACTAAACCTTTCAAAACTACGCAGATTTTAGCCAATGGTTTCAAAACTCCACTGGTTTTAACCAGATTTCAAAGTTGCCCTGGTGTTTGTTTTGTTTTGTTTAGTTCACAGCCTTCCCAAGGAGCAACACTAGTACCTTATATTCAGCCATTGTGTTTGGACATATTTTTGAGCACACTGACCGCTTATATTAACTGCATATGCTTGAAGTAGGATTGATGAATTATTCTTTATTGCTAACAGTAGCCGATGTTTCTTGTTTCTTTTAATTATGTTTGCAGTAAAAACAACAACCCCTTTTTAAGAGATAAGCAGAAACAAGGCGGTACACAATGTTACAAAAAACCAGTTTATTAACCCTTGCTACAGGTGAGTTAAGAGAACATTTCAACACAGCCAGCCTGCCCTTGACACAGCTGAGGAGCAGGGCCAGCCCAAGACATTTTGGCACCTGAGGCAAACCTCAAAATGGCATACCACCCGTCAGGGAAGAAGGGATGAGTGACGATTTACATCAGGAACAAGGTGGGGAGGGAAGATCTACATTGGGGACAAGGGTAGGAGGAGACTAGCAGTGCATACTATTAGCCAAGGGGCCACTGTAGAGGTGGCATTGGGGGGATGCCAAGGAGAAGGTAAATCCAGTCTCCAAGGAGGGCACCACAGGGGGCAAAGCATTCCTCTGAGGCCGGGTCTGCTGCCCCTGTGGATCCTGCCACATGGGTGGGCCAGCCCCGCTGATGAAGTTCACACAGAGGGAACAGACACCTCACTGCAGCAGGGGCTGAGGACAGACTAGGAGAAACACCCCACAAAATAAAGAGAGGCACACATGACAGGAGGGGAGCCTTCAAGATCAACGGAGAAAATATAAACATATATTTCCCACCAGTATGTTCCACTCCCTCCCAAGAGTGGCTCAACCAACCTTACCCAGCCCAGTGCAACAGAGAGGATGAGCACGTTTGGACAACCAGACTTCCACCATCTAACACATCTGAAAAACACGAAACGCTCCTCTCTGTAGTAATTCCAAAGAACAGGTCCCAGGAGCAGGCAGAGAAGGGAAGAGAGTCTTGTTATTCAGTTGCTTGGAAAACTGGGGATTTATTTGAAACATGGCAAGATGACTCGGGGCCGGCAGTGAGAGGGACTGTCCCTGCAAAATGCTCCACTGCTCAAGTTCTCCAGGACACCAGCGATGGAGGGCTAGCGGGCAGGCTGGCACTGATGCATGCAGAGCCCCACCAGGAGGGGGCAGCAGATTCGCCTCGAGCTCCACTGGAGCAAATGCACTATAGAGCAATCTCCGCAAGGCCTAGTTTGGGAAGAAGACGGGCAGACAGTGAAATCCAGTTCAGTTTAAATTGGATGCACAAACAGGTAAGACCTTAGGGCAGGGATGGAGAGCCTGGGGTCCTCCAGAGGTTGCTGGACCACAGCTCCCATCACCCTGGTCCACCCCTGGCTGCTGGGAGCTGGTGTCCAAGAGCATCTAGAGGGCTGCATTCCTGCCTTACGGTGTAGTGGGAAACAGGACATCCTGCACTGAACTCTGGTATACATTTGGACATGGAGTAATAGATGACTGAGGAGGACTCAAATGTCTCTAGGAAAAAAGGTAGAGTGGCGATTCGACATTCATTTTGCATAACGTAGTATTCGCTAAGGTGCTGATTCCAGAGCCTCCAGAAGAGAAGCAGCCGAGCACTTTCACCTCTCTTTTTTATTTCCCTCTTTAAAATGTCATCAGTCAGAATCATAGCTGGATCTGCAGGTTACAGGGCAAATGTAGCAGGATGGACACCCAAGCAAAACATGGCTCCCTCTTAAAAGAATTATTACAAGGTCTGCCCTGCTGCCACCGCCCCCCTGCTAGAGCAAACAGAGGTGTGTTGGGCTCCCTCCCCATGTGGGCTCTCAAGTCTGGTGAGGGCAACTTCCCACCCACAACCCTTAAGGAATGCAGTTCCCTCACAGCCCAGACTGCCGGGACACAGTGTCCACTGGACAAAGAGTTTAAAAGGCGAGGTAGGATCCTTCATACTCTTGCCAACCTGTTCTCTACCTTTGATCCAAGCACACCTAGGAGTCCAGTGAGACGGAAAAAGAGAGGGGGGAAACTAGGGTGAGGAGACCCTGAAAGAGTCCAATGCTAGTAATGAATAATCAGAGTATAAGAGATCTTCTGAGGTCCAGAATGTAATTTTACACCTGTGTAGAGGCATTACCATGGCTTGCTCAACAAACCATGAGCTGCCCCACAGGCGATCAAAGAAGCCATGATTTATTTCATTTTCCAGCTGCTCTTGCCTTTGTCGCTTGGGGAACATCTGAGCTGGGTGAGGGGCTAAACATACCATAGTTAAAGAAAGGGTGCTAGGCTCCCATGCAATGCCAAGCCATAGTTAAAACAAACCAAGGTTCATCATCATGGGTTGTCGGCAGTAAACAAACCACAGTCGTGCTACTGGGCAGGGTTCATATATAACGACGAGTCATAGATTACTGTTACATGAGAATCTGGCTTTCTATTGGAACAGCACAGGAAGGACCCACATGCAAGGGTCTCTGATACTGCCTTGAGGGTAGGTGAGCTGGCCAGAGCAATTCCCCCACCTGCAGTAAAGATGCACAATGAAACTGGTTCGCAAAGGCTGCCCAATCTAGCCGTCTCAGATTGGGGTAGCACAGAGGTAGGAAAAATATAGCTTTGAGGCCCACTTCCAGATTTCCTCTTCTCCTCCCGCCCCCATCTCCTGTATGCAGCTCCAGATGAAATCCAAAGGGGCACAGAGGCAGCTCCGAGGATTTGCTAATCAGGAGGGTGGCTCCAGAGAGATAATGGCAAACAGCCCTGCTGGGAAACTGGCTGATGTGTGAACTCCACTTCTCCGAAGCCAGTCCCAACAGGACTTACCGTTTCTCCTCTGGACGCAACCAGAGGGGAAACAGTGCCCTTTCTGTGCACCCTCCTGACACACAGACTGCTGATGGAGGACTGACCCAAGACCTTCGCCTTGATATGTCAAGTCCATTCATAGGATGAGTCACTCAACCAGGAGACACCAAGAGGAGAGGAGGGGGGAGGCCAGGTCTGCACACACCTGCCTGTCCAGGGTCTGCAATTTAAACTGGAACACACACAAACCCTCAAAAAATCTGGAGTGTTTGCAAATTGGTAAGTTAGATGCAGGAAGTGCTTAGCGTTAATTGATCTCACCAGGGTGGCGGGAGGGAGGGAGGAATGCAGAGGAAGAATGTTTTCCCAAGCCTGCTTCCCCTGTTCAGGCTGAGCCCAATGATGCAACAGCAGAGTCCCAGCCACACACCCCTTTTATTAGGTGCTCGCTGAGCCTGGAACAGCACTGCCTGTTCCCACCTGGGGTGGGAACTTCCTCACTGCAGAGGTACTGGAGCAAAACTCTGCGGTTGCCAAGGGTGGAAGAGAGGCACGGCCATTCGGATGAACCCTCGTGGGGTCTAGCTGTTGTCCAACTGCCCTTCTACTACATGGGCAGAGCTTACTGAAAATGAATGCACAGAAATTAAGCGTCCTGTGGGCTGGGTCACCCTTAGACAATATATGGCTTAATGTTTATGTTGCAGGGTCATTCCACGGAATGACAGTTTGAACCAAGGATGTCTGCATTCCCTCCCCCAACTTATACCTTGGCATTCCTATGGGAACAGGAGCACCACATATGGAATCAAGTTCCCGGTGAAATTGGAAGCAGGGTGGGTGAATTACTCTCCTTGTACAGCTGGAGGCAAGCAGGTCCACAGACGTGCCCAAGACCTCCCACGAGAACCCGTGTCAGCCCTTCCAAACCCTCAAGGAGAACCCAGCCAAAGCATATCCTCACCCAGGTTACTGGAGTCCTTGGTAGCCCAGCACAGACAGTAATGTTGCATGAGCTGTTCAAGCAGTTCCTTCTCATCCAGAAACTCAAGTGCTTCTATCCTGGAAGGAAGAAGATAGGAAGGGTCGGCCAATTGGTGCCAAAGAAGGGTAGAACTTTCTTTATGTATGCCATAACAGCAGCAAGAATACTTATTGCAAAGTACTGGAAGACACAAGATCTACCCACCCGGGAAGATTGGCAGATGAAGGTGATGGACTACATGGAACTGGCGGAAATGACTGGCAGAATCCAAGACCAGGGAGAAGAGTCGGTGGAAGAAGATTGGAAGAAATTTAAAGTTTATTTACAGAAACATTGTAAAATTAAGGAATGTTAGAAGGATGTTGGAATGAAGTAATGTGGTTTTAGCAGAAATGCTATAAAGGATTAAGAAAAAACAGACTGCTAAATGGTGAAAGGAGGGAAAGTAAAGTTACATTATATTAAGATAAAATATAGGACAAAAACTGGAAAAGATGGAAAGGACTTGCTGAAATAGCTAACTGAATTAGAATACAAAAAAGGGAGGTGTGAGGAGGTCAAGGAAACAAGCAAATGAAGGATAAGTTATGGGAAGGTTCATTGTATTTTTTCCCCCCTTATTGTGATGTGATGTTTTGTTTTTGCTTAATATGCTGTTTTCTATTTTCTTTTTTTGTAATCTTTTAAATCTTAATAAATATTATTTTTTTTTAAAAAAAAGGAAGAAGATAGGAAGGATAGCAGTAGACACAGAGAGAGCCCTACCTTCCAACCCAGCTTGGAGCAGAAGACAGCAGCAAGAGTGCTGGGTTGGGCCCTACAAGATCTGGATTCAAATCCTGAAGCTCATGGGGCAGCGGTGAGCCAGACACTTTCATATTCCACAAACCTTCTTTTCTGTTGTTGTTGAAGTTGTTGTTATTTACTACCTAAAACAGTTTTTCTTATGTTGTCAATTTTCCTTTCACCATTTTTACTGTAAGGCGCCTTGCTGAGGCTTGCCTTAAATGGTGAAACCAAAATATATTAAATAAATTTATAAGTAAAAAAAAAAAGAGTAGTCAAGTACTACAACTCCCATTGGTGCAAGAGCGAGGAGACGCTTACCTTCTGACATCATCTTTCGGCAAGCAATTGTAGGCTTTCATCATATCGATGGCATTTGCTGTTTCCCAGCCATTTTGCAGGAAACGTTCCTTCTGTGAAGGAAACCCAATGAGAAGTATAAGCAGAAGGGCAGGTTCTCCATCAGGCGAGATAGAAGGAGGAGAAGCAGGGAGGGTGCAAACTTCTGGGCCCCAGGTGCACCCACCCTTTTAATACAATTTGACAGGAACTTAGAATATATGATGCATCTTTGAAACTAAGGCTGCAGGTACATATTCCCTTCTCCCCAGCACAGGCACAGGCACTATCCAATAGACTTAAAAAGGACCATTGGGGTGGCAGGGGGAGGGAGTGATCTCAAACAGCACAGCGAAACCCAGAGGTAAGCATTATAGATTGTGCAAAAAAGGCCACCTCACCCACTCAGAACATCTGACCTGGGAATCCAGAGATCTGCAGTCATCCACACCAACCAGGCTGCACTTCCGGCTCTGCAAGTTCTCAACCATGATCTGCCCAAATCGATCAGACATGTTCACCTGGGGAGGGTACAAAAGACTGGCTGAAAGGGAGCTGGGAGAGAGGGTGCTCCTGCCTAAGAACCAGGACCCCCCCACCTCTTATTCAGGGAGCAGGTGTGCACAGGGACTCACTCACATGCCCTCCTTTATCGCAGGAAGCACTCCAGCCCAGAAGTCTCAAATCCTTAGATCCACCATGATTTGTGCAGCTGTTGCCCTCAAGTTCCCGTGGTGCCCCCTCCCTCCTGCCCTCCCCCAACTGCCACCTGCATCTGAAGAACTGCCTTATTCGGGGGGGGGGGGAGAAAAGGCAAGTGCTTTTTCTAAACAAGCAAGTTGTCTTTTCCATTCTTTTGTAAGCTTTGTAAGCTCAATGCCTATTGTTGTAATAACCTTAGGTAAACCACTTTGTGAGGTCCACCTGAAAAGCACTACATAAATTCTGCAAAGAAGAAAGAAAGAAAGAAAGAATCCCCCATTGCAAGCCCACTGCAGAAGTGTGGAGGTTGGTATCATGTGCAGAACAGGGAAAGGGCCCTGGGAATTTTGACCCATTTCAGTTCTGTTGCACTCAAACAGAAGTACTTTACATCCCACTTCGTGCAGATTTTTCGAAAAAGTGCACAAGAAGTCTGTATTACATCAGCAGGCATTTTGTATGCACTCTTTGTGTAAAATATGCGCCTTTGAATGCATCCATCTGAACATTTACATTTTGCATGTATCTTTCTCCATAAAATACGCATTTTGGTGCACCAAAACAGCCTCACTAAATCCAGGAAACTTAAAGTTGTGATCTAATCCACAAGCAAGATGGAGGGGACAGATGGAGATGTTTATGTTTTTCCTGCCCCAAACATGATGATGAATACAGGTGGGGCCCACAACTCCATTTCGACCATCCGTCCCCCAAACCTGCTGCCTTCCAGCTGTTTTGCACCACAACTCCCAATAGCTCCAAGCCAGTGCTGGTGAGAGTTGTAGTCTGAAACATCTGGCTGGCAAAAGCCGAAAGACTTTTTACTATCACCAGCTGTGCCTGACAGGTGCATAGAAGTTACAGAATGGTTTTAAAAAATAAAGTAAAGCACACATGGCAACAGGGTGAAAACCCTACACGAATGGCTGCTTCATGAGCATCTTAACCCTGGAATGCTCCCTTCTCTGAATGCTGATGGGATCTTATGGGAAAGCAGCCAGCTCCAGCGGATCAGTAGAAACCTTTCCTTCAACTGCCACCTCCGTCTGAATTCACAGCCAAAGCTGGCGTATCAAACCTCTCATCTGCATTTCCGCCCTCACTCAGCAACCAGCAGTTTCTCCTTTTCATGTGGACTTGGCTTGCAGCTCAGCTACTTCCCCCACCCCCCTGCTCCATTCAAGCTGCCAAAGCCACAGAAAGCAAAACATGATTAACGTTCCATAAAGTTACATAAGATTGCTCACAATGCCGGTTCCTTGAGTTCGGCCACCTCTGACTCAGCAGCTGTTTTGCTCAGCATACACATATATATACATATATATACATATACGCATATATATATTTTGAGCCCTGCACTTAAAAGGGACTCCACTGGTGTGTTGGGGGTGAGTGAGTGGGTGGGGACACAAAACAAACAAATAACTGGGCAGAAACAGAATTGGTCTCCAATTGTTCTGGGGCACCGGCCTTCAGAAACTCTGCAGTCTCCCAGAGGTAAATCCTTAACCCAAAACCTTTGCTGGAATGCCTGCGCTTCTGGGATGGTATCCAATATTAGTCCTACTTTGAGTAGTCCCACTGAATTAAATTACAGTATTTCATTTATAAAATGCAGCTCGTAACGCATCCCAAAGCGATTTACAGTGGAATCAAAACATACCAAAACAGCTTCATATATAAAAACTGTCAAAGCAATTGTATACATATAAAAAACAATAGGAAAAATACATTTTTTATACACACACAGTTTAACATGAACATGAGCATGTACATAAAACCAATTCAAATCCAATAATGATACCAACTGGGATAAAGATCTCCATTTAGAAGCTTGCAGGAAGAGGAATGCCTTTGGCAGGTGCCTAAAACGCAATCAAGAAAATGCCTGTCTTGCTCAAGTTCCAAGGGGCAGGAGCCACCAAGCTAAAGGCTAGATTCTGACACTGTGCTCAATGGACACCTCCAGGCAGGATGGCATGTGCAGAATGCAGGGATCCGTTGTGCAGGCAGGGGCTGAGACGGCCTTTGAGGTTCATTGTTTTCACTTTGAGTGTGACTAGCATTGGATACCACCCATGGCCAAAAGCACAGAGCATCCTCTCTCTCTCTCTCTCTCTCTCTCTCTCTCTCTCCCTCTCTCCCACCATTCCCACTTTCCGTGTTTCAAACACGGGATTCGTACTTGAGGCCCTTGCCATAGTGAGGAGCATAGGAAGACTACCGCTGCTTGGGCTTACCTGCTCGTAGTTGATAAACATGGCGGTCTGGAACAAGCCAGCCACCCACTTGAGGAGGTTCGCAGAATGGTCTTGGGTCATATAGATCAGGACGCATTCTGCCAACAGGAGAGTTGGCAAACTTTTAAGTTGGGGAGGGGGAAGAAAGAGGGAGGGGAAGAGAACAAGATCAGTATACATACATGGTAGATTATAAATACATATAATCATAGAACTGTAGAGTTGGATGGGATCCAATCCCTTGCAATGCAGGAATTGAAATGCTCCCTGTGTGTGTTTTCTCTTCTGGTATCCCAGAATTTCAAGAGCATCAGAGAAGGACAACACAGAAAGCTGCCTTTTACCAAGCCACACCACTGCTTGGTAAAGGTAAAGGGACCCCTGACCATTAGGTCCAGTCGTGGCCGACTCTGGGGTTGCGACGCTCATCTCACTTTATTGGCCAAGGGAGCCAGCGTACAGCTTCCGGGTCATGTGGCCAGCATGACTAAGCCGCTTCTGGCGAACCAGAGCAATGCACAGAAACGCCATTTACCTTCCTGCCGGAGCGGTACCAATTTATCTACTTGCACTTTGATGCGAGTTCAAATTGCTAGGCTGGCAGGAGCAGGGACCGAACAATGGGAGCTCACCCCATCACGGGGATTCGAACCGCCGACCTTCTGATCGGCAAGTCCTAGGCTCAATTCTAGCAGTAGTCCAGACAGAAGGGGTCTTTCCCAGCCCCACCTGGGGCTGATGGGGGTTGTAATCCAAAATTTCCAGAGGGCACCAGGTTGGAGGGGAAGGCTGATCTACACCAAGCTATCCAGGGCCCCACCAACAATGAGGTGAAAAGCTGTTCACTCTAAAAGTGTCCAGCAAGCTGTGTGATTCAGGGGAAGGGGGGAAAGAGTGAGGTGTTTTCAGCTTGGCTCCGCTGAAGAGCCTTAACTCAGCTGTTGGAGCATCTGCTTTGCAGACAGAAGGCCTCTGGTTCAATCCCCAATGACATCTTCAGGTAAACATTAGGAAAGACTCCCTGCCAGAAACCCTGGAGAGCCACTGACAAGTCAGTGCAGACAATACTGAGCCAGTGGTTAGAGCGTGGTGCTGATAACCTTCCCTGCAAGTTCCTTTCACATAGAAATAAAGCAAATCGGCAGAAAGGGGTCTCTGCCTTCTGATCAGCTGTTAAGAACATGGTGAAGCAGCAGTAGGAGGAAGGGGTCAGCTCAGCTCCCTCTCCTCTCTCCATTAGCCCAGCAAGCCAGAAACTGCCCACCCACCACTCCATCAGCATGACTCAAACCAATGAGTAATCTCTTTGCTTGCAGGGCTGCTTTCAGATACTGACAGCAACAGGCAAAACCAACTGCTAGGAGCCAAAGGAATTCTATATGGAGGCTGGGTGGGCAGGTGGGGGAGAAAAGAGAGGGAGGAAAGGTGTGGGAAAGCAGGAAGAATGTAAGGGCTCTGCTGGATCAGGCCAAATGGGGTCCAGATAATCCAGTGTTCTGTTCTCATAGTGGCCAACCAGATGCCCCAAAGTGAAACCCTCATGCAAGCCCTGAGCTCAAGAGCAACTCTCCCCTCCTGCGGTTTCCAGCAACTGGTATTCAGAAGCATTGCTGCCTCCTGCTGTGGAGGCAGAGCACAGGGTAGCCTTACCCTGCGTGAATTGTAGTTCCACGCTGCTTATGTTGCCTACAGACACATTTCTGCTCGGTCTGTAGTCTGCACACCACAATGATCTGGAAATCCTATCTCTGTTCACCTCCTGAGGTCCACAGAGAAGCCCAAACCATGAACGGGCATTTTTTAGTTGAGGGCACATCCCCCTAGCAGAAAGGAGAGGGGGTGGAGAAGAGAGGATTTGATTCACCTCTCAGCCTTATGGGAGGGCAACTTATAGCAGTATCTAAAACAGAAATCGGAGGCCGGAAAATAGCCTCTGCAGATATATGTATGCCTTGCTAGGATGGCAACTGAGCAAATAGTCATCGGACCCAAGAAACGCAGTCAGAGCAACCTGACCCCAGGGCAATGTAACTGCACACATTCCAGCAGACACAATCAGTAGCCTGGAAAACGTAAATCACCTGGATCAGGACAGCCAGGCTCCTTTAAGTCTCAAAACTGAAGCAGCAAGAACCACAAACATGTCCTGCTTGACTCTGCTGTAGTAAAACTCAATGCTGCATTGCAGCCTTTGGCAACCTGGTGCCCTCCAGATGTTTTGGACCACGACTCCCAGCAGCACACCTGTGCTGGCTGGGGCTGCTGAGAGCTGTAGTCCAGAACACTGGGGGACGGGGACAAGGTTGGCAAAGGCTGCTGCACTGAAACAATTTTCTTACACTCTGTGTATCTGAACAGTATCCACAGCTTTTAAAAACCAGGCTGAATCACCAGTGTTAGAAACTGAGATATGAAAGCTGGGCACTAAATGGCACCTTAAACCTAGGTTATGGGCCCAACAATGGAATGTCTAAGCACACTTTTTTCTTATAACAAGAATACAAAGCTGAAAATGAATGAACTGCAGGTAATATATTGTGTTCATTTTTCACATGGTCTAGTCCTTCCCCTGCCCCACCCCTCTAATATTCTTAAGAGGGTCTCTTATCCAGTCTTCAGAGAGTAGCTGGAAGTGGGGAGACAGAAAAAGGTCCTCCTTTCCTTCCACCCTGCAGCTTAAATCTGAAATCTTAGGCGCAGTACTGCACCCAGAGCTCAGAAACTGCTCGCGCTAATGAAATTCCCTGTCGCAAAATGCGCCTAGAACAATGGGAGTTTTGAACACTGTGAATTGCTACCTCCTAGGCAGCACATTACCCAGAACGTTCCCAGAAGCCTTTGCACTCCAGTCTTACTGTGGATCCATGTTGCATTTCTTCAGCTTTTCCTCTAGTTTGGGCAGCTCTCGGAGATCTGCACCAACAATGGCGTAGCGGCTGGAGTCCAGGCTATGAGCATCTGTGGAGGAAGCAGCAGTTAAAGCCCTTTCATTTATCACTACTTGCCCAAGGCGAGCAAAAAATGAAAATCACAGTTAGGTGACCAGCGAGAGGAACTTTGCAGATGTTGCTGATTTCTCTCCCTCCGAGGACACAAATGCCTGCATTAGGGAACTGTTTTAATTGTTGTGCTGTTTTAATGGGCTTGTTTTACTGCACACTTTAACTGTCAATGTTTAATGTTCTGACAGGATGGTTTTTAAATTTTGTGTATTTATACGTGTTGGAACGGCAAGTAAGTGGGACATAAAATAGATGATGATGATACAAGCCAGCTAAAATTTGTGGACTAGTATTTAAAAGGCTGACTTAAATGCTCTCATTTCTCCAAACCCAACACATCAAAGCTGTAGCACTTTTAAAGATTTGGGGGATTTTACGGCCGTGACATGGCACTAAATTGCTTTCACAAAAGCAAACATCATTGACTGCTGAAAAATATTATCTGGTGATGGGATTTAAAAATAGATTGGTAAAAAACACATCTCATCCAGAGGCATGAGTGGTATTTTCCGAGGATACCAAGGCTGGCAAATTTCGAGTTCTTAGGAACCTGGACGTACCTGGAATTCTCCCATTCTTGCCTTACACCAGCCTTCTCCAACATGGTGCCCTCCAAATGTGGCTAAACCACAACTCCTACCAGACCCAGCAAGCATGGTCAATGGCTAGGGATGATGGGAGTTGCAGTTCATCAACATTTGGAGATCCAGAGGCTCCCCAAACCTGTTCTACAACTGATAGACACTTCTCAACCATTTGTAATCTACCGGTTAAACATTTAAAAACACACACAAATACAATTATCTAAGTTTAAAAATAAATTTAAAATCCCCTGCTAGGCTATCCCCAGCTACCAAAAGCCCGCCAGCAGAAAACCGCCTTCCAAAGAGAATCAATGCTCTCCAGATGTTGCTGGACTCCAACTCCCATTAGTCCTAGCCAATATGGCCAAAAGCGAGGCATGATGGGATTTGAGTCAAATGATGGAGAGACATGGGTTCTTCATCCCTGCTCAAGGGGAAGCAGCTCCCCTCGAGGAATTTCCAGCAAAGCAAGGAGAAAATTCACATCTTCATTCTTTCCTTCAGTTAGATATGGAGATGTTGTCAAACTGCTGGAAAGCTTGCTTTCAGAGTAAAAAATAACAACCTTCCTGGTGAGAGGAAAGCCTGCTCCTCGAGAGTCCATACTCTAGACTGGTGCTGTGCTTGATGAAGCAAGAAGACTGCCCTGGAACCAGGAAGCAACCAAACCATTAGGGGCTCACAGAGCAGAAGATGCGGCAGGACAGGAAAGGTGTCGGAGGAGATTTCGTCAGCTGAAGCAGGAGACAGCAGAGCACCCGTGGCAAGAGAGGCAACACGGTTGAGGTGATTGGAGGTTTTTAAACAGAAGTTGGATTGCCATCTGTCAGGGATTTTTTCACTGTGATCTCTGCATTGCACGGGGTTGGACTAGAATACCCTTAGGGATCCCTTCCAAGTCTACTACTATAAGATTCTATATGATCTTTCCCCCAAACTACCAGCTCAATTCTGAAACTAGGTTTCTGAAACTCTATGATTGGCAAAACATTCCTGAAGAGGCTAGGGAAGACCATTTGGGGTTTCTGTAAGATGAAATGGCAAGTTCCTCATCAGGGCAGGAAAGGAGAGGGAGTCTGGCTATCAAGCCTGGGCATTTGGGGAGGGCGGGTGGAGAACATTTCCCAGTTTAAATTTCCCCGCAGAAAATTTCCTGCTTCATTACTAACAATGAAAGGATATTGATTGCAAATACTACGAAATATTGGAGAAATCTGGCAGTTTCCAAGTCTCCAGTGGTGGCAATAACCCCATCAAGGCAAAACTGGGGAGGGAGGAAGTATGAGCACAGAACAAAATCATAAGATGGTGATATGATAGCCATCTTCAAATAACTGAAGGGTTAGCACATGAAAGATGGAGCCAGCTAGTTTTCTGCTGCTCCAGAGGGTAGGACCCAAACCAACAGATTCAAATTACAAGAAAGGAGATTAAGACGAAACATTAGGAAGAACTTTGCAATGGGAAAAGCTGTTTGACAGTGGAACAGACTACCTGGGAATGTGGTGGACTCTCCTTCCTAGGAGGTTTTTAAGCAGAGGTTGGGTGGCCACCTGTCAGGGATTTTAAAGCTGTGATTCCTGCATTACAACGCCCTTCCAACTCTACAATTCTACGTTTCTATAAGAGCTTACCCCAAAACTACCAGTTCAGTTCTGAAACTAGGTTTGTTGTTAGAGGGATGCTCTTTCAGAGTTATGCCTCTCTAATGTCTGAAACCTCCCTCCGATCTCCCACCTGCCATGCATCACCACTGGCCAGTTTTTTTAGCCGTTAACTCTTGGACTCATTTGCCCGAGAAGCCAAAACAAGATAAAGCAGCCTTAGCAACTAACGGACAATGCTGTCAAGGGCAGCACAGATCTATTGGGTGACACCCAACGAAGCATGCGGAGGAAGGCTCCTGCCATCAACGGAGGCGGAGGAAGGTAACGGCTGTCATTCCTGAAAGGCTTTCCTTTCCTAGGCAGCAAAAGAACAAGCAAGCAGCAGAGAATTATAAGCTCAATGTCAACCCACTGTGCAGCAGCTGTGAAAAATAAAGCAAATTCCATGCTACGGATCATTAGGAAAGGAACTAAAATAAAACTGCCAGTGATTGTGACGCTCTTATACAAATCCATAGCATGGCTGCATTTGGAATATTGGGTACAGCACAGTTCTGGCCACCTCACCTCAAAAATAATCTTGCAGAGTTAGAAAAGTGCAACCAAAATGATCAAGGGGGTGGAGCAACTCTGCTGTGAAGAAAACTTGCAGTATTTGGGACTTTTCAGTTTAAAGAAAAGGCAAATAAGAGGCGACGTGGCGTAAGTTGAAAAAGTTATGTATGTCATGGAGAAAGTGAGTGGAGAAACGTTTCTCTACCTCTCTCATAACACTGGCACTGAATGTTGGAAGGCACAGGACGAATGCCAGAGACGTCACTTCTTCATGCAGCACATAGTTAAACTATGAAACTCACTGCCACAGGAGGCAGTGGTGGCCACAAACCTAGATGGCTTTAAAAGAGGATTAGACAAATTCATGGAGGAGAAGGCTGTCAGTGGCTATTTGCCATGATGGCTCTGCTCTGCTCCCACAGCCGGAAGCAGTAATGTTTCTGAATACCTGTTCCTGGTGGGGGGGAAAGGAAGGGTGGAAAGAGCACTCTTGTGCCCCAATCCTGCTTGCGGGTTTCCCACAGGCATCTTGTCAGGCCACTGTAGAAATAGGATGCTCCACTAGATGGGCCACTGGCATGATCCAGCAGAGCTCTTCTTGTGTTCTTAAACTGTTGGGAATGTGGGGGGAGAGGAGAGACAGGAAGTCCCAACAGAACCCTAACATTCCTAGTCAAGAGTGTGCCAGTACCTTTCAGCAAGGGGCAAAGAGCAGTTCTTTCACAGGCTGATTCAAGGAGCAGCAAATATGGGTTGGTAAGAAAGCTAGGCAAAGAAAAGGTTAAATGCAATACAAGAGCATTTTGTGAAACGTTGAGAAGGTGCCCACATAGCAGAATAGAGTGAGGAGGTGGTAGCGGCTTTAGAAATGCCACCTTGCTTTACCGATGGATTTTTAAGATGACTCACCCATTAGAAGAGACTCCCCTGAATGGCTTTCCATAATTGGTTTTGACAAGGGAGGTTTTGATCTGTGGGAGAGAAGGACAAAAAAAAGGAAAAGAAGGAAAAGGAGTCAGCGAGTCGTTGCTGGTGGAAGCTGCAAAGAGAGGGAGGCCGTGTGTGCCCCCTGCTGGAAAGAGATCACTAGGCCTGACTGCTGCAGAGCCCAGTCTCTTGTGTGTTCGCACCATCTGGGCAGTAAGATGCATTGTTCCATCTAGCTCAATACTGTCCACACTGACTGGCAGCAGCTCTCCAGGGTGTCAGAAAAGGTTCTCTCCCAGCCCTCCCTGAAGATAGCAGGAACTGAACTTGGGGCCTTCTGAATGCAAAGCAGATGCTTCAACCATTGAGTCACAACCCTTCCTCTATTGGAGGGAAGAAGGGAAGAAGGGTTCATTCTGGGGGTGCTGTCCAGGAAAGGGTAGGCAAGCAGGGATTGGCTCCTGGACACACTGAGACATTTCCCTTCTCATATTGCCAAAATACATGGCCTTGCTTTCTGCATTGCAGGGGATTGGACTGGACGATCCTTTGGTTCCCCTTTGAACTCGACAATTCTATGATTCTGTGTGAACTTGTGTGTGTCTGAAACTGACAAGGAGCAGTTCTCAGACTGCACAACATCCGGCAAGCCCTTTCCACAAGTTCATTTCAGATACATTGCTTAAAGCGAAGGCTTGGGTCTACTGCACCTTGTTACCCACAGTGCAGCCAATTTTCAAGACAATGCATGATCCCCTCTTTACTAAGGAAGACTAAGGGTCCTTTCACAAGCTATAGACCCCCACAGCAGACCTGCTAAGACCCTAACATTTGGGACAGGAGCCGTTTCACTTTCATTCATTCTAACATTTATACTCAACTTTACAGTCCTGTACCAGGCTTTTGAAGCACCTCACAACAATATTAGGATTAAAAATACACACTGCAGAGAGCTACAGTTGGCTGTTACTAATAAATATACTTACAGGGGGTTGGACTAGATGACCCTTTGGGACTCTTCCAACCCTACAATTCTATTATTCTATAAAGTCAGTAACTGAGTACACAGTGCAAGTCAGTAACATGTGAACATCTTAAGGCAGCCCTGTTCAGGGAAGTTTTTAATGTGTGACATTTTAGTGTATTTTTGGTCTCTGTGGAAGCCGCTCAGAGTGGCTGGGGAAACCCAGCCAGATGGGCGGGGTACAAATAATAAATTATTATTATTATATTATTATTATTGCCCAAACAACTGGCAAACTGTAACACGTTTGTTTGGGTCCCACACCCCAATAAAGCTTTTTGCAACTTGTGAAGCTACTGTTGCACTAGAGAAATAAGTGACCCAGAAAAAAAGAAACTTAAAAAGAATAATTAAGATTGCAATCCTATAAGTGGGGAGTAAGTTAAATCAATGAAGATTTTCTTCTGAGTAGACATGCCTGGATAGGATACAGTAGTGCTTCAAGAGTGAAACTGACAGGAATCCTTTTAAACAGAGAAAATCTGAATCTGACCTAAACCTTACAAGCTTTGTGCAAGTATTTATACAGAATGTTGCACCCTGAAGGAGCTGGAACTTTGCCCCAAGACCCTACAACCAAACACACCGGGTAATAGACCCACTGAAATGAATGAACCTAAGCTAAACATGTCCATTAACTTCAATGGGTCTACTCTGAGTAGGACTAATACTCGTCGAAAGAAAAGACTTGATATTTTTCAGAACTATATTTGCATGCCAAAGTAATCTCAGCCCTTCGCAGTTGCACAGTCACATACATTTTTTCATCCTTGGCCCCCCTTCCAATAGGCAAGACCATGTGACCATTTAACCTGGCCTTTGAAGCCCGAGAAATACATATTTTAGAACCTACCCTATTCTCTTGACTATATTTAACAGATTTTAATACTGTTATTTTAAATTATTGTAACCGACCCTGGGACTACATGGTGAAGGGTAGGTAAAAAACCTAAAATGATAACGATAGTTGTTATTTTTTGGAGGGGGGCACTGATGCGTCATGACTAGTAAGAGTTGGCCCCAACTTTTCTTCTCAAAACCGAAAAACATGTTCATCTCAGTCAAGAGCACACACCCAGGCACTTACTTGATGTTGTGGATTTTCCTTGTGACTATAGATGGGAAGTCAACTTCAAAATATTTTATTGGAAGCAGATTCTCATCCTGAAAGGGATTGGGGGAGGGAGAAGCCAGACATTCAGCTCATGAAGAGACACACAATTCAGCTCCTCAGTTACGTCCCAGGTCAATAGTTTTCAAGCTGTCTACTTTTTTAAGAAACCTTTTCCACACTGACGAAGCTTTGTGTATGTTCTACAGCAGCATTGCTCAACCCAATGTTCTGCAGGTGTTTTAGACTACAACTTCCACCAGCTCCAGCACCACAGCTATGTTTTGGACTACAGTTCTCATTTGCACCAACCAGAATGCCTACTTTGGACTACAAATCCCATCACCCCCAGCAAGCAGGGCCACATTTTGGACTGCAGCTCCCATCAGATGGGGATTACAGTCAAAAATAAAATAAAATTATAATAATAACCATAATAATTTATTTCTACCCCGCCCATCTGGCTGGGTTTTCCCAACCACTCTGCTGGAAAAGCATCAGGACACCATTTTATTGGGGAAAACTGAGCTAGACTTCTCCGCCATGCATGGTGCAAGCCCAGCCTGTCAGCCTTGAGATTCCCCCCACAGGAACCAAACTCACCTGGAGCTACAAATGCAGGGGAGAAGAGCAACAATGAGTGGACAGGCCATCTTTCAGCAATGCCCCCATTAATAACACCGAGGAACCAGACTGAAATACACTGCCCTGGGTTGTTTTACTAGATATAAAGTAAAGGCAAAGGGACCCCTGACCATTAGTCCAGTTGTGACCGACTCTGGGGTTGCGGCACTCATCTCACTTTACTGGCCGAGGGAGCCGGCGTACAGCTTCCGGGTCATGTGGCCAGCATGACAAAGCCGCTTCTGGCGAACCAGAGCAGCGCACGAAAACGCCGTTTACCTTCCTGCTGGAGCGGTACCTATTTATCTCCTTGCACTTTGACGTGCTTTCGAACTGCTAGGTTGGCAGGAGCAGGGACCGAGCAATGGGAACTCACCCCGTTGCGGGGATTCGAACCGCCGACCTTCTGATCGGCAAGTCCTAGGCTCTGTGGTTTAACCCACAGTGCCACCTGTGTCCCTTTACTAGATATAGATTACCGTAATAAAAGCCCAGAAACAAAAATACTTTTGTAAGTGACCACTAGAGGCTCCCCTGGAGCTATGAAATTCCTTCTTTGCACTTACGTTAACAATGAATAATTTCTCACCTTTAATTTCCAGAACAGAGTGTCCATGCCAGCCCCCAGGTTGATAATTTGGCAGTTGCATTCAGTCTTCTGCAAGAAAGCCTTAAGTAAGCGGCCAACTCCCTGGACACGGGCATAATACCCTAACAGAAAAACAGTACTGTAAGAAGCAGACAATGCTAACCAAGAGATGACAGAGTATATCCGTCAATTCTGAGTACATTTTGCAAAATGTTGTCATAACTGTAAGAGAAAATAACAACACCTGCCTTGGTCCAACAGACATGTTGGTCCAACATACAGTCTTAGCGGTGAGTCCTGGCAGATCTGCTCCCTGCCTTACAGGCCTTTTCCACCTAGCCTCGGAGGGCAGGACCCTGACTACGGCTACAAAGGTTGAGGCTGCTGAACAGACTCTTGGGCTGGTGTGTTGTTTAGGGTGTGCTGTTTGGGGGGGGGGTGTTGCTGTTGCTTTTCTGTATCTTTATTTTATATCTTGTTTTTATTTATGCAAAAATTGTTCAGTTTGGTTGTGTATTATTTATGACTACTTTTGTTATGTTTTAGTTATGTATTTTGTTTTCATGTTGTAAGCCATCTTGAGTATGGTTTGAATTGTGGAAAGGCAGTATACAAATAGAGTATGTATGTATGTGGCTCATGGAGCCCACTTTGGACTCATACTTGCATACAAACTTACCACGGCTGATTTCAGGCGCCTTCCTTTCTTTTGGCAGCCTCACAAAATAATCAAGGTAAGGATCCTTCCAGTAGCCAACGTTTACTGCATATCTGCCCAAGGGAAAGAGAAAGGCCCTCTTAACAAGGCTGGAATCCATGGTCAGTCAAAAACATAATTCTAGAGGATGTGGACTTTGATCTAATCTATGAAGGGGATTCTTATGTTCTTATTACTTTACTGAAAGCATTTTAATTCCTCTCTTAGGCATTAAAAAAAAACAAAAAACCCAGAGAAGCTTACAAATGTCACTGATGTGGTTACAGTGGATCAACTTCTAGCCAGGATCTGCCTCCACTGAAGCAATGCTTTTGAACACCAGTTGCTGAAAACCACAGTAGGGGTGAGCGCAATTGGGCCTGAGTCCTGCTTGTGGACTTCTTCCCAATGTGGCATCTGGTTGGTCACTGTCAGAACAGGATGCTGGACTAGATGAGCCCCCTTTGGCCTGATCCAGCAGGCTCGTCTTATGTTCTTATAGTTTAAGAATGCACAGTGTGAAGATGCAGGGCAATGGCTTATATACCAAGTCAACCCATTAGTCCTACTGAATCAGTAATACCTACACTGACTGGCAGCGACTCTGCAGGGTTGCAGACCAGTTTCTAACAGCCCTGTGTGGAGATGCCATCAGGCATGGATTTAGGGCTGGATTTAGGTTTGATGAGGCCCTAACTCCTGAAGGTAATGGGGCCCTTTATATGTCCAGCTGTCCTTTGTCAACAACAAATTGTCGCTGGTTTTTTTATGTTGAATATATGCTATATGGTAATTGATGGACCTAATTTACATCATAGGAGCCTACACAACACGAAACACTGTTGCTGTATGTAGGGGGTTTTTTTTATCTTATATTTTGGAAATGTACATCCAGGTTTTTTATCCTTTAAATTTTTTTGGGGGGGGGGCCAAGAGAGTGGGGCCCTAAGCTATAGCTTGATTGGCTTATACAGTGGTACCTCGTTTTACGAACTTACTCTGTTCCAGAAGTCCATTCTTAAACCGAAACCATCCTTAAACCAAGGCGTGCTTTCCCTAATGAGGCCTCCCGCCACCGGTGCCCTTCCGCCATTTGGATTCCATTCATAGACCGAGGTAAAGTTCTCAAACTGAGACACTACTTCCGGTTTTGCGGAGTCCGTAAACCAAATCGTTCGTAAACAGGACTGTTCTTAAACCGAGGTACCACTGTACATAAATCCAACACTGGGTGCCATCATTGGAGATTGAACTTGGGACCTTCTGCATGCAAAGCAGATGCTCTAACAGAGCAACGGTTCTCCATACCAAACAATCTCTTTTTTCACTCATACACATGCCTCTCATTTTGCTTAACGCCCCTAGGCAGATGAAGAGCCCCTACTACAGAGGTACCTCGGGTTAAGAACTTAATTCGTTCCAGAGGTCTGTTCTTAACCTGAAACTGTTCTTAACCTGAACCACCACTTTAGCTAATGGGGCCTCCTGCTGCTGCTGCGTGATTTCTGTTCTCATCCTGAAGCAAAGTTCTTAACCTGAAGCACTATTTCTGGGTTAGCAGAGTCTGTAACCTGAAGCGTATGTAACCTGAAGCGTATGTAACCCGAGGTACCACTGTAATGATAACAATACAATAAGCCCGGGGAGGTGGTCTTCTTCTGCAACGAGATACCGAAGAGCATCCCCAGGGGTGACGTCATGGGCCTGATCCGACCTGGTTCCCCCTTGGCCCCGCCCCGTTCCCATGAGGTGGGAGGGTCGTTGAAAGGAGTGGGCGTGGCTCCCGAGGCTCCTCCCTCGCTCGCTCACCGCTTGCAGAGGGAGGCGTCGTCGCAGGTGCCCCTCACGGCCTCGTCGCTGATTTCCACGTCCCGGGAAGTGCTCGCCATCGCCGGCCGGAGAGCAAGTTTGGATCAGGTCAAGAGAGAAGAAGAGCACGAGCTGCCCATGCCTGGGCCGCCGCCACCGCTGCACCCCTCAGAGCACCGCTTCCTCACCTGCCAGCAACGACCATGCACATTGGCCCACGCCTGCGCGGTTTCTATTGGTCGACGGAGACGGGTCAAGGTTCCTTGCCCAGCCCCTTATCGCCGCTGCACTTTCCATTGGGCAGAGGCTTTGTCAGTTCCACGCCGGACCCAATCAAGGTTGGGAAGTGCGGCCGGGAGGGTCGCAGGACTTGCCGGGAAATGTAGTCTTTCGCTAAGAGGGCGGAACCGTCGCGAGTGTTTTGACAGCTCCACGGTGGATTCAGCCAATGAGGACAGACGCTAGATACTGTGGGAATTGTAGTCTCTCGCGATACGGGGCTAGTCATCCTCCACATCTCGAATGGAAAAAGTCAGGTGTCAATGTAAAAGAGGTGCTATTTATTCAGCTGTTCAAATTGCCCAAGCACAGAAAGTCTGATAAGCTTTTGGCACCAACCTACTTATTCACCCAACCTTTGGGTTGAATCTGTGCCACTGCTCTTCACGAAAATAACCACTTGGTTCCCACCCACTTTACTTGTTACTGATAAGACTGTACGATTTCGTTGTGGTTTTCCCCCCATACCCCACTTCGGAATTATTTCGAAATGAAAAGCAGTAACCTAGTATAAGTAAATAAATAGCAGTTATTCCTCCTGTCCTCCTCGGTGTTGTTGTTTTTTATAATAGTTGTTTTAAATTCTTCTTAATGCTGTAACCCACCCAGGAATCTTAGGGTGAAGGGCGGGCAATAAATAAATTATTAATAGTAACATTTATATTTCACCTTCTATCCTCCATGGGGATCAAAGTGGCATACATGATTCCCCCCCTCCCACTTTATCGTCACAACAACCCTGTGAGGTAGGAAGTGTCTCATGCACTCCACTCGGAGAATAAGAAAAAAGGCACCTCCTCCGGAAACCGGAAATCTGCCCTCCTCCTCGTTCTCTTGCCTTTAGTATACGAACATTCCGATTCAAAACCGGAAACCTGGGGTCGTTCTGCCGTCCGCTCTCTATGGTCTCTATCACGTGGTCGACGCCGGAGGCGCAGCAGCCGCCCTGCGTCCCGCCGAGTGGAGCAGGGCGGGACCGCAGTTTGCCCGCGGAGCAGCCGGAAGTGGCGGAGCCTTCCGGTGTGTGTGTGGGCGGGGGGGAGGGGGTGTGAGGTGCGACGCCGGCCCGGCGACGACGGAGAAGTTGTGAGGGAAGGTCGGTCGGAAGGTGTCGCCGCCGCCGCTGCCGGTGCCCGGGCAAGGAGCGGGCAGGAGGAGGAGGAGAAGCAGCACGGACGGCGACGCCCCCCTCTCCCCTCCGCCGCAGCCCCGCTCCCCTCGGAGACGCCATCATGAAGAAGCAGTTCAATCGCATGAAGCAGCTGGCCAACCAGACGGTGGGCAGGTGAGAGCCCGGCGGGCTGGGAGCGAGGGCGCGGGAGACACCTCAGAAATGCCCCCCTCCGAATCCTGGGAACTGTAGTTTGTTAAGGGTGCTGGGAGTTGTAGCTCTTTGAGGGGAACGCTCCCATTCCCTGACTTCTTTTGGGGGTGGAAGGAGGGTTTCTCTAAATGAATGGTTATGTATGTAGCCAATACTGAGCTAGAGGAACAAATGGGATAAGGCAGCTTCCTCTGTTTCTCCCCCACCCACCCCCTGCAGTAGATTAATTTCTTGTGTGTGAAGGACGGCCACCCTATACCCACTCAGACCTTGGTTTATCTGGATTTTTAATATTGACACTCACTAACATAAGACTCCAGGTTTCTAGGTAGGAGTATTTTCTCAGCCTTATTAGGAAGGCTGGGAAATTGAACCCAGGACCTTTTCTATCCAAAGCAGATGCTGGGGAAAGGGCTGTAGTTCGGTGGAAGAGCAGTTGCTGTGAATGCAGAAGGGTCTAGGTTCAATTCTTCCCCCCCCCCCCGGACATCTCTCTGTAGGCTGGGAAAGACCCCTCTCTGAAATCCTGGAGAACCATTGCTGCCAGTCTGTGTTGACAGTGTTGTGATAGGTGTGCCAGCGGTCTGACTCCGTATGAGGCATCTTCCGGTGTTCTACCACTGGGTCTTCTTGCTTCACGCAACACTATTAAGTCCAGAGTCTTTCTCCTCATGCTTTGCCTTGCCAGCAAGTTGTGTTTCCTCCATGACAAACATCCACACCCAAAACAATGATAAATGGTTACAATTTCAAGCATGCGCTCTTAGAGGCATCTATTATTATTATTAGGTGCTATGGTGACGATTCTGCCGGCATACAAAGAGGGAAGGGCTCTGCCAAGGGTCATTTTATTTAGAATTGGACCCAAGGAAGCACAGGGAAAGAAAATGGAATGAAGTGTTTTTAGCATTACAGTGCAGTCCTTTTCATATCTACCTTTTTGCCAAAGGATTGGGGGGGGGGGCGAAGTCTCTTAAAAGTGCCCCACCAAGTTTTAAGAGGAAATGTCATTTGCTTTCTGTGTTCCTGCCGTTTTTTGTGAGAGTGGTTCTTATTTGCTTTGAACCCCAGATGAAGGCTGGTGGTGAGCTAGGCTAGGTGAGCAAGAAAAGTTTATAGACATAGACAGTTACTGACCTCATCCTGGTGATCTGCTTGGTTGCAAATGGCCTTTACCTCAAGTGTTCTAATTTTCAAATTTCTGATTGAGTAGATTTGGAAGACCTGATGTTTTGGCTGGCCTTGGATCACCTGGTCTTTACTCATCCTTGGTCTTGTCTTTCCTTCTGTAGTTATGCTAATGAAAACCTACCTAAGCATGATGATGCAAAAAGGAGGAGGAAATGTTACCTGCTTTCAACCTCAGGAGTAGGGTGGATGATTGTTATGAAGTATCACCAGAAGGATTTCCTTCTCTCACCAACAGAGGTTAGCTAAACAGAAAGTATTTTTGAGCCAGCTCATTCTTCCTCATGCACATGCCAGTCTGATCTTAATGATGAGCTGGAGAGCAGGGCCAATATTAAAGCTCAGTTGGATTCAAATGGGTTCAGGTCAACCCAGTCCTAGGTCATTTAGGGCTTTGAAGGTCAGTACCAATCACTTAAACTGAGCGCAGAAACAGATTGATAACCAGTGTGATTAATGTAGAATTGGCATGATACTGAGCAAATCTCGGTGCCCAATTCTGGGTCCAGTTGTAGCTTCCAAGGTCTATACAGTGGTACCTCAGGTTAAGAACTTAATTCGTTCTGGAGGTCCGTTCTTAACCTGAAACTGTTCTTAACCTGAAGCACCACTTTAGCTAATGGGCCCTCCCATTGCCGCTGCGCCGCCGGAGCACAATTTCTGTTCTCATCCTGAAGCAAAATTCTTAACCCGAGGTACTATTTCTGGGTTAGCGGAGTCTGTAACCTGAAGCATCTGTAACCTGAAGCGTATATAACCCGAGGTACCACTGTGGAAGAGCAGCCTCATGGAGAGAACATTGTTAGCAGCCCAGCTCTGATGTAGCCAGTGCATGAGTGACTGAGGTTAGGCCTATCTTCTCCAGCTATGGCTGCAGTTTGAGAACTAAACACAACTTGGCCATCATTGCTACCTGAGCAGTGAAACAGGCACTTAAACTGTGTTCTTGGTGGTTTCTGGAACATGCAAGACATCATATTCTGTATGCTTAAGTGCTGGCACATTGACTCATAGGCTCACTTCAGCTTGGTAAATAAACTCTGTTTGGTGCCCGGACAACTTGATCAGTTATTTTAGAAAACACATGCCCGGTTGAAATGGGGCAACCAGTGAATGCTTTGCTGAAGTGGGTTAATAATACTTCTGAAGTGATAATGTGTTGTAGTGAGGAACATTTCACTACTTTTGTTTTCCTGCAGCGCTGCAGAGATTGTTGGGTTCCCTTCTTCCACTACCTCCAGATCACTGAGACGATAATCTGTTAGATCACACAAAATACTAAATACGGCAGGGTTGGGTGTGGGGACACGTTTGCTCAGGATCTCCCACCTGCTTGGTTGCACTGTGGAGAACATGCTTAGCTTACATATCAGGAAGTTCCTAGTTCAAATCTGACATGTGCTGTGAACTTGCTAGGTAACCTTAGGCAAGTCTCCTTCAGCCCTTACTAACCTTACCTTACAGGGTTGTTGTAATGACTAGAACAAGCCATTTAAATACTTCTAGTGCTTATTATCAGTATTATGCTTTGACATTCATTTTTAATAACAATGTCAACTAGTGGATTTATTTCTAAGCAACTTATTAATAAAGCAATTTAGAGTGTTCAAAAACTGAATGCAGGTATGGGGAACTGGGGCCAAATGCAGTCCTCCAGACTTCTCTATCTGACTCTTGTGGCTCTGCTATGTCATGCCCCTTCCCGTGCCACATCCCTTTTCCAAAGGCCACTCCCCTCAGTAGCTGTCTGTGAGGTGTGGATGGGTGTCTATAAAAGCCTTTCACTTTTGTATAACTTGAAATATAGCCTACTGCGCAAAGGTAAGAGTCACACCTGTTGCTGCACCCACCCTGGCCCCTCTCATCATTGTTATATGGCCCCTGGAAGGTTGGCTATGAGGAAATGGGGTGCTGAGGCTGAAAAAGATTCCCCACTCCTGACTTAATGAATGCACTTATTTACTTATGCACTTATATACCACTTAATTATTTGCAATTCACCAAAAATGGGATATTATTATTATTAAAATAACCTTTATTATACATCAATTTATATCAATTTACTCATAACTTATAACATTTATCTTAGACAATACATACCATACACACTACATACATTACGATATATACACACCCTAAACACTAACTTCCAATTCATCTCACTGTGCTATTTTACATTTGGTTAGTCTATATATATTTCTTTTTTAGTTTTCTTTTTCCCATTTGTTATCAGGAAAATTTTCCTATATACTTTCTCTATATTTCAGAGTGTAATTCAAGATTCATTGTAAGTCAGCCAGGAGATTAACATTGTCACAGTAGTTTTTAAGATACTTTTAAAATATTATCCAATCTTTATTGACTTTCTGTACAGAATTTCCTCTTATTCTCCCTGTCATCTTTGGGACATAAAATTTTATTCTAGAACTGTGTACTTTCAGCCATCTTCATATAGGAATGTTATCAGTAGTATTATACCCGTATTACAGATAGAGGGGGCAAGGCAGGGAGAATTCGCCCAAGGCCCCCGCATGGTAGAGAAATAGAGGTAAAATATAAGCCACTTACTTCCTGGCACTCAGCTCAGTGTCTTTGCCATTGTAGGACTTTACTTTTTTAAAACTATTGTGGCTCTATAGCTGCACTACCTGTTAAGATAAAATCATTCTGTCGCTGTTTTGTGCAGTTCAGATTGACTTCAGGCTGTTCAGGTTTAGTAAAGAACACAAAACATTCCCCTTGGGAAGAAAATTGAGGAAAACCTTCTTGAAGCCTCTGAGATAATGTGACAATGTGAGTGGAGTGTACAGGTTTGAAGGTGACCTTTGACTGCAGCAATGTGAATTTAGGGTGGGGTTCAGGGACCTTTGCTACAGTCACTGAGGAGCTTTTGCTATCAGTTTAATTTTATTGCAGGCATTCTCTGAGTGTACTTAGCAGTAGCTGTCAATTTGCATTCTTCTGCCGGACAGAGCATTATAATGCATGCTATCCAGAAGAGCGGTGCTCACTTAAAAATGCTTGTGCACTCACTCATGCAAATTACCACTAAGCATATTCAGAGATAAAGGAGGAACTTTGAAATAGATTTTTCATTTATTTCCTGTTTCAGTTATAAAAGGAAGCACTTAATAGAAGTGGTGTTCTCTAGGCTCACCTGACTTACTGAAGCATGCAAAAGCATGTTTCCCCAAAAAGGGATAATCTTCAGGTCAGATCTCATATTTCATTGGTTCCTAGTCATGATTTGAAAATTCCCAATGAAGCTGAGCAGATTCCAGCTACCTTATTATTTGGACACATTACTCATAAAAATGACTCAAAGCAATTTGCAATACCTTGGCATGGGATCATCTAGGGAATCCCATATACTCTACTTTTTCTTGAAAGATGCTCATGATGATGATGATAAATTAAATAAAACAGAATATTCCTAGCACAATTTGTTTCACTTGAAAATAAATTATTAAAATTATGTGCACACTAATGTCTGGAAGGCTCAGGGTCCTTAAAAATCCTTCAAAAACAAACAACTGACCATTGCACAAAACTTGCCTGTTTCAAAAAGATACATCTAAAATAGCCACTGCTACTCTGCTTCTGGCATCAAATTCAAACCTGAATATTTTTTACAGAAATTATAACACTTCTGAAATACATTTTGACATTTCTTCTTGGTAATAAAGAGTTCTCCTTTATGGGGCAACAATTGAGGTGATATCTCTGCTATTGTTAGCTTACGTCCAAATGATATTGCTAAGAGGGCGTACTTGGTTGAGTCTAGAGAATTGTGATAGGAAGTTGACTCTTCCTCACTGGAACTTAGCATGCAATAGCATCATTAAAATATGGTGCCCTGTAAGGCAGTGGTGAGGATGCTGCTGCACCACGAAACATCTCAGATTCCAGAAATTTGGTGGGCAGTTTCAGCATGTGACACACACTTTCTTAGACTGCTGGGAGGGTTTCCAGAATTAAATAAAGGTGGTACTACTACTGTACTTTTTTTTGTGGAAGAAGATGAGGTAAAAGGGTGTTGCCTGACATGCTTCATAGCTGATAGAATAATATTTGGGTGCTGTCAGGCTCTGATTTTGTTTGTATTCAGGCTCTATGAATAGGAAGTGGGACTGTGCATCTCCTCTGCTGTTTGACTTTAAATATACAACTAGGCTACATTCTCAAGCTACTGCAAGGCAGAACAGTTGACGGTCAGCTATGTTAAAACTTTGGCTAGAGTCCCATGCTTGCTTGGTATGACACTTAAGCAGCTTTCTTCATAGCCTGTCCTGCAGTTTAGCAAACCTGCTTTGCTTCTTTCTTCCATTTAATACTTGGGGTTAATGGAGATGGAGGGCAGGGCTCTTGACTTAACCCTTATTTCTACATAAGTGACCACTGTGAACAAATACATAATTAAGAGCATTGGGTGGTGTTCAACTAAGGTTTACTCTGCATAGACCCAATGAAGTTAATGAATGGGACTAATTTATGTTCATTCATTTCAGTGGGTCTACTTTGAGTAAACTACTACTGATTATACTATTCCGAATTCACTGTTCAGAGACATGAGGATCTGCAAGAAAAGGGGTTTCCCTGAAATGGGAAGTCTCTGCAAACTGTGTGTGTTGGTTTGCACTGTAAGCCTTATATTTCCCTTTCTGTGCTTTATAAAGGCCGAATGAGATACAGGGGACTCGGGCTTCTTGACCAGGCTCCGCCTGGGGGCCACTCGCACTCGGAACAGCCCGCTTGCCCCAGACGAAGGCAGCCAGGTGGTAGCCAAGCAAGGCTGCAACACTGACCCTACTCTCATGCAAGCAGGAGTGGGGTCAGGGCTCTCTCAGCTTGCAAGGGCAGGCACGCTCTTCAGCCAAGCAGTTTAAAGAAGCGGAGGGAGGACCAAACTGTATCAGCAACTTACCCATGCAGCTTGTTTCTCCCTTTGCCAGAGCAGAGGGTGATGATGGTTTCACCAGCAGTATATGTCTGGTGAAATTGCCGCTGCTTGAGTCCCTCTGCCTCCAGCTCCCAATTCGTTTGTTTTCCCCTCTGGGCGTTGGGCGGTGCCGGTTTCACCAGACATATAGCTCTAAGTAAAGCTGTTATCACAGTCTCCCCCCGCCCCCATTCTGTTCTTGGGCAATATATTGATTTATCACCCAGTGCTACCTTGGAAGAAAGGTACCATGGACATTAGTTACTTAATTAAAAAATAATAAAGGGGGGGGATTTGGTGCCAATAGTTGGAGAGGTTGGAATCTTCATCAGGAAAAGAGTGAAGTTCTCTTGTCATCTCACTCTGTCAGCATTTGTCAGATTTCATAAGATGTTTCTTTCTTTCCAAAGTAACTAGAACTTCACCTGTATCCCACCTCCCAGTTAGAAATTTTCTTTGGTACAGTTGCTTGGCAAGTGCTCCACTATCTGTCCACGTCATACATCTGCTTTGTTAGACTAAAGCAGCCTTCTCAACCTTGGATCCCCAGATGTTGTTCAATTTCAACTCTCATCATCCTTGGCCCCTGGCCATGCTGGCTAGAAATGATCAGAGTTGTAGTCCAACAACAGGCTGGACTAAAACCTGCATGCCTTATATCAGTTTTTGTGATGGTGTAGGGCTCCTTGGGTGAGGTAGCATGGCTCCCCTTAAATAAGGTTTTCATTGTTACAAAGCATGCTCAGGTTCTAAAGTTGCTCTATGCCTCCCAGTTTGATTCATAGTGTATAAATTTAAAGTTGGTCCAATTCAGTCTTCCTGACCTTGGTCCCTCCAGATGTTTTAGACTGCAACTCCCATCAGCCCCAGCCAGCACTGCCATACTGGCTGGGGTTGATGAGAGTTGTAATTCAAAATGGCCGTGGTGGCTGAGGCTGATGGGAGTTGTAGTTCAGAGCATCTGGACACTCCCTCCCACTGGCCTACACTATGCTGTAAAAATGCTTCAGATTCCAAGGTTCCTGCATCAAATATGTAACTTCTTAGACTTTTCTTGTCCTTTGTTTGAGCGAGCTGGTTACAGTTTCCTTTACTCTTCCTGTTCTGTCAGTGATTTGGGAATGGAAAGAAAGCTTGGTTTGTTGGATCAGGCATTATTCCATGTTTCTTTTCTTGCTAGATTTACATCTTGCATTGTAGGCAGCAATCTGTCACTCAAGATGCAGTGTTCATTTCTGTGTACACTTTTCATTCCAGCCGATTAAACAGTCAGCAGAGAAGGCTTCTGCAGCTGGATGAATCATTTCATTGTATTATACTACATCATATATTAAGCCAGTAATGTATGATATTTTGCATTTCAATTTGAGTTGCTCCTGTACAAGTGCTGAATTAATGACAGTAATGTTAAAATCTTCTTCAGTGCAGGAGAAAACTGAAGTTAATACGTTCGTTAATCTTCCACAGGCTCTGCTTCAAGAATGTTTTGAATCTGCTCCCAATTGAAACTTTGCTGAGCTTGTGAGGTTTGGCAGTAGTACAGTCTGGAATCTGATCCTGCCTGTGTGCGCTTTTTTCAGCTCTATTTTTTTCTGATATAGAGCAGTCTAAATTTCTTCTGAAATTTCTCTGCATTTTAAGATACAGAAGTTTACTTGGTTTAAAACCCTGATGGGTTTGTCCTGGCAATGCCTTAGACTTAATTTATTGAGACTAGCAACCTGCACTCTTGAACTTTTGTTGTACCACTCATTAAACAATATCAAAAGCGAAACTACTTATTCTCTGTCTTACTGTCCTCCTACTTAGGGACAAGATTTTCCTCAGTCTCTGCAACAAAAGGCACTGAAGTTATCAACTTCTTAAAATGTAAAGCCCATGTTTCAGTAGTGGGACATATTTTCTGCTTCCACTTCCCCACCTACTTATGGGGATAAACATGTAGCCCTCTGTACAGAATTGTAAGCCTTGTTGTGGGAAGATATGTGCAGCCAATGTATGTGCTTTGTGATCGTGTGCTGTACAAATCCTGAGTGGTGGTGCTTTGTGTTCATATGATGTGAAAACTCTGCTGGATTTAGCCATCTCCACAATTAGCATTAACAAAGCTTCTGGGGATGATATCATTGTGGTTGTTAGGCAAGAGTGCTGTGTGTGATAATACACTCATAGGGTGGGTGTGTTCCATGCCATGCTGATTACTTTAATAAATTTACAACTAATAAGGTTGTTCAGTCTCTCTGACAGCTGCATTTCAGTGGCTTCTCGCTTTGTTCTAGAGGCCAGTCTGCCTGCCTCAACTTTGTGAATTGTAAACGTTCGGTTTGTGCTTTTACCAGCCAGCGATTTGATATCCCAAGTGCTGTAATCTCAGCCGGAGACCAAGGAGAGCCCTGTGTTAGTCCTGTGATGAGGCGCACAGAGGATTGAGATACCGAAGACAAAGTTTTCAAATGACACATCAGTTGTTATGGCAAATTGTTCAAAGCAAAACAAAATTTCAGGATTGTATTCTGTTCAGATTTGACATCTGACTCTAGGATTTTTGGGCAACTGTTAGATACCTGTAGTTTGATGCATTTGCTCAGAGCAAATGCATCAAATGAATGAATAAAGTTTTAAGAAATCCATTTTTTAAGTGCATTTCTCTTTAAAAATTCTTCTGAATGGAATCTCAACTTAATGCAAACATATAGGGTTGGATCTAAAGGAAATTTAACTTGGGTCCCCTTGAAAACAATAGGACAAGCTGATGATGACACAATAAATCTATGCAGTTGTATGATGGTTTGATACTGACTGCCAAGGACTGGCAAGTTGTCAAAGATGTCATCTGTTGATCCATTGGGGTGACTTCTATGTTTAGTCACCTCTTTTCCTAATTATAAGGGTGGCATTCAGTGATGCGCCTCAGCTAGCACATGGAGTTTCGCTTGTAGAATGCAACTTCCCCTCCCTTTCCCCCCTGTGCCCCACACCTTCCCCAAATTTTGTTCTGGTGTGGTGGGGGAAACCCCAGAACAGATTTAGGGGGAGAGGAAGTTTTGTTGCACAAGTAGAAATCCTTGCACCAGCAGAAGCACTTTGCTGGATGCCCACCCTAAGCAGTTGCATTTCCACAGTTCGTGTGTGTTAAAAACCTGGGAGAGCAGAGGGAACTAGTAAGTGCGAAGCAAACCATTTTTGTATCATTAGGAGTGACCAAAGCAACTGACTTTGCATTGAATCACTTCCCTTTCAGGCTTCCTAACAGCCTAACTTAGGTGTATTTCTGAGAGGAAGTGAAACAGCAGCAAGCAGCCCATTTGCTTTTGACAGTACAAGCATAAATATTTGAGGAGGGGTTTCGTCACTGCTCTTCTGGGTGTTGATTTTACAAACTCCTTGAGCCAACAAAAAAGTCTTCCATGCCCTAGATAAACATTCCTCGCATTGCCCATCTATAAGCACCCCAGGCCTCTTGATTGAACTTTCCCAGGTGGAAAAATGTTACTAAATATTCGGCACTATGACCAAATTTTATTAGTCAGCATCAAAATTCTTTGTGCACCAGGCTTGTTAACAGGGATGGTGAAGTGCCAAATTTATTCTTTCCAGAGAGTTTAGTGTGGTACGGCTATCACCTCTTCTCTTTTCAGCTGAATTTGGAGAAATCACTTGAAGCATCTGTTGCGTTGAACTATTTCAATTGCTTTTGTTTGCTTTGCTCATTGCAAACAACTGAAAGTCTGTAAATTTTGATAATAAACCTGATTTGCAATGGGTGTTGAATAATTTTGATTACAACTGTATAAGTGTTTTTACCGCTCTATGTTGTCTTCCGTAAAAAACTTTGTCCTCCACATTTTTAGTATATAACTGGTCTTAAGAAGCATTTCACAAATTCTGAAAGGTCTTTTATATCTTAGGCACAGAGAAGATGAGAAGATTGCTTGATAGCATACTGTGACTAATTTACTTGCCACTTGGCACACTGACTGTGTAAATGTATAAGTTGCAATTTGAGCAATACTGGTAAATGTCCCATTGGCACTTGCATGTTCCATTGGGCTGGATGCAGAAGGGATTGCTGGAGAAGTAAGGACAGTTGCCTGTGTGCTTGACATTGCTCAGCTTGGTTAATAAGAGTGGCCAGAGATGGACTAACTGAGTGGGTGGTGGGAGTGGTAAATGCCTAATTGTGGGAACGTTTGGTTTCAGCATGTTTAAAGAGGCTGTAGTGAGACATCCATTGAAAAAACTAAACCTTCCCTTAATAACACCAGACTGGATAATTTCTTTTGCATCTCTAACATTGAATTTCTGGGCAAGATCCTCAACCTGGGGCCAGTAGGCCACCAGAGATATTTCATGAATGAGACAAGTTATCTAGATCAGGAATGGAGAACCTGGGGCCCTCTGCCCTTTAGCTGTTGTTTGATTGCCATTATCCCTGGCTATTAGCCATGCTGACTGGGGGACTGATGAGAGTTGTAGCCCAGGGCTGCAGGTTCCACATCCTTCATCTACAGCAATTTCAGTCCAGCTCTAGGTCTGGTTTTATGAACAAAACAGCTTTGGCTGTGAACTGCAGTGGAATTTAGCAGGGAAGGAGCTGCATTCTTGCTGGTTCTGCTTGACCACTCAGTGTTTTTCACTACCGTCAGCTATAGAATCTCTGGCTTTCGGAGGTTGAAAGAGCAACAAAGGGCTATTTGTAGAAGAACTTTTAAGCAGCCCCCCATGCTGCACATTGAAGTCCCGATAATTGGGTCTTCAAAGCACAGCAACACTTGGCATCACAGTGATGTGACTACAGGCCAGAAAAACTTCCCCACCCCTGAAGTAGCAGGTGAGAATAGGGAGCCTATGGTAAAATTCTTATTAGATTCAAAATCACAAAGTAAAGCTGCTATAAAAAGGATTATCTTTTTGTGTGTTTTTTAAAAAAGTTGTAGGCATGAAAGCAAACTTGAATGTGTGGGTGGTCTAAGAACTTTGAAAGTATTAAACCACAAAAACTCTTATTGCCAAAAGGATTTGGGTGTGGTTCCCCTCCTTCCCATGTTAGTTGCTGCTACAACAGCTCCACCTTGCACCTATAATTTTAAAATAGAAATGACGTCTTCATGTGCCAAAAGCTTCACTGGTGCTAAGTATTTATTCAGGAAGGAGTTCAGTGGCACATACTTGGCATTTACATCATCAAGCATTATGTAGGCAGCTGGCTGGTTGGCTGTATGTGAATTTTGGTCTACACATATTTGATATGATATTTGTATTAGGCTTTTCCAACAACAAGTGTTGAGCTCAAAGTGGCTCACAACAATCATAGCATTAAAACAACAAGCATTGCAGTCACTGTAATATCAAACACATTAGCATAAAAATCAAACCACAACACATTCATCAAAACAATTAATACAGTTCAATGGAGTCATAGTTATTCAAAATATCAGAAAGAGCTGTTGAGCACCAGCCCTGTGCTGGATCACATCCCCTCTCTGGAAAGGGGCTTCTTTGCTCAGTGCTTGCTCAGATCTTGACTTCTTTTTTACCCTGTATGGGTCCACAGGTGTGCCTTCAGGTGGGAGCTCTTGGAATAGGTCTTGATGCAGCTGGCGCAGGTATGGGTGGGTGTGACAGTCTACGTGGGGTCAGGAGCAATGACCCCTCTTGGACTCAGCTTCCAGCTGCTCCAGCAGCCAGAAGGTCATCGGGAAATATTGAGGAAGGTTTCCAAATCCCAAAATGGGTTTGTTTGTCTAGTGTGACTGTGTTCTACCTCTGCTGTCAGAGGCATTATGCCTCTGAATACTAGTTGCTGACGATCACAAGTGAGGAGAGTGCTGTTGGACTCATGTCTTGTTTGCAGGTTTCCCTTTGGCCATGGTAGGAACAGAATGCTGGACTACATGGTTCCCCTTTGGCCTGATCCAGCAGTCAGGCTCTCAAGTCCTTTTGCAGGTGTTGCCTTGCCTGCAGTTCCATTTACTGCAGTTCCGAATCAACTAAGGCTGTCAAAGCACCTTCAGGTTGTGGGCAATGTGTTTTCTTCAGTTGCAGTCATGGCTTTCCCCCCCTTCCACCCCTCAAGACTGTGAAATTCTGTTCTCAAAATTGCATTGGGAATATATGTTCCACTGCACATGTTTCTCAGGATGGCAGGGCATTCCGTCGTACTCACAAGTGGCCTACAAACTGGGTGAGATCATAGGCTTGTAAGCAAGGAGGAGTTTCCTGTGACAAATCACCCGCCTTGCAATGGCCTGTGGTGCCGTCAAAATAAAACACAAGGTTTTTATGGTTGGGAGACTTTGTCCTGGATTTCAGTATGGCTTTTAGCAGAAAGTGGAGAACTTTTACAAAGCAAGGCCTTTCATATTAAGGTTGTGTCAACAGGAGAACCATAGGAAGCTGCCTTGTTAGACCATTGAGGCCTATCTAGCCCAGTAAGTGTCTGCACCAACTGGCAGCAGCGCTCCAGGGTTTTGGAGAGGGATCTTTCTCCAGCTGTACATGGAGATATCCAGGATTGAACCTGGCACTTTCAGCATGCAAAGCAGGTTTTCTGTCACAAAGACAAAACCTTCCAGAGTTGAAAATAGCTAGAAAATAGTTCAAAGTAACTTTTTGAAATTTTAATACTTTGCCTGTTAATAACTGCGAAGCCTCTTTCTCTGCTCATTGCCATAAACTAGGGCACAAGACAGCCCTTCCATGTGTGGGTCAGGAATTGCAGGCATGCAGATGTCCATAGGGCAGTGCCTGCCTATGGGGAAGGGACACAGTCAGTGCCAGGCAGGAGGTTCTTGCAATTTGCTCTCTATTTCAAAAGTAGCTTGCTATGCAGTACAGAGGCTGCTGGCCAAGTCAAAAGCCCCATTGAGAGCGTAGAATTGTGTGCTGTTCTGGATTGTGGGCCAATTGTTTGGAGTGCTCAAATGACCAGTCATAAGAGTCTGCTCCTGAAGGGGTTACCTAAATCCTCTCAAGTATTGGGAAAGAACACTCCCTGGTTTTAATAGATTTTAGATACGTATATAGTTTTAATTCTGCCAGTGTTTAATTGGTTTTTTTAATTATTGTTTTTTATATGCTTATAGCAGTTCTAATTTTTATCTGTAAGCCAAGCAGAGTCCTGTTGAGGAAAAAGGCAGGGTATTAATCATACTCATAATCATTCTCTCTGTATCTTTTGATGCTTCAGGTAAGTCTTCAAAGCAGGATTCAATAAGCTAAGGAGCACACATAAATAAATGAGACGGAAGAAGTATTTCCCTCCCACTATTTTACTCATCATGTGCACCTGAATCTTGCACTGCATGCTTTAATGTGCAATACAGTGGAACCTTGGTTCTCAAACTTAATCCGTTCTGGGAGTCCGTTCGACTCCCGAAACTGTTCAAAAACCAAGGCACAGCTTCCGATTAGCTGCAGGAGCTTCCTACACTCAAGCAGAAGCCATGTCAGACATTCGGCTTCCAAAAAACGTTCGAAAACTGGAACACTTACTTCTGGGTTTTCAGCATTTGGGAGCCAAAGCATCCGAGTACCAAGGCGTTCAAGAACCAAGGTACAACTGTATAAAAATCAGGGTGGTTCACGAGAGAGAAAGAGTTCCATAATCAGGACATAGCTGACTTCCCATGGTAAGCTTAAGGTTGTGAGAAATGGTCTCTTTAATTTTATGTTGTGCCACGCCCTCATTTTGTATTATGTCACATCCCCTCTATGTCTGGCACCCCCAGTGCCCTCTCAAAATTCAGAATGAGCCCACTAGTCTAAAAGGGCTGCCTACCTTTGCTCTACAGGGTGTACAAACTAGTGTCGTCCTTGTGTGTATCCTGTTGCTAAGCAGTATCAAAATAGGCAGGAGCTCTCAGTGACAGAATGCTGGGACCAGATGGGGAGCCTGAAGCAAAATGGTATTTTCTGGATGATATTCTCCAACCCTGGCAGGGTCCCTGTTTCAAACAAGAGGCCACTAAGGTTCCCTTTTCAGTGCTTATCTAAGCATAAATGGAAGTTTGATCATATGCAAGGCAAGTGCATAACCTGCTTGTGTTTTACCATTCTATAAACCAATAAAAGACTCAACTTTTTTAAAGTTGACAAAACACAGACATAGCAAAAATGAGAATTCCCTAGACATGAAAATATCTGGTAGGCTGAAAGGCAGGGGTATCAATGTTAAAATTAAAATAGGTAGCAAATACAGACAAATGACACATCACCTGTCAAATGCAAGAACCCCCTGGAGCTATAGGATGCAGCTAGTAGCCTCCTGACCACACTCCAGTTTTGTACCCAGGAGGAGCAGACAGGACCGCCTCTCTTAACTGTGTGCATGAGACTGGCTGGTTAAGGCTTTAGCTTGTTTGTGCTGGTACCACAGAAAGTACAATTAATCCGTTTTAGAGATCAGAATAAAAGAGAAATGGGAGGAGAATCTGGGTCGGTGGTAAAGGAAATGGACCTGAAGCTCATTACATCTTATAATTTTCCGGGGAGGGGGATTAGAGTTGTGGGTACCTTTTCCATCTTCACAGCTGTGCGGTCCCCAATCTATCGCTAAACACAGATGTCCAGCTGACAGCAAGGAAAGACCATTGACAGGGTGGGAAGGAGCATCCTGTGTCCATACTCACGCACATCCCAAGACACCTGAACAGCATTACAAGCCTCCTGTTCCCGGGTGTCTGAATCCATGAGCAAAAGCACCCCATTAAGGGGTGGCAATACATATGACACAACTTTGTCGCTGGTCCAACTTCCACCTCCACATAACAGCTTGCCTGCAGTGACTGGACAGAATCACTCTATTCTTTATCCAAACGATTTGGCTGGCATTGAAAGCATTTGGATAACTATGCAAGTGTCTGCCTAAACTGCCACTGATCTGAGAGTACATGAGCACTGAGATAATCTTGAGGATTAGTTAACAGAAGTTAACTATCCAGGAGCTTTACTGTACTTGCCGCATCTGAAATAGGAATAGAAATTTTAAGCAGTGTTAAAAACAGCACATTATTTGATTACTTCCTGGGAGCTAGTGTAGATGGCTAGAACATGGATATGGCTTTTGGGTCTCATTGGGATAGCTTTTGAGGGCTGGGGCTGGTGGGAGTTGCAGTCCACGCTGCTGAATACCAGTTGCTGGAAACTGCAGGGAGGGGGGAGAGTGCTCTTCTGCTCAAATCCCACTTGCAGGTTTCCCACAATTATCTGGTTGGCCACTGCGAGAACAGGACACTGGACAAGATGGGCTATTGGCCTGATCCAGCAGGCTCTTGTGTTCATGGAAATCTAAGTTGGGTCTGATGGGAGTTGTGGACCAAAATATCAGGAGGGTTTAGTGAAGGCTGAAATAGATCTTTCAGTTAAAAGTCGGGGGAAAGGGAATGGTGTTTCATACTTTCTTTAAAACTTGTAGGAGCCAGCCATATTTAATTTTGGAAAGGAGTTCCATAAGGTGGGAGCCACCACTGAGAACAATCTGCCTCCCTAGGGAAGCTTGGCTGCCTCCTTTGTTAATGTCTTTTAGGTACCAAGTGAGGGCAGTCCTGCTTCCTTTGACTTACCCTGAGGTTTGGCACAAGTTCTGTTCATTGTCATACTTCTGAGCGCTTTTTGAGTTGTTGGTCTTGACCTTATGCTGCACTTTTATTTTAGCCTTTTAGCCTGTTTATTGTTTTATAATTGTACTGTGAGCCCCCTTATGGATTCAACAAAAGGAAATACTTTTAAACAAATAAAAATGATATTTCTAAATGCACACCATGTGATATGGTCTTAATTCCTAAGCCATCTCTTGGGCCATCCCCAGTGGTAAGGGGACGGTTTAAAGCCCCGCCCTTCTTCTGTCTTGCTAATTCAGAGAGTTGCCCTGTGCTTCTCCTCATTGCTAGAAGCAAAATCCCAGCCTTAGCATCCCTAGACAGCTGGTGTCTCATTGGATGCACACAGACCAATATTTCTGAAACTCTGGCAGTAAGGAGTTTTGGTCATTTTAACCAACAAAGACAAAGGATCTGAAGCAGCTCTTTGTGGCAGATTTGTAATATTTGCCAGAGGGGGGAAACTGGCCCCTTAAAGTTATGGAGCCTCTTTGTCTTGGCTTCTGCACAAAGCTGCAAATTTTTCCATGTCTTCCTCCACCCTGGCCTGGCAGCCAGTCCAGCCATTGTGCTATAGAAAGTGAGCAGGATGTATTGGTAATGCAGTCTCTAGTCTCCTGGCTCACTGTAAAGCTAGTTTCCCAAGGCTAGGAAGCCTTTCTGAAGCAGAAAACAGAAATACCTCATCTGCCAAAGAACTGCCAAGCCATGGAAACTCAGGGCCCAGAGTGGCTTCATGGATGAGGCTCTACACTGCTGTAACTTCTCTGGAGTTTCGAGTTCCTTTCCTTTCATCACCTTTAATCCCTCACTCAAGGTTCAAGAGTTACGGTCTCAGTTTGCAATTTGAAAGTGGAACTTGAGGGTTGTATCCAAGAGTAGACCCACTAAATGAATGAACCTAAGTTATGTCCATTAAATTCATTGGCCTTTCTCTGAAGAGAACTAGCATTCAATAACAACTCTGAGTCACAGTTCATGGTCTCTTCTAATATGTGTCAGCATCAGATTTTCTTTGTATTTCCTTGTTGGCCATCTGGGACTATTTAATTCCCACCCTCGCTTCATCACTTGCCCTACTTCTTAGTTTAGCCTCTGTCAAAGTTGAGCCTGTAGAACAGGACTTGGAATGCCTTCTAACCAGGAAATTGCCCTTCCTGGTGTTCTGTTTTCCCCCATCATACTTCCAGCTCTGGCTAATGACCAATCGTCAACTTGAAAAAGCAAACCTAGCCATTTCTTACTGAATGAGAGTATAGGCAGAGCTAGGATAAATCTCAGACACCTGCTTACCCAGGGTGCCCAGAGGTTTGCCTAGGAATTTGAAATGTTTTTCTATCCCAGAGAACAGTCACATATGAAAGAGTGTAATATGGACTCTGGCACACAGTTTTGAAAATTAAAAAACAATTTCCTCATCCTGTTCATGCAGAGAATGGTTGGGAGTGTGTCTGCATTTACTTAATGAATTTGCCAGTTAGACAGTGCTTAGATGAGCTCCCCGTGGTCAGAGAATGGCCCTTTCATTCATTCCACAAACCATTTGTCTTCATGTTTAGACTGGATAATTTTTTCTTTCAGTTTTTGGAGATTAGAATATTTCGTATTGGATAAAGAAGTGCACCACCTAGTTGATAAAACATGTTTGTTTAGGCAAGATGTTGGCGTGCTTTAATTTTATGCTCTTAAGTTTAATTCTTTTAAATGAATTAATTACTTTTTAAAAACTGTGGATATTTTTATTACTCATTGTAAACCATTTGTAGATTTTTATTACAATCAAGTGATATTTAAATTTGGTTAAATAAATAAATTTTAAGTGTACAAGGAGTCTCAAAATGCAAACACAGCTGCACAGCTGTACTGACCCTGAATTAGCTCCTCATCTTCAGAGGACAAGGGTTGGGATGCAGAATAGAAGAGGGAATTGCCCTCAGGGCCAGCCCCAGATGTCTCTACCACCACAGAAAATTCATACATGGAATGGTCAATACTGTGGTATGCGAACCAATGTTCATACTATTAGCATAAGACAGATTCATACATTTCTGGGAACTTTCTTTGTTCCCTTAATTTTTTCCAAATACTTTTGCTGGTCTTCTGGGGACCTCCCAATTCAACAGCTGGTCTTTTTCTTAACTATGCAAATAGCTGAGTAGCCAAAAACTTCACTTCTGCTGGGGAAAGCCACTTCACATTTTTGAGGAAGGACTCTTCTGCATCCAGAAGATTATTCTTCTTCCTCTTTAGCCTTGGCATTAAGTGCTGTTGCATACCCTCTCCTTCCTTCGATGCTTTATTGTTCCAAAACGTGTCTGGAACAGCTTATCTGTTTCCCAAATGCATCCTATTATGTATTGTGGATGCTTGGACAACCCAGCCACTTGCATGGTGGATTGGAGGACAGAAGCAACATGTTTCTCTAGTTAGTCATACTTTGAAGGCAGACAATATTACCCCATCTTTCCACTGTAGTGAAACCTATATTCTCCCCCTAAACATGATTACTCAGGTAAGTTCTGTTTGGTTAAATCTTTTTCAAGGGAAGTGTGCTCAGGATTGTACCCTTAGATTGCCATTCTAAGCACGGTTCTGAATAAACCTTTCTGATCCATGGTTTTATCTGAAGTGCAGGCATTAGTCAGAATGCAAGTACCAGATGATAAGATGACAGCTCTTGAATTACTGTAAGGCTTCTGTACTTCTGGTCAGCTCCAGAGACTTGGCTACTTGCTTTACTTCCAGCAACTAGAGCCAATTATTGCAACTGACTGGAGTTTCAGGGAGCCTCCTATGGAAACTCTGGTGAGCCAAAGTTTGAGCGACATTATTTATGGAAAATCTTCCAACCCATTAGAGGTTAGTCCGTCCAGGGAAAGGGGAACCTTCTTTGAAACTTTTGTTTGTTTGCTTGTTTGCTTGTTTGCTTCTGTGGATTCTGAATAGGATTGCTATAACTCATTCTTGCATGTTATTGCTGGATTGAGAGGCTAAAATGGCTGGATTTGACTCCCATTGGTGTCCTGTTTAGTGAGGTTTAGCAAATCAAGGAAAATGCTGCTCATTAAGTATACTTTCTAAAATTTCATTTTTGTTCTGAAACGGATATTTCTTAAGTCGTTCACTGTTCCTGTATAGCCTGGCTTTGTACTGCTATGAAAGAAAATTGGGGTGGGGAGAAAAACATGATATACTGAAAGGCTAAGGAGAAGCCTCACCCTGATTCTTATCAGTCCCCTTCCATACAGTTGTGTCTTCTGCATTCTCAGGTTCTCAACACCTCACCAAAGAATTTGAAGTAGTCAAAGGCTGACAAGCGCAAAACAGAAGGAAGTGAACAATGATATTTTTCTTAAAAGATTCTCGTCCTCTTGGTTTTGATAAAGGGCTGGTCTACATAGGAACATAGGAAGTGGCCTTGTAGCAAGTTGGACAGTTGGTCCATCTAGCTCAGTATTGTCTAACTGAGTGGCAATGGCTCTCCAGGTTTTCAGACTAGGGTCTCCCTGAGCCCTACATGGAGAAGCTGGCAATTAAACCTTCTGCATGCACAGGTCTACCACTGAGCTGAGCTGCTTTTTTTAAGGTAAACATTTCACCAGGCTAGTGCAAGCTCCTGGCTGGGAGCCCGAGTACTACAACGCAGAAAGATGCCCTGGCTGCTGTTGAACGCAGTGAGACCATTCCAACTCGATGGCTCAGAAGGGGCTGGGATGCCTGTGTTTTTGAACTTTTCTCTCTCATTGGGAGGAGGAAGAAAATAAGCACAGTAACCATCCTTGGGTTCATGTGGGATCTGCCAATTCCCAGGAAAAGCATGAAGCCTGCGAATAAATAAATCTGGCTGGCAGCCAGCTCGCAAGCTTATGGAAAAATGCTTTTCAAAACATGCTGCCAAGGATTGCCTCAGACCAGGTAGAGTTTCACATCCGCATAATGGGGAGAGTGTTTTTCTAGAGCGCACAGCTCTGGGGTGCTTTCTGTAGTGCTGCTGCACAAGTTCTCCCTGCCACTGCATCTAATTCTTCTGAAATCATAGAATTGTAGAGTTGGAAGGTACCCCCAGGGTCATCTAGTCCACATCCCTGCCATGCAAGAATCCTGCCCATAGCCATCCCTGTGCGGGCTTTATTTATACTACATTTCCCTTGCCCTGCCTTCATGGAGCTTATTTGTGCAGCACATGGTCTCCTCCTTTTAAACTTCTGTAAGGAAGCTGCTCTGGCGAACTGGCACCAGAGCAGCACATGAAACACCGTTTACCTTCCCGCTAGAAAGCGGTACCTATTTATCTGCTTGCACTTAATTGTGCTTTCGAACAGCTCCTGCCCACCTAGCAGTTCGAAAGCACAATTAAGTGCAAGTAGATAAATAGGTACCGCTTTCTAGTGGGAAGGTAAACGGCATTTCATGTGCTGCTCTGGTGCTGGTTTGCTGGAGCAGCTTCGTCACGCTGGCCACATGACCCAGAAGTGTCTGCGGACAGCGCTGGCTCCTGGCCTCTAGAGTGAGATGAGCGCACAACCCTAGAGTCTGTCAAGACTGACCTGTACGGGCAGGGGTACCTTTACATTTACCTTTAGGGTAGATAATACATGGGTGATGGGGGGAGTGTCCACAGGTCACCCAGTGGACTTCATGGCTGTGTGGCCAAATAGGCGATAGAAGACTGGGCCTTTGCGGTGATCTGCTGTCAACTTGGGGCATGCATCATTTGTGCTGTGGTGAGAGAAGCATGTTGCAGTCATGACCCCATAGACAGCAGCACGATGTCATAAGTAGTTCTGAAATAGCCTTTCTTAGGCTTTTGATCTCCGGAGATGTTTTGTACTACAATTCCCATTAGCCCTGGCCAACCTAGTTGTGCTTGCTGGGGGCTGATGGAAGTCGTAGTGCAAGACACCTCTGGAGATCCCCAATTTGGAGAAGGCTAGCCTCAGAAGACAAGGTGGTACTCCTAGATACAAATGCATATTTGTTCTATCCTGCTTTACATACAGATCATTTCAGTGCTTCTTCCCCCTCCCCTCTCTTTCTCAACAGAGCGGAGAAAACTGAAGTCCTCAGTGAAGATCTGCGACAGGTATTTTAATTTATTAATTAATGGCTGCCTCTGGAAGAGGGGTCGGGGGAGGCACTGGCTGTTTCTCACGTGCTGGATGGGAAAGCTGCAACACAATTTCAGGCAAGAGAAGAAGGAATTTACCACAATAGCCAGAAGGGAATTTGAAAGGTTCTGGAGGGCAGGTAGTGTGGTCAGAAGTGAAATAAAAGAGTTAGTATTCATAGTCACTGTGCTTACTGCAGCATGGCAGGTTTTAGTGTGGTTGTGACAAGACCTTCCTCTATTCCACTTAAGTGGGGAAATGACCTCTGCAAATCATTCAGATTGAGTAAATAAACCTCTATTGTTTTACATAATTTGTCTAGCTACCAAGGTAAGGCAAGAAGGGAGGGAGCTGGCTGGTACACAAAAGTATGCTTATTGAGCCTAACAAGTTTCAAATCTAAATCCTTCTTTGAAACAACCACCTTGAGACTTTGCTCTCCAATTCTATTGCAGAAAGAATCAGTTGGACACCAAGGACTTGGGCTGGTTGTTATGCAGGGTGCTCCCAAGGAAGGACTTCTATGCACCTCTCATTTTCCTGCATTTGGTGCCTTCCCATTTTTCTCTTCCTGCCCAGGGCAGGAGCAGCAAGCTGTGCAGATTATTCCTGCCTGCTGGTCTGGCACCTGCGATTTCAATGGGTGTTTCCTTTATATTTTGAAGTTTGGCCTCCCAGCCATAAGGGAAATAAAAATGAAGTGTAAGCTAAGATTTTCAAAATGCTGAAATTGTCCTATGTATGTCTGAGATATGGGTGTGTGTGTGTGTGTGTGTGTGTGTGAGAGAGAGAGAGAGAGAGAGAGAGAGAGAGAGAAATCTCAGAAGAGTGCAAAGCACATAGCCTTACTTAGAGCTTCTTGGCTGCATGTGTTGCACATGTCTGAGTTTGAAGAGAGTTTCCTGATAAGCAAAGGCTCCGCCTTTCCCCTCGTCAGCCTCTGTTGAAATCTGGATCCTTTGCAGTTGCCGGAGGGAGCTTTGTCTCATTCCTTCGTTGGATCACACAGAGCAACAAGCAGCAATGTCCTCCCACTTGCGCAACAGAAAGCTGCTTGCACAATGGGGATTCCAATTTCTCTTCTCCCCCTCTGGATCCCCCAAAATCTGCTCTGGAGGGACCCCCAACCTTCTGGAGAAGATTTTGGGGTCATGAGGGGATTGCTGTGGGGGGGAGAGGAAGGAGAAACACTGTTGTGCAAGCAGCATACCCCCTATATTACATTTAACCTCACTCATAACCCGCTCAGTCCCATGGGTTTCAGCTGTGTTTCGAAGCACACATGTTTACCCGCTTTGCTCCAGGGGGAGATAAAGAGGATGCCCCTGTCTTCATGATCCCATGAGATATTTCTAATCTGCCACTCAACAGAGTAAATTATGACTGCTATGTTTCTCATTCTATCCGTATAAAAAATGTACTGTGGATTGCTACTGCAGTGTCCCCTGAGTTTAGTAGAATGAAAGGAATTACTGGAAAACGAGTGAAAGCAACTAAATACCATTTTTAAAAAAAATTCTCCTGAATTTGTAAAGTGCTTATCAGTATACATTTATGGCTTTTCATTTGGAAACAGGGAAGCAGGACGTGAAGTTCCTAATTAGACTGCACTGCCCACAGCCGCCTCCTTGCTCTGTGTTTTCCAGCCTAGCTATATTTCACCTTCCAGACTTGAGATTCAGCTGTTTGTTTTATAGACGTGGGATCAGAAGCTATTTTCCCTTATTTTATTTTTATATTCCAACTTTCCTTCATGTGACTAACCGGGGTTATGGTCTTTCTGAATCAGAGGGGTGGGGAAACGAGCAGATTTTGGCAGGGCTGCCGTGTAAATATCTGCAGCTAAGGATCTTTTTTTAAAAAAAAATAGTGCCTTGTTGCCTTGGTGATCCTATGAAATATTTGGAGTGGAGGGAGGTGGAGAGAAGCCAGAAATTGTTCCAGCCGACTGTTGGCAAACCATTTTTTTGCAAGCATGGGCTTCCCAGGCACAGGCGCTTGACCTGTCAACGCCCAAATGGAACTGCTTGCTCATTTGCTTGTTTGGCTTTGCTGCTGAACAGAATCCTTCCAAGTGTGTCTGATGCTGGGTGTACATTTTCAGTTGCATCTCCTCCTCCTGTGGAGTTCCATGTGTTTCGCCATATGGCAGAGAACGTTTCTGTCCTTTGGAATGCTCTCATTTTAAACACGTTAATTTCCAGAGATGGAGTAGGGCCCCTTCTGACAGAAGGAAGCTTTCCATCCGTTGCTCTGGACTCACTTAAATGCCAAAGGGCTTAACAATAAGTTGCAAAGCAGAAAGATGTGTAGACTTTAAGACCAGCTGTTTGCTGATAAGAACATCTGCGATGTTCCTAGTCTTGCTGGGAGAACTGAAAAGTTGGCATTTCAAAAGTGCAGTTTGTTCCTGAGCTGTGAGGCTGGAGCCCCTCTGCCTCACAGAATGGAGCCAAAAGGGGCCAAGGCTGTGTATAGTCCTACTCTGTGTGCATCCGTCTCCACAGTAGACAACTGACTTATCAAAGGAGCATCTTCCTCTGTGCCTTAAATGTCTGGTGGCTGTGTGGAAGAATGAGCTGTGTTAACCAAACAGAAGGTCAACAGCTTCTTGTGTGGTGACTTGGACTCTTCTCAGTTGCATGTTTTTTGTCCCAAGTGAAAGATGCTTTTTGGCCAGGGAAAGAAGAAAAAAGTGTATGGGCCAGAAGAAATACTTGGATGCTGTTCCAGCTTTCTGAGGGGAAGCTGCTCCGTGTTCCAGTCTGCTCACCAGCTGCGTCAGTCAACAGAGCTGGAGGCAGCAGATTGAACATCCTGTTTGTGGCAAGCCTTGCAGAGCAGGGATCCAGCTGAGCATCACAGAATTCATGATGAGGGGGATCCCCAGCCACTGTTCTGTCCTGCTTCACTGGGCCGTGGTTGAGGGCCATGGTTCCAAATGGTGTTGCATGAGAAGGGTCTGAATTGTGCCCTGGGCGCAAGGCATTCTATGCCCAGTGGAGCAGATGGGCCCTGCAAAGCCTTTTGTCTCAGTACTTTGGCAGTAGTGACATCCCAAGGGAGGAAGGAGGATATGTCAGCTACTACAACAGACAGGCAAGGGGGGTGGGATCTCTGAAGCATCACTGTTACCCATAAACAGCACTATCTTTTTCTCTGCCTTAGTGTGGAATGTGTGCAGAGTAGGGCATCAAAACTGATTAAAGGGACTGGAAGCCAAGCCTTGTGAGAAACATTTGAGGGAGGTGGGAATGTTTGGCCTGGAGAAGAGGAGTCTGAGGAGTTATATTAGAGCCATCTTTGAATATCTGAAGAGTTGTCACATTGAGGATGGAGGAGGCTTGTTTTCTACTGCCCCAGAGGGGAGGCCCTTAACCAATGGATTCAAATTACAAGGAAGGAGATTCCGACTAAACATTAGGAAGAACCTTCTGACAGTAACAGGTGTTTGACAGTGGAACAGACTACCTTGGAGGCTTTTAAAGCAGAGGTTGGATGGCCCTCTGTGTGGGAATCCCTTTAAGACAACTACAGCGCCTGAAGACAGACAGTCGTGCATCCATAACAGTGACCAGAGGATGCATGACCCCTGGGAGTAGCATAGAGAGAAGTAACACCATAGTTCATCATCAGCAAAACCTTCATCTGCCCCAGCTGCAACAAATCATGTCTCTCTACAGCCACAGCAGGTGCTGTAACCTTCCAACAGTTTGACTTCACACCCAAAGGTTCACTTCTCCATTGTGTCCCAAGACAGACAGATCCAAACCAACCATAATGGATGGCCATCTGTCAGGGATTCTTCAGCTGTGATTCCTGCATTGCAGGGGATTAGACTGGATGATCCTTGGGTTCCCTGCCAACTCTACAATTCTATTATTCTAATGTTTAAAAATCCATGCAAGAAGCAAAGCCAGTAGCAATAACAGAACCCAAAGAACCCATTCAAGAGGCCTGGTGTGCTGGACAAAGGGGGAGCTCTCAAGGATCCACATTGCCTGGGCTACCCTACAGTTGCAAGGAAGGTGCCTGCCATTTGTTCTGGGAGCTGCTTAGGAAAATGCATGTGCATCTCTTTGAGGGTGGGACAGAAGCATGTCTCAAGTTTTAATGCACAAAAGTTGGTCTTAAGAACAAAAAAAGAGCCTGCTGGATCAGGCCAGTGACCCTTCTAGTCCAGCCTCTTGTTCTCCCGGGAGCCAACCAGATTTTCACTCTGCCACCACAGCATATTAGCACCCAGTGCCATGTTGTGAGCTACTTTGGGATTTCAGTCAAAAAGCAGGATACAAATCTACCAAATATAAAAAGATTTGGGGAAACACTAGTCTGGCATCATTTGCACGTAACAGGTTTTGGTAAAGCAAATGCAACTAGGCAGACCTGTATAGCCTCAGAAGTGGCAAGGCCCTCAAAGGTCATTGGCTGATGCAGGAAATCCTCTCCTACAGCAGAGGTGGGCATCTAATTGCTTCTTTAAAACTTTTAACAACGAAGAACCTGCCACCTTCCCAGGCTCTACTCTTAAAACAGCTCATGCTATCAGGGAGTTCTTTCTAACATGTAATTGAAATAGTCTTCCTTATACTCTGAATTTTTTTGTTCTGGTCCAGTTTAATAAATAGACAGATACAGAGAAATTGCTCTGTCACCTATGTGACAGCTGCTCAAATATTTGAAGGTGGCTGGTTATCATAGTACCTCTCCTGCAGACTACTTATAAGCAGTACCTTCCATTTTTCCACATAGGTCTTGGTCTCCAGGCCCCTCACCAGCTGGTTGGAGTGAGAAATGTTCAGGCTATCCGTATTTTTAAGTTCAGCATTTTAAAAGGCTGCAGAGAGGATTCCTATCTGTTTACATGCCTCTCTACAGTTGAAACTTGTTCTGCCTTTTTTCTTTTTTGGCTGGTTTTGTTCAAACAGAAACCATTCCAGAAGGCCTCCTTTTAACCCTCATGACTCATCAAAACACAGATAAACCACATTCCTTTTGCTGTTGTGCATGGAGGTTCCCAGCAGAACTTGGCAGACGTCTTTGCACTCTCAGATATTTGAACGAAGATTCTTTCACAGAGGAAATCTCAGTTCCTTATCAAATGCTTGCAATTCCTTGCAGGCAAACCTGCCTTCCTACAGTGGCATTTCCTTTAACGTTAGACCTGCCAGTTGCCCCACAGTTGAAAGGGTGCTGTCCACAAAAAAAGGACCAGCCCGCCTTTTCTGTCAGCTTGAGGCAGCTAACAATTAATAGTCTTAAAACAAGGCAGTGAAATTTTATGGCGTGTCTGGCCAGACAGTGCTCTGTTCCCAGGGTTCTACCTGGGAGAGGAGTTAATGAGGCTGGATCAAATAAACGTTGGGTTTCATGGTGCAATTGCTAGACGTGGCTTCCTAGTACAAAGAGCCTCATGTGCAGTTTCCCTTCCCTATTTCTTCACCATCTAGATTGAGCGCCGTCTCGACAACGTGAGGTCCGTATGCCACACTTCCTGCAAGAGGCTAGGCATGTGTTTGCATGGGCAGTCTGGAACAGATGCAGAAAAGAGACATGTAAGTGCCAACCCCTTCCAAGGAAAACTCTGCACCAGATTTGGCCAAGCTGAATCAGGCCAGTTCAGGGAGATCCATGTTTTGGCCCAATCAGGTAGCGACACCCAGAGAACAGTCCAGGTTGGGCTGCACGAGTGATCTGGGGCTGTCGGGGCAGGAAGAAGAGGTACGCAGCTCACAGTTCCCAAGCTGGGGAAGCAGACCCCAACGGGTTGAATCCACAGCTCACCAGCTGTTGCACAGCCCTACTTTCAAGTTCCTCACTCCTCAAGTCTGTCCTTCCCAAAGTGCTCCTGTTCCACTGGGCTCCTCTGTCTCTTCTAAGCACTGCACAGAGCTCATCCAGATGTGCTGCCCAACATCTGAAAGAAAAAGGGATGCTTGGCTCCTGTTCTGGCAAGTCAGCCATCCTTCAGAAGCCTCTGTAGTTTCGTAGAATCTCTCAAGTTCTCCTGACCCTGCCATGATGCTCTTACTCCCCATTACTTTTGCATGTGCTATTTTTTGGGTTTAGTTCCTAACCACATTGTTATCTCCACCCCGGCAGGCCAAAGATGACCCACCGCACACCTGACATAATATACAACATCAGTTGTGTGTGGGTGAGTGCAGTTCAGGGAAGCCAGCTTCACGGGCCAAACAAGGACCCCAGTGGGCCAAGTTCGGCCTCCAGGCTGGAGGTTCCCCTCCTCTCCGCCTTGCACAGAAATTTTGTGCATTAGACTTCTTTAACAGAACTAACTGCCTCCTCCTCTGACATTGCTCACCCAGCACCACCCAGAGCTCTGTCTTAGCTGGCAGTTGTGGAGTTCATGCTGGGAGCAGTCAGGGGACTCCAGCACTGCAGGTGCTGGCCACGCTTTGAGGAACAGGGGCTGCTTGTGAAGGCTCAGAGTGCACCAGCCCATACAAGTTTCTCTGTACATGATTGGCTTCCTGCACCCAGCATCTGGGCTTATCTTGAGAGAGGCAGATACAGGAAGCACCCACAGGTCCCTCTTTTCCCCAATAGGAGTTTTAACTGAAATCACTCCCTCTCAGTCAAAAGGCCAAAAAAAAAAAAAGCCCCTTTGAATTATAAACAGGGGCTTTTGATTGCAGGCAAGTAAAAAGAGGAGAGGCTTTAAAGACATGTGCAGCCTTTAATGATTCTCCACATTTGTTAATCTGAAGAAATGCTGCCACCCATCACAGATCCCATCTTCACAGTTGCTGTAGAGAGTTGGAATTGATGCTCCAGCTCACAAGTTGATATACTAGGAACACAAGAAGAGCCTTGTAGCTGGATCAAGCCCAAATGCCCATCTCGTCCAGCATCCTGTTCCCACAGGGGCCACCCAGATGTCCCAGTGGGAAGCCTGCAAGCAGGACCTGAGTGCAACAGCACTCTTCCATTCTGCCATTTCCAGCAACTGGTAGTCAGAAGGATGCTGCTTCTGACAATAGAGATAGAAGATAGACATCAGGATTAGTAGCTGTTGAAGACTGTGGCACTGTCTGTTAAGTGTAGTACACTCAGTCATCAGGTCAGCCTCCCCACTCACCCCGCCCAATGTCTCATTTTAAATCCTGTGCACATCATCTCGGTCTGACCCACCTAAGCTCCACTTCCTTTCCTTGTCATCACCATTCTCCCACCATCTTTTTCCTGGTGCCCAGGTTCAGCAGCCACAGGTTGCTACTCGGATTGGATTTATTGAACCCAAGTTAGCCATATCCTTTTAACTTAAATGGTTCTACTCTCTCAGTAGGAAAGTAGCATCAGACCTGGCATTTCCTTAACCCCAACGATAGCAGTATTTGTTTTCTCTCCGCAGAAAAAGCTTCCTCTCACTGCTTTTGCTCAGAATATGCAGGAAGGCGCTCTGCAGCTAAGCGATGAAACTTTGCTGGGGTAAGGGTTGCATCACTGTTATTTTTCCTGGTCATGGTCATTTGTCATTTGGTCAGATATAACCAGTGACCTAATTTTATGCATGTCAGGCAAATGCACAAATTCAGTATTTTTTAAAAAAGAATACAAGCTAAAACAGATCTCATGAATTTGCTCCTGAAACTTTGGTTTTAAGTGTAAAAATGAAAACCTTACATGACTCCCCTGTAATTAGCCCTGGAGATCAAAGGAGCTCTCATTACCTCTTTCCTTTCTCCCTCCCAATGCTTGGAATCCACCCATCTAATGCAACTGTGTATTCTTCTTTGTTTTAAGGAAAATGCTGGAGACTTGTGGTGAAGCAGAAAATAAGCTAGCAATGGAGCTCTCTCACCATGAGGTGCAGGTTGAGAAAGATATTTTAGAGCCACTGAACCTCCTCTCAGAGGTAAGTTGCTTCTGCCGCTGTCCATAACCCAAGCTTGACCCATTCCCTAAAATGACACAGTCATTGAGACCCGCCATGAATCGGGTGTTGCTTTGTGTGCACTTAAGACAAATATAGCTGTCTGCACAACAAACGTCTCAGCTGTCAGCTTCCTGTCGTCTTACCCTTTCAGACGGAAATCCCCAACATTCAAAAACAGAGGAAGCAGCTTGCAAAACTGGTGCTGGACTGGGATTCTGCAAGAGCCAGGTAATACAAACACATACACACACACACACACACACACACACACACACACACACACTTTCCTCTTCCTACTTCAGCACAGGAAATACCAGGATTTCATCATGGCTTTGGGGCATCCTTCTCAGGAGCACTTGGCTGCTACGTAAGGCCGCATCCAGTCTACAAAAACCTTTCCATCTTGGTCCACTGCATTTGGGGAAGAGACATTTTAGCCTTGTCTCCTCGCTTTCCTCTGCTGATCAAGATGTCTTCCAGCTCCCCAGACACCATGTGTCTGTCTGTCTTGTCACAAGGACATATAGCTGGTGGAATGGAGTGTGTGTTGGCAGGTGCATAAGACAGGGAACTGTAACACTAGAACTCATGAACATCCAATGAAGCTCAGTATTGGAAGATTCAGGACAGATAAAAGGAAGTCCTTTTCACGGCATAAACTGTGGAACTCGCTTCCACAGAAGGTATTGATGGCTTCAAAAGAGGACTGGACATATTTGTGGAGGGAAAGGCTATTGTTGACTGCTAGTCATGATGGCTGTGCTCTGCCTCCATAGTTGGAGGCAGCAATGCTTCTCAATACCAGTTATCACTGGAAACTGCAGAAGGGGAGAGTGCTCTTGTGCTCAAATCCTGCTTGCTGATTTTTCATAGGGGCATCTGGTTGACAACTGTGAGAACAGGATGCTGGGCTAAATGGACCATTTGCCTGATCCAGCAGGGTCTTCTTATGTTCTCATGCATCCTAGTGGCCTCAGGTCAGGCCATGAGTTGGCCTTGTGACTAATCTGTTTGGCTTGCTTTTTGCCACAGGCCAACCCAATTTCACATCCCCAAACTTGCTTGCAGATCAGAACACAACTCTCTCTTCAGTTATGGACTTCTCCAAATTTTGCAATGCAGTTTCAGTCTCCCCAAAATATACATTTCACATAAAGAAATGCATGCAAAACACATACTTTAGGCAGAAACGCATTGGAAAAAGAAATTCGCTTTTGCATTTGGCAAAAGAAAGGCAGGCAGACGATAGGGGACGCTACAAAAAAGAATATGAGCAGCTCATTGCTATTAAAAAACCCCAACAAAGGCCATCACCAACAAAGCTTGAAATACTTTAGTAGCAAGATACCAGCTAGGAAAGCTATTGGGGCTTTGGATGACAAAGGAGACAGAGGCTCCCACAAGAGGCAGCAATGGCCACCAACTTGGCTGGCATTGAATGCCAGTTGCTGGAAGTTGCTAGTGGAGAGATTTCTGTTGTGCCCAGGTCCTTCTTTTAGGCTTCTCCTAGATATCTGGTGGGACACTGTGAGAATAGGATGGTGGCCTAGAGAGACCACTGGCCTAATCCAGCAGGATGCTTAAGTTATTGGGTAAAATAATTAAAATGCATTTTTAAAAATCATATTTTTTCAGGTAGCAGTTGCACAGAATGAATCCAATTTACATGGTTTTTATTCCATGAGTTCTTTCAGTAAGTGTGCAAAAAACCAGGCCAGGGCAGACCTGTGATTGAGCACCAGGAAAACTTGACATGGAGCAGACTTAGGCTGGTCCATTGGTTCCACAAAGCAACACACTTCTTTAGGCAGGCAGGATCCTGGGCTTGGCTTCTGAACCCACCTGTGCCTGTGCCCATGCTTGTGCTGCTTCCCATGTTCTTTACCCTGCTTGGCACACTGCAGGCACCACAAAGCGTTTAGCAGAGGGAGGGGGAAAATAGATTGGAGACCTGTGATCATTCCTCATTGTTTTCCCTCTCTGGTGCTCTTTGTGCAAGAAGAATAATTCTGATCTCTCTTGTGCAGATGGAACCAAGCCCACAAAACTTCAGCCACCAACTTCCAGGGGCTTCCGTCTAAGATAGATTCCCTCAAGGAGGAGATGGATGAAGCGGGAAATAAAGTCGAGCAATGCAAGGTGCACTGAGAACTTTTGGAACACTTCCCTAGGGAGAACTGGGCTGCATTCATACCATTCATTTAAACCACACACACAAAGAGTCCTGGCAACTGCAGTTCAACCCTTACAGAACTACAATTCCCAGCACCCATAACAAACCACAGTTCTCAGGATACTTGCTGGTGTGTGTACTTCAAATATATGGCATGTATTCAGTCTTGGGCTATTTATTCTGTTTATTTATTTGAAAGCATCTAGAGTCTTTCCCCAATATCTCCTTTCCCACCTGGATTCACAGGATCTGCAGGGGAGGCCTGACCTCCTTATCTGGCTTCCAAAGACATTGTCCAGTTTTCCCCCCAGAGAAAATGTATCCACCCGTCTCCTTTCTGCTGGGCTGTATTTTCTACCTCACGTCTTCTGTTACCAGCCTTCTCTTCCACTTAGTGGACATGTAGTGCAAAACATTGTCGGCCCAGAACTTGCTTGTCTCTACAATTAACCTCCTGGCCAGGAAAATCTAGCTCCCCTTAGCTATTGTTTTGAGAAGGCAATAGGAGGCATGATTTGGCTAAATCCTGGGGGAGGGCTTGTGGGTATGTTCAAGAACTGATCCTATGGGTCACATCCTGCACTGGGGAAGGGAGTTTAGGGGCACGGAACCCCTCTAATTTACTAGTACTCACCATGGCTATTCCTTCCTGTAAATCCTTACTCTACAGCTAACTCTGTGTATCTCTGCTCACACATACATGGCCCAAAAGTGTGCTAAGAGAAGCCAAATCCTGTGATCAAAATAAATTAGGCAAATTAGTGTATATTAGCAACCTCTTCCTATATTTATTACTGTGTCACCCTGCTGCTTTGTATCTGTTACTTGCATTGCATAATTTATTGAGGTTCTGCTAGCGTTCAGCAGGGTCAAGGAGCCATGCAGAGGCTCAACTGCTGGAACTTTTCCACAGTTGGAGGCTGTAATGCTTCTGAATACCAGTTGCTGGGAACTGCAGGAGGGGTGAAAGTGCTCTTGTGCTCAAATCGTACTTGCCAATTTCCCACAGGCATCTGATTGTCCACTGTGAGAATGGGATGCTAGACTACACAGGCCCCCTTTGGCAGGCTTGCCTTATATTCTTATGCCCAGGGACCCTCTCACACCACACATTTTGCTGTACCAGGGGTGGGAAACTTCAGGCCCAGGGGCCAGATGTGGCCCTCCAAGCCTTCTTCTCTGGCCCTTGGGACCTTCCACACCTTTTACCAGCCTTTTATTTCCCTCCCCTTGTGTGGTTTTGCCTAGCTTTCATGTGGCTTGAATTTTAATGTATCTTTTTTATTAAAAAAATTATTTAATTTGAGTGGGTGGGTCTTGAAGCTAGGCTACTGTGCAAAGGCAAAATTTTGCATCTATTGCCCTTCCCATCACTAGCATTTGGCCCCCAGAAGGTTGCCTAGAAGGAAATGTGGCCCTGTACTACGCACTGCCTACTGTATTGCCAAGCTTGGTGTGTATGCGTTTACAGCCATATCAATATTATAATAATGGATAGAATTATGTTTCTGTAAAGCAGATAGGCCAAGGAATATTTGACCTGATGTGTGGCTATGCATATGGAAAAGGGGCCATTGATGTGCAGAATTTGCACAGCATGATGGGATTGTGCATTGGGAGGTGTTCTGGCCTGATGGCTGGTGGACAGGCAGCCCAGGGAGGGGGCAGTTTAAGCTCCTGGGTTTTGCATTCCTGTCTTCTTCTTGGAAATGTGGTGCCTTCCATGGGCTTTGCTGTTGCTGACTTGCAGTTTGTCTCGTTTTCCCCTCCTCCTCTGCCCGAAAGGATCAACTTGCAGCGGACATGTATAACTTCATTTCCAAAGAAGGCGACTACGCCCGCTACTTTGTCTCTGTGAGTACCTCTCTCTCCTCCGGGAGCTCTTCCTTTCTGCAGACATACATTTCACATGCTTAATCCGACTGCCTGTGTGTCGTTGTTGCTGTTGCTGTTGTTCTTGTTGTGTTCATCCAATGCTAACTTTTTGTTTTTAAAATGTGGGTTCTATTCTCAGTTATTAGAAGCCCAAGCAGATTACCATAGAAAAGCATTAGCAGTCTTAGAAAAGGTGCTCCCTGAAATCCAGGCCCATCAAGGTAAAGTAAACCTGTGCTCTGCCTCCTGCTTTTGCCTGTGCCACCTTTGCACTCTCCTCCTCTGACTTTTTCTTTTTTATTCTCCCCCTTTGGCATGCCATCTTTCTGGAATAAGGACACGGGGCCTTTCTTAATGACACCATCTTCCCAAATTGCCCCCCATCCTCTCTGCAGCTGCATTTCTGACATTCTTCCAAGCCTCTATTAATACACTAACAAACCATGATGGATTTGGTCTGAAACTCCTCAGGGGGCAGCGCCATGCCATGAGCCTGCCAGATCCACCCCTTGGCTTGCCCACCCAGAGCCACCACCTCTCCTGGCCACCTGTTGCTTTTTGGATTGCCATATTTAGGAATCCACAAAGCTGCCTGATGCTACCTAGGCTAGTATTATCTCTTGAGTGGCAGCAGCTCTTCAATGTCTCAGGCAGAAAGAGGAGGTGTTTCCCAGCCTTGAGATGCAAAGGTTTGAATCTGAGACTCTCTGTATTCAAAGCTACCAAGCTGTGGCCCTCCCTTCAGGGTTGGGCTTTCAAGAGGCTGTTCAGAAACTTGGAAGCAAGCGAGGTGCCTTTGGGGAGTGAGTAGCAGGGCAAGAACAGCCTTCTCCATCCTTTCAGATGTATCCTAGTAGGATTGTACGGTGCTGGGAATATTGGGGGTTGCAGTCCAAAACATTTAGAGGGACCCAGGTTGTCTAAGCCTGACCTAGAGTGACAGGGAGGGACAGGTGAGTAACAGGCATTGCAGGGTGCTGGAAAAGACTCTACAGGCCACCTGTCAATGAATCCTAAGTCAGAGGAACAAAGGAGTTGCCATGCAAGAGCCGACAATGGATTATATCCAACTTACTGGAGGTAGACCCGTTGAAATTAATGGACTGAGGTCAGTCGTGCCCATTAAGTTTAATGGGTCTAGTTTGAGTATGGCTTCCTTTGGAGACAGCCCCAAAACTGCTACTTGCTTTCTTTCCAGTAGCCAGGTGCTTCCAGAGGAAGCCCACAAGCAGGGCACTGAGGTGGTGGCATCGGTGCCTTCAATTCAGAAGTAGACTGCCTGAGTACATGGAGGTTCTATATGGCAATAGTTTCCCACTCCCTCTATTTCTATAGTACAGGGGCAAATGACAGTTCTCGTGTAGCCATCACAGTACCATCCAAGTGCAGGAGAGGTTATCGGTAAAATATCAGCAGAAACAATTTCAAAGTTTGAAGAAGTGTAAAAATATTTAGGAGAAAATCATCCTTAAGGCAGTGGGAGATTGGGGGTGGTGCTCAGTGTTAAATGAAAGCTTGTAGGAGGAAGAATGAAATGGAGTATCCTGGAGTAGGGCTGTGACAGTCCTGGCTGCTGTGTCTACTCATCACAGTGCATATGTGTGCATGTGCAGCCTGACACTAAAGTGCAGAATAATCTAGGCTGGGGATACTAACAGCTCCTCACATCATCAGAGCAAAGTGTAGACTTAATAGCAAGAGAGAGAGGGAGAAGTAGAGGCTCAGTGGGCCTGATTGGGCCTGTGGTCTTTAAGTGGCTCTTTGCAAACCCATCAACCATCTGATACACGGAATTGCACTGGAGTCTTCCAGGTCTCTCTGAAGAAGTATGGTGGCAATTTACATTTGAGCAGGAGAGGAATACGTCAGCCATTCTGCTTTGGCCGGCCCTTGCAGTCCTATCCAAATGCTGCTGCATGTCATTTGGCGATGAGCCGGAAGATAGCCTGTGCTCTGCTCCTCTCCATGTTGATGCACTTCATCTTCTGCCCAGGAAAGGGGCTTGGGAAGTGTCCGGTTGGGTGCTGGTGGTTCTGTGCACCCTGGTGCCTTGTGCCACGGCAATGTGGCAGAAGCATCAAGAGCCTTGGAGTGACCTTAGACATCTCATTGCTAGCACTTCCTGCATAACTAACAATCTGCTGATGCTCTTAACTCCTCCATCTCTTCAACTAGAAGAGCAAATAATAGTGTAAAAGTGTTTTCCTTGGCAGATTGGGGAGAAAAGAAGCTGGCTCGTGCAAAACGATATGCAAGAGCCATTTAAAAAAACAAAAAAACCTATTTCCTCCGTATTGCAGTGTTGACAAAGGTAAATTTGGATCTCTATAATGATAGCAGCTCTTCTGTCTTGGAGAGTAGATTGAACAGCCTTCCAAACATTTAATCTGTCAACATTGTGGTTTCATGTTTGCCTAAAGGGGCAGGTTCTGCACCTTTATATCCTGTGAGCAAATCCTGTCTAAAGTCAGCCAGGTGACGTCATACTGTGCCTTCCTCTTGGAGCCAGTTCACACCCCTGTTTAGGTGTGTACTGATTTGCTCTTGACACAGGCTGAGTGTTCAAATCTTGCTGGCCTTTGGAACAGGGCAGGTAAGCAGCTGGCAAAAATACGGCTGACTTGAGCCTTTCTGCACCAGGTCAACCTGCTTCTGTGCCTGTGGCAAGCTAGTCTGCTCTAGCTTCACTCTACAGGAAGACCTCAAATTGTGGACACCATATAGAAAAACCCAAATAGGGTGGGTGAGGAGAATACGTGTGCAGAGGCACAATGGAAAACTTGGTCCCTGTGAGAGGAGAAAATACTTTGATCTGCAGTGGGTTTTCTTCAATAACTGCCTCAGTCACAATGTTTAAGACAGCTTTTATTTGGTCAGAACAACAGCGGCTGCTGGGGAACCCATAAAGGTGTGGTGCCCACAGGACTAAAAGTTACACAGTCTTATATAGAGGCATCCCTTGCCTTTGTGTTACACATGTGCCAAAATTAAGTCACATTCTCAAAGGAAAGCAGACCTGAATTAGCAGGAAGAATTCTGTGTCTTTCAATTTGGCTCAACGCTGCATTTTTCCTGCAAAACCTTCTTGACACATTATTAGTACAGCCTAAGTAAGCAGATTCTCCTGACACTGTCCTTTCCCACATTTTTTTTTTTACACCAGTTCACATAAAAGCTACCTATCAATGTATACATTCGTACATTCATCCACTACACAATCCCACCAATGCGGTGATCATGCAACTTACCATTTCATAGGGACAGTTTGTGACCCAAGCAGTGTGGCCTATGCTAATTGGATTCTGGGACACAGAAGGGAATTTGTTCTCAAAGACCCACAGGAAAGCCTAGTTTCATAGCAAGCAATCAGTTGCAAATCCCCACAGACTGGTGGGTGGTGATTTCATTTTGCTAACAGCTTGCAGTTCTGAGCTTGCACTGAGCATCTCGAAGCATGAATGGCACTCATCAAGGAGGCCATGTGAATTTGTCCTTCAGGAAAAGCCTGGCTTTTTTGCACAGGAGTCAGTAGCCAAGTCTTTGGCGAATATGATTGCTTGAATTGTGAGCCCTGGCATCTAGAACTGCATCAGCCGGTTGTACAGAGATGGGCAATATTTGAGGGCATTGGCTGTCGGCAGGGTTCTTCTTTTCTTTTTTTTACAATGACATTGCACAGGCTTGGCATCCTTGCTACTCTCCCAGAGGAAAATTTAAAGGGCTTTGCCAAGTGAACGGTTCAAAGCTGCTCATATCATTGCTCACTGCTACTCCAGATTCCCTCCTTTTACTGCTTTGCAGTAGTGTTGCTGACTGTTATTTGTGCCTCTTTTGCTAGACAAGTGGAGTGAGAAGCCAGCTTTTGGGACTCCCCTGGAAGAGCATCTCAAGCGCAGCGGCCGTGAAATAGCCCTCCCAATTGAGGCATGTGTGATGATGTTGCTGGAAACAGGCATGAAGGAGGAGGTAGGTTACCCATTGTCTCACTGTTGCTCAGTGCCCTCCAGGTGCTTTGAACTACAACTCCCATCATGTTGGAAGTTGCAGTCCAAAGCCTTCTGGAGGGCACCAGGCTGGGCAAGTGGCAGCTTCAGCCGCTCTCCACCTTTTCCAAGCTAAATATACCCTTCAACCGTTCCTCATAAGGCTTGGTTTCCAGACCTTTGATCATCTTGGTCACCCTCCTCTGCACACATTCCAGCTTGTCAACATTCTTCTTAAATTGTGGTGGCCAGAACTGGACACAGTATTCCAAGTGAGGTTTGACTAAGGCAGAATAGAGTGGTTCTATTACATCCCTTGATCTGAACACTATACTTCTGTTGATGCTGCCTAGAATAGCATTAGCTTTTATTAGCTGAATCACACAATTGACTCATGTGAAGCTTGTGGTCCACTAAGACCCTTAGATCCTTTTCACAGGTACTACTGGCAATCCAGGTGTCTTCCATCTTATATTTGTGCATCTGATTTTTCCTGCCTAAAGGTAGAACCTGACATTTGTCCCTGCAGAAATCCATTTTGTTGTTTTGGTCCCAGCTCTTTGTTCTGGCAAAGCAAAGTAATGCGTATTTAATTGAACTGAATGTTGACACCTTTGAGATGGAACGAACTGCTTGGTGTAAGGTGCAACCTTAGCAGGTGCTGAAGGACATTTTGTCATGGTGCAGAAACTGCCCCCGTTAAGAGGATTTCTCTTTTCCGTCATGACACAGGGCTTGTTCCGGATTGCGGCTGGAGCTTCCAAGCTAAAGAAGCTGAAAGCCGCGCTGGACTGCTCCACCTCGCAGCTGGACGAGTTCTACTCTGACCCTCATGCCGTGGCAGGTAGGTCGCTTCCAAGAGAACGGAATTGTATGTTCCGGGGGCATGGTTCAGGCTTCATCACAGATAAGGTATTCATGGCAAAAGCAACAGGGCCGGCACTCAGGTGTGAGAGGTGCAATGCAGGCATGAATGCCATAACATAATAAGAACCCTTCTGAATCAGGCCCATCTAGTCCAGCATCCTGTTTTCACAGCAGCCAACCAGATGCCTCAGTGGGAAACCCAAAAGCAGAATTCAAGCACAAGAGCCCTCTTGTCTCTTGTGGCTTCTGGCAACTGGGATTCAGAAGCATTGCTGCTTCCAACTATGAAGGCAGAGCCCAGCCATCATGTCTATTAGCCATTGATAGCCTTCTCCCCCATGGTTTGTCCAATCCTCTTTTAAAGCCATCCAAGATGGTGACTTATCACTGCCTTCTGTGGAAGAGAGATGCACTGCCATCAACCATCCCCTGCTGTAGTGTTGCTGTAAGTCAGGGTTGGGAAAATTGAAGCCCTCCAAGAGGGCGTTGGACTGCAGCTCCCAGCAGTCAGCATGGCCAGTAATCAAGGATGATGGGAGCTGTAGTCCAAACAACACCTGGAGGGCCACAGATATTCCCCATCTCAGCTATCAGCAACCGAGACCAGCACAGGACGCTCTTGTGTTGGGTGCCCTGGCTAAGGCCACTTCTGCAGTTCTTCAAACATAAATAAGAAAATCTTCAAAGGCAGAAAGCTCTGAAATATGTCTCATTTGAAGGGGAAATGCAGCTCTCTTGGTAACATTGAAAGCATAACTTGAAAGTCCTGCCCCTCAAGGGATCTTTGTTTCGAAATTGTAGTTGAATTGATTTTCCCTGCTCCTGTGTTTATGTCCTACGTCGGCTGCTTTTCATATTGCATCTGGTATTTTTATTGTATTAGTTTGTCTTATTGATTGTAATGCTGCCTTGAGAGTTTTGTTGGTTTAAAAACAAAACAAAAAAAACCTTACTCTAAATAAAAGGTCATTCAGACACTGATTTCAGTTAGCAGAGGAGAATGCCAGCCTCCCTAGCAATAACTCTAGTTCTGGGGCAGCTGCTTTGGATTTCTCTGTTTTATTTATGCTCATAAATGTCTATCCCACCCTTCCACAGAGCCCACACCTTTGTCTGTGTACCTACAGCTCCATGAATTTAACATTTAACACGAACAATTACATTTCATCCAGTCAGTCCCCTCAATGCAGATAGAAATAAGGTTTGTTTCATCAGCTTGCACTGTTGTGCAAAATACAACACTATCAGTTGGCAGTGACAATTGTGTCCTTGGTCCCAGTGAACTCTGCAGGAACAAACTCCTCTTCTCCCAGGCTCATCCTCCTCATCCTTGACCTGGCACTAAACTCTGAATGCACTCGAATAAATGCAGGGAAGGTCTTGCTTGGTTGAAGGTAGCACCCCCTCCTTGACTTTCCAACGGGCTTCAAAGGCATTCAAACTATATTTTATATTTATTATATCTGTTATTTTTATATTCTGTTTTTCAGGCAAGCTTGGCCCCCAAGGCAGGTTACAATTAAAATTCATCACAGGATGCAATGTAAGGAAGTGTGTGTGTAGATAGATAGTTAGGAAGAGAAACGGTGATGTTTGCAGCTCACTGAACCCATTTTGTGCTCCTCTGGACATTGCCTTGCTGGCTAGTTTCTTCCATTGTTGCATTTTAACCCAAGCCAGTAGCTGAACCTGGATGCTTTGGGCGGTGCAGAGAAGCAGGTGGCCAAATCCCCCTTCCGTTCTCTGCCCAGTATGCCTGTCAAATGTTGTGTGAAGGCAGATGGGAAGTCAGGTTTGAGCTGGCCGCACCCTCTCTCCCCAGGCCACACCCCTCCAAAACTTGCTGGGATTTCAGAGGCAAGACCCCCAGCATGCCCCTGAGTTAGAGACTGGACAGTGCTAGTAGAGATGGTTGCCTAAGGCAGCCTAAATTGTTGAACCTTATTGTGGCGTTCTTCAGAAGGTCAGCTGCAGTCAGCTGGCCGGTTTGGTTCAACCAAGGCATGGTGCGCATCGGAAGTGCAGATGGCCTCAGCCCAGTATACCTGAAGGAGCATCTCCACCCCCATCGTTCTGCCCGGACACTGAGGTCCAGCTCCGTGGGCCTTCTGGCGGTTCCCTCATTGCGAGAAGCAAAGCTACAGGGAACCAGGCAGAGGGCCTTCTCAGTAGTGGCACCCGCCCTGTAGAATGTCAAAGATGTCAAAGAGATAAACAACTACCTGACATTCAGAAGACATCTGAAGGCAGCCCTTTTCAGTGAAGCTTTTAATGCGTGACATTTTAATGTATTTTTAATCTTTGTTGGAAGCCGCCCAGAGTGGCTGGGGAAACCCAGCCAGATGAGCGGGGTACAAATAATATATTATTATTATTATTATTATTATTATTATTATTATTATTATTGAAGGGCCAGAGGCAGAGCTAGCTGCTCCGTCAGGGAGCATCCCGGGGGGGCACTGCCCGCAGTGATGTCACCCCCCCTCAAGGCTGGCGCCCGGGGAGGGCCTCCCCCACCTTTCTCCACTACTGGGAGGGGCAGCCAGCCTGGGTGCTCTGTGGGGCTCCCTTGGGGAAGAAGCAGGCTTCATGTTCTTTAAGAACTCTCCAGGTATTTCTGCAAACCCAGCCCCTTTACCTGCACCATCTGAGCCTATCTTTTGTTTCTAGGTGAAGACATTAAATCTGTGCGCTTTCTTCATTTTTAAAAAACGCAGTTGGCCAGCTGCCCTCCTTCAGATCTGGTTGCTGGCAGAAGGGGAGCCTTATGACAGTGTCTTGCAGCTCCACCTAGTGTGTGGCCTGGGTAGTGAACACTGCCGTGCCATTGGAAAAATAGTAGTCTTTCTCCTTCCCTTGAACATGAAAATAATCATTAATTAGGAATGTGCTTTTCTCCAGCTGCTAAAATTTGGGTTGTTATGCAGAGGGGAGAGAGGGAGCAGCCTCAACATTGAAAATTAGGTTTGTTAAGGACATTGAAGAAATGGCAAAGATTGAAGAGTAAATTCAGTTATGATATGGAGGCGGGAGGAAACATTTTTATTATGATTGCGTATTTATTAGGTTTGTGAGGAACATATATGGATTACATATTAACTACTATAACTTAGACTAATCTGAAATGGCGTTAACGATTCAATATTAGGATTAGTGATTGCATTTATAAATGTGTACTATATTTCACTTTATTATATTTATATTAGCATACTAGTGGCCTTGATGCTATTGTTGAGTATTTTAAATTGTGTTAACTTAGAATTCATCTGAAGAAGGAAGTTTGAATGTATTAGCTAGCAGTTAAGCCCAGGTTTTTGAACTGGGAGTTGATTGTGAAAATAGTTGGCATCTGTCTGCCTCGGGAGACAATGGAAGTATGCCTTCGAGGGTGAAACAAAACCATTGGAGAGTTAACAGTGCCTGCTGTGGCTGTAGAGGCTGATATGGAAGAGACATGTTTTGTGGCAGATGGGGCAGATGAAAGGTGTCCAGTTGTGTTGATGCAGGCGTACTATGATGTTTCTTCTCTCTGTGCTCCTCCCAGTGGCCATTCCTCCTCTGTTCACTGCTTATGCATGCACGACCTGACTGTCTCCAGGCAGGGTTAATGTTGCCAGCCTTCATGTCATGTTCGCACACATCTTTGTGATGCAGAGTTGGTCTGCCAATGGGCCTGGTACCTGAAGCCAGAGTAGATTATGAACAAGTGAACAAATACTATCATTCCCTTTTGATAGATGATGTACATTTCAATTAATTTACAGCTGTCCTTGATTGCACATGTAGATGGAAAGTAAGCACGACTGCATATAAAAAAAGATGATGATGATGATGATTTCTACCCCACCCATCTGGCTGGGTTTCCCCAGCCACTCTGGACAGCTTCCAACACATGTAAAAACTCTGCTTTTCTTAAAATGTCACTTCCTCCAGATCTTCTGCCACCATTGGAGATTTCAGAACAGTTTTCCCCCAGGGATGTTTCCAGCAGAATCTGTGCTTGCTTGGTGCTGCTATAGAAAAGGTCCCCATTGTGCCTTGATTTTGTTGGGTGTGCCACCTTCAACAATAGTTCTGACGCAGGCTGCGGTGGGAGGTCAAGTCTTCCCAGATGCACTGTTCTGCCACTTCATGCCTGCCTTGTTGTTGCTCCAGGTGCCCTGAAGTCTTACCTGAGGGAGCTGCCAGAGCCATTAATGACCTACGCCCTGTACGAAGAGTGGACGCAAGTTGCAAAGTAAGGAGAACATGAAATGGGCTTTTTCTGGTTTAAGTGGGAAGCCAAGGAGGAGAAATTGGCTTCCTAAGGCCCATAAAGCCTTCTGAAGCATGCATCTTCTCTCGATGCTCCCTTTGTGCTGCTCTTAAAAGCTCCTTTCAGATTATGGCCTTCTCTCTGAAGCCTGCTTTGAGCCATTCCTCCATTTGTTTCTCGCTATTTCCTTTTGCTTTGAATGAAACCTCACATTGTTGCAGAGCCCTTGGCTTAAGCGAACTTATTTCCTTCCCCAGCATACAAGACCAGGACAAGAAACTTCAGGACCTGTGGAGGATTTGTCAGAAATTGCCAAAGCACAACCTGGCCAATTTCAGGTAGGAAGCAAGGAGGTGTGGGGTATGCTTGGTCCTGTGCCATGTGTCACACTGTTTCCCACCAGGCGAAAGAGTGGTTGTCTTAAGAGTATTCCAGTCTCCCATTCCCCAAGATCTACCTTTTTGTGTTTAAGCTGAAGAAAACCGGCGCGACAGCTAGAAAGAAGAATGTGGTTATTTGTTTGTTTTAACCCTGAGAACTGTTTTGCTGGACCTTCATTGTTTATTCTTCCTTTTGCAAGGTGTACTGCTTTTGAGTTTTTAATAAGGAAAAGGGGTTTATAAAGTATTAACCGATTCCTATAATCACAAGGGTGAAACGGCTGCCACGCCGTATATTTTAGGAGCTGTTAAGGACAGAAGAGTGGGATGCAGGCAGATTTGATGCACACAAGAGCATAGAAGGAAACCTTAGAAGCTGCCATATCAAGTTAGACCCTTGGTCCACCTGTCTCAGTATTGTCAGCTCTCCAGAGTTTCAGGGAGGGATCTTGTCTTGGCCCTCTTTGGAGATCGAACCTGCAACCTTCTGCATGCAAAGCAGGTGCTTTAACTCTGAGATGCAAATACTAGCCAGCATGAGGTTCTGTTGCTCGAGCCCAGTGAAATGAAGAGGTAAGAGCTAGGCAGTGGTTTCCAATGGATGATGTCCCGTGTTAGTGGAGTGGGTTTCTGTTTGTGTTCTCTGCCTCAGGCACCAAAATTCTGTGAGTGGGCACTGAAACTCGTTTGACACGGCTGTTCATTGGGTCCTTCTGCCCAAGTAGTTGTCAGGATCCAAGATGCTACAGGGGACTTTTAACCACCCCTTTCTTTCTCCCAGAAGAGAGAATGAGCTGAGAATTTATTAGAATCTGGGTGGGGATGTCCCTGCGGCGTATTGGGCCTTGTTTCGCATCCAGCTCTTTTAAATCCTGAATCATTCCTGGCAGGTACTTAATCAAATTCCTTGCAAAGCTCGCTCAGTACAGTGATGTTAACAAGATGACGCCCAGCAACATTGCCATCGTGCTGGGCCCAAACCTGCTGTGGGCCAAGAATGAAGGGTAAGTGATCAAGGGACTTAAAAAAATAAAACCTTGGTGCAGCTTTATGTTTTTAAGCACAAAACCATTAGCAATTTGCCATAAGCAGGTTGATCACTCCTCACACTTCCACTACTTTTCACATAGTTTACATGTTTTTTATCTAATAAAAGAAAGTCCTCCATACAGTGTAGAGGTAAGCTAGGGAACTCTCACGCAGGAGGCAGTGAGGGCTACTGACCTAGATGGCTTTAAAAGTAGATTAGGCATATTCATGGAGGAGAGGGCTATTGATGGCTACTAGCCACAAGGGATATGTTCCACCTGCAGTGCTTCTGAATACCAGCTCATGGAAACTGCAGGACAGGAGAGTGAGCTTGTCTTGGGTCCTTCTTGAGATACCCAAGCCGGCCACTGTGAGAGCAGGATGCTGGACTAGGTAGGGCCATTGACCTGATCCAGCAGGTTCTTATGTCCTTATACTCGCAGACCACGATTAGGTCACCCAGCCCAGCTAGGGGATCTATTTCGGTAGCGGGGAGGCCAGCTCTTGAGCATCTGCAGGCAGTTCTGGATCCAAAGCAGAGTTGTGGGGGGAGGTGTTCACTCCAATGAATCCCAGCAGGTTAAATCCACACCAGTCTTTCTACTGATTTCTATTCCATTTATTTGATTACGTGTATTGGAGGGGGAAAGAGGTGGGTTGCTTCTTACAGCAAGAAACTGATGGTAAGGGGCAGATTTTATTGGAGGTAGCACAGAGGAAGTGGTCTTCTCTGGCAAGTTTGCTGCTCACTGTGGATTTGCTCCTGCGTCCCTCAACAGCTCCCTTGCAGAAATGGCAGCAGCAACATCCGTGCATGTGGTAGCAGTTGTGGAGCCGATTATTCAGCATGCCAACTGGTTTTTTCCTGAAGGTAAATGGCCCATTTTCTCCATTTTCTTTTTTTTTTTTTAATATGATATTTATTAGAAGTTTAAAGATTACAGAAAGAAGAAAAGAAGACAACAATAAAAAAAAATAAGAAAAGAAAAATTTTCAGAACATACCTTACAATACATAAAAAGAAAAACATAGAAAAGCAATACAACAATACAGTAACAAAAACAAAAACAAAAAGACTAAAACACACATCCAATATTCCATATCTTTACCTTTCCTTTACTTGTTTCATCGACCTCCTCACACCTCCCTTTTTTGTATTCTAGTTCAATTCACTATTTCAGCAAATTCTTTCCATCTTTCTCAATTTTTATTCTATAATTTATCTTAACGGTCTAACCTTAAATTTTTTCGTTTTGGCCCATTATCAATCAGCTTTTACTTAATTCTTTGTTACATTTCTACTAAAACCATATAGATTCATTCCAGCATCCTTCTAACACTCATTAATTTTCATTTTCTCTGTTTTCTGAGGTTAAGATGCTATTCTAAATAGTTTGTTGCTGAATGATGAGCTGTTGTATACATACGCTTTGTCTCAACTTTTCTTAATGAGACAAAAGGTGCAGAATGAATTCATCTCAATACTTGCATGTATGAGCTGTAGGGTTTCTTTGAGGCTTACATAATATTTATCAGCTTTGAACTAAAATTAAGTCCCAGGAAAAGATGGCAAAAGATGCCTTTCTGAACTGCTTGGAAGATGGGCCAGGGAAGATAAAGAATAAACTTTCTTTTCTACTCCAGAGGTGGATTTCAACGTGTCAGGAGCCTTTGTGGCACTGCCGGCGGTGAATTCGAATCACCTGCACACAGGGAATGACTATGACTCGGGGACCTTGGAGCGGAAGAGGCCCATCAGCATGGCCGTGATGGATGGGGAGCAGCTGAGGAAGGAAGGGTAGGGCAGCCCCCCCATCTCCCTCTGACTTTTGTACCCCCTTCTGGCCACAGGGGCTTAACCTCTTCCTTCAACACTGTTGGGGAGAGGTCAGCTTAGGCCTCTGAGCTTGTTTCTGAGGTCATTCACCTGATTTATCCGCCTGAACCAGCCTCCCTCTCTTCCCCATACATTAGAAATTTGGGCTGTTTCCACAAACTCTCCTTTCCCTCTCCTGAGTCAGAACAGTAGCTGGGTAGGAAATAGAGGAAAGTCAAGCGCCACAGAATCATAGAATTGTATAGTTGGAAGTGTCATCTAGTCCAACCCCCTGCAGTGCAGCAATCACAGCAAAAGAATCCCCAAAGAGCCCAGAACTTCTTGGTCCCTTTTGGCATTTCTCATCTCGCCCCTCCTTTCTCTGCCGTAGAACGTGTTTATTGTGTGTATAGATAGCTGATCTCTGAAAACTAGTGGAAGTTAACAAAAATCTCTCACGTTTTTTGCTCCTCACATAACCAGTTTGCACCTGGGAAAAGTACACAGTGCAAACTTCCTTTTAATGCAGTAGCAGCACAGATGCTAATTGACTCCCATTAGCAGAAACCCACTAATAGTTTGAAAGTCAGATAGGCGGGTCTCTTAACAAACCCCTTAATGCAGCAAGAAGGGGTCCCAGTGGGTCTCCCCCCTTTTGAAGGGCATCCTGCCATTTTGATACCACCCTGAAAGAGGCCCCAAGGGCGTACATGGGTTCAAGTTTGGACACCCGCTGTAGTGCAAACCTATCTAAAGTTGAACTGAGTCAAGGCGTTGTTCTCCTGAGACAGCTGGTCGTGTCAACAGGGCCCCTGGGAGCCCCATAGTACAGCTGGGGGCAAATGCGGTGCCGTTGCAAACAAGCCCTTAGTGGTTCCTTTCCCCCTCGTTGCTGCAGCCTGAGGAAGATCCAAAGGTAACATACTAGCATTTCCTTCTCCCTGTGTTCCATGCATGATGCAAGCCATGGAAGGTTGGTGGGGGAAGCTGTCGCTGTTGCCTACCTTCTGAGTCATTGGAGCAACAGTAGATGGGATTTCTCTCCTCTCAGATTGCGCAGTGCCTACAGTAACATGGTATGAGGAAGGCCTCACGGCAGAGGCTTCTGATTTGGTGGGGCAGCAGCATCCATTGCCCGGCGCTAGAACTCCCAGAACCCACTTTTGTTGCTTCTCCCCTCTGCACAACCCATCATAGCTTTTGTTTCATCCCATCAGTCTCATCCCCTTTCCCTACAGCTGTCTGGCAGGGGTGGGGAACCCATCTTTCAGCCCAAAGACCACATTCGCTTCTTTTTCGGGTGTGTGTAGAGCGCATTTCACTGATGGGTGGGGCCAGAAGAGGAAGTGGGCGGGGCAGTTAACAATTTCTCATTTTCTACAGAAGGCAAGTTTCTGCACACATTCTCACACACCCCTCTAGCCAGATAAATGCAAGTGGCATGGTTAGGATCTGGGAGACCAGGGTTCAAAACTCTTCTCAGCCACAAAGCTCACTAGGTGACTTTGGTCCAGTTGCTGCCTCTCAGCCTAACCTACCTCACAGGGTTGTTGCAAGGATTACATGAGAGGTGAACCATGCACACCACCTTAAGCTGCATATAAATGCAGTAAATAAATAAATGATCAAAGTTCACAGACACATTCTAGCCAGGCAAAAACATTCAGGGAGGATGTGATGCAGGGCCAGTGAGGGGTGTGGCCTGGGCAGAGGTCTGGGGGCCAAGGAGAGAAACCTGCAGGGCTGCTTTTGGCCCTCGGGCCTGAGGTTCTCCACCCCTGTCTTGGAAATTTGTTGCTGCCTTAAGTTGAACTAAAGCTAAGCAGGCTCTGCTTATCCAACTGCCTTCTCAAATCATGTTGGCACAGAATTCCAGCCTAACAGGCCTTCCCTCCCCTTGTGAATGGAAGAGCATCATAGTTCAAAATGCAGAGGTTTTGTTTTGCTTTGTTTTTTAAAAAGAGTTATGCTTTGGCTTACTGCAGTGTGGCTAGACTAGAGGTCATTCACTATCTATCCATTGCTAAGTTATGGTAAAAGTCTCCCATTTTTCATGCTTTTGTTAGTGCAAATTAATCAGGGTTGTGTGTTCTGTCCTTAAAAAAAACAAAAACAAAAATCATTTTAATGCCGGGGGGGTGGAATTCTGTTTGATTAGATTTTGCAGATGAAGCAGAATCGGCATATTTGGGCTGGTTTGGCATCCTCCTGCATTTGGTGGGCATGCGGAAAAAATTATGCTAGACACACCCTCCTTTCCATGGAGGATCATAGTCAGTCCCAGTCGTCCCCCCCAGTGGGGCTTCTAAGAATTCATAATGCAGTTTGCCCAGCTGTTCCAAAACCTTCATTCCTGGCTCTGCTGGCTTCCTGTTTCCTCGGGAAGCTGGATTCGATGCCGTCCTTTCTCTGAATTGACCTGGTATTGCAGAACACACCCATCCCTGCAATTAATACTGGATAGAGGTACAGATGCAGCGTCCTTGGCTTAATCAAAGGTGGCAGCAGCTTGAGCACATCAAGCTTTCGGATCAAAACTGCAGCTAGCATTCTTTTGGTGAGAAGCAGCACTAGTATACATTACTGTTTGTGTGTGCCAGGAGAGAAAGCGGTACTTCTTCTTCCGCTCCTCTGTTCCTATGACCCAAATAGTTACCCCATGGACATGACCACTTGCCTTGATGTTTGCTCATTGCTCATGTGCCCTTCCTACCTGTTTGATTGTGCCAAGGTGTGTTGCATTCCTCTTAACTCTTAACAGTGTCCTGCAGACAAGTTTTGAGAGCTTTTCCCTGCTGCTTCTTTGCATGCCGAGCGGCAGGGACTAGTCTCTTGTCCAGCCCTCGTAGCTGAACTGCCCTTGTTTGTTTTCTGGGTGTTTTTCTGTGTAGCTACTAGTCCGCATGGTGTGTTTTCCGTCTCTCTCTCTCTCCTCTGTAGCTATGGTGTCAAGGTTATGGACTTCCAGGCGAACCCCAGGAGAGGTGGCACTATAAGTAGAAAGCACACAGCCCCAGCTTTCCAGCCACCACTTCCGCCCACTGAGGCTGGCCCGCTGGCACAGGCCACAGCGGAGCAGCACCCACAGGGCCCTGGGGCTGAGCCCGCCCCCATGGGTGCTGCGTCCGCCCCCCTTCCTGGCCCAGCAGAGCAGTCCCAAAGCCAAGGCGCTGAGGACGGCAGGTAAGATGGAAAGAGTTCAGACCGAAAGACTTTCGCAGAGACTTCCGTCTGTTTCAGCCTTCCCCAACCCTTTTTGGACTATAACTCCCGTCAGCCCCAGTGGATGCTGGGAGCGGTAGTTCAAAGCAACTGAAAGGTCTCATGTTGGAGAAGGCTGATCAATTAAATCAAGGCAGTAGCAAAGTCCTTTTGAAATTGAAAAAAGCTCCTGGCAAGAGACCAATTCACATGTTCTTCCTTCTTGGTCAAGGTGTGCCCCATAATTTGCCTCATTCGAAAGGATTTAACTGGCAAGGCTAGCCTGCACTTTTGCAGGACTCTCACAGGTTGATGTTCACCTGGCTTGGCCCCTGAGAGCAGGGACATCCTCCCTCCTTCGGCAGATCAGGGGTTGGAGAGTGCAGGTCGACTCCTGCTGCACACCCATATGGCCCCAGCTGTAGAAAGCAGCCACCCTCTCTCTCCTTCCCACCCAGCCTTGAGAGCCAAACAGCTTCTTCCTTCCTGCCCATAGCTAGAACCTCCACAGGTCTGGTCTTTTGTGTAGGTGCCCAAGTAGCCTGTGCCATGGGCCACCTCCTCAGCCTGAGTCATGAAGTCATAGAATGGTAGAGCTGGAAGGGATCCCAAGGGTCATCTAGCCCAACTCCCTCTCTTCCCCTTAGCCCTTTCTTCTCCCACTTGACGTGGGTGGTCAACTGGAGCTCAACATGAGCTACACACTGTTTCAAGAGGAGTTTGTCCTAATGCTCCCTGTTGCTTGTCCATGTGTGTTCCTGGATGTGCAAATAGTCCTGGAGTGAAGCATAAACCCCCTGGAATAACCTCACCCTGCCCTTGTCAGTGCTTAACAGCAGTGTGCCCCTTACCCAAACAACACCCCCCCCCATGCATGTCTGTGTTGGAAAGTACACAAGTGTGGGTTTTGGGTGGGGGGGTAGGTTAGGACCAGCAAATCAGAAGTCAGTTTAACTTTCTCACCTATCCTATAGTGTAGCACAGGCATAGGCAAACTCGGCCCTCCAGATGTTTTGGGACTACAACTCCCGTCATCCTTAGCTAACAGGACCAGTGGTCATGGATGATGGGAGTTGTAGTCCCAAAACATCTGGAGGGCAAAGTTTGCCTATGCCTGGTGTAGCCTTTCCCCAACCTGCTGCCCTAGGGCTGATGCAAATTGTAGTCCAATGCAGGCAGAGGACACAATCAGACTTGGAGAAGGCTGCCACACTTATAGTCCTAACCCCAACCAGCCCTCTCGAGCGGGTGAACAGTATTTTATGCACCAAGGCAGGTCTCAGCCTGCTACTTGGATCTCTTCACCACACTTGGGTAGTGGGATCTTTCGAGAGAATCCACTTATGCCTCCCAATAGCAGAACATAGGAAGTGCCTGCTGGATCCCATAGCCCATTGAGTCCAGCATCCTGTTCTCACAGTGGCCAGCCAGATGCCGTAGTAGGAAACCCTCCGGCAGGACCAAGCTCAAGAATGCTGCCCACCTCCCATGTCTTCCAGAAACATGCTGCCTCTGACCCTGAAGGAGCAGCCTTTGATCAGAGTCTTTTCTCCCTTCCCAGCAGTTCAAAACCAAAGGACCCCACGACTCCTCCGCCCACAAGGAACGGGGGGCACGGAAGCGCTGCTCAGGCCTACCCACAGCCCAGCGCTGGCACCAGCCAACTCTCCGTGGGGCAGTCACAAGTCTCTGCAGGGCCCAGTCCACATGCCGTCAGGCGAGGTTAGTCCTTCAGGAGTCTAATGAACATGCTTGCGTTCCAGGAATAGGTTGACGGCCATCTCAACATACTAAGCTTCAAGTTGGGACTCCTGCAGGCTCTTCCTTGGGCATCTGTTTCTTGTTCATGACAGTAGCATCACTTGTGGGTGGGAGGGGGTGGGATAGAGGGAGTTATTCCAACACTGACTCTCCTGTTTGGGGCCAAGGGTGCATTAGGAGGCAATGGAATGTGCCCAGTGCTGTTTTTTCTAGAAAAATAGGTGCCAGTACTCACCATGAAGTTGTTACAGTAAGTGTCACACTTTTTAATAACAAAAATAGGTGTCGGTACTGCATACCTTTGAGTACCCCCTGAGGGAAAAAGCACAGTGCGTGTTTGACATGGCGTGGCTGGCTACTGTTGTCATTCTGCACCCACCAAACGTGGAAGATGATGCTCTATTAGCCTTATTTATTTGCTTGTTTTCTGTGCATGAGTGTTTTAAGTTTAGTTAGCATCTCTTTTGCACTAGGAGAGGGTGGAGGGCGAGGAATGGTGGGCAGGGTCACGAAGAGGTTGACTGAAGGGGGAGGGGGAGATGATGGAGGAGGATTAAATTTATTACCTGCCCTTCACCAGCAGGTCCCTGGGCAAGTTACAACCATTTACAAAATTCAGTATTAAAAACAGTTAAAACACACTACATTCAGGGCCCTGAAGAAGCACATCTCCTGCAAAAAGGCCAGGGTAAAGTGATTGCTGAAAGTTGTATAGTGAGGAAGCCAGGCTCACCTCTGTGGAGGGAGTCCCACAACTTAGGGGCCACCACAGAGAAGGCTGTCTCCCAGGCCATGAGCTTCTCAGGAAGGTGCAACTACCAAGAGGTCTCTTCTGCTGATGTTAGCACATAGGAAGGTCTGTAGGGAAGGAGACAATCTTTCAGATACGTGAAGCCTAAGTTGTTTGGGGCTTTTTACACTAATGTAAGCACTTTGAGTTGGGAACTGACAGCAAATGCAACTACTTGAAGAGGGGTTATATGACTTTTGTAGGCAACGCTGGACTCTAATCTGACTTCTGCATTTTGAACCAGTTGGAAGTTTCCAAGTTGTCTTCCAAGGGCAGCCCCATCTAGAGCGCATTGCAGTAGTCCAGTCTGGATGGTTGATGGCAGGGAAGGGGGCCATCATGCAACTTCCTCCTACTTTGCATTTTGATTGGTCAAATGCAACTTCCGAACAATCCCTCTGAGTTCTGGGAGGCTTCAGGTTCCACCAGGTGTTTCCGGGGGCTTGATACCTCTCAGGGCAGAAAAGAAGAGAGGAGCTTTTAAATGTTAAGGATGAGAAGTTCCATGTTGATGTGAGGCGGTGAAGAGACTGCTTCTGAGAGGCGTTTTAACCCCTGACTATTCTTTCTGGCCTTCCTTGCAGCCGTGAAGAAGCCTGCCCCAGCCCCTCCAAAGCCAGCCAACCCACCTCCTGGGCAGCCAGGGAACCAAAGTGCCCCCTCTGCCCCTCAACCGCCCACTATTTCCCCAAAGCCCCCCACCAGAAGCCCTTCTCCCCCCAGCCAGGGAGCCCCCCAGCCCAGCCCTGTCCCATCCCAGGGCTCTGCCCCCCGACGGTACTCCAGCAGCCTCTCCCCCATCCAGGCCCCCAGCCACCCGCCACCCCAGCCCCCCATGCAGACAGTGGCCACTCCTCCTCTCCAGCTGAAAGCCAACACTCCCAACTCTTCCCCGCCTGGGTCTGAGCCCAGCCTGGAGCAGCCCTCGCCCACTCCTCCCCACACGCCCACGCCCCCCGACACCCCACCCCTGGAGAAGCACAACTCTGCAGTCGCCTCCCCGGCTCCTCAGCCCTTCACCCAGGATGCTCCGCCAGCTCAGTCGCCACCTCCTCAGATGGGCACGTTGCCCAGGCCAAGGCCTGTGCCCAAGCCGAGGAACCGGCCCACCGTCCCCCCTCCACCGCATCCTCCAGCTCCTCACCTGGCCGGAGACGGTCCTCTTCCTGGTCCCCCTTCAACGGCATCCCGCATCGTGACTGGTAAGGACTGTGTCAGCTCTGTCTCTGTGAACCTTGTGATAAAAAAACTGTGCCTGGAGGTGGTTGGTTGGATGTGGCTGGAGAAGGGGGAGAGAAACGCTCTCGTCTCCACCACTGGGACAGAAGTGGAAAGAAGGCAGGGAGAAGGAGTTTCCCCAGAAGAAGAGAAATGGCTCCAAACCGGCAGTAGACCTGGTTTCATCCGGGTGGGGATAATTGCAGTCCATCAAAGAGGCCCACGTGGAGTGAAAAAGAAGACAGACAAAACTCATTTGGGGCGTTGTATCAGCTAACCCTGAAATGCCTTTAATTCAGAGCAGTTTTACGGCTACAGTTACCAAACGTTTCTTGGAATCACAAGTTTTTATGTGCAAGTTTCTAGAGAGAGTGAGGCGCTTGAAATGTGAAGATAAAAATGCTTAATGGTTAGATAGAAGCAAATACTGTACAGGATTATTATTATTATTATTATTATTATTATTATTATTATTATTTGCACTTTCAACCATATTTCAAATTTCTGCGTAAATCGGATTTTAAACACTATCTCAAGTTTTCACACTCAAGAAGTATTGTAGCCACATTGTGTCTGTGTGCGTGTGTGTGTAGTTTTAGCATACCGTTCTTCCCCTCCTCCGTACCTCCCCATCAGGACAGCTGCACCACCCAAAATTATTCTGTTTCACCCCACCAACATTGACAAGCAGCATGCCTCTAATTGATCTAGCTTATTGGAATGTTTGGGAAGCTCTGTGACATTTTGTAGTCGTATAGCCAGTGATGGGCTCACAAATAGGCAAAGCCAGTTTTTTTTGCTTTTATTTATAAAAATATTTCTGTGTCATGATGTCATAAAATACCAGAGTGGTTTACAGTGTTAAAGCAGAGAACATCATTTCAAAAAATGAAAAATACCCATAATCTTTGAGGTGGCTGGCAACTCAGAAATAAGAATGCATCAGCTGCAAAAGCCTGTCAGCATGAAAAGGTCTTCAAGAGATACTGGGAAGTCAAAAGGGAGGGTGCCTGCTGTATCTCTGCCGGAAGAGTGTGACTGCCGACATGAAACGCCCAACTTCTTATTGAGACTAGTTGGGCCACTGTGACATGGAGTTGCTCATCCCAGCATGTCAGACTGCAGGATTTCCACACAATCCGCCCCAGAAGCTGTGCATTTAGAAAGCTTCAGCACAGCTCCGTAGATGCTAGGAAGAGCTTTGTTGCAGCCAGATGGTGGCTCGAGTCCCTTTCTGTGCATATGGAGGAGGACGCTGCTTTGTCCTCAGGAGTAGCCGCCCTCCCACTCCTTGACGCCTAACGAAGCAGTTCCTCTGAAAAATAATATGTTACCCCCATTTGGGAAGCCCAGGCTGCATCAGTGCCCACAAAGCTGACCAACCTCCCTGCCAACTTTTAATCTGGGTTGGGTGCTTCTTAATTATGCTTAATCTCAAAACAGCATTGTGACGATAAAAGCAAGGCTCCCCTTTTCCCTTTCTTCTTTTTGTCGCAGGCTGAAATAGCGCATGCCCCATCCTTTTTTTTTTTAATTTTAGCAGACCCTCTAACATGTTGACCACCTTCCTGTGCTGGAGCTTAAAGGGCGCTGGGAATAATAAGAAGCTCTATTTTTTAGCTGCGCAAATAACCCGTTGAATCCCCTCTAGGTTGCAACGCCAACTTGCCAATAATAATAATTCTAATTGAGAATTTTATTAAACAATCTAGATGTTTGACCTGCATTGTTCAGTAGGAACTGAGATTGGAAATGGTAAGGAGGCCTTTCGATTGGCCAGAATTGTTATGAATGCATAATCATGGACGCAGCTTCGTCCCTTTACTAACAGGTCACTGTTAACACAGCTTGCTTGCACCCAGGACTAACCCTGCATGTCAAAGAAGTGATGCTACCCTTGTGGTCCTTTGTTTTGCCCCCCCTTCCTCCTTTTTAACACATTCACCGGATGTATCCCAGGATCCTGCCCTGTCCGTTATTTAGCTTCTTTTCTGTCTGCTCCATCCGTACTTGGAATACGGAATGAATTCCTACTCCTCAAAAATCTTCAGAGCCTCATAGATGGCAACACCTGACCTACAAGCCAGCCCTCCCCTCCCCTTTCTCTGTTTCTCACTGTGGGGGTAGGACCTGTTGGTGTTTTTTCCACTTGAAACCGAGACACAACCTGAGAGGCTCCACAAATGCAACACTGAAGATATTAGCAGCTTCACCGTTAATTGCTGAGCCATAACTGGTATTAATTAAACATCATTCCCTTTCCCTCCATTGCGAAAGGCCCAGGAACATGGGGTGGGGAGAGAGAAATAGGATGGAGAAAAGGGGCCGCTTGTACAGATTGAAAGCTCACATATAAATGGGAAGCTGTTGAGCAGCTGAGCCCAGCCTTGGGACAAGTCGCGACTCTGCCACTCTGCTCCTTGCATGGAAGTTTGTGCCTGCGGAAGCTGCTGCAGTTGGCTGGAGCTGAGAAAGGTGGCCCTGTGCTGTTCCAAGCCATCCTCGTAAGGCAGTTGTTAGGCAGTATTGGGAGGCATTGTACTAGGGCAGGAGGAGAACTGGGTTTCAGCCTTCCCTGACACAGCCGAATGCATTGCATTCTGCACCACCCACAGAAGCATCTGAAATCTGCAAGGGCTCTGCTCTGTCACCTTCAGACAGGGCTTTGCATTTGAAAGGAAGAAGTGACACTTGCCACCCAAGTCCCAGGGGCCTGCACATACTTGAAAGCAAGCACTGTTTCCATGTGCGAGATGTCAGGTGTGCTTCTAGCTTTTCAATGTGGGGGGTGGGGTGGAGTGTCTGCTGGCATCAGGCTGCTTCTCTGTGCCACACAGGATTTCATGGTGTGTTTGCTGCTGCTTTGTTGTTGTTTGGGGGGGGGGGTGCTGAGTTGCAATGTACAGCAAATCCTGAGCAAAATGTTTGTTCCAACCCTTCTCCACTTCCAGGTTCTAGCAGACTTGCTCTGTAATTCTGCAAGCTTTCCCTTGTATTTGAGCAAGTCCAGAAGACGGAAATGATCCCTACTTTGGGGATTGGGGTAGCTCCTTCAGATGAGATTTCCTTCCCAAAGCAGTCTCTGTCCCTCATGGTGTCTCAGCTAGCAGTCCTTGGGCCCCATATAGTTGGACTGTCCTGCAGTGACACTGTGGTCTAAACCACTGAGCCTCTTGGGCTTGCTGATCAGAAGGTCGGCGGTTTGAATCCGCGCGACAGGGTGAGCTTCCGTTGCTCTGTCCCAGCTTCTGACAGCAACGCAGTTCAAAAGCACACCAGATAAAGTAGATAAAGTAGATAAATAGGTACTGCTGCAGCAGGAAGGTAAATGGCGTTTCCATGTGCTCTGGCTTCCGTCACGGTTTCCCGTTGTGCCAGAAGCGATTTAGTCATGCTGGCCACATGACCCGGAAAGCTGTCTGTGGACAAACGCCAGCTCCCTTGACCTGAAAAGCGAGATTAGTGCTGTACCCCATAGTCGCCTTTGACTGGACTTAACCATCCAGGGGTTCTTTACCTTTACTTTTTTTACGTTATATATATGTCCACATAGTTCCTCCAGCAGTTGTCAATAGACTGCTTTTCATTAGCTTTTCTTCCTTTGGGTAAACCCAGGGATAAGGTTGTATATTTTTTCCCTACACTTACAACACTGTACAAGTTCAGGATCTGGAAGCAGGGCAAACTCTCATCACTTTTCAGGTCTGTTCTGCAAGGAATGAGACTCAAGCCTTTATGGCTGCAAGACGCATTTAAAAGGATGTGGATTAATATGAGTGGAGGGTTGGATCCAAAGTTCCCATGGGGCCAGCGACCCAACTCCTTGCTTTTCCCCATAACTAGAAGAATAAATGAATACAATTTCTTTGGGTCATAGAATCCAGTGTTCTCTTGGCACAGTGTTGGGGTGGAGGAGTTTTATACGTATACAGCCCTGTCCATAAGCTTCCGAACACCTCTTCTCTGGGTCAGTCTTCCCCAACCTGGTATCTTCTGGATGTTTTGTACTACAGCTCCCATTAGTCCTTGAGGTTGATGGGAGTCAGAGTCTAAAACATGGCCATGGGGGTGGCTTGGGGTGATGGGAATAGTAATCCAAAATGACTGTGCTGGCTGGAGCTGATGGGAGTTGCAGTCCAAAGCATCCAGAAGGCACCAGGCTGGGGAACGTTAGTCTTACTTTCTGTCGTCTCTGCCCACAAGTCTGTGCCCTTTCATCATTGGTGTTGTGTGTGTGTGTTTCCCCCCATGTCTTCTCCACGCAGACTCTAATTCCAGTATTCAAGAGCCACCACGAGGCCTCCCTGCTGCGGAACTTCCGACAGAGTCGTCAGCTTTGCCAAACCAGAGCTCCCACAACCACCTTGTGCTCGACATCAATCACGATACCGAAAGCACCGCTTTATAAACGAAAGAAACCACTCCAGGGCCCCAGCTGCTCCTGCCCCAGCGGGAACCTCACCAGTCAAGGCTCTACAGTGAGGAGCTTATGGAAATCGAAAGATGGGGTGGGGATGGTGACACAACCTCCCCCTTTGTGTCTCCAGAAAAGAAACACCTACCCCGCTATCCAAAGAAGTTTAATGACCTGTGTCTTGACCAAGGTGCCTAAGCTGTGGCTGGGATGATGATGGTCTGTCTGGCTGCCCCCGAAAAGTATATCGGAAGCTTAATTGCTGCTGTTAACAGAGATGGCTGAACAATTCCAAGAGAATCCAAAGCAATGCATGTATAATGGAAACAACCTTTTAAAGGCCTCTGTTGAACTCTTCCTCTTAATTTTTTTTTTTTTTTTTGCTCTTACCAAGGAGATGGCTCACAAGAGACGTTCCGTCTCTGACATGCTGCAGACTTTGTTAAAATATGAACCAAAAAAACAAAAAAAAATCAACCCTCAACCTCCACGTGTGCTGGCAGGAGGAGACTGCTGGTTCTCAGTCCCTTTTGCCCTGGCAGTGGAGAAAATCCTTGTGCCTTGATGGACTGTTATACTGTAGAAGGAAACGTACTGTCTCTCTAACCATTTCAGTGCTTCTCTCTCTCTCTCTCTCTCTCTCTCTCTCTCTCTCTCTCTCTCTCTCGTCCAGTGTTGTTATTTACTCCTCCCCCCCCCCTTTGGTTTTCATAGTTATTTGTATTAACCATCCCTGCTTTGGTTTCTGTAACACCCATAAAAACAGCTGCTGTCAAGCTGAAAACTTCGGAAAACTTTGTGTATTTACTTTCAGTTGTTATAAATGAGTTGGAATTGGAAAGCAGTTTTCTTTTCTTTTTTGGAAACATCGCTTTGGAGTCATCTGCTTAGTAAAATTATTCTCACTTCCGCTACTGTAAGGAAAATATCTTCTAATTAAAATGGTACACCACCAGAACAGCTCCCCACACTGGGAGGGGCATCACTGCCTTTGAATAGCACATTCAGGGGTGGGGGAACAAACAGTGTGAGCCAAATAGGATTTACTCCACCTCTACACTGGCTAATTAGTTCCACAATAGCATGTATGCATGCATGTGTACATAAAAATACTAATTCATTGAAAGTGAAGCAGTAAGCAAAGATGTAGTGTCACTTTTTGTAAGTCTCTTAGTGGTAGGAGAGCAGAACTGAGTGCAGTCTCTAATTTAGAGAGTGCAGCCACTCAGAAGACACACACCTTGTTGAATTTCGTTTACAGTCCCTATGTTTATAAATGGACACCGAAACTGTAGGCAACACCTGGCTTCGCTAACACGTTTATTGCTGCCTTGACCCTTGACCCTGTGTGCTGGAAGGAGGTTTAATGGACGTTGGCATTCCTAGCCAATTCTGCAAGTTAACAGCACCCTTGAATTGCTACCCATGAAAACACTGGCAGTTTGGAAGGTTTCATGAAATCATATGAGTAGGAGTAGGCCACACACATTCTGCAAGGAAGAAGGAGGAAATTATAGGCAGTGTCAGATCATTAACAGCCCTTGCAAATCCCCATACACCAGACCCTCTCAGGAGCTGATGTTATCCTGCCTTTGGACAGTAATAGTATAGAACTGTTATAAATAAGAACGTAAGAGGAGCCTGGCAGCTTGATCAGGCCAGGGGCACATCTAGCCCAGCACCCTGTTTTCACAGTGGCCAACAAATCCCTGTGGGAAACCTTCAAGCAGGACCTAAATTCAAGAACCCTCTTCCTACTTGTAGTTCTCAACAACTGGCGTTCAGAGGCAAAAAAGCTCCAACAGTGCAGGCAGAAAGCAGCGCCGGATTACCATATAGGCAGAGTCAGCACTGGCCTGTGGGCTCCATGCCTCTTGGGACCCCGTGACAATGAATCAAAATAAGAAATATTGATTTGGTCTTGAAAGAAAATTACAATCAAGTTTTCTTAGTTCAGTGTTATCCCATTAGAGCGGGGTGGGGGACAAGATTTCTACTGCCATGGGGCCTCCACAGGATTTAATCTGGCACTGGCATAAAGTAGCCGTCATGGCAAGTAGCCACTGCTGTTCTCAGATGCAGGATGGACGAGCAGATCTTCCCCTCAAAGGCAGGTACCACTAGTTTGGTGGTTCCAGGGTCTCCAGGCGCAGGAGACCCACCCATTTGCTGAGGTTAAGCAGGTTTAGGTCTGGTCACTGCCCAGAAGGGAGACCTCTGGGAACCACCAGTCTGCTACCATGGAATCCATGATGGGGGACAACAAGCAGGTGTGAAGGTAAGAGAATAGTAAATTGGACATCCCTCCAGAGTTGCACTTCAACTTCCTTTAACGAGCTAGAAGAGCCCCTCTGGGCAGGTGCATGATATACGCATGGCTAAATTGTAGCCTGCGTAAAAAAGTAGTCTCATCCACTGCTCTGCCCACCTTTGCTTCTGCCCCCATCCAACACTGGCATGCAGCCCTTCACCTGAAAAAGGCAGTGTGGTCTAGTGGTTAGAGTGTTGGAGACTCGGCCATGAAGCTCACTAGGTGACTTTGGGCCAGTCGCTGCCTCTCAGCCTAACCTACCTCACAGGGTTGTTGAGTTCCTTGGGGAATGTAAATACAATCAATCAGTCAAGGTGCCCCACTCCTGGTAGGATATAAATCAAATAAATAAAGGTTCCCCACCCCTGACCTAACAAACATGGTTGCTCCTTTTCTCCAGGATTTTCATTTTGTACCCCCCACCCGCCCATGATTCTCACATACTGGAGAATGGTGCCTATCGGCGGGAAGGGTGGCGGAAGGCAGCATACCCGAATCCATTTTAGGCTGCAAAGGATTGTTGTATATCTTCAGAAACTCCTCTGGACTGAGGCACTCCTTAGCCTTGCACAAATACTGGATGGTTTCTGCTGGCATCAGAAGTTCCGGCACGACCGTGTGGAGACAATCGCTGAGGCCTTTATTGCCCACCTTTGATGTCCACGGGGAGGAAGCACATTGCCAATAAAGAGTATTGCAGTGATTAGTTTTCCTTCTGCAACTGGAAATACTTGGCTCACCTTTTCTTCCTTAACAAATGTTCCCAAGTCAGCTTATTAAGGGTTGGTTGGTTTGTTTTTAATCACGTAACATAAGCAACCTAACGAGAAAGCAAGAACTTAAAAACAGTGGGATTTAAAGCAAGAGATCAGTATTAGCTTTCTTAGTTATTATTCTCTTGATACATATTGTTATGTGCAAAATAAAAAGTATACATTAAAAATACCATAACAGATCAAGGAAAAGAAATAAAAGCAAGCTAACTGAAGCAGATCATGCTAAAACTCCCCCCCCCAAAAAAATGCCTTCCAAAACGGATGTCTGAGACTCTTAATCTTAGGGTTGTGGGTTTGAACTGCATGTTGGCCAAAAGATTCATGTATTGCAGAGGGTTGGACTAGATGACCCTCGCAGTGCCTTCCAATTCTATGATCCTTGGAACATCAGAAGAGCCTGGCTGCTGGGTCAGCATCCTGTTCTCACAGCAAGAAACCCCAAATGAAAGCCCACAAGTCACACATGTGCTCAAAGACGAAGAAAGGCACCAGTTGGAATGAATAGCTTTGTTTTCCTGGCATGCAAGCATAGGATATGGGGAATCAACTCTGATAGCTTTGGGGCAATCGGGGCCAACAAGATGCAGATAATATGATGAGGTTCAACACACTCACCTTACCTAGAACTCATAGACATCCAGTGAAGCTGAGTGTTTGAAGACTCAGGATGGATAACATTAATTTCTTGCACACACAGAGCATCTAATTAAACAGGGACTCAGTGCCACATGAGACAGAGGTGGCCACACACTTGGATAGTTTTAAGAGAGGATTAGACACATGCATGGGGGAGAGAGCCATCGATGGCTACTAGCCACAATGGCTGTGCTCTCCCACCATGGTCAGATGCAGTAATGCTTCTGAATATCAGCTGCTGGAAACCACAGGAGAGGAGAGCGCTCTTGTGCCTGGGTCCTGCTTGCTGGCTTCCACAAGGAACCGTTCAGCCGCTGCAAGAACAGGATGCTAGACTAGACTAAGGTTACCAGATTTTTTTCAATGACTCCGGGGACACTTTTCAACTTCAATAGATTTTGTATGGGAACTGATTTGTAAATTCGGGGACTGTCCCCAGGAAACGGGGACGTCTGGTAACCTTAGACTAGACGGACCATTGGCCTGGTCCAGCAGACTCTTCATACGCAAATACGTCCTTACCTTGAGAGTCGCAAGATAAACTCCCAGTTTCAGGTTGAGGGTAAGGCATTCTGTGATCACTTCTTCTGTCGTCTGGGTCTGGGTAACATCTTCGAGAGTTACTGGGACTTCCACTGCTGTGGCATACCACTGGTTGAAGAGTCTGGTCGGGATGTTGTGAGACATTGCTAATATCTTAACGTCCTGTATTAAAGCACTGGGGGTAGGGGTAGTGATGGATGGACAGATCCGTCAGCTTTTCGTTTCTCTCCCTTTCTCATTCTTCCAATCCAATCTTAAATTCAGTTCCCCACGTTTCCTGGGTTTGGGTGCGAATTTCTCCTAGTAAGCACATTTTTGCATGCAGCTTTGGAAAATATAGACATCTTTGCAAGCAATTTTCTGCCTGTGCACTAAGAAGAAGGAAGTTGATGGGCAGGGCCGTCCTCTGAGACTGTAAGTAAGAGAATAGCAGGCGAGTGGGGGCTGCACTCCAGGGGGTTGGACTAAATGACCCTTGGGTCCCTTCTCCAACTCTACAATTCTATGCTTCTATGAAGGAAGAATGAGGTTGGTGGGTCTGTGCTCCGTTCACCCTAATGGACCAGCCCCCATCAGTCTCCCCTGAACAAGTTTCCAATCACTTACTTTGAGTCTTGATTTTCAACAGCTGCCAAGTCCATAAGGATATGGTAGAGTGTGCCACTGGATGCCTACAAATTATTATTATTATTATTATTATTATTATTATTATTACTACTACTACTATTTCTTTTTTCCCAGACAAGGACTCAAGACAGCTTGCAGATAAAAATGCAAAACACAGATAAAATAGAAAAGCTAATTGCATAGAAAAGACCATCATTAAAAAGTAATTAATTGAACAGTAATACAAATGAAACAATATAAAGAAACCCAAATCTATTAAAAATGTGAATAACAACAGTAAAAACATTACATCACCAGCTCCCTAAAGGATTGTTGGAATAGAAAGGTTTTCACCTGCCAGTGGTAGAACAGCAAGGAGGGAGCCAGTCTGGCTTCCCTAGGAAGGGAATTCCAAAGTCTGGGAGCAGCCACCAAAAAGGCCCTCTCATGTGTCCCCACTAAGCTTGTCTGTGAGGGTGGTAGGATGGAGAGAAGGGCCTTCCCTGAAGATCTCGGAGCCTGGGCAGATTCATATGAAAGAATCTGGATTTTCAAAGGGAGCAGGGAGTGGGGGAGGCATAAATGCTCAAATCACTCTGCGGTCTGATATCCTCTGTTACTGAGGACAGGAATAGATTAGCACAAGAGGCAAAATGTGAGTTTTGACATTGTTTCTAAATTTTGGGTTTGATGGATGTTTTTAAGTCAAATACTCAGCTCCGGGAATTTCCAGACTCCCTGTTTTCAGGTGGGATTCAACTACCTATCAACAAACTCAGCTTTCACAGTTGAAGGTGGTCAGGTACTTGCAAAATAAAGCCACTTTTCCCAAAGACTGGAGAGTTTTCAGTAAGGAAATTGAAAGGCACTGGGAAGTTTGGGATTATAATTACTTGATGCAACCACATCTAACTTCCTCACAAACAAATCAGAATGAATGCACAATAAGCAGACAATGTTGTCTAAAACTGCCCACAAACTTGGTGCAAATCAGTCAGAGGGAACGATCAATAAATTGCTTCCAAAATGCAAAGCAGCCTTTTGCAGAACCCATCTGCCCTCCGGTGGCCACTTAAAGGTAAAGGTAAAGGTAAAGGGACCCCTGACCATTAGGTCCAGTCGTGGCCGACTCTGGGGTTGCGGCGCTCATCTCGCTTTATTGGCCGAGGGAGCCGGCGTACAGCTTCCGGGTCATGAGGCCAGCATGACTAAGCCATTTCTGGCAAACCAGAGCAGCACACAGATACGACGGTGCCAGAGCAGTACCTGTTTATCTACTTGCACTTTGACGTGCTTTCGAACTGCTAGGTTGGCAGGAGCAGGGACTGAGCAACGGGAGCTCACCCTGTTGCAGGGATTCGAACTGCTGACCTTCTGACTGGCAAGTCCTAGGCTCTTAACCCACAGCGCCACCCATGTCCCCCGGTGGCCACTTACCTGAATGTAAATCCCATTGAACAAAGCGAGTCCTTGTTACAAGGAAATATGTGCAGACGTTCAGTTGCATGTGGGATTTCTCTGGGATTTGTGATTAACCTGCACTATTATAGAAAGAGGGATCTCTTGGCTTGAACCTGGTAGATCTGACTCACCTCTAAAATGTGCAGAAGACAGTGAGAGTAGATGAGGAGGATGCCTGAGGGGGACTCCCCTAGGTGGATCTTGGAAATCCTCTGGAAAAGTTGCTCATGGTATGCTTATGAAGAGGAGGGAGTAAAAGGAGACCAACTGAGAGATCCACTGGAAAAACCATTGCCCAAGCGTAATGGACCCAAACAGGTCATGGCCATACCCATGGAGCCACACCGCTTCGAAGACTGTGCATGAACCAACTAGATGTGGCCCTCTGGATTTTGGTATCTGGCCCTCACCATTCTTCCCACATCATATCCTTTCCCACTCCCTGGCCCTGCCTCTCACCCTCCATGAGTATTTTTGCCTGGCTAGAAAGTGTATCTGAACTTCCATAATGCCTCTTATGAATGAGAGAGAGAGAAGTGTGCAGTGTTTTTCTTCTAGAAAGAGAGATGCTGGTACTGCCAGGAAAAAAACACTGGGTGCATGTGAGACTGTGTATAGAGACTGGCCTGCTGTACAAAGCTAATGTTTATTATTTATTATTGTTAGTAGTAGTAGTAGTAGTAGTAGTTGTTGTTGTCATTTACCTGCCATTCACCCTAAGGTCCCAGGCTAGATTGCAGCATTAAAACACAACAACAAAAAGAGTTTTCACACACTTACAATCATATAAATAAGGTGGGTCCAAAAAATATACGCCTCAAGTGTCAAAAGGCTGGGGTAAAGAGGATGCATCTTCTTCATCCTCCAGATAAGGAGCCAGGCACACCGCTGTGATGAGGGAGCTCCACAGCTCAGGGGCCACCTAAGAGAAGGCCCTGTCCCAGCCTCAAAGCGCCCCCCCACCCCATGAGCCTCTGAGGGCAGAGGAACTACCAAGAGGGCTGCCTCACCCACCTCTGCCTCTGGCCCTGCCAGCCCTGGTATGTGGCCTTTGAAAGGTTGCCATAAGGGAATGCAGCCCTCATGCTGAAAAGGATTCCCCACTCCTGCCACAGAAAAGCCCTGTGGAAGTTCTGCAGCCCAGTTCATCTCTGAGGCTGTTTTTCCAGCACTGGAAGAGGCTCACAGCCAATGCCTTGCCTCCCGAAAGTCCGCGTGAGAGGGTAGCTCCCATACCTGTGACGTCTGCACTCTCCGCATTTTCTTGCAACAGCGCGACAAAGAACAGCCGGTGGAGCAGGAATTTCTGGGGTAGGAGGGAAGGAGAACACAAAAGGTTCTGTTAGTAGCTATTTGCCTGCGTCTTGGGCCCATTTTACAGGAATGGCGATTGAATCTTACGCTGTTGAGAGCTGGAGCCAGAAGTAGGTTAGTAAATAAAATAGCCTGTGTCAGTGAAGTTCATACTTTATTCAAAGAAGCCAATAAAGCTCAGGCCTAGGACACATGGCTACCCTTTGGGACTATGAAGAGGTTCAGAATGGCAGGGCGAAGCCTACACTACATGTGTAGAGGGCAGAGTGAGGCAACTTGAGAAGCCATGATATGGAAAAGGATGAGGAGCTGGTCTGCAGTTGTGGGAGAACAGCAAGAATGGAGGAACGTTGAGGAGACCCTGTGCAGAGGCGTTGAGGTGGAAGCATGGCCTTGTGTTGAGGAGAACCTTCCACCGCCACCCAAATTTCCCCTCACACCTTCATCTGTTGGCGCCTCTTCTCCTCCAGAGCACTGAGGAGGGTGCTCCTCGCCACAATGTTGGCCAGTATGTTGGCCATTTTGCCCAAGATGGCAGTTCCGGAACTCAAGAGAACAGTCTGAGGTAACTGACGCGTGAGGGAATGGCCTCCCCTAGAAAGCTCTATTGCCAGCCTGTGTTCTGAGGATGTACAAATCTATGCTTTGAACCTGCTCTACCCAAAAGAAAATAAGCAAATATATAGGATTGAGGGGAGGCCATCTTCGGATCTCCTCCAAGCCTGCAGTTTTATTTTTTTGTATATAATTTTTATTAAGTTTTCTGTTTTACAATTTGAGATACTCATTTTACACCCTTAAGATATCAATGACTTCCCTTCTTCTCTTTCCATAGTTCATTTTACATATCTTATATCCCTGCATATTTTACAAAAGCTATGCCATTCAGTACAGTGGTACCTCTAGTTACATATTTAATTCGTTCCAGAGGTCCGTTCTTAACCTGAAACGGTTCTTAACCTGAAGCACCACTTTAGCTAATGGGGCATCTTGCTGCCGCCACGCCACCGGAGCACGATTTCTGTTCTTATCCTGAAGCAAAGTTCTTAACCTGAGGTACTATTTCTGGGTCAGAGGAGTCTGTAACCTGAAGCGTCTGTAACCTGAAGTGTATGTAACCTGAGGTACCACTGTATTCCATTATTGCATCCATCAAACTTATTTACACTGTTGAATTTATCTTTATGCTGCCAGCTGTACACAATTATTTACCATATATTCAGTAAACGTTTTCCAATCTTCTTTAGACATATGTTCTTCTTGTTCTCTTATTCTATATGTTAAGCCTGCAAGTTGTGCATATTCTGTCAACTTAGGTTGCCATTCTTTTTTGGTTGGGACCTCTTTCGTTTTCCATTTTTGGGTTAACAAAACATGGGCCACAATACTAGCATACATAAAGACATAAATAACCAAACCTGCAGTTTTACATCTGTAAGATAGGATCTTGCAGCAGAAGGAACTGCATGGCATGGCGTGGAGAAAATGGGGAGAAAATATTTTTTCTCTTTCATAACAACTAGGAATTCATGGGCATCTAATGAAGCTGAATGTTGGAAGATCCAAGACACATAGAATCATAGAGTTGGAAGGGAGCATGCGGGTCATCTAGTCCAACCCCCGCAATGCAGGAATCTTTTGTCCAACATGGGGCTCAAATCCACAACCCTGAGATTAAGAGTCTCGGGCTCTACTGACTGAACTATCACATAAAAGGAAGGACTTCTTCCCGCAGTGTGTACGGTAGTTGAACTATGGAACTCGCTCCTTCAGGAGGCAGTGGTGGCCGCCATCTTGGATGGTTTTGAAAGAGTATTAAACAAGTTTATGGAAGAGAAGGGTATCAAGGGCTACTGGCCACGATGGCTTGGCTCTGCCTCCACAATTGGAGGCAGCAATGCTTCTGAATACCAATTGCCAGAAATCGCAACAGAGGAGAGGGCTCTTGTGCTGGAGTCCTGCTTGTGGATTTCACACTGGGGCATCTGGTTGGCCACTGTGAGACCCAAATGCTGGATTCGATGGGCCATTGACCTGGTCCAGCAGGCTCTTCTTATGTTCTTATTCTGTAGTGGTCAAACCGGTCTCTTTCTTAAGTTAAAGACCCTTTAACATAACTTAAAGCTTATTTTTACCTGACAAAACGTTTGGCCAAGTACAGGTGTGCTGCCATAGAAACAACCAGCCAGCGATGCTTCGATTCAAAAGAACAGACAGAAAAGAGATGGAAAAGTGCACTGGAAAGTGTGGGATAATTTTATTTTTACTCATTAAAACACTTGCTCGACGAAACTGACACCTAATCTCCCCAGAAACAAATCAGGATGGAGACTCCCGCTGGACAGTCTAATTTCTCTGCAAACAAATCAGGTTGGATGCTGATTAAACAGGCTGTCTGGAGGCAAACCTAGTCTTTGTTTGTGGTATGGGAATGTATCTTGGGGGTTTTTTTCCTTTAGAAATAAATAAATATCAAGACTACTTCTTGGAAAGGAGCCTTCCCAAAACTCAGAAAGAAGCAAGTATATCTAAACCAGGTTATCTAAAGACATTTATTGCCAACCAAGGTTGAGCCTAGTCTATTTTCAGTGCTGAATTTCTTCTGTGCAGTTAAGGCAGCTGTTATAAAGACACTCATTGTCTGAGGAAAGACAATTTGGGCTGCGCTACGCTAGAATCACACAGTCGAGCTTCAAATATTATCAGCATCGCATTTAACTTTCCTGGGTTCTCCAAAGACAAGGATAGGATCTGCACACATTTCCCTGGGCATCACGTGCAACTTTCCCACATCACCCTGGAGCTGGTATGAAGAGGCCACTGGGTTAGACTGGTTATTGCATGATGAAGAAAACTGAAGCCAGCTCAGACATATTGAGGCATCCTTGCACAGATGCCTGACTCCATTCAGAAGAATAAATAAAAACACACACATTGATTTGTTTTTGTTTTTACAAGTCCATGAAAAACATGACGCAGTTCATAAAATACTCCATAAAAATACTCTCCGCATTATTTTGTACAGTAAAAGGGACACCGTCAAAACACTCTCCCATTGAAAATCTCACAAATATGTTGGCCATTTCAACAAACAACTCATTCTCTTTCCTAGCTATGTCCACAGACATTTCTGGGAGGTTAGGCAGTCTTCCTGCACTCTAGAAAAGTTCGTTTTGCTACCTTTTCCTTCATTGTTACACTTAGCACCCTGCTAAAGAACCTTTCATAGAATCGCAGACCTGTAGAGTTGGAAGGGGCACCCAAGGGTTCTGTAGTCCAACCCCCTGCAATGCATGTTCACTTCTTTTTCAAGAGAATGCTATTTTTTTATCAGCCCCTAATATTAGCTTTTAACACAAAATTGGCATTATATGACACCACTGAAATATATGTTTGTAAATCGAGAATGCCTGGGATGTATATCTGCAGGAGATTAGACAGAACATAACAGGTTGTTCTTGTAGTGACTGAAAACCTTAATAAAAAAAATTCCTTCCAGTAGCACCTTAGAGACCAACTAAGTTAGTTACTGGTATGAGCTTTCATGTGCATGCACACTTCTCCATCTTCTTCATGCACACGAAAGCTGATACCAATGACAAACTTAGTTGGTCTCTAAGGTGCTACTGGAAGGAATTTTTTTATTTTGTTTCAACTATGGCAGACCAACACGGCTACCTACCTGTAATGAAAACCTTAAGACGTGCCTATCCTACAAATGTAGACGGAAGGGCTTTAGCTCAATGCATAGTATACCTGCATTGCATGCAGAAGGTCCCCAGTTTAATCCCTGGCAACTCCAGGTAGGGCTGGGAGAGACTCGGGACTGAAACCCTGGACAGTTGTTGCTGGTCAGTGTGGGCAATACTGAGCTCAATGGACCAAAGGTCTGACTCAATATCAGGTAGCTTCCAATGTTTCCGATAAACTGTATGCCTGTTAAGCTGTCATGGTTCAAGCTATGGAGGGAAGTCAACCCCCCTGGACTACAGTAGGCTCAGGACAATCAAAAATACTTGTTCACTGTGGCAACTTTTGCATGTAACACTAAGCCACAGTACGTCTCCCAGGAAGGAGGAGATTACAGCCGCTTTGTTCTTCCCAGTCCTTTTTTGCTCAGTACGGCAGCTAAGCCAAAGTTGGCTTAGCAGGGGTCAGCAAACTTTTTGAGCAGGGGGCCAGTCCACTGTCCTTCAGACCTTGTGGGGGGGGCGGACTATATTTGGGGGGGGGGATGAATGAATTCCTATGCCCCACAAATAACCCAGAGATGCATTTTAAATAAAAGGACACATTCTACTCATGTAAAAACACACTGATTCCTGGACTGTCCGCGGGCCAGATTTAGAAGGCAATTGGGCCGGTCTGGCCCCCGGGCCTTACTTTGCCTACCCATGGCTTAGCATGTTGCCTGAACTTGGATCTATGGTTAAGAACTCTCTGCCTTAACGATGGTTTGTGCCACACTGAGCTAAGAGGATTGGGGAGGACCAAAGAGGTTGTGAACTCCTCTGGAGGAGCCAGCGCATGAACACGGTTCTGGTATGAGAGCATCACCATGGCATGGGTCCCCAGAGCTAAACATTGTGGCATTGAAGCAGGATTTGCTCACTTGGAGAGCTCTAGACACTTTGGACTACAACTCCCATCAGCCCTAGAAAGCACAGCCTCATGGGATTTGAAGTCTGAAACATCTAGAGGGCACCAGGTCAGCAAAGGCTTTATTAAAGACCCCATGTTGTATCCAATGCTAGTCCTACTCAGAACAGACCCAAGGGAATAGTGAGTGATACTAATGTAAGAAACTAAGAAGAGCCGGTCCAGTACGGGACACGGGTGGCGCTGTGGGTTAAACCACAGAGCCTAGGACTTGCCAATCAGAAGGTCGGCAGTTCGAATCGCCGTGACGGGGTGAGCTCCCGTTGCTCGGTCCCTGCTCCTGCCAACCTAGCAGTTCGAAAACACATCAAAGTGCAAGTAGATAAATAGGTACCGCTCCGGTGGGAAGGTAAACGGTGTTTCCGTGCGCTGCTCTGGTTCACCAGAAGTGGCTTAGTCATGCTGGCCACATGACCTGGAAGCTGTACGCTGGCTCCCTCAGCCAATAAAGCGAGATGAGCGCCTCAACCCCAGAGTCGGCCACGACTGGACCTAAAGGTCAGGGGTCCCTTTACCTTTACCTTTAAGAAGAGCCTGCTGGATCCGGCCAGCATCCTGTTCTCACAAGGGTCAACCAAAACCCAAAAGTGGGATTTGAGCAGAAGTTCACTCTCCCTCCCTGTGGTTTCCAGCAGCCGGGATTCAGAAGCATTGCTTTCCCCAAGCAGAGCAGAACCCTCATGGCTAGTAGCTATTAATAGCTCTCCATTAATTTATCTAATTCTCTTACAAAGCCATCCAAGTTGGTGGTCCTCACTGCCTCCTAGGGAATAGTCAGTTCCATAGTCCTATCTAAAAAGGTAAAGGTACCCCTGCCCGTACGGGCCAGTCTTGACAGACTCTAGGGTTGTGCGCTCATCTCACTCTAGAGGCCGGGAGCCAGCGCTGTCCGCAGACACTTCCAGGTCACGTGGCCAGCGTGACAAGGCTGCTCCGGCGAACCGGCACCAGAGCAGCACACGGAAACGCCGTTTACCTTCCCGCTATAAAGCGGTACCTATTTATCTACTTGCACTTAAGGGTGCTTTCGAACTGCTAGGTGGGCAGGAGCTGGGACCGAACGACGGGAGCTCACCCCACTGCGGGTATTCGAACCGCCGACCATGCGATCGGCAAGTCCTAGGCGCTGAGGTTTTACCCACAGCGCCACCTGCGTCCCTATAGTCCTATCTATTGGTTGCTAATTTCAATGGGTTTATTCTGAGTAGAACTTAGCTGGCTACAACCCCCAGAGCCACAAAAGAGACCTGCTGCATGTGGGGTCATGCAACTGTCAGGAAATGCATGGCAGAAGAATGGTATCTCACTTGTTTAAATAATAACTGTAATAATAAATAATAACTTGCCAAGCAAATCTGCTATTGGTCTTTGCCCCCAAAATCCCTGCCTGGGACCCGGTTACATTGGAGAGGCCCTGGATTTCTCCTACTGCGAATTCTTCAAGTCCATCTGCAAGCATTCAGGCCCTTTTTCCTTTCCTTGAGAATTTTGTCTGGTACAGGATACAGGGTCATTATTAAGTGTTATCATTCGCCTTAGTCCTTCCTATAGCAATGCCCATCTGCTTGGCGCTTAACAGCGTCCCTTGAATAGATGAGGCTCGATGCTACGCAAAGTAAGCCCAGAGGAAGACGCCTGCACTTAAGCAGACTATCAGGTTGACATTGAGGATGTGCTTCACAAAAGGTGCTTCCTTCGTGGAAGCCATGGCGATTTCACTTTTCAGTTCTGCAGCAGATTTCGGAGTGTCCGCATTCCTGCTCTCCATCCCACAGATCCACAAAAACAGCCTTGTGAGTTTGGAGGTCTTCTTAGAATGTAGGGAACCTGAAGAGGAGACAAGTTAGCCGTAAATCAGTGGTCAGGCTCATGGACATGGGAAAGGGACCCTTGACCCTGATATTAAGAGTCTCATGCTCTACTAACTGAACTATGTCCTCTGTGGGTCACTGATAAGTTTTACCATTTTGATTGTTTTCAGGGCCATCACTGATCTCAAGCTGCACTGGAGAAGGAGGACCAGCCTCATGGACACCGTTGGCAGGGAGAGGCACAGCAGGGCTTCTGGGAGCTTGTGGAAGGACATCCTTCTCTACCTGAGCATCCTTGCGGGTGAACCAGGTGAGGCGGGTGATCTGTTGGGACAAAAGGCACCTTTAACAAACTACAGATCCCAGGATTATCTGTGGTTGATGAAGCGGCATAGAAGTGTTTTAAAGGGACAGCGTGGGGACTCAGCTACATTAGTAAAGAAACAGTGATTTGATCACACTTTAAACACGCAACACCAGATGGCGCCAGAGAGCAGGAAATTTTGAAACACGGTTTTCCATAGGGATTTTTTTCCTTTTACTATAACGATCTAATTTCTGACTTATTTAAAGTGTCCCCCCCCCCATATGTAGATCCATCCTGGGTGTCACCTAATTCACTCCAGGTTTCAGAGCTGCTCTAATATGATTGGGCTTTAAAGCACCCAAGAAGATGGGTTCAGAAACGAGAGTTGGCAATGCCTGCTGGAATTACGCACCCTTTCCTTTGAAGGAGGCTCTGTCAGGAGACTAACAGTCACCACCACAAGCAGCGTAGCCAGACTCAGGATCATGGAGAAGTAGAGGTAGTGGACGTATTTCACCACTGCTGGACGGCCGTCTGCCTCATCGCACCGTGGCAGTGGGTAGACGAAATCCAGCACCATTCGGATCAGGCCCATTCCCATCCCGATCAAAAGGCCACAGAATGCCCCCTGGGAGGAAGGAAAAATCCCACGTTGGAACAAGAAGAGGCAGCTACACCACAGTCAAGTGGAAATTTGGTTTAATTCCCTTTTTAGGGCACATCTGCTGAATTTGGCCTTCTCAAAACAACCCACAAACCAAAGCACAACGATCCTTTGAAATTTGAAACAATCCTTTGGTGCCTTTTGATCAATGGATAAAAGATATGACAACTCTTGCAACATAGGAATGGATTGCTTTTAGACACAGGCTGTGTATGGGTAAATATAATGATACTTGGAACACAAATAAAAATATTACAATGATTTGCATCAGAAGATGTTCTCCTCATTTTTGGTACCTGACAACTGGTCTTCAGAGACACACTCATGCCATACACCAGGGCCACCCAAAAAACTTTGCAAATAATGCAGCTCACAACCACCATCGTTCAGGGCCTCCAGAAGAACCTGCATCTCACTCACCTTTTCATTTGTTCTCTTCCAGAAGCAGCCCAGGATGAAGACCACGGCCACGGGAGGTTGCAGGTAGGAACTGATGGTCTGGATGTAAATGAAGAGCTGTCCCCCCTGGCTGGCCTGGACCAGCGGAATCCATAAGATGGAAATGACTACAAGGAGCAGGACAAAGACCCTGAATCAAGGAGAAAGGCCTCGTTATCTCTTTGTTTTGCTACCGATTTCTAATGGCAAGGAAAGAGTAAGTCCTGAAACGTTAAAGGCTGCATCCAAGTGTGAATTAGCTATGATTCCTGCATTGCAGGGGGGTGGACTAGGGACCTTTGGGGTCCCTTCCAACCCTAAAATTCTATGACCTAACTGTTGGAAGTCTACCCTGGGATCTTCTGGGACTCTTGTTGGGTGTGCACCACCTTGCACAAGGGGCACCTTACCTGCCAACGATCATGAGCTCCCACTCCGAAGAGAGGGGCCTGATATTTCGCCAGAGATCCATGGTGAAAATGGTGCTTGCGCTGTTGAAGATGGAAGTCAGGGAGGACATCAGTGCTGCAATCATCACGGACATCATCAGACCTCTGAGTCCTGGAATCCAAAGGAGAGCCCACCACTCACGAGGGGTGCCCTGGACCAAGCAGAGTGCTCACCTCTCTCCTAATATAAGAAAAGCCCTGCAGCAGCTGGGTCAAAGCCAAAGGGGGTCCACCCAGGTCATGGTCTTCAGACACCTCTTCTGGGAAGCCAGCAAGGGGGATCTGGGTTTAATAGCAACACTCTCCCCATTTGTGGTACCTGACAACTGGTCTTCAGAGATAAGCTCATGCCATGCCCCAGGCCACCCAAAAAACCTTTGCAAATAACTCTGTTGTTTACTGAGCCACGGTGGCAGCCAAACATGGCAGGGAGAATAATGGGGACAACATGAAAATTAGTTCGCTCTGCCTGTCATTGGCTCTGGTGCCACCTACCGTTGGCCTCCCTGCCTTCTTCCCCACCAGTTCCAACGAGCACCACCCATTGTCCTTGAGCATCTTGGACCTTATTTGTTACCATCCGAAAGTGCTGTTGGTCTCTCACCTACAGCTAAATTTCTATCCACCTGCATCTCTGAGCATCTCTCTTTGGGTTGCTGAGAAGCCCCCACCCTTCCTTCCTCCTTACCAATTGGCAAAAGTTCAATGACCAATTTGGGGTATGCAATATCAGAACATCCAGATGGGTTGCCACAGATCGTTTTGCAGATTTTCGGATCAGCACAAGCCACGAGATCTATGATGAAAATGTAATTTAAACTTGTTGTAAATAGCTGTGGGAGAGTAGGGGGCGGAAAGCCAAGGGCGTAAAAATGGATGGGGAACTGTTTGCAAATCATCTGTAGTCAAGAGGCAGATTCTAATATTTTGTCACCTACTGAAAACAAGTCTATTTCACAAAACTAAATTAATTTGGTTTGGTTGTTGGTTCTGCATCTTACGACTTTATGATGTTTTGATGGTTTTATGGCACATTCTATTTTGGGAATGTGCTGGCAGTTTGGAAATACTCAGGGTAAAAAAATTAAAGGGAGGAAGATAAGAGCTTTATCCCTGCTCCAAATCCTTCCCCTTAAACACATGCTGACCAAAATATATTTCCCCTTAGAAATCTGTATTGCACTTATTCATTGCATTGATATCCCATCTCTCCTCCTGCCCCCCGGAGCTCAAGGCAGCCTACATGGCTCTTCCCCTCCTCAATTAATCCTCACAACCACCCTGCGAGGTAGGTTAAGCTGAGAGATGCAGTGACTGGCCTCAAGGTCACCCAGTGAGTCCAACGTTCTCACCACTCAAACCAATGGATTCAAATGACAAGAAAGAAGAACATTAGTAAGAACTTTCTGACGGTAAGAGCTGTTCAGCAGTGGAACAGACAACCTCAGAACATGGTGGGCTTTCCTTCATTTGAGGTTTTTAAGCAGAATTTGGAAGGCAATTTGTCAGTGATTCTTTAGCTATGACACCTGAACTGCAGGGGGTTGGGCCAGATGGCCCCTAGTGGGTGGGTCCCTTCTAACTCTATGATTCACTACACTCTGCAGCATCAGGAGGCATCTTATTCTTCCTTCTTACCTGGAAAGAGGATGCGGCTGATCATGCCAGGCAGAACCATCATAAACAAGGGCAGGATTTTCAAGTAGGAGGCCAGCAAGGCTCCCCCTTTGGCATGAGAGAGGTTCTTGGCTGCCAAAGATCTTTGAACAATGACCTGCAATGTAAGGAAGGAGACAGTTTGGAACAGGCCCTTCTAAGACCACCTGAGAGATGCAGAGGCAGGCAGTGGCTTATCTGGAGTTATAACGATGGAGGTGTTGGGTTCAGGATGCTTCTTTGAGGCATATGATCTGGGCCTGTCCAGTGATATATTCCTTTTGGTATGAAGTTGTTACTCACATCAATTTTGCATTGGCAAAATCTTTGGCATTTTCAGATGTTCATGAACTTTTAAATTATACCCCTGTAGTGTGGGGACTGTGGGACGTGGGTGGCACTGTGGGTTAAACCACAGAGCCTAGGACTTGTCGATCAGAAGGTCGGCAGTTCAAATCCCCGCGACAGGGTGAGCTTCTGTTCCTTGGTCCCTGCACCTGCCAACCTAGCAATTCGAAAGCACGTCAAAGTGCAAGTAGATAAATAGGTACCGCTCCAGCGGGAAGGTAAACGGCATTTCCATGCACTGCTCTGGTTCACCAGAAGTGACTTAGTCATGCTGGCCACATGACCCGGAAGCTGTATGCCAGCTCCCTCGGCCAATAAAGCGAGATGAGCGCCGCAACCCCAGAGTCAGCCACGACTGGACCTAATGGTCAGGGGTCCCTTTACCTTTACCTTTAGTGTGGGGGCTAATGGCAGGACAACAAAAATGGATTTTAGAAGCCCTGATGAACATTATACACCCTAATTGTGTTTGTGGGAGAGGGGTTATTGGTTTGTTCTTGTTTTATTATGTATTTTGTGTTCTCATTTTGTATTGTTATGTTGTGAACCGCCCTGTGATCTTCAGCTGAAGGGTGGTATATTGATAACAACAATAAAAACAACAAGAACAAGAACAACAACCTGGTCTGTGCACCAGTACCACAGCGAGGGGATGGTCATTCCAACCAGCACTCCCGGCCAGGGAAGGTCAGACGTGACAGGATCCCGGAAGATGTGGAAAGCGTCATCCCTGGGTAAACCGCAGCTGTTGTTGCCATAGTGGCTGCTTGCAATGGCTTGGAAGTATCTGTTCTGCAAGTCTTCCAGCCCTCCAACTTTGGAAAAACCTGGAAAGTTGAAGAGCAAACAATGTTCAGATTTCCTGCTGGTGCTCAGTATACCTGAAGGAGCCTCTCCACCCCCATCGTTCTGCCCAGACGCTGAGGTCCAGCGCCGAGGGCCTTCTGGCAGTTCCCTCATTGCGAGAAGCAAAGCTACAGGGAACCAGGCAGAGGGCCTTCTCGGTAGTGGCGCCCGCCCTGTGGAACGCCCTCCCATCAGATGTCAAAGCGATAAATAACTACCTGACATTTAGAAGACATCTTAAGGTTCAGGGAAGTTTTTAATGTGTGATATTTTAGTGTATTTTTAGTTTCTATGGAAGCCGCCCAGAGTGGCTGGGGAAACCCAGCCAGATGGGCGGGGTACAAATAATAAATTATTATTATTATTATTATTATTATTATTATTATTATTATTATTTGCTTTGCATGGGCCTGCTGTGGTGTTTTGAGAAACCGCTAAGTTCAAACAATGGGATTTAGGGAAGAATTCTCCATTGTGAGGTAACATGTCTTGATACATGAGCCCAAGAATGTGACACGCTTTCTCAGCTTAGAGCTGCAGATTTAAGCAAGGAAGAGATGTGATTTGGTGGAAGACAGGACTTTTTTGTTAACTGTTACAGATTTTGTCACCTTAAGAGAGTTTAAAACATTCATAAACGTTGTTAAAAATATTGGTTCTGATGGCGCAACGTAAGATGGTGATGAAGGGGTGCTCTCATATCAGCTGAGTATATGAACTTTTTATTTTTGACTAGGGACCTCAAAGACTAGAAATAACTCGGGCATCTCTGGACCTCTGCGAATGTCTGCTTATGACAAGTCTTAAAATAGGTGAATGCTAGAGACCCTTTCAGGTGTTCTTAGAAAGTTGGGGCGGCGGCGGCCCAGGACAGGGTCTTCTCTGTGGCAGCCCCTAAGCTGTGGCTCTCCTTCCCCACAGAGGTGCACCTGGCACCTTCATTGTACAGCTTCTGGTGAATGCTGCAGACGCACCTCTTTACCCCAAGCTTTTGACAATGGAGATGCATATTATAGGACCCACCTTACTGTAAGTTGTTTTAAACTGATTTTCAAACAGTGTTTTAATATTATATTTTAATGCTGTAATGTGCCCTGAGACCTTAGGGTGAAGAGTGGGCAATGAATTATTATTATTATTATTATTATTATTATTATTATTATTATTATTCCTATACTGCAGACCAGGAGACTGAGTTGGCCTGCTTGAGCCTGAGGCCAGACTCAACCCAGAGATGTCCTGGATCATGAGATGCGCTGCAGCCACTCATGGAGGTACGAGCAAAGTCAGGGAGCAATGAATGAAGTGGACATCTGCAGCTTTCTCCTGCATGTGAAACTTGGCATCATATCTCAGAGGGCAAACCCCACAAGAGAGCTCAGCTAGTAAAGCATGAGACTGTTCATCCTAGGGTTGTGTGTTCGTGCCCCGTGTTGGGCAAAAGATTCCTGCATTGCAGGAGGCTGGACGAGATGACCCTTGTGGTTCTGTGGTTCTAAGATACTTACTGAAGCCCATCAGCGTCAGTGCCCCAGCTAGCATGATAACTGTCTGCAGGGCATCGGTGTATATCACAGCTGCCAGGCCACCTACAGAGGGAACAGAAGAAGCAAGACCTGTGCTTGGAACTTGGTCTGGACATTAAAAGGTAAAGGTAAAGGGCCCCTGACAGTTAAATCCAGTTGCGAATGACTCTGGGGTTGCGGCGCTCATCTCGCTTTACTGGCCAAGGGAGCCGATGGTTGTCCGCAGACAGTTTTTCCGGGTCATGTGGAGAAACCAGAGCAGTGCATGGAAACGCCATTTACCTTCCCGCCAGAGCAGTACCTATTTATCTGCTTGCACTTTGACATGCTTTCGAACTGCTAGGTGGGCAGGAGCTGGGACCAAGCAACGGGAGCTCACCCCGTCGCAGGGATTCGAACCGCCGACCTTCCGATCGGCAAGCCCTAGGCTCAGTGGTTTAGACCACAGTGCCACCTGCGTCCTGGTCTGGACATTAGCTTGGCCAAAAGATTTGGGTTTGCATTAGTCAAGCCTCATATGCCCAGTTGCTTGCACAGGGCAGTCAAATGGTGGCTGACCCTAGTCCCGTTCCAGGTGGATCACCACCATGAGATAACTGCTGAAAAGCAGAGCTGGTCCTACCATTAGGCAGAATGAAAGTCACCTCAGGCAGCAGAAGTTGGAGCAGGCAAGGAGCAACCAGGAGATGTTGGAGGCCAGCTTCCCTGTGCCTTCTAGGGTAGTCTGCTGTCCTCAGGAACACACTGCCACATTGCCAATATCAAAATAAGACCCAATAGCCAGTCCAATCAGCTTCTTTACAGAAAGTGCTTGCACTGCAGGGCTTGGACCCTTTTGATCCCTTCCGACTCTACAACACTGTGATTCCCACAAGAATAGAGCTCAGGGCCATCCAATGAGGCTCAACGTTGGGAGGTTCAGAGCACACAAAAGGAAAGACATCTTCACACAATGCACCGTTGGAACTATGGAACTCCACCCCACAAGATGCAGTGATCAGCAACAACTTGGATGGCATTAAATGAGGATTAGACCACTTCATCAAGGATAAAGCTATAAATGGCTACTAGCCACGATGGCTACCTATTCCGCTATCAGAGGCAGCAAGATGTCTTGGACAGTCAGTGTAACCTAGTGATTAGTGTCAGGCTAGGGCCTGGGAGAGACCACAGATCAAATCCCCACTCAGTCATGAAGTTCCCTGTGTGACCTCGCAGGGCAGTCACTGCCTTTCAGCCTGATCTACCTCACAGGGTTGTTGTGAGAATTAAATGAGGAAAGGGAGAACCATGGTGCTACTTTAAGCTCATGGGGGAAAGTGGGATAGAAATGCAATTAACAAACAAACCCTGCTGGGGGGGGGACGGATATATCTACTCCTAGAGGTTGAATAAAGAGATAAGGACAGAGCGCTCTCTCTCTCTTCCCTCAGACTCACCTGCCACAGTGTAAACGGCTGTGATAACCAGCAGCCCAATGACAGCCACATAGAGATCCCAGTGCAAGGCCTGCTGGATGAAGAGGGCCCCAGCGTACATGTCAACCTGGAGGAGACAAAACCCAGACAGGTATGAGGACACTGAGGTTAGGCTCTGTCTGGTCTTTTGGATCTACTTGACCATGAAGATTCCTCCTCCATTCATCTTGCTTTGTTTGTGGGATGTTTACACGTCTCCCCACTAACCATTCACTCGTCCCACATTTTTCAGTGTGCTTTCCAAATGGCAAAAAAACCTGATTCTTTTTCAAAGTGTGTGTGTTGCACTAGAGGGTGGCAGAGGGCTTTGATCCTGCAAAATACTGGAGGCACCTCAAGTAGAGCAATAAATGCTCTCAGCTCCATTGTGCTCTACAGCTGAAGGATCCCCAGCCCCACCCCCTGTACGGACAGCCAAGCTCTGTTCAGCTCTTTTGGACAAAGGAGAAGCTTGTTTGGAAGAGGAAGAGCTGGAAAAATGGCTCAGTCATTCCTTGGGAGCAGGAAACTCAACAGGTGCTGGAGAGCAGCATCAGCAGTCTGTGGGGAGTTGGGGGTAGCCCCCAATCTGGGCTGCTAGAAAAGCATGGTGGGATTTACCCCACCTTACCACCGCCACGTCCCTCTTTAATTTGACATTCTCTTGAATTGCAAACAGGAGAATTTATTTATTTCCTGAATTTCTACTCTATCTTTTCCTCCAAGGAACTCGAGGCAGCATATGCATGCTTCTCCCTTTCCCCATTTAATCCCCCAAACAACCTTGTTAGGTAAGTTGGGCTGAGAGAGGCAGTGAGCTTTTTGGCCAAGTGGGGATTTGAAGCTTAGTCTCCCAGGTCCTAGTCCGATATTCTAACCACTACACCACACTGGTTCTCATGCACACTCCATGGTCAAAAAGGGAGGTTTTGTTTGCCTCTGTTGCTGCAGGCCTACTCAGGGTGATGTGTGTGATTAAACAGAAGACACCATGAGCCTAACATAATATAGGGCTACCGTGTTGAGGTGGGTCAAAAGATGGTTCATCTGGCATCCGCACAACATTTCAGGGAGAACAGAATACCCTTGCATCACTGCCACACAGTAGAAAGCACATTTGAGGATACATTCAACGCAGGAAGGGCTTTGCAAAATTCGTGCGGGACAACTCAGGCAAAGGAAGTTTGGGGATGCGAACAAACACAATGGAAATGAAATTAACCCAACAACCACACACAACTGCCTCAAATTCACCAGCCAGTCTGACCTGGGGTGGGGCAGGGGGACAAGGATCCCCCCAACCCCATATGACCCCCGTATGCAAGTAACTCCCCCTCCCTGTCCCCATCTTTGTATATCACTTCAGGACTCCGTTTGTGTGCATCAATAATTATTTTGAATCAGTCTTCAAACTAAACTAATACAGTCATACCTTGGGTTGCGATCGCTGCAGGTTGCGCGTTTTCGGGTTATGGACATGCCAAACCCGGAAGTACCAGAACAGGTTATTTACAGGTTTTGGCGCTCGCGCATGTGCAGAAACACTAAATGGCGCTTTGTGCATGCACAGAAGCGCTGAATTGTGTCACGCCCGTGCACAGACACAATGCTGCAGGTTGCGAACATGCCTCCCACACGGATCACGTTCGCAACCCGAGGTTCCACTGTAATCTACTTGATGACATCAGTAAGGCAAGGCAGCTGTGTGTGGAGTCCAGACTGAGAGCATCTTCCTGCTAGATGCAAAAATGCACCCTGATCCTGCTATTGATGGAACACAAGCAAAGGACACTCCATTGGGAGGGGGGGCAGTCCATATTATTATTAACAGTAGTAATAGTAGTAGTAGTGGCCTTGAGTGCTGTTTGGTTGTTAATGAGCAACTAAAGAGAAAGTGTTAGTAAGTTACTCATTAAAACCCATTGACCCCAAAGAAGAAGAATTACTAAACCAGGCAGGTTAGTCGTCCTCTGTCACTGTCCAGCACAACACAGGAGAGGGTCATCATGGCTCAGGGTAGAGCATCTAACATTCAGAAGGCCCCAGCTTCAGTCCCCAGCATCTCTAAGCCAGGCTGGTAATGTCCCTCACCCAGAATCCCAGAAAGCCATTGCAAGACAATACTAGCTAAATGGACCAAGGTATAAGATCTGTGTCTAAATGTTTTTGTTTTGCTCCGGAGCTTTTCCCGTGAAAACATCCTCTGAATTGGACGTCAAACTGGGGTTTCCACGGACTTATGTTTGCTCTGATTGAGCTTTAAAGAGCATGTTTCCACAGCAAAAGCTCCGGAGCGGGGGCGGGGGGAGCACTTGGACACAGAGCTGTAAATCGCTGACCATGGTAACAGCACAGCAGAGGCAAGTGTGGATAAGCCCTCAGATGTTCTGCTGGTGTTGGCATCTCCTTTACATCTATATCAAGAGAAATAAGTTCACAAAAAGGGAGCAAACCAAACAGGCAGAACTACAAGCAGGAAACTCAGCAACAGACAAAATAAATAAGGAGGGAGAAGATTCTGTTCTCAAACAAAGTGAGCTGCTACTGCTTTCGCTTGCCCTTATTCCAACAGGAAGAACACACTTTGTAAAATGATTCTGTGTGCTCAAAAATACATCTAGCATCAAAGAACGGGTAGCAGAAGCAGGCTTTCCCCCAAAATCTTCCTCAGCCTTCAGTGACCTACACAATCTTAAATCCAAAATTCAGTTCAGTCTCCTTCCCTCCTTTCATCATTTGCCTGTCATTCAGAAGCCAACACAACATATCAGAAAGATTGAAAGGCAGAAAAGGTCACTTAGGAAGCCTCAATGGACCTACTCTTTCCAAGCCAATTCTGTTCTGTCTCCTCTCGTCTCCTTACTTACTGAGATTTTGGTGAATATATAGATAAACAAGTAGAGAATCGCTAGGAAGATTTGAATCCTTTTGCCCCCAAAGCGCCTCTGCAAATATTCTGGCATGGTTGTCACCTGGAAATGATAAGGCAGCATTGATGAAAAACAGCAAGAAAAGGTTATTCGAAAACTAGGCAATAATAACATCACGGAAATGGTACAGTGCCTATTACCTCAGGAGGACAGGGCAGTGAGTTTAGGGTTTTTAAAGACCACAATTCTGAGAAATGACATGATGCATAACTTGGCACATCCGTTTCGGAACAGATTCCTGCTCTCTGAAAAAGTTGATGGGAAACAGTGGCCATAGTGTGGCCGGTGAACTCACCCCTGCTGCCACGTAGATGGGCAGAAACAGCCATGCCAGCACCAAGACACAGAACATGCCCTGTGAGGAGAAGCAGAGCCCAGGTCAGGAACAAAATAAGCAGGATCCAACCAGAAAATCAACTGACATACAAAAGCTCTCTCTAGGTTGGCTTTGGGTCCACAGAGTGGCTGCATGCCCTACTTTGCAGAAGACAGTCCTCTGTTTGAAAGGCTGTCAGGTTTAAACATAAAGAAGCCAAAGATGAGAGAGAGGGTCAGAAGAGGTGGGGTGTATCTTGAACCTGCCCATCAAGAGGGAGCTTCTGGGCAGTAAACTAAGAAGACCCTCAGTTCACCTGGGCACAGTCTGCCAAAAGATCTGTCTCGCCAGAGTGGTGCATGCACTAGTTTTCTCCCCCTTGGATTACTACGTGGGGATACCTTTGAAGGTGACCCAGAAACTACAACTAATCCAGAATGCGGCAGCTAAACTGGTGACTGGGAGCAGCCACCGAGACCATATAACATCAGTCCTGAAAGACCTTCATTGACTCCCAATACGTTTCCAAGCACAATTCAAAGTGTTGGTGCTGACCTTTAAAGCCCTAAATGGCCTCAGCCTAGTATACCTGAAGGAGCGTCTCCACCTCCATCATTCAGCCCAGACACTGAGGTCCAGCTCTGAGGGCCTTCTGGCAGTTCCCTCACTGCAAGAAGTGAGATTACGAGGAACCAGCCTTCTCAGTAGTGGCGCCCGCCCTATGGAACACCCTCCCATCAGATGTCAAGGAAATAAACAACTATCTGACTTTTAGAAAACACCTGAAGGCAGCCCTGTTTAGGGAAGTTTTAATGTTTGATAGTTTATCATCATCATCATCATCATCATCTTCTGTTGGGAGGCACCCAGAGTGGCTGGGGAAACCCAGCCAGATGGGCGGGGTATAAATAAATTATTATTATAATACCTGATGCACCACTACCAAGAAGGCCCTCTGCCAGGTTCATGCCCGTCCCAACACACACACATCATCATCCTCAGGAGCAGGTTGTGCCGTAAATGTGATACTCACGTTCCACTCGTAAGCCGTAGCACCAATTCCAGACGCTGCCCCGGAGCCAGCCAGGCCAATGAAATGTCCGCTGCCGACATTACTGGCGAAGAGAGATGCCCCCACCTGGGAAGAGAGGTTGGGAGAGCCAGCTCAGTTCCTGCCCTTCCCAAGAGCACCTAATCTTGCCTGGCACAGAAAGGACTCCACCCAGTTCCCCTGGAAAGGCTGTCAGGTCTCATTATGGGGACTGGTTCAGTTTCAGTTTCTTGTTTTTCCACTCTTAAGTTCAGTTCACCACGTTCCCACATCAGTGTGAGGTTATCTATTTTTGTTTTCCAAAGTCCTCACAAAAACTTACCAGTGTTTTAGTGTGCATTTCTCCTACTGTACATATTTTCTATGCAATTTGGTCTATTCTGCACATTTTTGAGAAGAAATTTTCTCTAAGACAATTTTCTCTAAGTGCAATTTTCACTGAAATGTGTGTTTTATACACACTTTACCCCTGTAGTGTATGCATTTCTGTACACATTCCTTGCCTGGCGTATTAGGGGAAGTTGGGGGGCACATCATGCTCCTTCTGCACTCAGCTCCCGCCTGTCTGACCTCAACTAGAAGAGAGTTGTACCCGTATGAATAATCTCAATGCAGGGATGAGACCTCAAAAAACCACCTTGAGGCTTTGAAGGCAGACAGAGGACTCTCTGCATTTCCACATAGCAAATCCACTCTGCAACAGACACCCCACCAAGACATCATAATGGAGATCGCTTACTGGCCACCAGACCATCTCGCCTCCAGCCAAGAAGTAGCCCTTCACAGTGCTTCGCTTGGTTTTCCACATGGACTGAGAAAGAAAGAGAGAGAGAGAAACGAGCAAGTCTAAAAAGCCTGAAGAGGCGGCAGTGAGTCACCCTCAACAACAACATCAGCAACAACCAGGCCTGCCCAAAACATTTTGGCGCCTGAGGCGGGCCACAAAATGGCCGCCAGGGAAGAATAGGTGAGTGAAGATCTACATCAGTGACCGGGGGTACGGGAGAGGAGACCAGCAGAACTCTGGGCAGGTGATTTTGATCCATGCGCAAAGAGTGTACAGTGGTACCTTGGGTTACAGATTCTTCAGGTTATGCGTTTTCGGGTTGCGCACTGCTCCAAACCCGGAAGCACTGGAACGGCTTACTTCCGGGTTTCGGCGCTCGCGCATGCGCAGAATCACTAAATCGTGCTTTGCGCATGCACAGGAGCGCTGAACCGCAACCCGCGCGTGCACAGACACAGTGCTGCAGGTTGCGAACGTGCCTCCCACATGGATCACGTTCACAACCCGAGGTTCCACTGTACTTAGGTGCCCAAGGGAAGGAGTGGTCAGATTTAGAACTTTCAACTCCTATGGCTCATTCACACTTCTGTTTGTCCCGCCACTTTCCTCCGGGAAAACAACCTCCTTACCACTGAATCAAATGTCAATCAGTTTTTCCAGGGACTGATGTATGCTCCAATTCAGTGGTAAAGAGCAGGCTTTCCTGGAGAAAGCAGCAGCGCAAACAGAAAATCGCTAAGACCCATGCTTTGTAGGCATGGGGCAAGCAAAGTGTGGACACACCCTGAGGACGACTCTGCAAAGGGATCTGCCTGGCATGCAGAAGGTCCCAGATTCAATCCCCAATGGCATCGCCAGGAAGGGCTGGGAGAAACTCCTGCCTGAAACTCTGGGGAAATGCTGCCAGCCAGTGTTGAATACTGAGATGGATGGACCAAGGGTTCGATTGGGACATCTGGTTGGCCACTGTGAGAAGAACATAAGAAGATAAGCTGCTGCCGGATGAGTCCAGTGACCCATCTAGTCCAGCCTCCTGTTCTCACAGCGGCCAACCAGATGCCTGTAGGAAAGCTTCAATCAGGATCCGATATCAAGGGCCCTCTCTCTGTGGTTTCCAGAATCTGGGATTCAGAAGCATTGCTGCCTCCGACTGTGGAGGCAAAGCACTGTCGCTGTGGCTAGTGACTATCAATAGCCCTGTCTTCCGTGAATTTGTCTTATCCTGTTTAACGCCATCCAGGTTGGTTGCCATCACTGCCTCCAGTGAAAGTGAGTTCCATAGTTTAACTATGCACTGCTGGACATCAGCCAGGCTCTTCTTAGATTCCCACTTGGGCTTTTTCTGAAAAGCACTAGGCTGTGGTTTCTATCGGCAGGTGCAGGGAGGCTTATGGCTGGGGAGGCAACCAGGAAGTGTTTGGGCCAGTTGCATGTGGGAATTGTTGGCAGCATGACAAAGCAGGAAGTGAACTACCTTGACTCATCAAGTTGCTCAATCACACCTGGAGGGAGACATGAATGAATGGAGTGCTTGCATTGCTTGCTGGGTATGGAATCTGGGCCAAGGCTGGTGGCAGATTGCCCTGGCAGAGGGTGCCAGGAGCTAAGAATAACTAGTTCTAGAATCTGCCAATAAAGGGTAAGAGTCATATTTTGACAAATTTCGACAACAGCGAGAGTATGTCTATCCTGGTAACGAATGACCTCATGGAATTATGATGGTTCCTGGATGGCTGCTGCCAGTCAGTGTAGACAATAAGGAGCTACATGAACCAAGGGTCTGACTCAGTATAAGGCAGCTTCCTATATCAGAGGAAGGGCTGTAACGCTATGGCAGAGCATCTGCTTTGCACCCAGAAGGTCCCAGGTAAGGCTGGGAATGATTCATGTCTGACATCCTGGAGAGCTGCTGCCAGTCAGTGCAGACAGTACTGAACAAGATGGACTCAGTATAAACCCAGTGTGTGTAGTGGTTGGAGTGTTGGACTAGGAGCTGAGAGACCAGGGTTCGAATCCCTGCTCATCTATGAAGCTCACTGGGTGACCTTGTGGGCCAGTCACTGCCTCTCAGCCCAACCTACCTCACAGGGTTGTTGTGGAGATTAAATGAGGAGGAGGAGAACTATGTATGGCACCTTGAGCTCCTTGGAGGAAAAGGAGGGATATAAATGCAATGCAATGCAATGCAATAAACAAAATAAAATAAAATAGCTTCCTAAGTTCCCTTTGGATCTCTGCACCCATGTGGAGACATTGTCCCTCAACTGAACAGAACAATCAAGGAAACGTCTTTCTTACCCACAGTCCAACAGCCAAAACAAATACAAAGTACAGAACCAGGACAACAATATCCACAGCCTCCAAGCTCTGTTGGGGGAAGGCAGGAGGCAGAGTGGTTGTGCTTGGCTCCATTGCCACTTGGATCTCCTGGGCGCCCTTCCTTCCTTCCTTCCTTCCTTCCTTCCTTCCTTCCTTCCTTCCTTCCTTCCTTCCTTCCTTCCTTCCTTCCTTCCTTCCTGGTGTGTTTATCTGGCCAAGAAAGAGAGAGAGCAATATACAACAAATGTGTAAGGATCTTGAGCAACATCTGCTGCCCATCAAATACCCCTACTCGGAGGTCACTCTTGAAACCCCTGTAGATGCAAGAGGAGTAAAAACTTTTTGTTGCGACTGGAAGGTGAGCAACTCAATTGACTGAAAATGCAAAACCAAACTGCTCCGAGGTGGATAGTTTCCTGGTTCCATGGGGAAAACAGAATCCTGGAAGGAGGATCCAGTCTCTAGCATGCAGAGGGAGAGATGTTGACTGTAATTGGGAGGTAATCCACCTTGAGTTCAATCACACTGTGCCAACCATAGCAGTAGATCAAAGGGATTGAGCAAGAAGCACATCTATAGTCCAACCCATGGAAACCATCTCATTTGCAGCCCAGCTTCCTGGAGCCAACAAGCAAGGGCGGATTTTAAGAACTGTTTTCCCATGTGGTGGAAGTAAGCAAGGCCATATCTGTTGCTGCTGTTACCCCTATTTCAATTTATTAGTGGCTTGCAATAGAAAAAGCCTCTATGTGTTTTACCAAACCTAGAATCACAGAGTTGTAGAGTTAGAAGGGACCGCAAGGGTCATCTGGTCCAACCCCCTGCAATGCAGGAATCTCAGCTCAAGAATCCCTGGCAGGTGGCCATCTGTTTAGAAACCTCCAATGAAAGAGAGTCCACCACCTTCTGCGGCAGCCCGTTCCATTATTGAGCAGCTCTTACTGTCAGAAAGTTCTTCCCAATGCTTAGTCAGAATCTCCTTTCTTGTCATTTGAAGCCATTGGTTCAGATCCTCCTCCCCTCTGGAGCAGCATCCAAGGGGATGCCAAGAAGCTTTTTCTGGAAGATGCCTGAGTCCATTGCTTAGGTTGGTTGGCATCCTTCTGAGTAGAAAGTATTGGGTTAGGAGACTCAGTGGTCTGGAAGAATTGGGCTGCAAACCAGCGATTGCTAGGTCAGTAGACCGTGAGACTCTTAACCTCAGAGTCATGGGTTCAAACTCAATGTTGGGCAAGAGATTCCTGCATTGCAGGAGGGTTGGACTAGACATCATGGTCCCTTCCAGCTGTACAATTCTATGATGAGGAACATGTGGTCCTGCAGATGTTGTTCAATTCCAGCTCCCATCAGCCAGCAGACTCCGGGGTCAGGGATGACAGGAGGTAGCCACCCAACAACATCTGGAGGGCCACAAGTTCCCCAACCCTGCTCTAGACACACCGTCAAGTCCCCTTCTTTTCGGGTAAGGCTCAGTTCAGTGGGAGAGCATCTGCACTGCCTACAGAAGGTCACAGGTTCAACCCTTCAGGGAGGACATCTGCCAGTCACTGTCAACAGGTAACCCCTAGCCACTTTTATATTATTCCTGCATTGCAGGGGGTTGAACTGGATGACCCTTGGCATCCCTTCCAGCTCTACAGTTCCAATATTCTACTACTTTTCCTTCAGGATGTGGCCTTTCTGCAATGTATGTCTTTGTCCATTTGCAGCAGTGCCTTCTCCCCAGTGCTCCCAAGGTGGAGTCACCTGCAGAAGACTTAAAGGACCTCAACTCATGGCTCCAGGATCTTAGCAGCTGGTGGTTTGGGCCATTTGGCTCAACAAAGGTTTTTCATGACTGTTCTTGAGGCAGGTGGTGAGGGGCCTGAGTCACTTCCTGATGTGGAGTCCCCACAGCAAACATCTCAAGCCCCTAAGCAGTGAGGTCAAGAGAAGGTCAGAGTTCCTTTCTTAAGCACTGGGACCCTTTGATATCATGATGCACAGTTCCCTTCATGTGATCATGTGCCCTATGGATAGACAAATCAAACAATTTCAGTTCCTTGTTTTTCCAATCCTAAATTCAGTTTGCTGCATTTCCACATTGGTTTGCAAACTACTTTTTTTTTAAAAGAAAAAGAAGCCCATTACACATTTGTCTTCATTTGGGCAAGCAATTTCTCCTGATATAATTCATTTTTGTATATTATGCTCAGTCCCTAATGTGGTTATTCTTGTGCACACTTTCCTTTCATACATGCTGCTTCCTTCCCTCCCATGTTCTCTCTCTCTTCCCCCTCCTCCTTTGGCTGGGGAACTGCATCTCCACCTTTGGAGAAGCCAAGATTTCATAGGATAGCTGTGCTTTAGGGTTTGCCTATTAGAATGCAAAGAAACCTGGATGTCTGCCAGGAAGAGAACACTTACTGTGGGACACGCTGGTCTGGGTCAAGCCAATGGAACGCCAGTCGGAGCCTTGGGGGCCTTCACTGTGCCCAGGTTTTGGAGCAGCAGCCTAGGGGAGGAGGAATCCTCTGAGGCTGTTGCAGAAGCCAAGCTGCCCTGCTCTGTGTGGGAGCCCTGGGAGTAGACAAACACGTTCTTCCGCTTGGTTCTAAGGTGCTCACTGTAGAGAGCAGGAGGCAAGGAGCCAGAGGAATACCTTTCAGGTGGGTGTCACTTTCTCGATTGGCCAAATGCCTGCTTTTCACAGGAGCTCCACTTCCTCTAGTTCTTCTTCAAGATGCGGAATCTAGAGAAGCAGGGCAATTCCACTGCCTCCCAGCTGCCTTTGGCCCTCCTTCAACAGACACCTTGCGGCAGCCGTGCCTGCTTTCATCCCAGAGCTGCAGCTTTAAGAACTTGGTGCTGGAGCTTGCTTTCCTTCTTCCTCTACCCTCCCCGTCCCCTTTTCCTTGTGTGCTGTGTCTTTTTAGATCGAAAGGCTGAGAGGTTAAGGGACTCTCACTCCTACTGATCTTTGTAAGCCACCCAGAGAGCCTTCTTGGCTTTTGAACAGGGTAGAAAATATGCTCTGAATAAATAAACAAAGGAGCATCTAAAATGCTGTGGGGCATGGAGCCTGCAGGGCTGAAGACTTTTGGGAAGGGTGCCAGAGAAATTGCCTGACATCATTACAACCCTTACAATATCCGACAGAGGAAAATAGATCCATTTGATTTGCATGTCACGAAGAAGAACAAGTTCTTTGAGGGTGGGATGCCAGCCATAATCGCTAAGAATGGAGCTATCTCCAATGTCGAGATGCAGGAGAGAGGCAAGAGGCTGGTAAGTGCTGGTGCACCAGCAGGAAATGTCTATATTTTCAATGAGTTCCTCTAAAACAGCCTTCCCCAACCAGGTGCCCTCCTGCTGTTTTGGACTACAATTCTGGACTATAATTCTACAATCCAATGTGATACTCATTCTGTTCCTGTGAGCTCTGGGTATCTGACCCCGCCCAAAATATATTGTGCTAGAATAACTTCAACATATAGCTCGTCTGTGACACACAAAAAAGCAATTTTCCTGCTGAAACGTTTTAAAGGTGGGCTTAATTCTCATCAAGCAGCATCACACACCTTATCTTCACTGTCAAGCAATGGGGTGTTGCTGTTGCTGTTGCTGTTGTTGTTTTAAAAAGTCTCTTGTTCCAAGCAGCATACAATTCTTTAACAATTATCTGGAGAGGTGGTTTGACATGAAAGATGGAGCTAGCTTGTTTTCTGTTGCTCCAGAAGGAGACCTCAAGCCAGCCTATTCCAATTACCAGAAAAGGGATTCCGGCTAAACATTAGGAAGAACTTTCTGACAGTAAGAGCTGTTCAACAGTGGAATGGTAGACTCTCCCTCTTTGGAGGTTTTAAAACAGAAGTTGGGTGGCCACCTCTTAGGGATTCTTGAGCTGTGATTCCGGCATTACAGGGGGTTGGATTTGATGACCCCTTGGGGTCCCTTTCAACTCTACAATTATATGATTGTGTGGGTTAACAGCAGAAGAGAGGAGTGGCATGCTGTGAGCTCTACGTACATGGATAGTGTGATCTAAGACAGGCATCACTAGAATAAACCCAAATTGTTTGTGCACGATGTAGCACATACCAGCCCAGCAAGGAGAAGTTAGCAAACAAACTGAGTGCATATCAGGTACAGTGGTGCCTCGCAAGACGAAATTAATTCGTTCCGCAAGTTTTTTCTTCTTGCGAGTTTTTCGTCTTGCGATGCACGGTTTCCCATAGGAATGCATTGAAAATCAATTAATGCGTTCCTAGGGAAACCGACTTCAGACCAGGTCCGGGGACAGTCTGTCCCCCGACCTCTTCTGAAGGCTGGGGGGGGGGACAAGGGCTTTCTTCCCACCCACCCCAGCATTTTAAAAAACCCCCGGACAGCGGAGGGCTTCTCCGCTGTCCGGGGCGATCTTAAAATGCTGGCGGGCGGCATTTAAAATTGCCCCGGGACAGCGGAGGACTTCTCCGCTGTCCGGGGCAATTTAAAGCCCCTGGGAAGGCAGGCAGGGGGACAAAGACTTTGCCCCCGCCAGCCTTCAGAAGAGGTCCTGGACCTCTTCTGAAGGTTGGCGGGGGCGAAAGTCTTGTCCCCCCACCTGCCTTCAAAAGCTGTCCAGCCAAGGCTCGCGGACCTCTCCGCAAGCAGCGGCAGCACTGCCGCTGCTTGCGGAGAGTTGCCGGCATGCCGAAGCCTGCGCGCGCTGAGATCAGCGCGCCCAGGCTTCGCGGACCTCTCCGCGAGCAGCGGCAGCGCTGCCGCTGCTTGCGGAGAGTTGCCGGCATGCCGAGGCCTGGGCGCGCTGATCTCAGCGCGCCCAGGCTTCGCGGACCTCTCCTGCCTTCAAAAGCCGTCCGGGATAGCGGGAAGCGCTTCCCTGCTATCCCGGACTGCTTTTAAAATGCTGGCGGTGGGGAGCAAAGCCATTCGGCCCCCCCCAGCCAACCAGGACCACATCAGAAGGCCGGAGGGGGAAGGCTTTGCTCCCCACCGCTAGCATTTAAAAGAGGTCCCGGAGATTTCCCTATGGGCTTTCGTCTTGCGAAGCAAGCCCATAGGGAAATTCGTTTTGCGAAGCGCCTCCAAAACGGAAAACCCTTTCGTCTAGCGGGTTTTCCGTCTTGCGAGGCGTTCGTCTTGCGGGGCACCACTGTACAAAGTAAGCACTAGAGTTGTATGCAGGAAGGAGGGAAGGAAGATTCATTTGTGACGCTACTTCAGGTAACAGGCCACTTCACCTCAGAAATATGCCACCAACTCTCCTTTGGGAAAATCCAAAACCTTGAAAGATTCCACATATGAGGAAATCTACAAATGCCTATAACTTTTTAAACTTATTGTGGGACAAGGGATCAGGCCAAGAAAGCACAGCAAGAGCAAAGAGTTAAAAGCTCTCTCCCCAAATGCTGCAGTAATTCATTGTGGATGCAAAAATTAAGCAAAGAAGGGCCAGTTGCCTCTTGCCTGGGCCTGATGGGGGTTGCAGCCCAAAACATTTGGCATTCTGCCTGAATATGGGGCTCACGTGGGGCAGGAAGTAAAACACTACCCCTTGCAAAGTAAGTCTAAAGTTTACAGGCAAGGGTCTGTGCTTATTGGGGAGGCAGCTGTCATTCCAATTTGGTGGCGTGGGGTGGAAAAGCTCCCAAGGTTCTTTTCAGAAGCCTGTGGAGACCCCCATACAAAGAGTAGCCAGAGCTCATCATAAGAGCCCAGCAAGTTGTGGGAAGCCATTCTCCTGTAGGGACACGGCATTGCTGGGTTCTTTGCCTGGAGTACCAAGTCCCAGTGGCAATTTCTTCCAGCAGAGGGAACCAGTAGCCTGGCTATCCTACTTCATTGCCCAAACTAGCAAGGGGCTTCCCCATCCACCCAATTTGAAATCCCCATCCTTGATGCTTTGACCAAAAAGGCTTTTGTCTCCTTGCTTTGTGCCAGCATGGTGTAGTGGTTAGAGCATCAGGCTAGGACCCAGGAGACCAGGGTTCAAATCCCCACTTGGCCATGAAGCTCACTGGATGACCTTGGGCAGGCCAGCCACTGCCTCTTGACCTAACCTACCACACAGGGTTGTTGTGGGGGATTAAATGAGGAGGGGAGAGCCTCTATACACCACCTTAAATTCCTTGGGAGGAAAGGACGGGCACGAAATAAAAAAATAATTGCACCAAAGGTGGATGAGTCTGAACCATCCCATTTGCAGCTGCGTTTAAAGGCCCACAATGCTCTCTGGGGCTCAGGGCAAAAGTCTGTGCATCCCCAGTGAAATCCCCAGGCCAGGGAACCTTTGAGATTGCTAGCACCCCTTCCCCGCCCTTCTGTCCTCCTAATTTCCATTGTTGAAGTCCACGTCCTGGAATTGCCTCCTCCTTGTGACTTGAAGAAATGGAAAGTTTAGGGCTTTTTTGTCCATTCCGATCACAGTCTTGTTCTGTTCAGTTCCCTTGGCACCAGGCGCCTGCCCTTGCTGGGTTGGAGGCGGGCAGTTCTTTCCGGAGAACAACCAGCGCATTGAAGCGGCTCCATTGAAACCAGCCCAGAGAGAGCCAGCAGACCATGTGGCTGGCCCATTGCCACCTCCGAACCGGGTCTGATGCTCCTCGCCATTCTATTTACGGTTTTTGCATTTGCAGCCCCGATGGATCTAGAGCTAAAGGCGCCCCCAGACCCACCTGTAAGAATCCTCCACGTGATCCGACGCAAGCCGTGAGCAATGAGGGGACTTACCCTGCACCTTTGGGTTTCTTTCTCCTGTCACCCTCGATGCCGCCAGCCTCTTGCCAATCCACGAGACGGCTTAAATATTGCCAGCGGGCAGACGGGGATTTGCCAGTGGGGCTGTTTTACATTTTCACGAGGCGTGAGAGGAGAAATTTATAGGCAGAGCCATTCAGTTCATTGGAGGCCTGCTTGCTTTGTGTTGATGTGGCTTGCAAGAAGGACAGCTGTGTTGTTTCCTTATCAGGGGTTTGGGGGTCAAACTCCAAAGTGTATCATTCCCCCACCTTCCAGAAAGCAATCATTGGAGGAGAGATGGAGAGAGGGAGGGAGAGGGAAAGAAGTGAATCGAATGCCAGAGATAAAGAGGAAAGTTGATAGAGAAGTGTTCATCTCTGTGCCATCATAATATTAGAACCCAGTGGGGTCATCCAAGGAAGCTTAACGATAGAAGACCAGGAGAATAAGAAGTCCTTCTTTATGGAGCACATAGTTCCCACTAGAAGGAGTGAATTGGATGGCTTTAAAAGAGGGTTTAGCAAATTTATGGAGGATAAGACACTTCTCCATGGCTACTAGCCACTGACAATGTTCTGCCTTGGATCAGAGGTGGTATGTCTTCCTTACAAGAAAGGAGACTCCAACTAAATATTAGGAAGAACTTTCTGTGGTTAAGAGTCAATGGTCTGACTCAGTGTAAGGCAGGTTCCAATGTTCCTTAAGGAAAGGGTTGTAGCTCAGAGGCAGAACATCTGCTTGGCATGCAGAAGGTCCCGTTTCCAAGTAGAGCTGGGAATGTTCCCTTGTCTGAAACTCCTGTCTGAAACTTCTCTCCCTCCCCTGTGTTGTTTGTCCTATAAGCTAGCTTGGTCTTATTTTGAATGCACTATAAATCATAACACAACAATCAAAAGAAGCCTGTTTTGATGAAGAGATTGTGGCCAGGCAGCAAAGCGTGTTGAAAAGTCATTGTCAAAACATTGTCAAAACACAGGTGCCACCCCCTCCAGTTTTGCACCAAACATTTTCCCCAAAACAGTCCTTTCTTTTCACACAGGCAAAGCTGGCACAATACCTGTGCCCAGTAACCTGCATCTCAAAAGTAGAGGAAAAGGGGCACAGCAAGGCATCTTCACCTTGAAACACTGAGGCACCTGGGTCAGTTTTTTTATTCCAACATTTAAATTCTAAGCAGAATTCTGAAAAAGACTTGCCACCAAACCATTTGACTTGCTGGCAGAGGGTGAGTTGCACTCAGGCTGTTCCCACTTAACTGGCCCACAAAATGAAGCAACCTGGGCTGTGGCCTCATCGCAGCCAACACAAATGCAGACGACGATGTATTGGAGCCCTCCAGAAATAATACAGTCGACTCACAACTTGCTTGCATGATCAATCGCAGGCTTACGCACTTGGCAGCCGGCCAGCATACAATTGCACAAATTAAAGGCACACAAACTGGAGAGCTTGGAAGATCTCTCTGTGCCAGGTTTTCCCACTGCAGAAAGAGCTTTAAAGCTCTTCTTGATTACTGGGTTTTGGGAAGGTCTTGTGCAGACTCCAAGAGGCTCCCGTGAAATTTGATGGGAGCCTCCTAGAGCCCGATAAGCAAAGTGGAGCGCTTAAAAGCTCTCTGCCTTGTGTAGGGGGCAAGGCACACTGGCTTCAGAAAGGTAGGGGTGGTCCCATGGGGGCAATTCCAGGGGTTTTCTAACTGTACTCAGTTTTGGCTTTATGCACAATTCCTGGAATGCAACCCCCAACAAGCAAGTTGCGAGTCAACTGTAATTATACTCCTCCAAAGGAGACTGGGCCACTACATACATTCTTCCATATGAACCTGCCCTGGGCTCTGAAATCTTCAGGGATAGCCTTTCTCTCAGTCCTCCGAGTGTCACAGGCACACTTGGCAGGGACATGGGACAGGGCCTTCTTGGTAGCTGCTCCCAGACTTTGGAACTCCCTCCGTAGAGAAGCCAGGGATGAAAATGTAATAAATAAATAAATGCAAATAAAAGCATAAATAGACCTCAAGAAACATCTGGGATTCCAGAAGTTCTAGTTGTGATAGAACAGCTGCTTAGGATGGAGGGTTTCTGGAGATCTCCGTCTTCCTATGGGGCAAGTGTGGCTGGCCCTCAAAGTACCCATTGCGAAAGTTCAGGGGTCAATGTAGAACAGGATTCATGACTCCCCCAAATAATTCTGGGAGTTGCGGTTTGTTAAAGGTGCCGAGAGTTGTTAGGAGGCTCCCTATATCCCTCAGAGAGCTCCCCGGGAAAAGGAGTTGATTGCTAAACCACCTTAGGAATTGTAGCTCTGGGAGATGAACAGGCATCCTTAGCAAACTACAGCTCCCAGAATTCTTTGGGGCAAGCCGTGGCTGTTTAAAGTAGAATCAGAGATCTTTAAATGTGCAGTGTAAATGGAGCTTGACTCCCTCTGGGGTTTCTGGCAGGAGACATTTCCAGCCCTTACACAGAATGCCACTGGGGATTGAACCCAGGGCCTTCTGCATGCTGAGCAGGTGCCCTGCCACTAAGCTCCACCTCTTCACTGCAACGTCTACATCTTGGGGGAAACCCATCGCCTCCCACCCTGCAGTGGTTGCATACTTGAAGAAGGACTGACCAAAGTTTACCCACCAGTGGAAGCACCATCATCCTCTTGGGACAGAAGAGCAGCTGACAAGGCTCCATAGCAAAAGCTGAGCTGACTGGGCACTCCAGAACTCTCTTCTCTCTCCCTTGGCGTTTTTCATTGCTACACCGTCCCCCATCAAGACAAGTGAAAGCTAGGTCTCAGTTGCCTTGCCACCCTCTTGTACAAAAGAACAGCCGCCCCATCCCTGGGCATTGTGCCCAAAGTGATCTCAGGGCATCACATGAACCACTGTGCCATCCTACCCCTGCTCCCCTTTCGGGGCCGGTGGGGGCGAGAGGGGAGTTAAGATCTTCACAAAGCCCTCATCTGGAGTTGAGGACATTTTTGCTGGGAGCTGCTTTTTAGGAAATTGCTAAATGTTGGCACTCTGCAGAAGGTTTTGTCAATAGACTTGTGGTTTACTCAGATGTGGTTTGTTGCTCTGGCTGAGAAATTGACGTGCCAGGTCAGGGCAGCCAGAGGCAAGACGAGACTTTTATCCTTGCACAACACCTGGGCTTAATCCATCTCCCATATGTGATGCAACGATCAATAAGACAAGTTGCCCAGACTGATGGAAACAGCTGGAGAGACCTAGTGGACTAGAGTCTTTAATATTATGAGTAGGTTCTAAGTTGTGGATCAGTTCTTAAGGAAATCAGCCCTGAGTGCTTACTGGAAGGACAGATCCTGAAGCTGAGGCTCCAATACTTTGGCCATCTCATGAGAAGAGAAGACTCCCTGGAAAAGACCCTGATGTTGGGGAAGATGGAGGGCACAAGGAGAAGGGAACGACAGAGGCCGAGATGGTTGGATAGTGTTCTCGAAGCTACCAGCATGAGTTTGACCAAACTGTGGGAGGCAGTGGAAGACAGGAGTGCCTGTCGTGCTCTGGTCCATGGGGTCATGAAGAGTCGGACACGACTAAACAACAACAAAGTTGTGGTTCCAACTTTAAGCTGTGGTTACGTCTGCAAGAAATGACAGGCAAGCTGCTACTGCTTACATATTTTAGATTTAGATCAACACCTAGACAAACAAAACAGCAACAGAAAGAAAAGTGCAAGTGCCCTGTGCTGGCAGTGGGACCTGTGGAATGCCAACTCTGTTACTGAGCGAGATTTTCAGAGGACCCAGCAAAACGCAGCAGGAGAGAGCCAGGGTTACTTTGGAAGAGTTGCTGTTTTTCATTGACCCACTTTCTGACCATCAATGAGCAGGTGATGTGGCTGACCTGCTCGCAGTTAATGATCACCCTTGCCAAGGCCGCCAGGGCTCCCCTGCACATGACCTCACCAAGAAGACTTTGCATTATGAACAAAGAACCACGTGCCCATCGAGAGACAGATCCGCTGCCAAGGCGTAGCAAAGAGCAGGTGACAGACCAGAGTGTTTCTCGCTCCTGGCACGCTGACTGTCACGGCAGACACAGCAGTGGCTGTGGGCTAAAGCTCAGGGCAGGCTGTGCAGGAAGTCAGTGGAGATCTGGAGCTGTGAACATGCTTGGTTGGTGGCCATGAGTGACGGGTGCCATTCACACTGGACTGGCGAGGCAACCCTCTGGGGAGGGAAACCTGCAGCTCTCCAGCAGTTGCTGGACTACATCTCCCATGATCGCTGACCATTGGTGATCCTGGCTTGGACTGATGGGGATGAGGAGTCCAACCAGGGCCGGCCCACCCAAGAGACATGTTGAGGCAGTTGCCTCAAGGTGACAGGCTCTCAGCAGCTGGGAGGAGTGACAGAACTGCCACCACCTCCTCCTCTACTGTGCATCTGCCACCCTCTGGGTGGGCATACGGCAGAGGGTGGTGGGCAGGCACATGGCAGAGGTGGAGGAGGAGGCTGGGGCAGCATTTTCAGTTTTGCCTCTAGGAGCAAAACATCCTGGTTGGCCCAAACAACACCTGGATAGCCAGCAGTTCCCCCATCCCTGCAGCAAAGAGGACAATGGGTCTTCAGTTGCATGCTCTGCATTGCCTTTCTTATGTTTCTTTAACTCGCATCTCTGTGGCAAATGTCACTGTAATCAGCTGTCCTTAAATTGGAAGTGGGTGGCTCTTGAAAGGTCACCTTTCTCCCTTCCCTGGATACCTCCAGATGCACCTGCACCAACGATTAGTGAAAGCTAATGGATGGACTGATCTCTCCGTTGACTTGCAAGGGGGGAGGGAGAAGAGGCTGTGCCCTCAAGCAAGGGCTGCTGTAGAGAAGGATGAACACAGCTGCATCCCTCCCACTGGGACCCAATGCCTGGTCGCCTCTCCCTACCTGCCTGCTCAGCTTGTAAGATATCACCAAGCCTTGCGCTCACAATCGCAAGCATATCGTTGCAACCCAAATGAACCAGAAATGTGTGTTTTAAAAACCTGAGTGTCTCAAGAAGCTGCAGCCTACACAATGCCACACTCTGCTTTTCCTGCCTTTGTGCACCATCAACATCCACCCACCCACCGAGAGAGAGAGAGAGAGAGAGAGAGAGAGAGAGAGAGCTCTGAATGCCACCAAAACCACATTTGCACTGTGGCAATCTTTTGGCCAGCTCCAGAAACAAACCACAGTTTCCCTCTCTAGAGGCTTGGTCTCACATCAGGGATCAAAGCGATGTAACCTTGCACATGCAAAAGGTTTTGCTGCAAGGGCAGCATCACTTTATTGGAGGGGAGCATGTCAAGTTGGATGGAAACTCAGCTCCAGGCATATATACATTGTCCTTGATAGGAGCTCTTCAATCATCGAAAAACATCACAAGAAGATATTGTCTGGAAGCAAAGAGGGGGACCTGGCTCTGTCACTTTGCAACGTCAAGTCAGAACAGTCATACAACAGCCTCAAAAAGCTCCTTGAACAGGATTAGCTGGACACAGCACAGATTATCCAGTGGCAAGGCTGGTTACTGGTCAGCCTTCCTGGTAGCCCTCCAGATATTTTGGACTCCAACTCCCATCAGCCCTAGCATCATATGGTCACGCCAGCTAAGGCTGATGGGAGTTGTAGTCCAAGATATCTGGAGGGCACCAGGTTGGAGGAAGGTTGGATGAACCACAAATGGGAACCTGGGTGGCTCAGCTATGGCGAAGAGAGACGCCAATACCTGGCATTTGAAGCAGTGCAAGACGGAACAGTTTGCAGCGAGGGGATGGTACAGCTGGGCAGGGTTTAAAAACAACAACGGAAGAATTTTAAAAAATGAAAAGCCCAAGAGCCCACTAAGGTCAAGTGTAGTTAATGCACTGGGTGGTGATGAGTCTGTGCTTTTGGCCAAGGCTACCAAGAAGCTGCTTCCTCCAGAGGGGCATGGAGAGAAAAGGTTAGATGGGAAAGGTGGCTTCTTCCTGAAGCACAACGGGTGGTGGGATGGAGAGAAAATAAAGTCCTGGGTTTAATTTCCATCTAAGAGAACCTAGAGTAAGTGGGGCAGGTGGGGAATAGATAAGCTTCTGCTAGAGACCCTGATGGTCCCTGGCTGCACACAGCATCCCTCGGTATAAGGCAGCTCCTTGTATTTCGTGGAGCGATGAGCAACTCCACTCACTCTGCTGTGCTGAAAGAGGTTTTGCCACAGTCCAGGCAAGCATCCCCCGGCCTGGTGCCCCTCATGTGGGCTGGTGTTGCCATCCAAAACATATGGAGAGCACCAGATGAGGATGAAGCCTTCCCAGGGAGAAGAGTGCAGCTTCAGGGAGTGATCAGTCCTGGATGCTTTCAGTCTTATTTGCCAGGGTGAACCGGTTGGGGCAGAAGCATTCCCCAGACGACTGGCCTGATGTGTTTCTGAGGATATGGACACCCTTTTTGGGAGCAGGTTGCAGAGCCCAGAGGGTAACCAGGACTAGCTGAGGTGAAAGAGTGAAAAAGCAAAGCATCTCGGCCTGGGCAACTTGAGATACCTGCCAGGGGCATCAAAGAATTCCCCAAAGAGAAGCTGTTTGGGGAATTGGTGCACAAACCTCCCTCCTCCCACCCTGCCCAGATGCAACAGTAAACTGGTTGGATGAAACCAAAAGCCAGACTCCTCATGAAGGCCCATGAAATTTAGGGGAGAAAAGAAAGGCAGTTCTGCCTGTCCCTCTCTGTCTCCTGGGTCTCACAGCTCAGGGCAGGGGTATTGCTAGAATCAGCCCTGTGATACAAATGTGCCAAACAGGATTTGCACGTGGTGATTTATACAAATAAATGCTGAACTTTTCGGGGAATGGAAGCCCAAACTTCTTACTCTTGCTGTCAGGGCTTACTCTGAGCTATCAGATACCGAACATGATTTTCTGGGCCTGGTGCCCTATATGTGGATTGGGTCGCACACAAATTAGGATGGCGAGTGGGTCTGGGGTCTTGCCAGTACTGCACTAGGCAGTGCATCCAGTTTCCCTATAAGCAAAGTTTTTTAAAAAACAAAGTTTATGCTTTAAATGAAGTGGGGAGAGAAAGGGTGGGAGATCTAGGGCTTTTAAAAAAAACAAAAAACCCACAGGGATTCAGTGCCCTGGACCATCCACTAACATGCCAGGTTTAGGATTGGGGGGGCTGAAGGAATGCATGTCCTGAATGGAGGGGAGAAGAAAATCTGGTCCTTGAACAGTTCGTAGAAAGCCACGGACACCCAGAGGGTCCCACAGCCAGCATGGCCACTGTTGCAACTCCTGCATCCTGCCCTCTTGCATCCAGGTCCACAATGGGGTGCCACAGAGGTGTTTTCTCCAGCACCAGAAAGAGCACAAAGTGATAGTCCCTCATTCTCTCTTTCTCCGGCAGTTCCCAAGCCAAGCAGAGATGCAGCCCCCTCATCTTCTCTTGGCCACACCCAACGGCTGACAGGCTGTTGCATCACCAGGCAAGAGGCGGGGTCATCCTGGGGCTGCGCTGGGGCTCCCCGCCAGCCTGCACGTCGCTGAAGGCGCGCTGCGGGGAGAGAAGGAGGAGGCGTGAGAGGCAGCCCTGGGGGTTCCCCAAAGACAAGACCAAGCAAAGAACACACAAGGGGGTGTCCAACAGGGAAGGCTTTCCCCTTTGGTGCAATGGCAAGCTTCTCTTAAGCCCTACAGGAGGCCTGCCAGTCAAAAGGGGACAACTCCGGGCCTCTGGCAAATCAGTCATCTAGTGTCTCCACCGCCTCACATCACAGCATAAGCTCGGCACGAACCTTAATCACATTGTGGCAAATTGCGACCCAAATGCTGGAAGCTGCCTTATACCGAATCAGACCTTTGGTTCCTCCAGCTCAGTATTGTCCACACTGACTGGCAGCAGCACTTCAGGGTTCCAGGCAAGGACTCTCTCCCTGCCCTACCTGGCAATGTCATCGGGGATTGAACCTGAGACCTTCTGCTTGCAATACAGGTGCTCGACTGTGGGCCACCCCAGCTGTCCCAGCTGATGGGAATTGTCATCCTAAACATCTGGAAGGCCCCAGTTTGGCAAAGGATGCCCTTCTCCAAGACTGTCCTGTCCTCTGGGGTTTCTTAACTCTTGAGGTTTCACACGCAGAGCCAACTATTCGCTCCAACCAGCAGAAACCCCACCACCACCTGCATGTGAGGAAGCTTCCTGGCACACATCTTTTTTAATGATTGTAAAGTGCTTCTGTCTTTCTTCATTTCAGGTTGTATGACGTGCGTCCAACATTAATTTCAGTGGGTCTGAATAACAATACAGTGGTACCTCGGGTTAAGTACTTAATTTGTTCTGGAGGTCCGTTCTTAACCTGAAACTGTTCTTAACCTGAAACACCACTTTAGCTAATGGGGACTCCCACTGCCGCTGCACCGCCGGAGCACAATTTCTGTTCTCATCCTGAAGCAAAGTTCTTAACCCAAGGTAATATTTCTGGGTTAGCGGAGTCTGTAACCTGAAGCGTATGTAACCCGAGGTACCACTGTAATAGACATGACACACTTAGGTCCTTTAATTTCGAAAGGCCTACTCTCTGAGTAGAACTAACGCTGGATATAGGAGGTGTAAGAAGACACCGTTTCCCCTTCTGTCCTGTATTCGTCATAAGCAGTGCTGTTTCCGTTCTGCTGCAGTCCACCTTCTGCCCAAAGTGACATTATTCATCTCACAGTCCACTGCAGTGAACTTAGTTTACAAAATTAATTATGTAAGTTATGTTACTATTGTTCTCCCACCCCATTCATTTTGGTACAAGAAAACAATGCAAAGGGTGGTGCGGTGAATGCAATGAACTGGGTTGCTTGCAACAACAACACTGAATCCCAATCATATCTGCTGGTTTGACTTCTGTTCTGGGCATGGGACGACTAAGCAAACTTCAGCCATTCCCGTTCCCATTTCACTTCTCATCTGAATTCTCCACCCTCCCTAGTTGGATGCAGTCCTGCGTTTTTATGGTATTGTGAGTAGCACTGACCAAGCCAGTGGCTACAAAAGGTAGCATGGAAATAATGCATTTTTAAAAACATCTTGTATTATTTGTAAGTTGGAAACAAACCTCAAACTTGCTCATGAATTCGGCAAAAATGCCGAAGAATGCTTCAGAGGTTGTGACTTTGGAGTCCTCCCCAAAGAAAGACAAAACTTTGCCAAACTCATCCATGGCTCTGTGTTGGAGGTCACTCAGGGACTGGATGGTGGGATGAGCACTTTCCAGGAAGGCCTTGAGGAGGATGGCTAAGGAGGATAAACTCTGCCACTGTCTCTGCGTACCTGGGCTGCCAGTACTTAAGAGGAGAACCACTGAACTGAACACAGGAAACAGACTCTAAGCGGCAGGTAAAGAATGCCCCCCCACTCCATTTATCCCAATTATGAGATGAAGAAAACAAACCCACAGCCATTTTATGCTCAGGGATACACATGGGAGCCCAGAAGTGTTGCTAAGCACTAAAAAGTTTCATTCCATAAAACTAGCATAAAATTATCAAATGCCAATTTATATGAACAGGTGCAAATTTAGGCTTTTAAATGTCACAGGCAGCAGAAGCCACCTAATTCCCCATCCAAATTACACTCACTCATTTCCTTAACCAAATTTGCACTTTAACCTAAATCATTCCAGATTAGCTCCTCTTTAAATATTTCTCCCCCCACTTATTACTTCCAAATCATCTCCAGATAAAATCATTTCAGACTAATGTATTCACTCAAATTGACATCCTATCAAGAGCACCTCCAATTAAAATTCCCCCAAATTCAGAAATGCTTGGGGGCAATAGTGAAAAGGTTTGGGGGGGAGTCCATGCCCCAGGGACGGGGCTCCTGCTAATAAAGTCCCTGCAGGGACCAAATTGATATGAATACAAAGGGTCTGTTCAATGTCACTATTCTGCAGGAGGAATTTGAGTGCATAACGTAGACTTGGGTTTGTGCAATTACAGAGGATTGAATTGCTCTGTCTCCGCAGCACAACAAATCCACTTTGAAACTGAATCCAGCATTTTGCACTTCGGGAAGTGACAGAGAAATGTGTTGGAAAATGTGAGATAAACAAATGTTTCATGGGAAGACACCCTGTAAGCAAATCAGGATGGAAGCGGGCGGAGCCTTGTGGGCCGACGTGGCCCTTGGCAGGTGACTCCCCCTGATGCTGGCTGAGCGGCCATTCAGCAAGGAGACCAGGGACGTGACAGCAAGGCCAGGCCGGGCTCCGGGGCACAGAGACCCCCAGTGGCAGGCAGGGCAGAACGGGGATCCCTGTGTGTGCCCAGGGCTATAGCGCCCCTGCCCGCCCCCCCCACGCTACGCGCTGGGCTGGAGAGGATGTCCGCAGCACACTGGCCTTTTCAACCAAAGGATACATCCATCACTGTCGCAAACCTGTCCTCTGGGGAATCCCCCATGTTCTGGCAGGCAACCTCAATCTCAGCAATGGTGGTGTGGAGGTCGTGGAGGTCAGCCATTAATGTTCTCTGGTTCACTGAGGAAGAAAAAGCAGTAGAGAGAAGAGGATTCTGACAGATATGTCCCCTTCTTTCCTTTTTTTAAAAAAAAATTATTAAGTTTTACATAACAAATTTAAATTCAAGCACATCATTCACCTCTTCATTTAGAATTCTCTGCCCTTCCATGGTTATCATTATCAAACCTTTTTTTTTTCCTACTGCTTATCTTATTTTCTCTAATCTGTTTAAAAACTTACAAGCATTACTCAAAATCCTACCAAAGTTTTTAGTTGTTTACAATGTTCTCCTAAATACATTGTAAATTTTCCCCATTCCTTCTTGAAATTCTTCTCTTTTTGGTTTCTGATTTCCTTCTTTCCTATGACTAGTTCACCACTAGAAAGTGTGCGTTGGGGAAAACTAACCTGGAAATGAGTAAACTATGGGTTTTTTGGCTGGTTGGTTCATAAAAGATATTTGTATACCACTGTGTCATAAAAAATATACATCAAAGTGGTTTATAGCAATAAAAACATGGAACCACACTATTAAAAAGTTAAAAACTTATATCAACTAACCATCGTGGAAAAATGTATTCTTAATTGCTTGCATAGGCCTGGCAGAATAGAAAAGTTATCAGCAAGCATTTAAAAGCTGGCACAGAAGGCACCTGCTGAATTTCTAGTGGCAGAGCATTCCACCGGCTTGGTTTCTGTGTTGAATGAGCCTTGCCAACCTACGGAATGACGGCCAATGCTCTTACAAATTATCTCACTGATCGAGCTGGGATAGAAGGGTTCAGGCGATCCCTAAGGCATCCAATGTAGTGCAAATCAACATAAGGATTTAAGCTTGTGCAATGGAACTTCCCCCACCCCATCTCCCCACTCCCCAAATCTGCTCCAGAGAGTGCAGGAAACCCCAGGACAGATTTAGGGAAGCGAGTTCCATTGCACAAGTTTAAAACCTTGTGCCAATAGAAGGATTTAGCTGGCTATTTCCCAAAGCCTCTCCCAGCCACTCTGCCCCACTCCCCAAAACTGTCCCTGAGGCAACTCACAGAGGCTCATCGAGGGGGAAACGAGACCCTTCCTCACTAATCCTCCAGCCCAAGTCTATGGGAAACAATGAAACCGGAAGCTTAACCTGGCAGGAGGAAGCTTTCAAGATGCCTGGGGAAAGCCCTTTGCTGAACCAAACTAATTACTGAATAGGCATGATCCATTTCTTCTGTAAATAGTTGATTTTTTAAAAAAGGAATGGTGAAGGGATTAAAAAGCGGTAAATTAAGAGCTGAGTGGAACCTCTGTTTAATTCCAGCTAAGTGCAGGAAAGCAAGGAATAAAAGCGTTTAGTGTGGAACCCGTCATGGAAAGGGCTGTAGCTCAGTGGTTAAAGCGTCTGCCCCAGGTTCCATCTTCAATGGCATCTCGGGGATGAGGGTGTTCTGGGAGGGCCCCTGTTTGAAACTCTGGAAAGCTCCTGCTGCCAGTCAGTGTCAGCAATATTGCACCAATTGGTCTAAGGTCCTGGCTCAAGATTAGGCATTTTTCTACGGACCAAAACAAGGGCTAGGCAGCCTTCCTGCAACTTGATGCCCCCCAGATGTTTTGGTCTATAACCTGTGTGAGTCCCAGGATTGCACAGCTGGCTGGGGCTGATATGAGTTGTCATCTAAGCCATCTGCAGAGCCCCTGTTTCCTAGACACTCCATCCTCGTCCGTTTTACCTTTGGCAGCATGTGGCACGGTGGGCAGATCCTTGGCAAAGCCCAGGAGTTCTGGGAAATGTTGGCTAAGGGATTTGGCAAGAATGTGCAGGAAGGTGGATTTCCCATCGACAGTCTTGGTGGTATTCAGCTGGAAGAAAGCAAAGGAAAGGTGGAGGGTTGGAAGTGAAGGCTGCCAGGGGAACTTCAGGCCACAAGCAGCTCAGCCTGAGAATGTAGCTGACTCGGCGCAGGCATTTGCCACTGCATCAAAGCTTCTAGTCCACATGAGTGCAAAAGAATCATAGAACTAAAACCGGAAGTGACCCAGAGGGTCATCTAGTCAAACCTCAGGGCAAGCAGGAATAAGAGGACAGGGCAGTTCCTGCCCCTTTGATTTGCTGGTGAATTGCACTGTGGTAATAATCTGCAACTATTTCATGAGCTGATTGTGATTTAAATGTGAAATGTTCAAAGGCTCAACCTGTGGGTCCCCAGATGTTGTTGGACTACAACTCACATCATCCCTGAGCTCTGGCCTTGCTAGCTAGGGGTGATGGGAGTAGTAGTTCAACAACATCTGGGGACCCACAGGTTGAGAAAGGTTGTGGGTTTGTCTTTCCTTTTTGTTCTGAACCACACTGAGCTCCTTCTTTGGAAGAAGGGCGGGATATAAATTTCACAAGCAATTGTTGCACAGAGGTTGATGATTTCAGCAGACGAAACTTGCAAGCCAGGCTAGACCAGAGGAAATCCCTAGTCCTTTGCAGCTATTAAATGGACACAAGCACCACCCTCTTCCCCATCTGGACTTCTGGTTGACAACTGTAGCAGAGAGTATCTTGAAAGCAAATATTTTGCCCACACAGAAGCCTGAGGTTTCTACAAATGCACTCATCTCTCTCCATTCCTCTGCCCAGGAAGCAAGAAGCATCACCCTGCTTGAGGACACATACCAGCCCAGGCAAAAGCACTTGAGCTGGTGAGAGGTGTGGCCTGGGGATGCGGGCCTGACAGATAGGCCTGGAGGGCCGCATTTTGGCCCCCAGGTCCAGGGACCACCACTCATGCCATCAGCCAAGAGAGAATGCCTCTCCCCTTGGAGGGCTCATTGAATCACAAAACTGTCAAGTTGGAAGGGACCCAGCCCCTTGCAATTCAAGAATGCTGCTCCAACTCCACTTACCTCAGTGAGGAAGTTGATCTTAAAGCCGGTCGTTTTGTTGGTCTTCGGTTGCCCATGATTCAGGTAGTTGCCCATGGCCAGCACAAACTGCAAAGGGAATTTCTTGTGAGTAGCCAGTCAAACGGGCCTCCTCTCTTCCCAACCCCAAGGTAGAACCTCCCACAACATGGTGGCCTTCAAACACTTCAGACTACAACTCCCATCAACCCCAGCAACCTAGAGTCATGCTAGCTGGGGCTGATGGGAGTTGTAGTCCAAACCGCTGGGAGGAAATCAGGTTGGCAAAGGGTGGTCTACACAAGACCGAGGTTCAATTTTGCACAATGCATCTTCATTGTCTTCACAAGTTGGGACTGACTTCTGCTACACAAGGAGCTGAAAACACATTAGCTGCTCGGATCACCTTCCAGACCACCCCCAGATAGATTTCCCTGCAGCACCAAACATGCTAAATCCCTCAAGAATTTGTTCAGGAGAAGCTGGTCACAGAATTGTAGACTTGGAAGGGACTCCAAGGGTCTTCTCGTCCAACCCCCTGCAATGCAGGATTCACAGCTGAAGACTCCCTGGCAGGTGGTCATCCAACCTCTGCTTAGAAACCTCCAAGGAAGGAGAATCCACCACCTTCCATGGTAGTTTGTTTGACTGTTGAATAGCTCTTGCTGTCCACCAGGGCAAGGTGGGGCAGAACCCTGCCATATTTTTTCTGCACCCAAGATCCACAGCTATGGTTCAGGGGTCCTGTATGCATAAATTTCTTATAGAATTATACAACTGTAGAGTTGGAAGGCACACACACAGGGTCATCAAGTCACAGATCCCCCAGAGTCCTTCTTGTCCATTTCTCTTGGTAAAAGCAGAACTGGGAAATGACAGGTGCCTTTAGGTATTTGATGCTGACCTCTAGAAATAGGGAACCTCTAGCTGTCAAGTTTTTCTTCTCTGTTGCTTGGGGAAAGTGTCTTAGCTGTGGTAGAGCATGTGCCTTGCATGAAGATTCTAGTTTCAGTCTTTGGTATCTCAAAGGATGGCTGGCAAAGACTCCCTCTCTGAAACCCTGGAGAGCTGCTGCCAGTCAGTGCACACAACACTGGCTTAGATGAACCAGTGGGTCTGATTCAATATATGGCAGCTTTCCATTGGCTTTTGTCTAAGAACTGCTTAAGCGTACACTGAATTTTTTTGCAAAGGAGGAGAACGTAAGAATAAGCTGCTGGATCAGGACAATGGCCCACCTAGTCCAGTGGCCAACCAGATGCCTCAATGGGAAACCAGAAACAGAACATGAGCACAAGTGCACACTTCCTTCCCAGGGTTTCCAGCAACTGGTGTTCAGAAGCATTGCTGTGTCCAACAGTGGAGGCAGAGCAGAGCCATTAAAGCTAATAGCCATCGATAGCCCTCTCCTCTGTGAATTTGCCTACTCGTCTTTTAAACCCATCTAAATTGGTGGCCATCACTGCTTCCTGTGGAAGGGAGTTCCACAGTTTAACTGCAAGAAGAATGGCTTTTTAAAAAATCTGTCCTGCATCTTCCAACATTCAGCTTCATCAGATGCTTACGAGTTCCAGTATTAAGAGAGAGGGGGAAAACTTTTCTGTCTCTGCTTTCTCTGGACCATGTAAAAAATTTTACATTTCTATCACGTTGCCTCTTGCCTCTTGAAGGATGTTGCCTCTTGAAGGAGCATCTCCACCCCCATTGTTCAGCCCAGACACTGAGGTCCAGCTCCGAGGGCCTTCTGGCAGTTCCCTCACTACGAGAAGTGAAGCTACAGGGAACCAGGCAGAGGGCCTTCTCGGGAGTGGCTCCTGCCCTGTGGAATGCCCTCCCACCAGATGTCAAGGAGACGAGTAACTATATAACCCTTAGAAGACATATGTTGTCTTCTAGGGGTTATATATGTTGGAAGCCGTCCAGAGCGGCTGGGGCAACCCAATCAGATGGGTGGGGTACAAATAATAAAACATTATTATTATTAAGTTAAGGAAGGCTGGGAAGAGACCCAGAAAAAAAGACCTCTGCCTCTGTTCACCTTCCATTCACTGCGCTGTTGCCCCAACACTCCCTGCATTTGTGTGAGTTTCTAACCCCTCCCTTGGGTCAAAGATGAGCTTTATGTCTCCAGGAGTCCCAAGGGCAGACCAAGACGGGGATGGGGCGAGAACCCAGTGCATGCCACGTCTCGAACATAACTTTTGGGTTAATCAACAGCCGGCTGAGGACGCTGTGCTGTTAACCAGGCGTGATTCGTGGCCTCATCAGTGGGTGTGAAGAATAGTTTGGGAACCCGCCAGGTCCTCTGGCCTCTTTTTCTCGCTTGGGGGGCCAACTACACACTACAGGTGAACGAACACGTGTGGCGAAGCCCCAGAGCCGCTCACCCTGGAAGGAAAACAGCTTGGGGAAGTGAGGATTTGGAGAAGAGAAGATTGTTAGGAGCAGGGGTGCTTCACCCCCTCTGATGGCCAGCAAATTGGGCAGCTTTAAATAAGGGACATTATTTAGTTATTTATTGTCCGGCCTTCACCCAAAGGTTCCAGAATGGGTTACACGTTGCAGCGTTAAAATACTATATTAAAAACTTTAATGAACTGGACTATGTGGAAATGGCAAAGTTGACGGCAACATTAAGAGATTGAAATAATGAACTTTTTAGAGTAGAATGGAGGCTTTTTGTGAACTATTGGAAAAAAAGAAACCAGTCAAATGAAATTTGACAGGGCAGGATTCAAGATAGGCACAGCAGAAGAAAAAGATAAAGTGATTGTATGAGACGGGTTTCTGTAATAGAAGAGAGTTTGCTATATAATGCAGTAGAAAAGGTCTTGAACAAAAACGCTGTGGAGGTTTGGGTGGGAAGTCAATACATGAAACAATTATTGAATTTGAAGTTAATTTATATAAAAAAGGAAATTCAATAAAAATATATTATAAAAAACTCCATATTAAAAACAATTTGAAGCTACTTACAAACATAAAAATAAGGTGCATCCTAAAAACATACGCCTCCCAGTGTCAAAAGCCAGGGTAAAGAGGCTCATCTTCAGCATTCTCCGAACACTGTATAATGAAGGTGCTAGGCACACCTTTGTAGGGAGGGAGTTCCACAACTTAAGGAGCCACCATAGAGAAGGCCCTGTCCTGGACTGCCACCACCTGAGCCTCTGAGACTGGAGGAGGAACATTGGAAGTTGACACACATACTTGGTCAGACCATGGTCCATCTAGCTTAGTATTGTCTGCACTGACTGGCAGTGGCTCGCCAGGGTCTCAGGTGGGAGATATTCCCCGCAGGTCCTACCTAGAGGTCCAGCTGGGGATTGAACCTGGCGCCTTCTGTATGTGAAACAGCTGCTGTACCACTGAGCTACAGTCCTTCTTCTCTCACATAAGATAGAGATTTTTATTTTTATTTTAGAAAGCGGGCTGGGTGGAGAGGTGGGGAAGGAGAGTACAGGCTAGCCAAAGTTCTCCCTGGCTGCACCTGCATCCCAGCAAAGCTCAGCTGAAAAGAAAGGGGCATTTTGGACTGCATTTTTTTCCATTCCCATGTCAAGGAGAGACTCCATCAGGCAAGGCCTCTTTCCACCTGCCTTGCTCCACCCTCTAGTCTCTGCTTCTCAATTTGTATTGTATTATTTCATGTACTGTGGCTTGCCGTTGTTTTATTGATTATAGCTTAGAAATTATTTATCGTAACTGTTAAGGGTGAATTTCTGTAACTTTTATATGCTGATATTATTTTATACTACTCCAATGATTGCTGAATGTTACATTTTTGATGTAGGTTGTTTGTTCTAAAGTTATGTTTTATTATCACATTTTTGTATTGCATTAGATTGTTATAAGATGTACATTTTTTGTTTCTTCAGCTTGTAAACAGCCTTGAGTATTGTAAGATAGAAAGACGGTATACAAATTAAAAATGTTGATGTTGTTGTTGTTGTTGAAGGAGCAGTCCTTTGCAAAAAAAAAAAGATGCACAATCGCTCCAGGATTGTGCTTCTGTTCCATTCCTTTGTCAGATTTCTCAAAAAAAAGCACTGGAAAAACATGGGAGGACCATTCTGGAGTAATAAAGATGTCGGGTAAGAAGTGAGTTTGCCCGTTTGCATTCTAAATGCCTAGAGTTGTGAAGCCCTGCCACCCCTGGAACCAGGAGGGAAGGAGCCACCAAACTCTGGCTGAGTGAAAAGCAGCTGCCCCCTGGTGGTGCACACAAGCAACAAAACCAGCTCTCCTGACCTCTAAGATCTTGGCCAGCTTCTTGCTGTTCTTCAGCTCCAGGGAGGCATTGTAGATGCACTCGTAGCTGGCTGTGAGCTCCTCCATCTTCTCCGGCAGGGTGGTCTTGAAGTGGAGGCTGCGCAGGCGGGTCTTGTAGTCGGGTACCAAAAGCATCTGGAAGAGGAAGGAGGAAGGGAACAGGGAGGGGAGTCCGCACTTTATTCCACCATCTCTTTTCGCTACCACCAAAATTCCTGAGGTCTGGGCAGGGCAGGGAAAAAATGCTTGGCTAGATCAGGCCCCTGAACCAAGGGCTAGCCCGCCCTTCTTTCAATTGACCCTCCCCACATTTGCTTTATAGACGAAGTGACAAGGGTGTTTAATAGAAACATATCTTGGTTATCTCAAAGTCAGCAAAAATGGGTGGATCTATCAATTTCAGTTACTCGTTTATCCAATCTTAAGTGTAGTTTTCTACATTAGTTTGCAGAAATCCTCATGAAAATTCATCTGCAAATTTATCCTAACATACATATTTTTGCAAGGCAGTTTTCCTTAACAGAGTGTGATTTTGTGTGTTATTTTCACTAACATACACATTTAATGCAGGCTTTACCAATGTGTTTTAGTACATGTTACTGGGCTGGAAAACTGGGCTGCAAAATTCAGAGAAGTATGAATTTTGAAGGATTGCTGTGCTTTGCTTTGCACAACAGTTTCAGAACTGCAAACTGAATGGGATTCCCCCTCCCAGTTCTTTGTCAGTGAGCTTCTCCAGACCTTAATGTCAGAAGGGAATAGATCCAGCCTAAAAAGCATTTACGGGAGTCTCCAAACTGTTAGTAATTTGCAGTGTGCCAATTCAGCCAATTAAAGTGGATTAAAGCATTCTGCTGCCCTTGTGCAAGAAATCTACCTGGGAAAAATAGACTGACTTTTTGTGGTTAAGAAATAATGGGGAAGTGCATTGAAAAGTGTGGGACAAGCAAATGATTGATGGAAATACATAGAAACACCCCATAAGCAAATGAGCACAAATGTTCAATGTCATTTAACCTCCCCACAAACAATTAAGGATGAGTGATCAACAGAGATGTGGCATGGCCGAACCTCTGCACAACTTTTGTGCAAACAGATCAGGGTGAGTGCTCAGGAGCTTGGGTGTGCTTATGTCTCACATGTGTGTGTTTTGAAGAACAGACAAATCTCACATGGTCTTTTGATGAACTACACTCCTGACCTGAATCTGTTCATGGCCCAGTGGGTCACAGCCCCCCTCCCCATGCAGCCAGACTGACACTCTCCCTCCTCGCCATGACACTGGGCCAACTTCCCTGCCTTTGTGTAGCACCTTGGTTTACACTAGACTTTCCCAAACTTGGGTCGCCAGCTATTTTTGGACTACAACTCCCATCATCCCTAGCTAGCAGGACCAGTGATCAGGGGTGATGGGAACTGTAGTCCAAAAACAGGTGGAGACCCAAGTTTGGGAAATCCTTGTTTAGACTAGTGGTTCACAAAGTGGACAGTAGTGCCCCCTGGGGAGGGCAATGAGATTAGCTAGGGGGTTGCTAAGAGGCAAGGGGGTGGCAGGGAGGTGCTAGAAGGGTAAATGACTATCAGACTTTGAAAAGCTGGGTTCACTGGATCAATCTCATCCACTTTGTTGCATTAATTAAACGAAATAGTTTGAATTGGATTTTGAATGCATGTGCATTTGTTTGTTGCTTTCTGAATTTTATTGTGTTGTTATCTTCCTTAGTGGGTAATGCAAACTGCTATTCTGAAGACTGCTTTTTATAGGGTAGATGGCACTGGGGATGCGTTTATGGGACCAAGGGGGCCTGAAAAGATTTGGGAACCACTGGCTTAGACTCACCTGCAGCACAAACTGGTCCGGCTCGCTGAGTTTGCTGAGGCTGCCCTGGTAATTGTGGTACTGCTCCACTTCCTCTGCGTCAGGCGCATAGAGCAGCAGCTGCTTGATGTGAGAAGCCTCCAGGCGGTCGCTCTCCATGGTCAAGAGGATTTGGCGCAGCTCGATGTGGGAGAGCTTGAGGTGGGCAATTAAGATGGCTGGGCAGAGAAGAAGAGCGGGGTGGGTGCCCTGCGAAGGATTTCTAACCCAGAATTGACAGGCTGGGCCAGAGCACAAGTGCATCCAGGGAAAGGACAGGCAAATCTGCCCATCTCAGGTTCTCATTTTCTTCCCTGTCTTGTCCATCCCCCCCCCCATTTTCACACCAGGGTTTTGGGGTGTTAGTCCTACTCAGAGTAGGTCCACTGAAGTTAGTAGGCCTGGCTAACTGAGACTCATTCATTTCAATGGGTCTACTCTGTGTAGGACTTAGAGGCCATGCTTTATTTTATATTTGTAAGTCTGCATCAAAATACTTATGCATGCTGAAGTTTCAGGAAATATGCACGTTTTTGCGTGCAATTTCCCCATGTGAAGTCCGTTTTGGTTATTTTCACGAATATATGCATTGTTGTGCTCACTTTACCCTAACAGACACAGTATATATATATATTTAGTTGGCAAAGTGCTTTGTAAAATTCAAGCAAGGGAGAACTGCATTATGGGTGGTGCTTTGGTTCGGGAACCATGAATTAGGTTGGTTCCCTTTAAAAACACAATCTGCGCACATTTCTTCCGCACCTTTAATGTTCCCCAACCCACAAGGGGAGCACCAGAAGACCTTGCAGTGCTTCAGGGGATTGGCACCCCTAAAAATATCACAGTCCCCGGCCCCACCCCCTGATTCCTGCCAATAGAGACCCCAACTGGTGTTGGCTCAGACATCTCTCTCTCTCGTTTACCTGCCTGCCTCTCGGCCCCTGGACCTGCTGCGTCCTTCACCAGGCGCTACTTACATGTGTTATAGGCCTTTTTGTGTGACAGAATCTCAACCACATCTTTCTTTTTCAAGGACTCTGGCAGGGGGCTCGGCTCTGGAAGAGAAACTGAAAGATTTAATCAGAGATAAGGACAGGGGTCGGAGGGATTCGGGAGAAGAGAGAGAAGAAGAAGAAGCGCATGGGATCAGGATGGGATGGAAACAAACGGAGCTTGCAGGGCTGGAAGTTTGCATGCTGGGTGGGGGTCCTTGAGCGCCGTCCTGAGCTTGCCCACCCCCAGCTGGAGAGAGAAGGACACTCGGCTGCAAAAGGCAAGACAAGATGTCAGATACACAAGAAATCCCAGACCCTGGTCCTATCATGGCTCACCCACTCTTCGTCCTGTTTCTCCACCTGGGATTCTCACGTGCAGTGCTTCTTCCTCAAGAAAGTCCACTTGGCTTATCTCATTCACCTGCCAAGCCTCTTCGTCTTTGCTGTACCCCCACTAGCCCCCTGCTCCTTAGCAGAGAGGTAAAGGTAAAGGTAAAGGGACCCCTGACCTTAGGGTCCAGTTGCGAACAACTCTGGGTTTGCGGCGCTCATCTCGCTTTATTGGCCGAGGGAGCCGGAGTACAGCTTCCGGGTCATGTGGCCAGCATGACTAAGCCGCTTCTGGCAAACCAGAGCAGCGCACAGAAACGCCGTTTACCTTCCCGCCGGAGAGGTACCTATTTATCTACTTGCACTTTGATGTGCTTTCGAACTGCTAGGTTGGCAGGAGCAGGGACCGAGCAACTGGAGCTCACCCAGTCACAGGGATTTGAACTGCCGACCTTCTGATCGGCAGGCCCTAGGCTCTGCGGTTTAGACCACAGTGCCACCCACGTCCCTTTAGCAGAGAGGTAGTGCGGAATAAAATAACTTCTGGGGCTCCTTCAGGATTAGGGGCCCTGAAGCTTAAGCTTCATTAGTTTCAGAGTACATCTGCTCCCCCCCTTCATGCTATGCATAATTTTATAAATAGTAAAAGGTAAAGGTAAAGGAATGCTGGACAGTTAAGTCCAGTCAAAGGTGATTATGGGACGCAGCGCTCATCTAGCTTTCAGGCCAATGAAGCTGGTGTTTGTCCACAGACAGCTTTCTGGGTCATGTGGCCAGCATGACTAAACCACTTCTGGCGCAACGGAACACTGTGACTGAAGCCAGAGCACACGGGAACATCATTTACCTTCCCGCCGCAGTGGTACCTATTTATTTACTTGCACTTGTGTGCTTTCGAACTGCTAGGTTGGCAGGAGCTGGGACAGAGCAACAGGAGCTCACCCCATTGCAGGGATTCAAACTGTTGACCTTCCGATCAGCAAGCCCAAGAGGCTCGGTGGTTTAGACCACAGCGCCACCTATCACCCCTGACTCACCTTTTCTCTGAACTAAAAAGTCCCAAACATTGCAACCCTTATTCATAGGGGAGAGCACCCCCTTGATCGTTCTGGTTTTCCTTTCCTGGATCTTTCTCAACTCTGCAATGTCCTCTTTTGAGGTGAGGAGACCAGAATTGCACACGGTATCTCAGGTGTGGAATCTGCCTTTTCCACGGTTGCCACCCTCACATTTTCTCAATCTATGACTCAAGGACATGAAGGTGGGCTTGGCCTGGCAGCCCACCCAAAAGGGGAGGACGCACAAGACACCAGGATGATGGGACAGAGAAAACAAAGGAAGCCCCCACCCACTGAAACACAGAGGGAAGACAATCCCCTCAAAGAGACAACCACTCCCTTGTAGAGAAGACAATGGCAAGGAGACGGTCATGCTTCTCCCACGTCAACAGCCAAAGGGGATTGGGCAGCAACAGAGTTTGACAAGGGTTCACAAGCAGCCATTGTGCAAATTGTGCGCCCATCTCAGGACCATGGAGGGGACTCTGCTAAGATCCCCAAGACGAGATTGGCTTGGCTCTTGTTTCTCTCCCTCCACCCCCCCAGCTGCATCTGGCAGATGAGGGCTGCCGGTGCTTGCGGAGAGAGACATACAGACAGATGGAGGACTCACTCGCTGGCTTCTGGGTTCCAAAATGCAACTCCAGGTTGAGGTATTTGACCATGTCGCTCAGTTTGTCGTAGTCCGAGTCCTCCCCGAGCTGCGCAAGGAAAAGGCGTGGTCAATGATTCCAGAGGCCAAGAGCAGAGGGTAAACGTGCTCTTTCTTCCATATCAGAAGCATACAAGAGGGACTTGGATGGTGCTCAAGCAGGCCTTTATCTGGCAATTTGGGGTCAACCACTGGGACACACAGAGAGAGACACACCTCCCCTGCAGAGAGGGACTTAAAGCAACATCATAGCTGGGTCTGGAACTGGCTGGAGAGAGCAGCCTCCCAGACAGACTTCCCTTGGGTTTGATACAGTGATTTGTTATCTGCAATGTTCGTCTGTCTCTTGCAGACCACAAGGACAGCTCCAGCCTCTTGCTATATATTTGGGGCACTTCTCCACAGCTACAAATGTGGAGGTTTGTGCCCCCCAAAGTAAACAAACGAACACCGCCCGCAAAGTACTCTTGTGGCCTGCTTGATATGAAAAGTTGGACTGCCCTGCATTTTTCCACACATTACTCAGCTGGAAAATTGGATCGCAACATTCAGAGATGAGCAAATCTCAAAGGATGGTTGTGGTTCAGTCTGTCTATTATTTCAGAGAGCGCAAACCGAGTGGGTGGACATGGTGCGGGGGGAGATGTGCTTTTAAATGCAACTGAATGGCGCATCCTCAACATTACCTGTCCCCAGATGGTGCCTTCGGAATTCTCCACCTGCTCCCAGCGCAGCCGCTTGACGCTCATGTGCTTGGACTCGTTCCTGCGCTGAATGATGCCCTGAGTCACCGGGGGAAGAACACAGGGAACCGGAGGGGGCAGCGGAGGTGGAGGAGGTGGAGGGGCTTGCTGTGAGTGGCTGTCTGGGGGCTTGGGGTGGGGGGTGGAGGAGGAGGGAAAGGAGGAGGAGGAGGGAGTCTTCTTCACGGCCTCCGTGCTCCGGTGCTCCTCTTTGGGCTCGTGGGAGTGCAGCGGAGGCGGGAGTGGGGGTGGGCTGATGGGGGGCGGAGGGATGTGATCGGACAAGGTGGAGTAGGTCAAGGAGCTGCCTTCGCTGCTGCTCAGGTACTCGCTGGCGCTGCTCATGTCATTGGTGACGTAGCTGCCCTGGTCGTCGTGGAAACTCATCTGGGGAGAGAAAGACGAGAGATTAGATGGCTAAAGCACTCTGGAACTCCCTGCCAGGGGACATCAGGCAGGCACCCTCGCTGTTAACCTTTTCGGCACCTTTTGAAAACACTAGTGTTTAGACAAGCCTACCCAGAGGTGGGCGACACAGGTGGCGCTGTGGGTTAAACCACAGAGCCTAGGACTTGCTGATCAGAAGGTTGGCAGTTCGAATCCCCGCGACGGGGTGAGCGCTCGTTGCTTGGTCCCTGCTCCTGCCAACCTAGCAGTTCGAAAGCACGTCAAAGTGCAAGTAGATAAATAGGTACCGCTCCGACGGGAAGGTAAATGGTGTTTCCGTGCGCTGCTCTGGTACGCCAGAAGTGGCTTAGTCATGCTGGCCACATGACCCGGAAGCTGTACGCCGGCTCCCTCGGCCAATAAAGCGAGATGAGCACCGCAACCCCAGAGTCGGCCACAACTGGACCTAATGGTCAGGGGTCCCTTTACCTTTACCCAGAGGTGGAGAATGCTGGTGTGTGGTTTAATCTGCTTTCAGTTTATTGTTGATTTTGTCCTCTGTTTTACAGAGTTGTTCTTGCTGATGATTTTATTGTTTCGTTCTGTTTGAGTTTTTTTTAAAAAACCACCAATCAAACAGTGTATAAATTCTATGCAATAAATAAATAGATGGGTCATCTCAAGAGGTAGCTCCAGCGCACCAGAAGATGCCTTTCGCAAGAGGGGTTCTGGGATGCCAAAGGATGCCATTGGCATTGTTAAGGGGTGGCCCAGAAGGACAGAGGCCCACACCATTTGTACTGGGCCCTGTATCTCCTGCACCTCCCTTCGTTGGCTGGTGGGAAGTGGGCTTCACTGTAAAAACAAACTTGTTTACAGGGCAGTTCCTGGACTGGGCTAGCCTGGCCTCAGGCGCCCGTGCTCTGGTGGCATCCTGTCTGAGTTACTGCATTGTACTGTGTGGGGGGCTGCCCTTGAAGATGGTCTATAGGGTTGGAAGGGACCCAAAGGATCATCTAGCCCAAACCCCTGCAATCAATATCAATCAATAATATTGTTGCTGATATGCTTGCTGTCCTGGAAACATTTGGGAGTAAGAGCTGGATATAAATTGAAATTATTATTGTTATTATTATTATTATGACACCAGTTACCAGCCTTCATTTATCAAGAGGCCTCCATGCAAACAAATTAGCATATGCACAATGTAATCAAATTTATTCCATGGGTCTTCACCCTATGTCCTATATGCACCAAACCACAATGCCCCTGGGCATCGCCTTGGTTTTGTCCACAGTTTGAAGCATTATGGGATGCCCATTCCACCATGTTTCAGCATTCCCCACCTACACCATCCAAATTGCTGGGTGCAGGGATGGGTGGCAGGGGGCGGGGTTCCCAGTCAGAGGGTGAAAACTTGCCAAGGAAGCTTCCCCCCCAGCACTTTTTACCAGAGAAGCAAAGTGCCACCCTCTCTCTCCCACCTCCTCGTAGTCATTCTCGGGCGTGAGGAAGTCATCCACAATGGTGATCCGGTGCCCCAGCTGCTCACTCAGAGCGTCCAGGAAGCGGTCCGTATCCCGGCTGCGTGGCGGGCGGGAGAAGGTGAAGAGCTTCTTCCTCCGGGAGAGCGGGCTGAGGGCGTAGCCTGTGTGCTTCGGGGACGGGGCGGGGCTGCAGTCCAGGCTGACGTAGGGGTTGGATTCGGTGCTGCAGGGGGAGGGGATCCCACCGTGCGAGTGGTAGTAGCACGGCTGGTCGGGTGGAGGGTGGTCGTTCTGCCAGGAGATGCTCAGGCCCGACTTCCGAGTACCTGCAGGGGGATGGAAAGGGAACAAAGTGGTTCCGTTGGATTTGGCCTTGCCCTGCAAAGGGGGCAGGGCAGCCGATAATTATGGCTCTGAGTTTGCAGAATGTCCACATGTGCAGACCTTGGGATGGAATCAAATCATTGCAGAGTAGGGAGTTAATATGCGGAGACAGCATAGTGTAGTGGTTAGAGGGTCAGACTAGAACCTGGGAGACCAGGGTTCAAATCCCCATTTGACATAAAGCTCATTGGGTGACCTCAACCCAGTCGCTGCCTCTCAGCCGAACCTACCTCAGAGTTGTTGTGGGGAATAAATGGGGAGGGAAAGAACTATTTGTGCCACTTTGAGCACCTTAGAGAGAAAAAAGATGGGATAGCAATACAATAAATAATGGCTATAGCCAGCGGCGTAGCGTGGGTTGTCAGCACCCGGGGCAAGGCAAGTAATTTGCGCCCCCTAACCCGGGGCAAGGCAAGTAATTTGCGCCCCCTAACCCGGGGCAAGGCAAGTAATTTGCGCCCCCTAACCCCTAACCTGCCGCCGCTGCCAGCTTCTTCTTGCTGCTGCCTGGGCTGGTCTGGTGTGGTTCTCTCCCGCGCTCAGCGCTGCGCTGGGCGGCCGCTGCACTGTCCCTCCCCCAGATAGTCCCTCGCTCTCTCTCCGCACCGCACGCCTGGCACCCACAGTGGACCCACAGTGGGCGGCGACCCAGCGGCTCGGATCGGATTCGCACAGCCAGCACTGCAGTGAGAGAGAGTGAGTGAGCCAGGTAGGGGCAGAGAGCTGTGAGTGCGAGCGCGCCCCCCCCTAGATGTTGCGCCCGGTGCGGCCGGCCCCCCCTGCACCCCCCATGCTACGCCACTGCCTATAGCCATCCCAGTTGATCCCATACAGCTAAACTTGTGGCATCTTAAAAAAACAAGCAAACTTGGTGCCAAGTTGGGATGGGTGAATCTGTCGATTTGGGTTTTTCGTTCTTCCAACTCAATGCTGAGCTCTTCATACTTCTGCATCTGTTTGCATTTTTTTTTAAGTGCTCCTGAAAATTCACCAGGATTTTTGTGTACATCTCTCCTCCCTTTTGGAGCTGCAGAAAGACACAGCCAGCTCCCTTAACTGTTCCTCACAAGGGTTTGTTTCCGGACCCCTGATCATCTTGGTCACCCTCCTCTGCACTCCTCCTTGCGGCTTGTCAATATCCTTCTTAAATTGGGGTGCCCAGAACAGGACACAGGGCTCCAGGTGGGGTCTGACCAAGCAGTTGAATAGAGTGGTATTATCACTTCCCTTGATCTGAAAACTATATGGGTGAAGTTATCCCAGCATACACCAGTCCTCTGACTTTTGTGACGCGTTATGTGCACCATCTCAAATTCACAAGTCGCTTCTGCTGCCAAGCCAAGACACAAGGAGGGTGGGGGTATATTTTCACCTGCTGGGTTTCCTTGCTCTGGAATGGGAGGTGATGTCCTGTGCATGGCTAAGTTGCCCAGCTTCCCTCCAAAGCCAGTGGTCAGCCTGGTTTCCAGTTCTGCATAGACAGCAGACATCTGAAAAAGAGCAGAGGGAAGGAAGGAGTCCCTGTGCGCTTAGCTGCCTGCCTGGCCCTGTCTCCCACCCTTCCTCACTAGCTTCATCTTCCATAAGCCAGACCCAGAACTCACCATTTTGGGGTTGGGCGTCTCCGGAAGGGAAGTTCCATCCCCCGCTTGCCTCTCCCCTGCAGCCAAGCGGACTGGCACCTCGGAGGCTTCGCTGGGACCTGATGGGAAGAGAAATGGAGAGGCAGCAGGGGCAGAAGCTGCCAGAGGTGGCTGGGGACCAATTGGGACTGGCAGCGTGGAAAGCAGGGGCACAGGTGAAGCCAGAACCAATGGCAGGCAGAGCCAACACATCTTAGTTTTTGTCCCCATCCTAGTGCCCAGCTGAGTTCTGCAAGGCAACATCCAGGCTATGAAGGAGGAAGCTGGCCGCCAGTTCTTCTCCACAGCAACACTGTCCTTTTTGCACCATGGCCAAACAGCCAAAGGTAGGGGAGTCCCAAACAGGAAAGCAGGAACCTCATCTTCTCAAACTACTCAAGAGCCACTGTGCATTCCACAGCATGTCCCAAAAAAGTGAAGAACTGGACTGGGGAACCTTTGGGAGAGGGTGGATGTGGCTCTCCAGGGCTCTCTGTCTGGCCCCCAGAAATCTCCCCCAGCCACACCCTTCCCCACAAAGGAAGAAGTGCCTTTGTTTAATCATCATGAACATTCATCAGTGCGAATTTCTCCTAATAAACACTTTTTTTGCAGTTTTGATTCATGCACACATTTTTGCAGCAATTCCCCTTAATGCGATGCAGTTTCGCTACATTGCTTTCACTAATATATGCACCGTTATGCACACTTTACCTTTGTACATGCACATTTATAGACATTTCTTGGGCGGGAAACTGCATTGCTAAGTGTGTGGATTTCAAAGGAGGGCTGAGCTTCAGCTTTCATATTGTTTCAGGAAGTGAGAATTGGATAGATTTGCCTCTCAGTGAGAGCTAGTCAAAAGTGGGAAGGAACAGAAAGACAACCTTCTGAGAACACACAGAATGTGACCTACCTCCAGCTCCACTGCCCTCAGGACTGTGGGTGGGGACACTTTCCCGGCATGCTGAGGCCCCCCGCATGGAGCTGCGGTGCCGATCCTCTGCCTCTGTCTCAACTGCGGCTGAAAAAGAAGTGGAACTGCCTGAGGGATGCCCAAGGCTGCAGTGTTTGGGACTTGACAGTCCCGATTTAAAGAGAGATTATGAGGAGGCAGGAGAGAAGCTTATCAAATCCTACACCACATGGATGGTTTTTGTCTCCATCCGTTGTAACGCTAGAACTCATGGGCATCCAATGAAGCTGAACGTTGGAAGAGTCGAGACACACAAGAAAGTCTTTCTTCATGCAGCACATAATTAAACTATGGAACTCCCTTCCACAGGAGGCAGTCAGAAAAACTTTTCTCTATCCACTTTCTCCAAATCATGAATAATTGTATAAGTTTCCTCTCAGGGTTCATCCACACTTCCTCTGGTCCAGCTGTTTCCCCCCAGAGAAAACTGCTCTTCGGTGCTCAATCGGAGCAGACAGCAATACAAGTGTTCTATGGATTGTTGTTTGTTCTGATTTAGAGCTAAAGAGTAGATTTTCCCTGGGAGCGGATTGCGGCAGAGAGAAAACCACAAGCGGAAGTGTGGACGAGCCCTTTATATCCTTTTCTCTAACTAAAAATCCCCAGATGCTTCCATCTTTCCTCAAAGGGGAGTCATTGGGGTTGCTCTTTTCTGAACCATGAGGACATCCAGCAATAACAAGTGCATGGAGGATAAGGCTATCAGCAGCTAGTAGCCACAATGGCTGTGTATGACCTCCAGTAACAGAGGTGGGATGCCTCCCCATATAACTTGCAAGGAATCGTAAGTGGGGAGTGTTGATGTTGCACCCAAGGTCCTGCTTGCAGGTTTCCCAGAAGAGGAATCCGGTTGGCCACTGTGAGAACAGGTTGATGGACTAAATAGCCCCCGCCCCCCGTGAAATCCAGCACTGCAAGGCCCTTCATAATAACAGCAACTATTTTATTATTTTTACCCCACCCATCTGACTGGGTTGCCCCAGCCTCTTCCAGTGGCTTCCAACAAATACAAAAGCATCATAAAACAACCAACATTAAAAACTTCCCCATACAGGGCTGCCTTCAGATGCCTTCTAAAAGTTGTATAGCTATGTATCTCCTTGACATCTGATGGGAGGGCATTCCACAGGGAGGGTGCCACTACAGAGAAGGCCCTCCACCCGGTTCTCTTCTTATAAACTCCCTGGAGGAAGCATAGGCTATAAATGACAAAAGTAACATTCAGGGCAAGGGCATGGAATAGAATCCAGGGGGGTGGGCTTCAGCAGCTCCCAGCCAGCTATGGCTACATCCAGCACAGCCACACTGGGGGTTTCTGGTCAAACTCTGAATCTATTCATTCCAAGACTACAGGAGCTGTTTCTGGAAGGGCTGTAGCTCAGTGATAGAACACCTGCTTTGCATGCAGAAGGTCCCAGGTTCAAATCCTGACAAAGACGTCTGAAGGCAGCCCTGTCTAAGGAAGCTATTTAGTGTGTTGTTGTTGTTGTTGTTGTTTCCAGGTAAGGCTGGGAAATGCTCCCTGGCTGAATCCCTGGAGAGTCCCTGCCAGTCAGTGTAGACAATACTGAGTCAGTCTACAGCAGGTTCCCATGATCTTCCTCATGGCTGCTTTTGATCTTTGTGACAGGGCTGGTGTGTTTACACACATCCTCTCGGGCGCCTGCTCTCCCAAAGCGCCCTCTCCCCTTTGGCCTCACGTTTGAGCTGCTCCCTGGTGTAAAAATAATCTCATTGCCACAAACACGGGCATTTGCTCGCAAATAACTGTTCCCCAAAGCCGAAGATTAAGACCTTTCATTCTAAATTTACCCTGCTGGGGATCTAATGCCCACAATCCCCTAAAACACACAGCTGGTGCCGAGGTTGCCACAGCAACTGGAGAGAGCAACAGTGCGGGAAGGAGGTGGGGTGGGCCCTTCACGGCAGGAACTCGGGTGATGTGTTAATACCCACACACCACCACTGCTGCTCTGTAGCAAGGACACTTTCCCTAAAAGAGAGCTTTGCGGGCTGGTATTTTTACGAGCTGGCTGGATTCCTTAACTTATGGGTGGCAAATGCAGCCCTCCACACCTTTCTGTCTGGCCCTCAGGACTCTTCCCTGAGCACTTTTGCTTGGTTGGAATGTGCCCAGCGCTGTGATAATGCCTCTTGCTTGCCTGGGTGCAGAGATATAGATGGATGTCACTCCTGTGTGGCTGGAATGCACCTGTTTTCCGTGGATTGTGTCCAGCTAAGTTTTAATCAGCATTAGACCCATGGAAATGAATACACCTAAGTTAAATCACACTCACTGATTTCAATGGGTCTACTATAAGGATGACTAATGCTGGGCACAACCCCATTGTATTCATATAGAGCATTTCGTCCCAAGTGGTCTCAATGTTATTTACACGGTCGTAAATCTAATTCCAAGTTAACAGAATGTACTAAAAATAGCTACAAGTTATCAATAACAAAACTAAAAACAAACCCAATAATATAATACAAAGCAGGCTCAAAAACCATCTAACTATATGCACTCTTGAGGGATTCTCTTGAAAACATAGAAGTCTTTATATAATCTATACAGAACAGTATGAAACATAGAATCTGACCCTTTGCTTCTTTCAGAGACTTGCATAGTCTACAAAGACTTTCATAGACTTATAAGACTTATGCTTATTTGGTTCTATTTTTTCAAGAGAATCCACCAAGAGTACATATTTTGTAATTTTCAGAGATTTATAAGATTTCTGTTTATTTGGTTTTGCAGAGAGTGTGTATTTCATATATTTTATACTGTTCAATGTTCTGTATAGATTATATAAAGAGTTCATACTGAGATTGCATTGTTGTACTCGGTCATTGTGTTGCCTTGGATATTACTGATAATTGTTTGCAACACAGGGGTTTAATATGTTTGGCTTGAGACAGACACTCGAGCTCCTGAGCAGTGCCACCCACGGGTGCTCCTCCCCACCAGGTGCTGGCTGCTCACCCGCCACTGATTTGTAGCCAAGGAACCTGGTGATCTTCTGCTGGCAGTGCTCCTGCTCCTCATACGTCAGCAGCTGGTAGATGAACTGCCAGATGACCTGCTTGGAGGGGGTGTCCAGGACTGGGTAGACGTCCACTATGAGGGTGTCTATGTTCCTGGGGGGGGACGACAAGAGAAAATACAACAGTGTTTTTTGGGGGGGAGCTGGAAAATAGGATGCAATGTTCTTTGGCGCCACCAGGAGATGCCCTGGTCTCTTGACCTCTGCTGCCCCTGTGCCTCTAAAAGGAAATCTGACAGGCACAAATTAGTTAGGTGAGGCTTCCCACATTGCTTGTCCTCCTTGCCAGCAAGAAAGCCTCACTTTTGTCAGGTTGCTACTGAAGGCACTTGAGAATTCAAAGATGCCTCCCATCTTTCCGTAGGAAGATTTAAGTTCTGTCTTGCTAGATCACAGCTTTCAGTGTGGTGTAGTGGTTAAGAGCAGTGGACTCCTAATCTGGTGAACTGGGTTCGATTCCCTGCTTCTCCACATGCAGCTGCTGGATGACCTTGGGCAAGTCACACTTCTCTGAAGTCTCTCAGCCTCACTCACCTCACAGAGTGTTTGTTGCGGGGGAGGAAGGGAAAGGAGATTGTTAGCCGCTTTGAGACTCCTTAGGGTAGTGATAAAGTGGGATATCAAATCCAAATACATTAGTATGTTGGCTGCAGTGTGTAGGTGTGCCAAATGAACACTCCCCATGCTCCCTCTGGGGCTAGAAAGCAGTTAGTTTAACCTCTGGTTTGCTAGTAAAACTGAATTACTGTCACGAAATGATGTAAAACTGAATTACCGTGTCACAAAATGATGCCTGTCTATAAAGTGTGTCACCAACATGAAAAGTTTGGAAAGCTCTGAGCTAGATAGTGCTATCAGGAAGAGACAGCTCTGCTTGGAATTAGGTTGGTTGCAATAAGGCATATGGGCAAGTTAGACCTGCCTTAGCCCACTTGCTGGCACATGGTGTCAGAAGTGGGACATTTTCTTAAGAACATACCTCTGGCGGTGGTGGAAACCCACCCACCAGCTCCTGGTGCTAGCCTTGAACTGCAAGCCCCTGGCTCCTGATGAAAGGAATTGCATGGACTCAGCTGTCAAAGTGTTGTGTCTACAAGAACCACAATAGGCCCGGATGCAGGACTCAGGTAACAGAGAGCACATGGTAAATGGATGCTGCTGCAGGTCCTAACAGGGCTTTGGATGCCCCACTCAGAAATAAATGGAGGGAATAACCTACCTGTGCTGGAAGAAACTCTCTAGTGCTTTGCAGATTGTGTAGCGTTCTGGCGGCGTAAGCAGATGTTCCAGCTGCTGATGGAAGGTCCTCCCTTGGATCTTGATGCTGGAGGGCAGGATCTCAGCAACCCACTGCAAGGAGGTGAGTGCTGAAGAGGAGTTGGGGCTCTCCGATGACTCGCTGTCTGCACATAAATGGATAAATCATGGTAAAGCAGGAAAAGAGGCAGGTGTGCCTTTGAGCCAAGGTGGGAGATTGGGGCATGAACCCTCCAGTGACCATTCAGCATAAGAAAGGGTTTTGGGAGGGTTGCACAATAAATGCACCCCTTTCCCTCTCGTTTTGACTGTGCAAGTCTTTGCATTGCCCCTCAATGTGGTAGGAAGAGAAGAAGCTGCTTTAGTCAGACCCTTGGGTCCATCCAGCTATTGTCAGGGACCTTTTGCATCCACAGCATGTGCTCTAGCACTGAGATAGAGCCCTTTCCCTGAAAATAAGATTCTAGTTCTCATAAAGTAAAGGATCATTAGGTTCAGTCGTAAACCGACGCTGGGGTTGCGGCGCTCATCTCGCTTTACTGGCCGAGGGAGCCGGCGTACAGCTGCCGGGTCATGTGGCCAGCATGACTAAACCGCTTCTGGCAAACCAGAGCAGCGCACGGAAACGCCATTTACCTTCCCGCAGGAGCAGTACTTATTTATCTACTTACACTTTGACGTGCTTTCGAACTGCTAGGTGGGCAGGAGCAGGGACTGAGTAACGGGAGCTCACCCCGTCGTGGGGATTTGAACCGCCGACCCTCTGATCAGCAAGTCCTAGGCTCTGTGGTTTAACCCACAGCGCCACCCATGTCCCTTCTCGTCCCCACCCGTTCTCATGGTTTGGGATAAAGGGCCAAATTATAAGGGCACAGGAAACTTCATTTTCCCCAGTCAGACCCCTGGTCCATCTAGCTCAGTACTATCTACACTGACTGGCAGCAACCCTCCAGGATTTCATATATTTTCCCATATACAGGAGTCATACAAAAAACAGCACCACTTCCACCGTGATGTGCACGAGTTTTCTCATGAGTCCGTCCCATTCAGGGGCTTATTCACTAGTAAGTGTGCTTAGGGCTGCAGCCTTAATGCTCATGGATGGCATAGGATTTGGACCGTGTTTAAGAATTCGAGCAATACTCTCCCCATATCCACCTGGCAGCTCTATGAAGTTTCATGCAATTTGTTTCTGCGGTGCCAAAGGAGCGGATGTTGACTTCCGTTTCCTCCCTAAAGCAGACAACCGTCTATTTTGCAAAATCACAAGCTACAAACTGCTCCTGTCCAAAAGCTATGTAGCAGGTTGTTAAACCTTCGTATGTTTGAAGGGATGTGGTCCGGAAAGAACCCCCACCGTGATAAATCGGAGTTAGCATTCACCCTGGAAGTTTAGCTGACATGAACAATGCCCAGTCCTCACCACCCTGGTGTAATCACTGCTCTGAACCTGTCTTTTAAAGTGGCAGTGCTTCCCAATTCCTCCCTCTCAAAGCACATGACTCCATCCCAAGCAAAAAAAAACAAAACAAAAACCCAGTGAATCCTCTTGCAAATCTTTGGTGGCTCCAAATATTAACTTTCCCCAACACAGAGATCACTCAGGGTGCTGATAGCATGGAATCGCTTGTGTCCATCCTTCGAAACAGTCACATTCTCCTTTCAAGCCCTATGAGGTAATTTTTATTTTATTTTGTTGAAACAATTTAACTTCAACCCTAAACCACTTAACTACAACAGTCTCTAAGCCAGGCATGGCCAAATTTGGCCCTCCAGATGTTTTGGGACTACAGTTCCCATCATCCCTGACCACTGGTCCTGTTAGCTAGGGATGATGGGAGTTGTGGTCCCAAAACATCTGGAGGGCTGAGTTTGGGGGTGCCTGACCTGGGAACCTTCTGCATGCAAAGCAGGGGCTCTGCTACTAAGCTGCAGTCTTCCCCAGGCTGATCTTCTCTTTGCCACTTGGGAACTGTAGTTCTGTGAGCACCTTGACTTCCCTCTGACATAGACTCTTAGAAATGCATGGCTGTATTCCATGCTGTGCCTGCTCAAAGCAGAAGCACTGGAATTAAGGGACATGATCAAGTAAGGTTCATTACTTTCAGTAGGTCTACTGTAAGCAGAACTTGGTTGACACAACCCATAATTTCCAGGGTTCCTACCTTGGGAATCCTGCAAGCTGCAGGTGAGAGATGGCAGCTCGCCTCACACAGAGGCTGAGAAGAAAGTAGAATGTGTTCCCCTCCCATTCCAACCCTGGGACCAAATCTTCCCCTCGACCCATCTCTGATCTTACCACTGGAAAAGCTCACGATGCCTTCTTCAACCACCAAGGTGGGCATTGCCCCGCTGCCCTGGAGCATGGACACAACCTTCTCATGGGAGCAGTTCCTGCAGAGCGAGAGAAAGACTCTTGTGACATTTCAAGGAGAGTTACAGCCGCACAAGAAAAGCCCTTCGAGGAAGGGCAGGTGGGTACTGCGCTGAGCAGGTTTGCACAAAGTAGGACAGCGTTCATCGACCTGGTGCCCTCCAGACACATTGGACCACAGCTCCCATCAGCTTCTGCCAGCACAGCCAGAGCATCTGGAGACCACCCACCAGGTCAACAAAGGCTGAAGCAGGATAATGCATCTCCTTCTTGGGATGCATGGGATCCCAGAGGGGCATTGCAGCCTCCCTGGGTGCAGGCATTCCAGAGCCCCAGGGGTGATCATAGGCAGACACAAAGGAGCAGCTCCTTCACCTCATATCCAGGCCGTTTAGGAACAAGATCCTGTCCCCAGCTCTCAAGGATGCTTTGTCAGCTGGACTCCCTAGAGATGGGGGGCAGAGGGAGAGAGCACAAATTGATCAGTCATTCAGGACTGGGCAGATGATCCCCTGCCTCAAAAGCAGAGTTTCCTGAAGATACAACACCCACCCCAACCACACACCTTTCTCTTCCCTGACTGCATTTATGGGCTTAAGGTTTGGTCAGAGAAATGAAAAACACACAGAGAACTTGGAGTTAACCTGCAAGTGCCATTTCTGGAAATGAAACCATCAGCGGTATTCCGCAGGACACCTTGGTTCTCCTTACCAGGCAAGACGGACTCTATCCACACGGGGGCATGTCCACGTAATGTAAACCCAAAGCTCCTGCTGCCTTTGTAGACACGAACAGTCCTGGGGGGAAACAAGCAAGTTACTAGTCCTTATCAGTGGCGGAGCTTCATGCTCCAGCACCGGGGGGAGGGGCTGAGAGCAGGCAGGGGCGTGGCTGGTACGCATCCTGGCGCTGGGGCTTGCATCCTGGGGGCTCCCCCTGCACTCCTCTTCCTCCGCCAGTGGTTCTTATGTTGGTTGGCACTGGGGCAGGAGCTTCAGAAACTCCAGGGAAGAACAAGCCTTCTTCTGGCTTCTATTCTCCAGCCCCACCTCCCTTTCCTTGTGTAGATGAGTCTCCTTCTCCCCCCCCCTTTTTTTAATAATAAAACTTTATTAAGACTTTTCATAATACAATAAAACAAATTCACTAACCTAACCAAAAGAAGAAAAGAAAGAACAGAGAAATGAAAAGAATTTAAAGTCCTCTCTCACAGGTATATCTTAACTTTTGCCCCATACAGAAAAGGTTGTACCTTCCCAGCTCTCACCTTCCCCCAGCCTAGGAGATCTCACCTCCCCTGCCTCCTTCAACAACCGTCTATCACCTTCATTGGCATGCAGTTCTTCCCAGTTCTGCCATTACTACCTCTGGCTGTGGAGGCAAAGCCAAGCCATCTTGGCTAGTGGCCACTGATGGCCTTCTCCAGCTCTATGAGGAAGAGGCTCACGAACCCTCACTGCACCTTGAACTTGGGCGTCAGGGTCACAGTTCCTAGCATGGTTAGTAATTCTCAAGCAAGGTCCTGCGTCAGATAATGATACAGTGGTACCTCAGGTTAAGAACTTAATTCGTTCTGGAGGTCCATTCTTAACCTGAAGCTGTTCTTAACTTGAGGTACCACTTTAGCTAATGGAGCCTCCCACTGCCGCTGCACCGCCGCCGCGCAATTTCTGTTCTCATCCTGAAGCAAAGTTCTTAACCCGAGGTACTATTTCTGGGTTAGCGGAGTCTGTAACCTGAAACGTCTGTAACCTGAAGCGTCTGTAACCCGAGGTACCACTGTATACTGGATGGCTGAAGGAGAGAGACATAGAGATGGTCTCCTCTGCTTGTTGCCATGGTTGCTGCCCCCACCATAGATGGCTTGCTGTACAAAGGAAGGTTGATGTGGCACGTTACCTACGCACACCCCACAGCATCAGCATCAAGAGCATGAGGAAGCTTAGGAAAATGTGGCAGATTGTTATTTCAAAGCCAGTGCTTCTTTGTTTGTTTATGACATTTCTATTTAACCGCAGGTGAAACAACAGCAGATAGAATCAGGATTCAAGGTGACCTTAACAGGTTGGAGAACTGGGACAAAACTAGCATGAACAGGGACAAAGGTAAGGTTCTGCAATTAGGCAGAAATATTCAGATGCACAGATGCAGGATGGGGGACACCTGGCTTGACAGCAGTGCATGTGAAAAGAATTGAGGTGTCTCAACTCTACAATTCTAGGATCAACAGCTGGCAGCCTTGTACGGCACCTGTTAATTCAAGGGTAGCCAATGTGGGGCCCTCCAGTTGTTAGAATTATAGAATCATAGAGTTAGAAGGGAACCTGAGGATCATCTAGCCCAACCCCCTACAATGCAGGAATATGCAGGTGCCCCATATGGGGATCAAACCTGCAACCTTGTCATTATCAGCACCACCCCCTAACAAACTGAGCTATCCTATGAGAGTACAACTCCCATCAGCTCCAGCGCACATGGCCATTGGCTAGGGAGTCTGGAGGGCACTCCATCAACTACGCTCCTGTGCTAAACAAGCTGATACATAAAACAAAACACTTAAGAAGAATCACACAGGGGTTTGTTTTGCAGCCCTTATGATTCTGCGGGGATGGCTTCTTCCTTCATTCTATAGATTTACTGTTTAAATCGCAGCATGCAAAGACCTGCAGTGAGTTCCAAAGGTCTGTGGGAAGGAGGAGTTACCTGCGAGCAGCCCCTGAGCCCACATTGCTGGCGATGAGGGAAGTCGCCTTCCTCAAGCTTTTGCCGTTCTCCTCGTGGCTCCTGGGCACTGAGCTGGCCCGCGTGGAGACCAGGAGGCGCTCGTGGTGGTCCTCGCTGCGGCTGCGCCTCAGCCGACTGGCAGAGTGCTTGCTCTTGGCGTGGCACAGTTTGCTGATGAGGCTCTGGGAGACCACCTCGTCGAAGCGCTGTCGGTGTTTCCTGGGGATGAAGATCCTGGAGAACATGGCAAGGGAGAAGCGTTAGGGAAGTGGCAGAGAAAGGGCAGGGCAGGTTCCAGCAATCCAGAGCCTTACAAACCCATCACAGCGGAAGAAAACCCGGCATTTATAAGAGCACAGAGGGAGGTGAAGCAGAGTCCTCTGATCCTCAGCTGCTGTGTCGTGTTATTATCAGAATCAAATGCACAGCTCGTCCTCCTGAATGCTGGATCTAAACACCTTGCAAAGAGAGGAACAAGCTTCTGCGCTCACTACAGCCATGTGCCGCTTGCAATTTGGTGCCTTTCACTATTTCACCAACTACCCTTTTATTCTCCCAACGTAGGAAGTACGTCGGATCTGGCAGGTGAAATCTGCACACGGGTGACACGCTTGCCGTTTGCAAGCCAGCCCCAAAGTGTGGAGTATTTTTAAAGCTCAACTCACAGATGGTGTTTTCTCTTCACTACGGTCTGACAGCAAAATCACAATGAGCTCACCAGCCCCGCATCCCACCCCGCTGAAGGCATCTTTGCTGCGCTTGGCATTCGGGAACGCAAACGCCCACGCCAAGCCTACCCACGCAGGCAGAGCAGCTGAGGACGCTTTGGTCTTTTTGCAGGGCTACTCGGCAGCTACCAGGAGGCCCAACATATTGGAACAAAGTCGCTGCCAGGTGGAATCGAGCGTGGGTTTTAATTTCCCATGACCTCTGCAGGGGCATCCAGGTTGAGATGGACCTCACCTTGGCTGTCACCGATGGAAGCGAAAGCCTTGAAAAAGCTCAATATGGAGGTCAAATGGCCGAAATATTGGGAAATTTTGGAACAAGATGGAGATAGACTGAAATTGCAGAGTTTTGAAAAATTAAAAAACAAAGTGCGAGACTGGCTTCATTATTATCAGATAATGGAGGCATACAATTTGGACAAGAAAATTGGCTTCCAGGTGGAAAAATCAAAATTAGAAACAGAACTGTTAGAACCCAAAACTAAGAATTTGTCAAGAATGTATAACTTGCTGCTGAAATGGAACACTCAGGATGAAACGGTGAAATCTGCTATGATTAAATGGGCACAAGACGTTGGACATAACATTATGTTTGCTGACTGGGAACAGTTGTGGACCACAGGTATGAAATTCACGGCATGTAATGCCTTAAGAGAAAATATTATGAAAATGATATACAGGTGGTACATAACCCCAGTCAAGCTTGCAAAAATCTACCATTTGCCTGATAATAAATGTTGGAAATGTAAAGAAACTGAAGGTACATTTTTTCACCTTTGGTGGACGTGCCCAAAGATTAAGGCTTTCTGGGAGATGATATATAATGAATTAAAAAAGGTATTTAAGTATACCTTCTTGAAGAAACCAGAGGCCTTTCTCCTGGGCATAGTCGGCCAATCGGTGTTAAAAAAGGATAGAACTTTCTTTATGTATGCAACAACAGCAGCAAGAATACTCATCGCAAAGTATTGGAAGACACAAGAGCTACCCACACTGGAGGAATGGCAGATGAAATTGATGGACTATATGGAATTGGCGGAAATGACTGGCAGAATCCGTGACCAGGGAGAAGAGTCGGTGGAAGAAGATTGGAAGAAATTCAAAGATTATTTACAGAAATATTGCAAAATTAAAGAATGTTAGAGTGATGATGGATTGAAATTAAGTGGCTTCTAGCTGTACAGGTTTTAAAGTTATATATAGATCAAGATTAAGGATTAGGATTAAAAGGTTAAGAGAATGGAAAATTGGTTTTTAATAGGTAAAAATTTAATGTTATATTATATTAAGATTAAGGATTGGGATTAAAAAGGAGGGAAAGGAATTGCTGGACAAACAAACTGAATTGGAATACAAAAGAGGGAGGTATGAGGAGGTCCGGGAAATAAGTAAATGTAAAAGTAGTGATGAAAAGATGGAATTGTTTTTAACTGTTTTTTCTTTTTTCTTTTTGTATTTTGTATTGTGCATTTCTCTTTTTATCTTTGAATTCTTTTTTTTCTCCCCTCATTAATGTGTCTCTTTTCATGTGAAACTTTAATAAATATCATTTAAAAAAAAAGAAAAAAGAGATGGACCTCACCTGAGGCTAAAGGTGTGTGTGCAGAGGTGGGCTCAGTGGAAGACTGATGGCATTGCTATGAGATAAGGTTTAATTTATGCCAATATACAGGATGAGCATAGGATGAAAGGATGCACGGGTGGACTACATGACCCTTGGAGTCCTTTCCAGCTCAGCAACCCTACAATTAACACTCCGACGGGGCCTATTTCCCACTTGGTGGGGGGGGGGAGGTAATCACAGGGCTGTTGAAGGGACCCCAAGAGCATACATTGGGCAAAAGATTCCTGCATTGCAGCGGGTTGGACTAGATGACCCTCATGGTCCCTTCAACTCTACAATTCTAGGGCATCCACCTAACCCCAGTCCTACAATATTTTTCACTGACTGCTTTGTATGCAATTGGGCTATTCCCCCCCCCTCCACATGTGGCAGAGGTTGCAGGGCATGTGGGGCACCAGCTGGCAGACCGCCTGAGGGGCTCCTGCCACTTGAGGCACCAGCCCCACCCTGCCTAATGGCTAGGCAAGTTCTCCTCACCACAGGCGTTCTTTGCATCGCAAATGGCTTTGCCTGAGGGGGGTCACCACCGTCCTCCCCTTTCCCCTTCTTGCTCCAGAGATGAGAAGGCCTTGCACCTTTCTCTTCCTCTAGCCTTCTTGGTTCTCCCTGCCTTTCCCCTTCTGTCTCCAGTGCCTGAAGCCCAGGCAGGCAGCCTCCCCTCACTCTCCCCCTTCTCCTGCCTCTTTCACAGAGCTGCCTGTTTCCCATGGAGGTGACGCCACTGCAGCTTCTCTGAAGAAGAGGGCTCCCAAAAGCACCAATTAATTGGCCTCAAATTACATCCTGTGATCAGGGGGAGAAACTTCACACAGCAAAAGTATTAACAGCAGCAGCGGGAACAGCAGCTATTCTAGAAAAGGCAACACGTACTAATAGTTCACCCTTCGCAGAGTTACCACTCCTGGCTGCCCTTAACAGTGCCCAGAATAATTTCAGGTGAAAAAAAAATATGCTTGGAAGGAATTGTATGTATGCAGCCGATTGATTTTGTTGCTGGGCTTAGCTGGACAGAAGGCCTGCCCCGGGGGGCTGCTGGATCTTGCGGCCCCTTCCTCCACCCCACCGGTACAAAGTGTGTTGCTCAGGGCACGGACCAGTGATATATTTCCCTGGCATTAAAAACTTAAGATGAGCCTGTCATAAGGCCAAGGGCCCGTTCAGTCCAGCATCCTGTTCTGACAGTGGCCAACCTGATGCCTCTTCTGAGAAACCCACAAGCAGCGCCCAGGTAGACGTCAATAACCTTTTCCTCCATGAATTTGTCTGATCCACCTTGAAAGCCCTCCATGTGAGTCCCATCACTGCTTCCTGTGGCAGTGAGTACCACAGTTTAACTATACAGTCGCTCACTTGAATCCCTCTCCCACTGAGGCAAAAAGGAATTTTTTTTTTTTTAATAAATATTTATTAAGGTTTTCACAATATTACAAAATGAAAAAAGAAAAAGAAGAAAAAATACAAAATAAAAATAGTTAAAAACAATTCAATCTTTCTATCACTTATCTTTCATTTGCTTGTTTCCCGGACCTCCTCATACCTCCCTTTTTTGTATTCCAGTTCAATTTATTAGTTCAGCAATTCCTTTCCCTCCTTAATTTATCCTGATCTTTAATCTTAATATATTATAACATTAAATTTTTACCTGTTAAAAATCCATTTTTTCATATTCTTTTATACCATTACAGCTAGAAACCACTTAACTTCAATCCAACATCATTCTAGCATTCATTAATTTTGCAGTATTTCTGTAAATAGTCTTTAAATTTCTTCCAATCTGGCAAAAAGGAAATTGAATGAAAATAAGGCCGGTGGCCGGGGAGGAGGGTTGTGGATGGGAAGCAGCAGAGGGGAGGAGGGGAGGAGGAGAATGGTGACCAGTGCGCTGCTTGTGGGCCTAGATCTGCTGCCACTCCCAATGGCCTGGAGGCTGCTGCCCAGAGGCAATTGCTGCACCTTGCCTCAAGGGAGGGCCGGCCCAGCCCTATCCTGATTTGTAGTCAAGTGATGGGCCCAGAATGGCACAAAATCAGAGAGAAGTAGCGGGGGGTGGGATATTTCTATCTGCTTTCTCTGCACCATGCACCTCTACCATGTCTCTATTTTCTTGCCTTTTTTCTAAACTAGGAAGCCCCAGAGGCTGCAACCTTTCCTCATCTGGGGACTAGACCTAGCCCTTTGATCATTCTGCACAGGTATCGTGCAGTTACATTTTTGCACAAGAGGGAAAGGCAGGCAGCTGCTCAGGATCTGGCCTTGGATAACAACCCCTCGAACTTGTTTCAGCTGCTGGGGAGGTTTAAATAGCCGAATAGATGGGCTGAGTCAAAGAGACACTCACATCCATGTCAACGGGGATTGTGCAGAAGACCCTCCTGGTAGACTTTGATCTGTCATCTACCAGTCCCCAAACCTCCTGCCTGATGTGGCTCTTCATTTTTCTTCATTCTGGGTCACCTGTTGACAACTCAGTGAGAGCTGGTGGACAGGAGAGGGATGAGTTGGGTTATCATTGCAAAAGCAGCTAAAGTGCACCTTGGACCTATCAGCTCCACAGGAAGACACATCTCCGGGTAGATTAAATACATCACACTGGATTACTCTCGGTTTATAGCATATAAGCCCAGCCAGGCTGCCAGATTGGGAGGGGTGGGAGGAGGGATGAAATGCCATAGCCTCAGGGGACTGCGTTAGCTTGAAACTAAGGACCAATTTACCCAGCTATAGCTGCCACAAATTGCTGGACTTGGCCTGGCGGCCAATCTTGCCAATATCTCTGATGCATACTGAGATCCTTGAGGCCCATGTCTCCTGCTGGGAAAGGCTCCAAGGACTGTGTAGAGAGCATCAGAAGGCTGGAGTGGGAAAAGGGATTTTTTTAAGAGCAGAGAATGGC